AGGTTGTTTCGAAGAAATAAAAAAACAAAATCCTCTCCCCCCCCCTCTCTAAATCCCGCAGTCGTTTTTGCTACTCACAAATTTTTTTTCCGAAACTTCCATCCCATTCACCTGTTTCTAGGCAAAGCCAAGCAACATCTGTCGAAAGTTTTTTGTTTAAGTTCCCGTAAGTCGTTTTTAATCTGTTTTCTTTTTAATCGTGTGAGAAATTGACAAACTTTCACACTTTGCGCTCCCCCAAAAAAAGAGTAATCGCTTAGCAGCGCAATGGTAGGACGGCCACGCCCACGAAACATAGTTGTTTTTGATTGGTTGTCTAGTTCCCGGGATGCTGGCAGGTTTGGGAAGTGATTGGGACCGAACAAGGTGATAAATGGCTGCGAGGAACACGAATGTGTAGCGAAACACTACGGGAGATTTCAACGACGCTGTAGGAAGCAGCTTAGGCCAACCTTTGACAGAGCTTGGCTTCTTTTGAAACTCTAGAATTGTCAAATACATTTTGAAAGAGACACTTATTCTAGGATAGGTGTGTTTTAAACTTTTAAACCAGTCAAACCGCGCAGCTACCGTACTCGGCACCGATTCCAAAGTGCAATAGAACTTTTGCGTCGGCCGAGGGATACCAAGAATGAAGGCGTCGAGTACTTCTTGAGCGGCAGAAGGTTTTTAATTAAATCTGGGCGCCTTCATTCTCCTGATGCATCCTGAAATATCCATGACTAACAGAAGAGCACATGTCCTGTCCTCTGCGCCTCGAAACGATTCAATTAGGCTAAAAAGTCTGCCAGAGAGCGAGCCATCATCCCCAAGATGCTCCCCCGATTTTTTCATTTCGTCCGTTTCATCCAATCACCTACTCAAATCAAGAGAAGTCCTCTGGCCCTTTACACCGAGAAGCAGCTTCTGGCCGCTCCCAATTGTTTATTCGGCAGTTGTTTATTCCAACCGAGTGCAAAAAAGAGAGATTGTGTGATTTTTCTGGACCCTCTTCGGTTCGGCTTCAATTACTTTCGCGTTCAACCGTCCGCAGAGTTCCGTTTACGTAAACGAAAGGTGTGCATCGGTCGAGCCCGCCAAGGCCACCGACCCCATAGTACCTCGACACCCCAAACCGTATCTTATCTTGTAGACGGTCGTCTTCCCGTTACCCCTCGCACACCTCAAGTTCATCGCCCGGTCTAACCTTTCGCAACCTCATACCTTTTCTTAGACCCCCTCCCCCACCTCCTGTATAGTTTTTGCATCCGCCGCCGCGGCCTACGACTGTTTTCCGCGTCAACATTCGGTTTGTTCCGCGCGAAAAGTCCCCGCCTATTTTATTGTACTCTTTTCTATGTTTTGCGGAACGCGGCGCGGAAGGTTTCTTCTGCATACTTTTATCGTATTTTCTATTTGCTGACCCTCCTAGTGACCGTCAGAATACATGATAAAAGTCGGAGGACGGAGTGAACAGCGCGCGGAAACATTGCACTCTTACCAGAGGTTCGCGACAGCGTGCGGGTGGCACACGTGAAAAACAATCTTCATCTTCCGCGACCCGCCAGCCGGCGGTCACTACCGCCCCTTTCCGCGTTCTCTTCCGCGTTCACTCTCGCCGCCCGGAGTATGTCCTTCTTGGCACTGCGTCTCGCGCTTCTCAATGGTCCGTCGCCCCGTTTTCCGCGTCGTGGGTGTCCGCGCTGTGATGGTTTTGCGTATATATCGTTGATGTGTTCTCTCGATTGTTTACTCGATGCACTATGTTTCTACTAACAATAACGGATTTTTAGGAGGCAGCCCCCTAAGCTCCGCCCCCTCCCTTAACGCCAGCCCCTTGCGGCCAGCCCCACAGAACACTACTGCATAATAAAAATGACCACTGGCCGTTTTTTTTAGTTTCTAACGTTGAAAACTTGACTAAACCTACTCTCGTTTCTCATCTTTTCATATCATTTCCTTCTATTCCTATCACATCCTAATTCGCCTCATTCAAAATTAGACCTCTTTCTTCATGAAAACTCTGACGTGATTGATTCCCAGCGTTGCCCTTGTCCGGAGAGTAGAACCTAGACAATTTGTTCGGACACAATTCCTCATTCCATCAGGGTCCGAATGATCCTTTGTTTGAGCAACTCGTAAAACAGAGGCCACATCAGTTTTATGTCTTATTTGTATGTGCATACCCGATTTCCGCTGTTGTCGATCACGCTTCTCACAATGTATTTCCAACCACCTGGTTCCGCAAAGGACATCTAGGGCGACTCATATTCTTTTTCATTTTTCCCGTTTCCTTCCGTCCCATCTGTACCGATTAACCCAGTTTTTCCGGCGGTGCCACGCGGCTCCTAGCCCTCCGCCAACCACCTGCACCGTTAGGAACGAGGTCCTCTCGAGCTCCGCCTCTCACCGAATTTCAAAACCCCTTCTGTTTCACTCTTTTTTCTTAGACCGTGCCTGTGTCTGTTCATTCGGTTTGTATCCATTTCTCATATCCGTCTCTCCGCCTGATTTGCATATTGGTGCAAAAAAGACGGGGCGGCTGGGCGCCCATTGGTGCGCAATTGGTCACGCAGAATGATACATTAGGGAAAGAAGGAGGTGGTGCTGTCACGGGCCGGATTCGGTTCAATCCAATTTTTGGAAACCCTTCATACCAGCAGAAACATCTGGCGCTGCCAAAAGTCAATTCGGAACATTTCATTCAAATTTTGGCCGAAGAGCGTCTCTAATCTCATCATCTGTTCTCCGCAGCAGCAGCAGCAGCAGCAGCCCATCGGTTTCGTCCGAAATGGAAATGACCACCGGTTTGAACCACTTCTGGTGAGAAGCGCTCGATTTTTTGTGTGTCTGCAACCTGATAATGTCTTTAAATTTTCCTAGAAATCTGTGCATGTTCTTTCGAAACAATAGAATTTCCTAGTATTGTTGTTGTCCTTTTCTTCTTCTTCTTCTTTTTCTTCTTCTTCTCCTTGTTCTTTCTCTGTTTTCTGAGTCAGCGTTTGGTGGTTTCGCGGGCGGCACCACTTTTTGATGGCGTTTCGTTTCGCAACTTTTCCCCGTTTCGGACCTTCACGCTTATCCCTCCCTGTCAGCTCTTTTTTCTTCTCTTCTTTCCTGCTTCCTTCTTTTTTTTCTGCTGCTCCTTGCTCGTCGCTATTTTTTTCGTGCTCTTGATGCAAAACGACATGGTCACAAGAGATAGGGGGGAGAAGAAGAAAAAAAAAGAAGAGCTGGGAGTCGCAGTACAACGAGCAGTGTACTCATCGTTCGAACGCGATTATCCACACTCTCTCACCCCACACCCCAGAGGAAGCAGCAGCAAAAAAACGGAGAAAAAAAAATTTGAGAGATAGAAAAAAACGGGGGCACATATACATCACGTATCTCACACACACACACACACAAAAACTAACTCAATCTTCTCTCCTATCAGCATTTTCGGGCCAATTGGAGAAGATAGGGCGATACAATGGACCGCAAGGCCATTGAAAAAACGAGGGGAAGAAGATGAGATGTTCAAAGGATAGGCGAAACCTAAACAAATTGCAACATCGTCGTTGGTGGCGTGTTCAGCTAGTTTTTCCCTCCCGCCGGCTCCAAACTCTTCTATCTTTCGCTCGCTGCCAACAGGAGCGCCGGTCCCATCAGCCCCACCCACATTTCGAAATCAGGAGATGGGTGACCAATGCATTTCATCACGTTGAAATACTACGAGCGCCGTTTTGACATATGCTCTACGCGACAGCCTCTTTTTTTCAACCGACTCTCCCCCGTGAACCCCTAGGATTTGTGTTATGTTTCGAGGAAACAAATACGTATGCCCACCTCGGTTTTCCTCAGTTTTTGCAACCTAGTGATAAGGCGCGCGAATGTTACGGATAGCCTACCGTACTCACTGACCCAGTTATCCGTGTCTGTCTCTCAATCGGTATGTACTGGGCAGCGAGACCCAGTTTCTGAGAATCGGGGGGTCGACTGGTCAAGAAGTTATGAAAAACATCTCTCTTATCGTATCTCTCCCTTTTTGCGTTGCGTCTGCCCTATAACTCTATGGCCGTGCTGGTTTTTTGTCGGCGAGGAGGCCGTCATCGGAAGGTGACGGCGTCGTCGCGGTCGGCGATAGGTGGTAGGAAAAGGATGCAACACGGCGGCGTGCGCCGTCGCTCGCAACAGTTGCAATCAGAGTTCAGAGGGGGGCGCCTCGAAGGTCACAATATTATTTGCCGGTAGGTAGGCAGACACAGAGTCATCGGCAAAAGAAGATAGTTTTTCAACGCGAGACGGACGGCGAGAGTAGGATGGAGAGTAAGTGGACCCTGGGAGATGGATCCCGGTGTGCGTCCCCGCCGCGGGAGAGGATGAGGGAGAGAAAAAACTGCAAGCACTTTTACCGTCCCCATTTCGTGTGTCTGTCTCTCGCCGAGAGTCAATTATCTCTAGTCACTTGTTTCGCATTCCCCCCTCCCACAGACCACTGCGCCTTCTCACCCCCAGGCGCCGAAAAAAAACCTCCATCCCTCGGCGACTCGACCCTGTTTCAATTGTTTGAACTTGGTTTTTTTTTTCGCCACCCCTAGTTTGATAAGCTCCTCAAGACAATGACGTCGCGTGGGATAATTTGGGTGGCAGAGAGAGCCAAATCTGGAAGGTCTAGAGGTACACAAGCGGACTACAGTAACCCCAAGCACCAAGTAACCCACTTTAAGCCCTTTAGACCTTTTGCGAGTTGCGCGCTCTTTCGTTTATTGAAAACAAAAGTACAAGTTATCTATGGAACAAACCAGAATAAAAGCGTGCATGTGTTTTTTTGCTGAAAAGAACTGATCTGCCGTTGTTTATCGCTTCTTGCCCTATTCCTGTCCGTCAACTTTCTCTCTGTCCGGCTCTTTTCATCAAGAACCACAAAAAGTATTGGAAAGAAGGCAATTCAAGCGGTTTCAGGCTCTCCTCAACTGCACCTCCCTTCAAATATTCACCCAATTGAGCGCACAGATTTATGTATGAAGTTGTGTTCCAAAATGCCTGCAAAGGAAGACACGAGCGATGAATACCTCAGTGACAACAGCGACGATACGCATGAGAAGCACAACCGCTTGGCACCACCGCATGCACCAAAACAGGTACCACCACCACCATCTAGCATGACAACTAACTCACTCGCATGCGTGTCTCTAAATGGGCCCTTTTTCGTGGCGTGTCGTGGTATTCACTTCGGAAAAATGATTGCCTAGATTAAACAGCCCTATGTTAGTGCTTTCGGCGCCCGAAATGTTGCCATTTCGCTCGGGGCAATCAACTTTTTCTGCTCAGATTAAACGTGCCCCTAACTTGCTCCAGAACTTTTTGTTTGTTTGGCTTCAATCCAAGATTTGGCGTTTGTGCACAAAAAAGACGTGTCCCTACTACGTCCCCTTAATCGCTAATCTCCCAATTTGCTTGCTTCCTATCCCTCCCAGAAAGGGAAAGTTCCGAATAGTGACCACTACGGACGTTTGTCTCTCAAAAAGGATTAGTGGTCCTTTCTTTCCTCCACTTGCTTTTTTCTTCCGTCAGCCATTTTTAAACCCCCTGCATAGTACAGTAGGCTTTCCCCTTCAGTCATCTTCTGCCCTTTCCGGATATAACAAAGCCAGAGAAAGAAAATTAGAGATTCATCAGCGAACTAGAAAGACACAAACGCCCCAAAAAAAGTCTACAGAATGGATAAACGGAAGGTCCATCCGTCCGTCCATCCGTCCGTTTCTCTTCTTTTTCTCTCTTCTGGTCCTGCTCGTGCTGATGCTGCTGCTTCTTCTTCTTCTTTCTCCAAACCCTTAAAGTTCATACATCGTGTTGTTTTCGAGTTCTGGACAGGGACGGCGAGTGAGAAGAAGGGAAGGAGAGACTCATTGAGGAGAAGCTGTTTTTCGAAAAAAAAATGTTGTTTTTTGCCCTTCTTGGCTTTTATTTTTGGCAGAGTACAACATGTGAATTGCGAAATGCAGACACACTTTTCGTGCAGAACTCTGCGTATTTTTCTGGAAAAAACACGAGGCGACGGACCACTGCACACCGCGCTTTCCTAAGGAAAAATAGAAAGTTCGTGTCTTCGTGTCTGGAAATGGAAGGGAGGGACGGAACAAAGAAAAAGTGAAAGAGTTTCAGGTAGATAGAAAAGCCCGCGGAGCACGAGTTATCTAATCATTGGGTGTCCTTGCCATAACCTTTTGCTTCTGGTTATTCGTGCCATTCTCTCCAACCTTGTTATTTGCATGCACTTTTTTCCGCCTTCAAACGTCCCATGACATGATAAGAATTTTTTTAATGCCTTAAACATGGAATACATGTTTTCTCCTTAAACACAACAGCCATTTTTGTCGTCTCCCTCTTCCACACTCTTTTAATTGAATTTTGTTTCAACCGCCATGCCGATTCCTGATTAATTCTCTTTTTTTGCAGGTGAAATCTGATTGTTCGCAAGGAGCATTTCACGCAATAGCTACGGGAGATTGGAGGTTTCAGATGCCAGTTCAATTCAGTAATTTTGTTGCGAAACCGCCACTGTTAGCGTAATTTGCAGTTTACTCGAAGAAATATACTGAACGCTCGTTTTTTGCAGATCAGAATGGCCACCTTCGGACTGGCGTGCGAACAACAATAGCTTGGGAAGCTGGGATAAATACATTGGTCAACCACCATCGGAAATTCCGCAACATTTGGCAGCAACGACATACGATAATTCATCACTGACCATGCTGACAGCTCAACAACCCGGAATTGAGGACAAAATCCATCCGAATGGATTCTCGAGTCCGAAGGAGGTTCGTGAAACGACTAATGCATTCATTATAATTAGTTATTTATGGTTTGCAGGACGGAAGAAAATCTAGCGAGCACACCAATTCATACGATGTTTCTGCGTCGCAGTCACCAAGCAACGATGCTCAGTCGGAGGGGACTGTTGATGAGCAAATTGACGTGGAATGCATGACGCAGACAGAGGAAATGGAAACTGATGACAAGGATGTTACCATCAAGGATGAGCCGGCAGAGACGATTGAAGTTAAAAGTAACACTTATTACGACTGTCAAATAAAACATTACGAAAAAACTTTTAGCACCCGTTCCTATGCTTCCCGCTCCAATTGCTATCATCCCAGTACAAAACGGCGGGACACCGAAAATGCCTACTATGGAAGAGACCCAAAGGCTACTGGCTCTTTCACAGTCGCAGTTCCAAGAAGTTATAGCAGAAGCAGCGAAGATCAAAAAGGCCTCCGCAGAATCTAGCTTTGGGTTCATGAGGAGCGGCTCATCGGCCTTTTCCAACATTGAACCCAAGGCTGAGGTGCGCTCGCCATCTGTCATCTCCGACTCGCATGCTTCCACCATCATCACGAGTCCGACACTGTCCACTCCACCAGCATCTGCTTCCTTCTGTAGGCCGCCCGGACTCGGCCCAGTTGCAGTTTCGGCAGCACAACAGAATGGATCTATGTTCGTGTGTCCAGTTTGTGGATTTACGTGCCCATCAAAGTTCCACTTCAACAGTCACATGAACACCCATGGAGATCATCAGTGCAGCATGTGCGACTACACGAGCAGAACCGAAGGAAGGCTGAAGAAACACATGAGGGACTCGCACACCGTGGAAGAACAACTCAGGGTTGGGCTGGAATTGGAACCAGCAAAGGAAGCCGCGGGAAGTTCGCCAAAGACGGACGTGTTCTCCTCTCCTACCAAGGAAAACAGTGCCAGCAGCCCGATCTTAGAAACTTTCAACCTCTCCACCACTATGGCCTCTCTTCTCGACTCCACAAACAGTGCGATCGCTGCCATTTCTTCTACGGACCAGCCGTCGTCTCTGCCGAGTTCGATCAATTTGGATGTGTCTTCAACCCCAACGCTGCTCTCTACTCTTGCTCAGGGAACAATCAGCTCCTCGGCTTTGGATCAGATCAAGGCATTCGCAGAGAACACCAACTTGTTGCCAGAGAACGGAATCAGTCTGGTCTCGGCATTGAGGGATGTTTCACAAGCCATCAAAGGCGAGCCAGCTTCATCTCCCGAGAAGCAGTCAAACAGCGAGACTCGGAAGACGAGCAGTGGAAAGACGAAAATACTCAAGTGCAAGCAGTGCGGACATCACAGTATGTCGAAGGACGAGCAGTGGGCTCACGCGAGGACTCACATTCCAGCCGAAAAGCAATTGAACTGCCAACACTGCAACTTTGTAACCGAGTACAAACATCACTTGGTAAGCATCGGAAACTGTGAAACTATTGATTACCTTATAAGTTTTCAGGAATACCACTATCGCAATCACATTGGAAGCAAACCGTTCCAATGCAAGAAGTGCACTTACACCTGCGTTAACAAATCGATGCTCAACTCGCATATGAAGAGTCACACAAACCACTATCAGTTCAAATGTATGGATTGCAGCTATGCCACCAAATACTGTCATAGTCTAAAGGTAGCGTCATCTAGAACCATAAGCACAATATAACGTTGAAATTTTCAGTTGCACTTGAAGAAGTATGGTCACAGACGTGTTCCGGAAGGACTCGAAGTAAACGGAGAGATTTCGCCGAGCCAGGCGTGCACCGAACGTTCCCTGAACTTCAGCCCGACAATCATCAAACAGGAAATCAAAACAGAAGGAGCGGATCCAGTCACTCCAATCGCTCAGCCATTCGCCTTCAACCCGTTGGTTGCTAGCCAGAGCCTGAATTTTGCCAATCAGATGCTGTTGAACAAGAACTTTGACGTCGGACTCATGGCTGCTAACCTCAGAAATGCGACGATGCAGTCGTTCAAGTGTCCAGTCTGTGATGTTGTGTGCTCGTCCCATGAAGAACAGATGAGGCACAGCATGTCCCACATTCTCTCGTCCACCAGCGTTCCAACCACCATTGCAAATCTCTACAGCAGTCTAAATCTTCCAACTCTTGGCCATCTAAAACCGAAAGCTGAAGTGGTTCAAGAAGACATGGAGGTTGAGGTCAAGATTGAAGATGATATCGAAGATAGTCAGTGTGGTGAAGAAGAAATGGATCAGAGCAGCGACTTGGCCGTTTCTCCGACCGGAAGCGCGCAGAGTGAGCAAAACAAAACATGTGCAGCGTAAACAATTTTTTAATTTGCAGCAATCTCTTCGACAGAGGAAGAGACAAAGAAGTGCAAGCCGCTCACGTTGGAGCAGCTCACCCAGCATCTGAGGGGAAACAGCCCTATGAGCAACGACAGCGCTGTCGTGAAAGATGAAGAAGTAAGAAAAACAGGAGAAGTAGGGCACAGTTTCTAATCCAATGATTTCAGAGCCTGTCCGAAGACACTCCGCATTCTCCATGCGACACCACCTCGGTGTCTTCTCCTCCACACACTCAAGTTCCCATTGCTGCCCCAATTCCACTCCTTCCACCTCAGGATGCTTCGGTTCTCCAGGCTCTTCTCCAGCATGCGACGATGGCTTACAACATGGCCAACAGAGGTGCTCAGTTTCCGTGCAATCAGTGCACCGCCTCTTTCCCGGTCAGTCAACCCCTCAATAACTTCCAATCTTATTTTGACTCTTTTTTAGACGCAAGCTGCGCTGACTGCTCACATTCACACCCACAGCTATGAGAATCCGTTCCGATGTGGAAAGTGCCAGTTCCAGGCTCCAGATTCGCTGACCTTTGCCATCCATCTGTTCCAGTCTCGACATGGATAAGAACAAAACCTCCAGACCATCCCGTCATTTCTTCTCAACCCAGTTTTCACGCCATAGTCATACTCTCGTCTAGTTACTGACCCCACTTTATCTTCTGAAATTTGGGATTAGACTTTTGTAGCTGGTTTTACGTTTCTCACCTTAACTTATCAATGTTCGTGCGTTTTCCGTTTTGTATCCAGGCCAGTTTCTTGCACCCTAAACCCAACCGTCCTCCCTCCTCATCCATGAAATCTCAAACTTGTTACTGTTTCTGATGATGTCACAACTCATCTACCTCAAACGATATGCCACCATACTTGTATTGAATGCCAAACGAATTCCGATACTTAAGAAGCCTTACCTCTTGTACTCCGAACGTGTCAAAAGTCTAGAAGCAATTGTATGCTGTCAGTACATGTAGTACCCCCCAGAATACTTGTTTCCGTTACTATGTACCCTCTCATCTGAAGTTCGGGAAATGAGGAACATGTGTTCCATTTCGATTGATTTCCAAGCTCATCCTTTCAAGCTTTAAACCTAACCGTCTTTCATGTCTATTTATTTTCTATTTACCGATTTGTTATTATTATTATTTCTTTTATTATTATCATTAATATGTGCAACATTTCTGATGACCTAAGTTCTTTTGATTTGATTCCATCATCTAGCATTTCGTGTATTCTCTCCCCCAAAAGCCTACCTCAAAATCATGCGAACTTGTCCATCACCAAATCGTGTTGTTCTTTTTTCTTACGGTTGTATGTTTCCTTTTACGGAATCAGGGATTGTAGCGTAGACTAACCGTCTTGAATTAGAATATGCCAAAGATTCTGACTTGTCTAGTTGTCATTTTTGTAGCCGAAGTGACTTTCTCCCGTTCTATTCCTTCTCTGCTTTTTGCCCACTCATTAATCTTACCTCTTTTCTATGTACCTCTTTCATTTCGCCCATGTCAAATGTGTGTTCTCCCTTGGACTATCTCGCATCCACCCAAACTCTACCTCGATACACCCACCCCAGCTTTGCCATACATTCTCCGATTCGACAATGTGCATGTGTGCTCTTCCTTTTTCTTTCATTATCATTTCCAGTATCAATTGTGCTTCAAAATGTCTTCTATCTCAGGAACCATTTTCATGTACCTCGCCCCTATGTACTACTTGTCTTGCTACCTATGTACCTCATTGCTCTCAATCGCCATCAAGTTCCATACTCTCATCAGTTTTACTTGTATAATGACTACTATCTACCTCGTATCCACTCCTCAGTATCTAGTTAACCCCCTCCATCTACCTCCGCCTCCAAGAACCAATTTCACCTCAGCCTCAGAGCCTATGTCATGTACATTGATGAATTTCAAAAAATTACAATAAAACCAAGCATTGATATTGACATTGCAACTTTCTTTTTGTTCTTTGAAGTTTCAAACTATGGAAAAACTTCTGCTGCAAAAAAAGCGGATAATACACTCAATGCATGCAAATCCGTAATGTCCGAATGTGCATAAATTTACTCTCCGTTTTTTATTTTTCATTTTTTTTTCCCTCTTCACAAAGTTGATGACGTTTAATCCATTCGTCATTCTCTCACTGCCCGGTCCAGAGGAAAAACGGCTGACACGGAGAAAAGCTGAAGGGGACCGACCTACTCGTGCCCGAGTTGTAAACACATCCACCGACAGTGTAAAAAAGAGCTCGGACCACGATGAATAATAGGTTCATACTCGCTGTGTCGGCATTACACTTTCGCAACTTTCTGTTTTTCCGAAATTCGTGTCGGCGGCAGTGGCTTTCGAATCGAAATCTGTTTTAACCAAGCCCCGAGTGAACAAAGGTGACAACAACCATCGGCGGGGGGTCGTCGGGGGAACGAAGAGAACAGTTGATTGATGGAATGACATGGCCAAGGTTCTGCCACCGTACTAAACCGCGTTTCTTATCGGGAAGAATTGTTGTCTCCGCCGGCCACAGACCGGAGTGTTATGCTGTTGTATCCTCCGAATTCCGATCTTTGACATGTTGATGTGATGAAAGTTGAAAGAGACTAAGGGGATTGGATTTTAATGAAAAATTATTATAAACGTTTTGTTTACTAGATTGGAACGCAGGAGAAACAACAGTAGATTCACACACGCACGAAATGTTTAAATATCACTATTACACTGTTTAGATTGGTGGTCATTGAAATTGAAAGCTGTGCGTATTTTCAACCACAAGGGACTTTCTCATTGAACACATGAATTTAAGGTAATAAGTACCATACATACATTGTAGAAGATAGAAGATACACTATGTTTGTCTTATCTAAATGATTTAAAGAGCACTTGGCAGTTTGTGATCACAAAATAAGTATCACTTGTAGGCTGACTACAAACAGTTATCGATTTTCCGAAGTGCTCCAATTGATAACGCCGTTTTGACAGACAATCTTCATTTGTTTGCATTTGCATAAAAACAACTTTCAAATGCGTCTTCTCCTACTTCTACTCTGTCTTTGTCATTTGACTTTTGGGGCTTTGAAGTTCGTACAAATCGTAAGTCCATTCTGAATATTGAATCTTCGAGAGATCCGGTTCAGTGGTTCCGTCATGGTGAACGTCTTCCGACCCATTATTTACACTTCCCCGGAGAAGACGAGACAAAGTTTGATTACCTACAAATTGCGTACCCTGGAGAATTAACAAAAGTGATTAAGATGTTTGAATGGTTTGATAATTTTGAACATTTCATTTCAGAATGGAATCGGTCAAGAATTTGAGCTCGGAGAACGGTTGTCAAAGATCTATGGTTCTCATTTCGGAGACGCTTACAAACCAACAGAGGTCTGAGAACACTTCCGTACTTCCTAACAGAATAGAAATTTTGTTTCAGTTCCACGTCTACACCGGAAAAGATAACCGAACATCGGCTTCAGCACAAGCAATGTTTGCCGGGTTCCTGCCGCCAAACGAGGATCAGCAGTGGAGTTCGAAGTTGAATTGGCAGCCGATCGCCCAGGAAACTGATGCCTCCCTGGACTGGGTATTCAAAATATTATACGTATCAGTAAATGATCAGTAAACTGTCCTCCTTTAAGGTATCACTGGGAGCTGTTGACAACTGTCGCATTTACGGTGAAACGTTTTCAAAGTCAGCTGAGTACGCGTCCGTAATGAATCATGTTGCGAAATTGGACCCCCGACTTCTAGAGCTTGTCAGAAACCACACTGGAGTAGCTGTTTTGGAAGCCAAAAATTATAACCACGCCATAGATTCGTTGAAAATTCGAGTAACGACCAAACGAAAAAAAAATTCTAGACTTTGTTTACAGACTATTCTAAAAGATGAAAGGCTTCCACTTCCCAAATGGGCTGAAGGATATGAAGACCGAATTATGAACATGAGCTTTGCCATTCATGATTCTATTGTGAAAGTTCAGAATGAGACTATCGGAAGTAAGCTAGCTTCCGTGCAAAATTAAAAAAACCCTTATCACTTACAGATTACCATATCGAACTTCTCATGTCCTACTTTGAAACGTATCTCCAGAAAAACGCAACGAAAGGTGTCTTTATCAGTGGCGTAAGCATTACGAAACGAACTATTAAGTTTTGAACGAAATATTCCAGCATGATACGAACATTGTGACAATCTGGGAAGCTTTGCGATTGAGCGGACATCCAGACGATATTCCAAACTTTGGAGCTCATTTGGCTATTGAGCTTCACGAAATTCTGGGTGAACTTACTTTGAAGGTGAAAACGATGCAATGTTTGGAATTTGTAATCTGAACGTTTTTAGTTCTTCTTGTCAATGGCTTGGAATCAATCTCGAATTGAAGTGTTCCCGGAGCTTTGCTCTGAAGCTGGATGTACCTGGGAAGCTTTCAAAAACATTACTGCGGTAACTTTTATTGTCTGCTCTTATATATTTTTGATTATAGCACTCACGCAAGCCAAGATCAGATTGGGTGTACGAGTGCCAGGGTTTCGAAAGAGTTTCGGAGCCGGTTTCAACGATAACTGGTTTGTTTACATTCATTTACTGATTTTGATACTTATTTTTCTAGGTTCAATGATCATTATGCTCTCAATTCTGCTCCTCTCCACCATCATTCTCGGTTTCACAACTTTCTCCTACAAACGCCAGCTCAACAACCTGCGCGACCCAGAAAGAGCCCGTCTCTTGTAGATGTCAACGACAAAACTCTCAATTTCTTCTTCTTTATTTTTGTGTTATTATGGGTGCAAACAATGGAATATGAGTGTTGTGCATGATGATAAAAACGTTTGGTGAGGGTGTTTCTGTGTGCACATTCTTATTATTTTCTCTCAATTATGCCTAAGTCGATCAGCGAGTGAGCCATGTCGATAAGAGCGTCCTTGCTATCGCGCATGGTCATTCCGAGTAGACGTTGGACCTGAAATTGAGAAAATGTTGGTGAGAGGGACCAATTTTGAGGAAAACCTTTGAGTTATCAAATTTGACCTCCTGACAGAGCCTGGGAAGACTGGCTTTAGTCTCCGGATCGAAAAGTGCGTAGAGACGGACAAAAAAGTACGGAGCTGTGAAGAATGGAATCCAGTATCCTAAAAGTGGATATTTCAGCAGTCTTTTCTTTCTGACACCGCTACCTTTTCCTTTGAACTCCTCTCTCAAAATTTTGGCGATTTCAATGAACCATATGGACGGACTATTGGTAACCTAAAAGCCATCAGTCTTCCACTCAATTCGCTCTCTCTGTTTGTGTTACCAAAATGCGTTCGTTATCTGATTCGGGACGTCGCATCGCTTCAAAGTGAGCCAGCGCGACATCACGCACATCCACGATGGCCATGTTGAGTGGCGGTGCAGCTGGCATCTCGCCATTCATGAATTTACGCATCAGCTGGAATAAATAAACGTTTTGACGACTCGTTCGTTCGGCGTTTTCATGTGAATGCAACATCAATTTCGCGCAGATGACAATATAAAACAGAACACGTCTGTAGTGCGCCGAAGATGGGGGTTGCAAACAAGAGGCATGGCAAACAACGTCATAAGATCTTCTGTTACGCGAATACGTATCCCCCACTTTTGGAAATGAGGGACCAAATGAACTTACCGAAATACTAGCACCTTGCTCTGTGATGTATGCGGGACCGAAAACGAGTGTTGGGTTAATCACAGTCATCGGGAATCTGAAATATTTACTTTTTTTTTGGTTGATGCATAACTACTACAATACTTTTTGTCGTCTGGAAGTCCCTTGACAAAGTCCCAAGCAGCTTTTTCTGCAAGAGTTTTGCTCTTGACGTAACAGTCGACCAGATCACTCTCGAGATTTGACCAAGAGGTCTCATCAAACACCCGGTCTTGCTTGTAACCTTCTGAAACAGACTATGATGACAACGAGGCCATCAGAACAGACTTCACAGACCATTCACGGCGGCACAGCTGCTTGTGAGCACAAGTTTTCTAACATTTCCGTCTTCAGCAATTGCTCTCAAAACGTTCAATGTACCCTGAAAGGACGGAGCAAAAAAGTTTCAAAAGAGCGGAAGATCAGAAGCACCTCGACGGCAGTCTTAATGCATCGCTCGTCTGATACGATTGGGAACGGAGAAGCGACGTGAAGAACGTAATCGCAACCGGTCACTGCTCTGAAACGCAAAAGGTTACTGTAGTTTCTTGCAGAACTCGGGGAAGTGGCATGCAATCATAATTTGCAAACTATATTGACACATACTTTTTCCAGCAAGTTGGGTCCAAAAGATCAGCTTCCACAAGCTCCAGGAGATCTTTCTTGTCCAGACGTCGCACAGGTTGAACCTAAATGTTACGCTCCATCATGAACTTTTAAGGTTCATTAGGTTTTCCATGCCTTGGCTTTGTTTTTCAAATCTCTAACAGTTCCTCGAACGCGATATCCGTTCTTCAGTAAAACTTCCACGCAATGGGTTCCTATGAAACCGGAAGCTCCGGTGACCAAAACCTCTGAAATCAGAATAGATTTTGACATGAAATTGGTTACGGTTACGGTATCACTCACTCGTCTCGTTATTATTCATCTTTGGTTACACCCAGGTTACTGCAGTTGGTTTTTGTTATCTCTGAAAATGTGGTAACTGCGGAATGAGCTGAATAAAGACGCGAGGACGGTGAGAACTTGTCGACAGCGACATGCTTTTATACATGCCAGTAAGTGAATTTAGTGATAAAGGAAATACGAAGCATTCGGAAACGGAAATTCCGATAAAAACGAGTCGTTTCTCTGTTTCAAGAAACTGAGACCAGTGACCTTCTCTTCAGACACTCTTAATCCGCCTAACATCACAAAGCACAAGCACAGATTTTGAGGTTTCTAGCCAAAACGGATGGATGAGGTTGAAGAACGAGAGGATGTACGCAGCGCAAAGCAATAAGATTCGCCTCTCTCCGAAAAGGGGTCATCACGGATCGATTGTATCGAAGGCAAAGAATAGCGTCGTTTTCGCTGTTCTTTATTAGTTCTTTCGGCTACAGTCAAGTCTAAGTGGACTTGGAATTTAATGGAATAAGTATGGACCGACTACACCTCTAGCCACATCACGTCACCGATCCCATTCTTCGAATCCGGTTTTTCAGAACACTATAAACCCAAGGACGTCGCGCTGAGTACAAGTAGAGACCAAGTTATTCTTGTTTTCGACAAACTTGGGTAACATGCAAATTGTGGGAATTTGGTGTCGTTAGAGTTGATGTTTGATAAACTGTTCATGATAAATTTAACGGTTGAGTTGGAAGCAAACAGTTTGAAGGGAGAATAATGATTAATAGAAAAACAAAATTGTTTTTATTTTTCTGATTCACTGATTGTTGTTTGTTTATATAGCAGTTTTCAGGATTCAACAAAACAAGATTCCATCTGTTCCGAGTAAACTTTTTTCAGAGGAAAACTCAATTTTTGAATGTTCTAACATCAAACATTGATCCGAACTAGAAATTGTTCCGTGATTGTGCAAAAGCCTTTTCCGAACCCCCTTTCTAAACCCACACGGAACCCGAGAAGTCCCGCATCCTCCTTCTGTTTCGCCCGCAAGAGTTTTTCGAAAAAAAAACACTTCCTCATGAACTCATTCCCCCCGAGGGCAGCTGTTTCTCTTCCATTCCCTTCATTTCTGAGAAAGTTTGGGTTGTTTGATGTATCAATTAAACTGAACAGATATTTGATAGAGAAGAACACAATCATCTCGTTGCCTGATTGATATTGATGGTTAGTTGCTGTTACGAAGAAGAAGAACAGTGTCTTCGTCTTGAAACAATTCGATCAAACCGGTATGCACGTGATTCGTTACAATTCAAAAACAGAAGACGACACAGAAAAGAGGAGAAACAACCTCTGTCGTCAAGTAACGAGTAATCTTTCGATAGGGACACTTTCACTGATTCGTCCTTATTTTTCATCAACCACGGTTTCTTTTAACAAAATGCCAATCTCATTTCGTCTTTCCTTTAATTCAATTATCCCTGAGACCATTACTGACTTTATTTCTAGTTCATTTGGGTATGTATAACACCTTATTAAATATACAAAGGTTTATAATTACTCTGCCAGCCCACGCAGTTGCTCAGTAGTTTATTAGTTCCTGGGTTTTCTCACATTTTATTTCAAAACAACATTTCAATTTTTATTCATGCCATGCTTGGTCCTGCTTTTCTTTCAAACACTCTATCTTCCTCGTGCTCATCGTCCTCATCGTCGGAAATTGAAAAGTTCTCATTAGGGAATGACAGGGTGTCTTTTGGTTTGGGCGCCTTTGGTTGAACAGTAGGAAGTACCATTGGAGGCTTCTGAATTTGAGAATCATAGTTAATCTTAGTCTTAGAAAGATTACCGCTTCTCTTGCAGTCATTTTCACTCTTCTCTCTCGATTTCTGCTTTGGAAGTACACGTAACAGGCAAGACCGACATGAAGAAACCATCCCGTGATTGTGGTGATTGTGACAAAAACCGATAGAACAGTTAGCGCTGCAAATTGCTGTATTACAGCAGAATTCAACTTTGGCGGTACAAATTTTCTCCCGTGTTGCAAAGTCCAGATCATCTCGGAAACCAAACAGATGAATCGCTCTTTCCGAGTACGGAAAAATGGCTATAACCATTATTTGCATTGCCCAGAAAGCAAAACTTGTGACTACAAACATCTGAAACGTACACTTTTGAATGTTTTTTTTCCTGTTTTGTGGTATGGTACCATGAATAGAATGAACGGGATTAAAAGATGTTCTCGTTCAGTGATGATTGAAATAATCATGAAAATTATAGAAACCAACTGCCATAACTGAAAATTACAATTCACTCTCTTGTTTCCATCTTTTTCCCCCAACAGAAAGTGTTGCTTGTCCGGCATCCGTAACTTCTCCAGCTTCATCCACAAAAATGTAGAAATACCATTCTGTGAGCTCAACAAATGATAGAAAAGCAATAATGAGGCCGAGAGCAATCTGCAACACATATAGTTTGGACTCTTCCGTTCAACTTTCTGTCATCGACAAAAGTTATCACTGGCTGATTTCACATTTCAAATTCCTATGATTCAGGACGCTTTCTTCCTACATCAAAGTTCTGGTTTCACAATCCGAGGTGTCTTCTTTCGCCAGATTATTAAACAACGACCGGATGATACTTTGGACCCCGACACCGTCTAATCTCTTGTCTTTAAACCCAATTCCCCTCACACATAACGGGCCGTCGAGGGGTCACGGAATTGGAATTGAAAAGCGTTACCCTCGTTTTGCCCTTTTCGCCTCACTTTCAATTGGTTTTCACTCTTCGTCAAACCAGTTGAGGGGGTAAGCCGATACGAAATTTCACTGCCACCCGCTACTAGATTGGTTTTTCCGGGGGTGCAATAAAATGAATCGGTTTTCTTCTTCTCATTGAGCTCTTTTCCCATTCATTTTCTCATTAGTCACACAGAAGAATGCTTTCCCACCGCATATATTAGGCTTTCGAAATAGAGAAGCAAAAGTACACGTTACCTTCACATGAATTCTTGAGCAGCAAGTGTAAAATCGGGGGTTGGAAGTGTCCAAAGTGAAGAGGCCAGACCTCGATGGCGGCATTCTTCTTGTTCGAGACTCGGCGTTTTGATGACTGTAATTGCTGTTGAGTAGAATACGGGGTAGTTGGTCGAGAGTGAGCATTTGTGTTGGAGATAGCAATGTTATCGAGCCAACTCTCGCCAACAACCCATCGATTTCACATTTACAACTATATAGGGAAAGAGAATTTAACAAACGATAAAAGTTTATGTCTATCAAACTGAAAAGATGTGGATCGACGAGTTTGTCGCTATCATGTCTCCTTGTTCTCTTAAAAATGGCAGCACATGACACTCATTCCGCATGTTGTCTTATGATTCCACCCCATACCATCGTATTCAAAAATTAACAGATCCCAACTCAACTGCTAAATTTCTCGGTTGTACTTTACTTTTTCCTTAAAACAATAAATGCAGTTGGCTAACTGAACAACATCCCGCTGGCTAGCTATGCAATAAAAAAGTGAGGACATGATTATCGTTCATATTAGCATGCCGCTCAGTCTAGCCGAATGCGCCACTAATCCTATTGAGAGTTAGTCTGACTTTGGTGAATTCATGATATTACTTTCAGCTCTCATATTAGATAAGCATGAATTCCTGCATTCACAGCTCAAGAGGTAGCCACATATGAAAAGTATCTTGCTCAAATCGAGAACTGGTTCAAAACGTTCGGAAAAACTAGCATACAGTCTGAAAGCACCTCTCCCCAAAATCGTCAAATATTTGCTCAGCAAGGTCTCGTACACTTAACGGCTCTTGTGCACTTTTTACGCTCCTCCAACCTCGGAACATTTCGTTTTTGTTTCCGTTTGCTCTATGTGACCTTTTACAAAAGTCCGTCAAAAAAGTCATGCATATGTCAGTGGTGTGTAGGAAAACGGAAAAGCGTCGGCTGTCGTTGATCTATCCGTTTCGTCATTTTTGCAAAAGTGAAGTCCTCTCGGCTGCAAACCCTTTTATCTTCATTCTCGCTTCCGTTTTTTTTGTCGTACATTCCGACCCGATTCGAATTGTATCTGCCAGTCGTCTCCTCCCACGTCGCCCCCTTTTCTCTCTCTCCATTTCTCTTTCTGTTCAACCTTCAGGCAGTTTTATCGACGATGTGATCTCGGGCAAAGGGCATCGACGCGCGGGAGGCACACACTCACGCGCGCGCACACGCCGATAGACACGCACACACAAAAGAAAGAGAGAGAGAGAGAGAGACCCCACACACTTTTCCTCCTCTCCAAAAATGCCAACTGTCACGCCGCATCGGCGCTCCATTGACAATTCCGCTGCGTAGCGACTCAACCTCCCGCGTGATACGGAGTTGAAAAGCCGTCGTTACATCATTGAAACTTATCAAATGACGCATGTTTTATCTACAATATTACATCACATGGCGGTAGAGTCAGAAACATTCAGATAAGCTTCACTTTTACTTGTTTTGTTGTTTTGTCCAACTTTTCTTCTTCTTTACACCTCTAATTAGAGGCTTGTTCGTAAGCTTGCACTTTTACAACGTATCATTATCGTTAATTTCAGGGTCCCCCGAGAATTGAAAAATTCTGATGACTGATCCGAATTGGACATTTCATCCTCCGACAACATATTATGCAGGTGAGTACGCTTTAATTAACGTTTCAAAATAGTTTTTGATCTGAATATGAACGTGTGTAGCAAAATACGTGTTTTTTTCCAGATCATTCGATAGCAAAGCCGATTCTGATTGGTGGAGTCCAGAATAACCAAGATCAGGGACATTCGCCGTCGGATTCGTTTGGCCAATCGGTGACTGCGTTCAATGGAATGGTCGACAATTTGGTCGGATCCCCCACGTCGTCGCATTCACGGAATTACGTGAGTTATTCGTTTATTTTTTGATGAAAGTTTAAAAAAATTATTTGTTCTCAAGAACCGTTTCCACTTGAACAAGACGTTCTGCAAAGTGTATCAAAGAAGGCTCTTAAGAGAACACGTTAGTGGTAAACACAAGAATCCTGAATCCAAATCTGTTTTGGGCTTGAAGCTAGAAAAAATATTATTTTCCCCTGTCCAAAACCAAAAAAATTATTATTATTGTAAACAAAATGCTGCTTTCAGTTCTCATCATCATATGCAATATCACGGTCACCAACGGAACGGAAGTAGACTAGTTATTTTTGAGAGAGAAAAAATTATTAATTTCAGAGATGATAAATCTCCGAGTGGAAGTTATGGAGTACCAATTCCTATACCAGCCGAGGGAGTGCCTCAAGGAACGCCCGACTTTCAGATGACTCCTTTTTTAGCGCAAGGCGGTCAATTGATAGGAGGGAGTCCTCCTGGCTACATAGGTGCTCCTTGGTTTTCAAACGGACCCGGCATCTTTCAAACGATGCAACAAGCGGATCCGTCGAACAACGTGATTTCTTCGGTGTCGGGAGAATTTCTGAACAACGAAAATGGAGGACCAGGACATAATACGTCTCATCAACCACCGCTTGTTTCCGGATCTCCACCATTCGGATACGGAAACATGTTGACGAGCTTCAATGCGATGGGATTGGGTCAGCCGATTCAGCAGCGGGAACCGCAGCATTACCAGCACGCCATTATTCATGGTAAGCCGTCATAATCTTGTTATTACAAAAAACATTGAACTTTGCAGAGCCAATTCAAGGAATGACTCAAAACGGCTTCGGACAGCAAGTGTTCTTTGCTCCGATGCAAAATCAACAGCAGCAACATCAAGCTCAACAGCAGCAGCAGGCACAACAGCAAGCGCCGTCCCAAAATGGCCAGCAACAGTTCTTCGGGCAACCAAACGGAATAAACGGTGCTCAAGTCGCTGATTGGCAGCAGAGAAGCTTTGGAATGCCATCACCGCAGCAGCAGCAGCAACAACAACAACAGCAGATGCCGCAAAACGGTTTGCCGCCAAACTTCTCGCAAAATCCACCAAGACGGCGTGGGCCAGAAGATCCGAATGCTCCGTCGCCGAGATCGCTGCTTGATATCCGCAACAACGTGATCGACTACGCCAAGGACCAGCACGGTTCTCGCTTCATCCAACAGAAGCTCGAGCGTGCTTCTATTCGCGACAAGGCTGCGATCTTCCAGCCAGTGCTTGAGCACGCTGAGGAGTTAATGACCGATGTATTCGGTAACTATGTGATTCAGGTATGTGCAATTTACTTTGTTACCGTTTCTAATCATTCTTTTTCAGAAGTTTTTTGAGTTTGGCAGTCAAGAGCAACGCACTCTTCTCGTGGGCACAATTCGTGGGAACGTGATGAAGTTGGCGCTGCAGATGTACGGATGTCGGGTGATTCAGAAGGCGCTGGAGTACGTCGACGAGAAGTATCAACTCGAAATACTAGGAGAAATGGAAGGACAGGTGTTGAAATGTGTCAAGGACCAGAATGGCAATCACGTTATTCAAAAAGTGATTGAACGCGTACAATCGGAACGTCTCCAGTTCATTATTGACGCGTTCACCAAGAATAATTGTGACAATGTAGAGCCTCTGTTAGTCGGTCCATTATCAAACTAATCTCGCATTTAGGTCTACACGCTCTCGATCCACCCGTACGGCTGCCGTGTCATTCAACGTGTGCTGGAACATTGCTCGCCCGAACAAAAGGATCCGGTCCTGGATGCCCTGCACGAACATCTCAAGCAGCTCGTGCTTGACCAATACGGCAATTACGTCATCCAACACGTCATCGAGCACGGAACCGAGGCGGAGAAACGCAAGATCGTGCAGGAAGTGATCTCGGACGATCTGCTCAAGTTCGCGCAGCACAAGTTCGCTTCGAACGTAATTGAGAAGTGTCTCAGCTTCGGAACAGCCGATGAGAGAAACACAATCATCGACAAAGTCTGCGGAGATCCAAATGAGTAAGAACATGAGCTAGAAAAATAAATGTTCATTGAATTATTCAGCCCGTCGCCGCCACTTCTCCAAATGATGAAGGATCCGTTTGCGAACTACGTTGTCCAAAAAATGCTTGACGTTGCCGATCCACAACATCGGAAGAAGATCACTCTGACCATTAAGCCGCACATTGCCACTCTGCGGAAATACAACTTTGGCAAGCACATTTTGCGTAAGTGCCTGAAAGAAGTGTTGAAACGCCTGACACGAGAAGAACGGGAGCAATTTCAAACTGATTTTATGGTTACAAGCAGCCTGTTTGTCAATCTTCATGAGGACCTCGAAGAGTTCGCTCTTTACTACTTATTCTGAAACCACCCACTATCCGAATCAATCCCCGGTTCAACCCGATTCAACCGCTTCCAACCCTGTGAAATTTACAACGTCATCCCATCGGTTTACTATGTTTCGTTTGTGACCGGTGCTTATTTTCTTGTGCCCTAACTTTACCCACATCAATGGAATCAATCAAGTTCGGTGGAGGAGCGACAAACAACAATTTGCAGTGATTCACTAGCCACTATAAAAAAGTTTGTTGTGCTGTTTGATTACCCGACCTCACCTTGTGTTTTTCATCAGACTTACACCGACCGGATCGCTTCTGGACGTCACCCGTTTCCGTTTTGCAATTGTTTGCTTTGTGCCTTTTGCCTTCCATCAGCCTATTTTATATCACGCCGACTACGCAGAAAACGCATGCTTATCAGTTTTCCTCTGGGTTTCATGCGTTTAAAAACACGCGTTCTGATAACCTTCATAATATCATAATGTTTGTTTCGCCCGCCCTTTTTGAACTTTTTAATTTCAACTATTTTCAGTTAAACTCGAGAAGTATTTCGCGAAACAAGCACCGGTGCATTCGTCATCTTCCTCGTCAAATGGTCATATTTACGACATCCCGTACGAATTACCTCTTGGAGCGGATTTTAGTAATCATCCATTTTAGTCGCCCTCATTGAATCTGTTACTTTGCTCAAACAGTTGAAAACATGTGATAAAAAATAAGGTTGATTGAATCAATCAAACGGGCATTTGGTTTCTATTGTCTATTACTCCTTTACCAATATATTTGTAGTATTTTGTGAACACTTCTTATTTCTCTCCATATAATTGTAAACCGTTGTTGCTTTTTCTTTCGACTCATGTAATCTAGAATCTATGGTAACCCACTCAAAGTCCAAGTAATCTTGCTTGAAATTGGTTTTCAGTACTGTCCGTCCCGCCTACGCTTAGGTTTAGCTTACAAAAAAGTTCACATTAGTCTCATTCTGCCACAAAATTGTTCTTTATCGCAAGCGTTTTTTTTTCACTTCAACCGGCAAAACCGTCACTCGCACGCATCCTTTCTTCTTCCACAATTGCAGCCTTTCTCGAGTAATCATACACACGATGCCTTACCCCTTTTTGAGCAGTAACTAGACCCTCCCCTAAGCCAAATGTGTGAATATGTAAATTTAAATAGTTTTTTCACCCCTTCCCCTTTTCTTCTTCTCCCTCTTTCCCCCTTTTCTTCACCCTGTGAGCATTTTTGTAAACTTTCGTTACTATTTTTTCTAGGAAATGTATGTGTTTTTCAATTTTTTTTTCTTAGGGGATCCGGCCAGGAGAATTTGATTCTTGGAGTCTGACCCCCGAATTTTTCTGTATGTTGAGTAACTCAAAATTGTATAGCTGTAAATCACTTGTTATGCTGTCATTTTTGTTCAATGTTCATATTCATGGAAAAGGAGGGTCCCGACTTGCTCTTTGTTCATTTTTCCCGCTTCCGTCTCGCTTCTTCTTCTTCATTCGTCCCATCTTTGGAAAAGTGAGAAAGAGTTTGGGATTAGTCGCAAAGCATCTGTGAGCAATCGCAGGGAGCCAAAATCGGATTCTTTCTCACTTTTTCTGCCGATTAGTTTGTTAGCCACTCTCATCACATAAGCATTTCTCTGCCGAAATTTCTTGATGTACTTACTTTCTGTATGAGATTTTGTTAAATATGGAAGATTTCTATTATATCATTTTATTTCGTTGATCATGCTTACGACGAAGAAATGAAGTGTGTTGGTAAAATTTGGCCACTTTTTTTTAGATTCGAATAACAGGAAACAGGAAACAGAAAATCTTAAAGCATGGAAGGTTATGTTCAGAGTTGCCGCCGAGAGACGTTCTGCTGAGTAATCGGTTGTCCGTTTGTTCATCGCGCTCGATTGGTTTGACCTCCTGAACATGTTTACGCAACGCTTAAGAAGGTCGTAACCAGCTTTCGGACCATCTGCGGGTGTAAAACCAAGTGTTTGTCTTGTATTCGAACAAGTCGCATTCTAACGGATTTTTCCTCTCTATCATGCTCTCAGTTTCGACTACTTTTCCAGAAACTTTTGTACAAACACCTACGGGTTCCAATCTTTCCTTGTTAGCACTAAAATTTCAGAACATGATTGCTGTAATTGTGATTTTTTGCAATGCTGGGTTCCTAAATTCCGCTTTAAGACTTGTGCTAGCTAATTTCAATTAAATAAAGAATGTTTCCAAAAAAATTGAAAACTTATCATTGTTTCCCTCGACAAGTCTCGAAAAATCTGTGCCTCTCCCCCATTGGCGATTCATCAAGTATTTCGAAACAGATTTTACGAAATACATTTCTGATCCATAACAACCATTTTCCCACTTCTCTTCCGCACTTCACATGACCTCTTGGGCAGTGTAAGTTCTTAATCGGCGCCTTCTCCATTCATAGCGAACAATAGGCCGTTCCCTTTTCAATCTGACCTCCCGATCTCTTTCCGTATATTTCCATTTCATAACAAAGAATTCATAATTCATATATTTTTGGATGTAAAGGTATCCAAGCACGTAAATTTCCGTCTACTTTACCCTCCAAACCCATATGCTTCTGCTGCTGCTGCGTCCTTTTCAAAATCCTCGCGCGCCACTCCTTGCATTCATTGCGGCGCAATGCCTACTCCAAACCCATTGGCCCCTCTGGTATCGATTGTTCGTGCCCACTTTTTCGGCTTTATTTCGCAACACTCTGCGAGTCTCTATCGCTTCCGTCGCCCCACCGCATTACATATTCCCTCATCTTTCTCCGACACAGAAAGCGTTGGCATTTGAGTCCACAGGAATCTGCCGTTTTGTTACGAGAAGAACTTTCGCTCACTCAGATACACTTCTCGCCGCCAATCAAACTCCTTATTGTTTGCTCAAAAATGAATATTTTATAAAAGAGCGTCACCATTCGCGAGTAAACACTAGAGCACGTTCCACCACTACCTTATATATATATATATAGGTTTCATTCCAATCGAAAATGATGATGAATCACAAATAAATGACCGCAGCGTATCCCATCAAGTTTTTTTTTTCTCATTCCACGACTACACCCACCGGCCCCTCGTTTTATTTCTCTCCATATATTGCGGCGAAGGCCACTCTCGCCTCTTCCGCCCATTTTCTTTAATCGCGTATATACCCATTTGTTGAGTTTCATGTTTCAGGATGGAGATCGCCTACGATCTTTCTTCCATTTTCACAAGCAACATCCAGCGGCTCGACCGTGCCGATTTGCTGAGATATGGACCGAAACGATACTGGCCCGTCGCCCAAAGCATTGATTCGCTTGGAGAAATGTCATCTAAGGTACGGATGTTCTAGCGCTTTTTTCTTCGTTTTCGTAGGCAATGCATTCGAAATGATAGAGTGCTTACATAGACTATTCGAAATGCACAACATTTGTCTTTTTTTCAGTTCCACGGATGGAAACGAGTCATTACAAAGTATGAGAAGATCGTTGACCAGGATGAGGAACAGATCGTGTACATTCTCTGGGAGAAAATTGACGGGTAATGAGACTGTGTTGTTCGGAAAATTTCATAAAATTGAGTTTCTAGACACAAAAGTCTGTTGAAAGGACTTCTTCGCGTAGGATACAAAACGTTATACCTGACCGATAACGAACAGAACCAGTACATGGAAAAGGCCATGTGCATTTTGGACTTTTTCGTCGTTCAAACTGAGCAAAGATCTGGAAATGGGTTCAAACTTTTCGATTCGATGATCAAGGTAAACTAATATATTTGGGAAGTCACATCTCATTCATACTTTCAGACGGAAAACGTGTCTGTTGAACAATGCGCGTTTGACAAGCCATCCGCCGCTTTGCAGAAGTTCCTCGAGAAATACTACAATCAGAAAGATCCAGGTTAGCCGTAATCATTATTTTAGCGGCTGTTACACCGCTGAATTTCAAAAATGGCGAACAAAACGACTCCATATACCCGATTTACCGACGGAAATCGCTTTGTCGCACTACTCGTAGCCATTGCTCCAACAATTTTGGCAGCGAGGATAATACTAGTCTAGTTTCCCGACACTTCACGGGTTCCGCGCTTTGTTATGATTTCCATGGGGAGTGGGCGTGGCCTCGGCTCGGCTTAACACTGATAAGGTTATGCACTTTGAATATCGCTCAAAATTTGTTCATTGATTCCGGAGAAATGAGATTTTCCGGTAATCTGAGGGTTCTGATTCCGATTTTAACAGCCTCACTCACTAAAATTGACCTCAAACGTATGTTCTTTCAGTTTGGCAGTCGAACAAGTATGCAGTTTACACGGCCTTCTTCCTCGGAAAGCACCCAACTATCCCGTTCACTCCACGCCAAACCAAACGTGCTTCCCGTGCAAGTTCCGCAGTTTCCAGCCATAATTCCAGCAGAAACACTTCTCCGATCGGAGTGAGATTATATCATCCAATTATATCAAAGGATTTTCCAACTTTCTTTTTTTCAGCGCAACCGCCCTCGTCACGATTCGGTTGCTGATCTCATGCGTCAGGATATGTTCGCCGGTGTCCGCCCTGAAGTTGACCCGAACAGTCCGACCGGACTGAAAAACTCGAGAGATTTCGGACACCGTCGAATTTGGTGATAGGCAATGATTGATTGATTATATAGTGTGCCTCTTCGCCTTTAGTTTTGATCTCTTTCCTCTCTCTCTTTCTTTCTTTCTTCTACTTTTATCCTATCGCTTCTTCCGTTTATTTTGGTGTCTTATATTGGATTTTTCTAATAAATATTCAACTGGAAAGGTAATTTTTAATTAGATTGAACTAAAATTATTAATCTCTCGCGCATTGTTTCCGTTTCATTTGAGACTCCGCCCACTGTATGAAAAACATAGAAAAGCGTGGAACCCGTAAAATGTCGGCAACATGAATTAATGAAATGCGACAAACATTCGCGCGCCTTGTCTAGCCTTGCCTACCCTTAGGCATGGCTAGCCCCCAATTTTCCCGGTGATTTTTGTAAAAGCAACTTCATTAGTTGCAGAAATAAACATAAACATAAACACGACAAGTTACCGTTTATTAGGGTTAACCCATAAATAAGACTCTATACAAGTAGAAAACATACTTGGAATTATGGCATTACCAAACGAAGAACATCAGAAGCCAAAGCGGATCCGATTGGTATTGTGGCCTAAAAGTAATAACATCGACATCCACTTCACCTACTGCGAGGAACATACTTTATGGAAAATCGTGTCCCCGAATATTCGCAGCCAACTTTGGATATTAGCCACGGCCGCATAGTATTGGTTTTGGAAGCGGGTATGCTTGATTCCGCTGTAGACGGACACAATTATGTCGTTCACGATTATTCTCCCATTTTCTGTGATTGGCGCGAAAATTCCCGTTCGTTCAGTTATGGAAATGCGCATCACTCGTTGTTGGCGATATTTTCCCTAAAACAAGATGTTAACTGACAGTACAGAAGCAGATAAAGGAGAATGTATTTAGTACCCCGTAGAGCAGCACGAGACAATCTCCGACTTTGAGCTCTTCCGCAAAAACGACGTCACGACCTTTCGGCGTATATTTCACATATTCCATGTAGTTTTCTGAAAATAAAAGTCACCAAAAAAGGTTAGGTATGTAAGTACCATCGCAAAGATTCCGATAAACAAGGTGTTTTCCACTGACTGCCAACATTTTTCCGTACTCTGTCATAATCGTATAAAAGTTGTATCTTTTCTCGGGCTCTCGGTGCATCCACGTTATAATTGGAGTGTAATATGTCTGAAAAAAACGTAAAAAAGGTTGATGGAATTCAAAAATTATGCACTTACGGCGGTCAAATTGGAAGTCAAGACTAAATCTCCAATGGCAATTTGATCCATTCGTTTCTTGCCAGTTTCAGTTGTCATCCACGAGTCCGTTGAGAAACACGCATGTTCATCAGCATCTGAGAAATATGACGTACAAGTAGATTAGTTTTAGAAAACCTTACCAGGAAAAGTGGGAAACTTGAATTCGCCGATCGCATTTGTTGCGGTTTCCACTAAAACAAAAATATTTGCATTTGAACTAGAGACCTGTCAAAAATCGGCCCACGGTCCACGATTTGCAAGCCGATTTTGGAAAACATTAGATTCAGAAACCTTTTTCTTCAATTTTAGAACTGAAACCCGGCCTGCGACAAATCTGATTAGAACTTGCGTTCAAAAACTTACAAAAAGAGAGCGCCGCTGTTTTCCAGCAGAACAGACAGAAAATAAAAAGTGAAATCATGATTTCTAACTCAGTAATTGCGTAAATTCATTCACAAAAAGTTGGAAGTGAATGTCTTCTGCTGAGAGAGATTCGATACATCTTACGCCGTAATTTCTTCACGGCCAAGACCTGCTGCGACAAGTTTTGGCGATCGAATCGGGCAGCGATCAGGCATGTTTAAGTCTGGTAGCGTGAGACTCAATGGAATTAATAAATGAGAAGAACCTGAGGACGGATAAAAAGTGTCCGGCTGAGGGAATGACAATATCTGGCGATGTTTGCAATGGAAATGAAGAAGAATGGAGAAAAGATTTATTTGAAATAACAAGATCTCATGAGAAGATAAATTGGCATGTAATACTTGGCGAGAATGAAAGATGTTTCCGTTCTTCAAACTGTTTTCGAGTCACTCTATTCTCTTCTCGTTATCTCCGCATAAAAGTGAGACGTGTCAAGTTGTTGGAAAAGAAAATAAATGGATGAGAGAGTAGAACGTCTTCTGCGCTCGTTTGTGAAGTTTTTACTCCAGTATTTCTCGTTATCACCACTCAGTTTTCATTCGAAATGAACGTGCTGCTACTTACTTCTCCACTTGTTCTTTGATTGTCCCAATTGTTGTTTCCAGGGGCATCCCGTCTTCATTGCAACCTGGATATCTTTCCCCTACGCGCGCTGGAGAAATATGTGAGTGCATTTTACAAAACTTTGTCCGCAACAGCAACTCGACCCACACACACACGCTCACCGCAAAACTTAACAGAAAGAATGACATGAAACATGACGGACTATTTTGAAAAGTGACAGCAATGACACCCCCAATCAACGGAATGATTGCCGCCAGCTCACCTGGCTCCAGCCACACCACCCTTGTCGCCCATCCTGGAATTGAGTTTGATTTGTGGTGACGCGTTTTTTGACATACCCACAAAGCCACATGTCACGCAAGTTTGTCATCGGCCCGAAAATAAGTGGTGGAAGAGTCCCTGGGTTGGGTCGGTCCCGTAGACGTCGGTTGTCTCGAAAGGATATCGGGTGCGAGATCACGCTTGTCAATTCACGGCACCGTTTCCATCGTGGACGAGGAGGTGGAGGAGGAGAAGGAGTGCGTATGAATCTAAAGATATCACCGTATCAATTTCTTTATCATCTGTGAAACTAACTTCGCCCTTTCGCACATCTTTTTCCTACCAACAATTCATCAAAAATGCTGTGAGGAATTAGGGCATTGAATCGCTTCTGACGCATTTCTCTCCTTTTTTCACCCGCTCTATTGATTTTTACTCGGTCTAAAATTAAAAAATAGAAAGGATCCCAGGTGTCTTGGACACTTTCCCCCACCGGGTAATCATACACCAGCGTCAGGCGCTCTTATCTTCCGCGACAGGGCATCCGAATGAAATTTGAGCCTCGTTTCGAAGCCGCACCAGCTAACCTGGTATCACATAATATACTTTTGGAAACTCTCTTTCACTTTTCCCAACCTACCGCTCCTTTATCTTGATATCTATTTCATAGCTTCGGATACGATGAAGTTCTTCCTCAGTTTCTTGCTTTCTTTTTGTGTTGCTCCCTCCCAAAATATCCGTTCTTGATCAGTCTCAGGACAAAATTTAAGCTTGAAAATCCGGAGGAGACTAATCCTGTATGGCGCGCATGTCTCTGGTTGCAAGGATTGTTTCAGACCACGTAATCCACACTTGATCTGAATGATTCAAGGTTTTATGTGATTTATGGTCTAGATCAGATACCACACAACTCCAGTGCCCACATATTGTTTCCCGCTATGAATGACAAAGCGGACAGCTTCCGGTAAGGCTCTTTAAAGAAGCGAGTGGAAGTTTGTCAGTTATCAACATGATCAGAGCACATAGTTCGTACAACTTCTACCAGACATGCTGAGCTTCCGACTAATCCGTACTCTTGATAAAACCGCCGCCGTGCAAACGCACGACAGCCTAGTCTCCGCAAAAAAAGTGGCCACTTGGACTCTATGAAATCGCCAACTCACAACGTATGCGCTGCGGTGCAGTGCGAAAAAACCGCAGTTAATCCATTCCAAGGTCCGGATCACCCGGCGTCTACGGAGTCAGTCTCCGATCCTAATCATTTGAGAAGAAATATGTGTCGGTGATATGCATATTTTGATAATCAACCCACCATCGAGAGGTAGGTGATTTACAACCGTATGTCCGGTGTCCGCGGTATTCCTCTGAAACTTGATCAATTGCCATCATCTTGTAGGTCGCCGGCCTGACGAACTACCGTACCGGAACCTTGATACGTTTGTCTTCCGACACCCAATCCCCAACGGTAGTGATAAGAAGTCTCCTGACTCCAACACTTCCTTCCCCTTCATTCTTCCTCTAGTTTTACGTTTCCTTTCCCTCTTTTCCTGCCATTTTATTCCACAACATTGACGATTCCCCTCCATCTTCTCACCAACTTGTTAATTGCTCACAGAGCTACTTGCTTGTCTAATGTGACACGGGCCTCCGATGCGGCAAGCCTACGGTAATTGTGGCCGAGTAGGTACCGGATGTCAGCATCTTGCCTCTTCGGTCATAATAAATGAGACGATGGTGTGCGCCTCCTCTCGACAGCTTCTGAGAGCCGGCGGCCCCCCGATGAAGCTAGTTGTCCAGAGCCAATGACACCGTAAGTTTCCTGGAGGACTCTTTTCCGCCCGTCCGACTCCGCCCGTCTTCTCCAACCGACGCATCCTAATTGGCGGCAAAACGAGCCGCACTTCTTGTTATTCATGCAAGAAAAGGAGATGAGTCTGTGACACACCGAAGATACGAAGATTTGACTAACCGTGTGGCGGGACATTGGGTAATGACTCCAATTTCACAAAACCATGAGATGCCCGCTGGGCCAGGCGGCAACGGGTGTCAATTTTCTGTTTTCCAAGTTGTATCAACCGATGAGCGCCTGGCTGGCGGTCATCCGAATCAGAGAGAAGAAACTTCGCGTCGTCTTTTCTTTTCTTCTGTTGATCGTTTTCTCTCAAAACGGTGATGAGCACAACCATGTTTTTGACTGTCTTACCTACCTGGGCGCTGAGCTGACTCGTTAGAGAATTTCTGCCTTTATTATGAAATTTAGTTCCTTTTTAAAATATTTCCAAAATCTGGTAGGATTGGAATTTGAATAGGATAGAACAAGACATGTGCATAGTATTCCAGTCAATTCCGTGCGTTTTGCATGTTATCTAATATTTTTCCCCTTTTTGAAATTCTTGGAAGAATTACAGACAGCTTTTAAGATAAGGCTCTGTTTCTCGCAGAAATGGTGTCATTTTGATCTTGCTCAGATTGGTAGGTAGATTCAATCAGCCGCTAATCCGAAATTGTTTTTCATCCCCCTTTGGTACCACGCATTGTGCAATTCCTATCGGTCGTTCGTATCGGTTTGCGGAATCCTTTTCCGAAACCTATTTCTTCTGGTATTAATTAACAGATGTGCAAGCGCCGATAAGGGTTTCGGATTCAGAAACGAGGCGACGTCGTCTCAGTTGACTCCCAATATTTGTCACGTCAACATGCCCTCCGGAGGACCCCTATATCCGGCCCATCTTGTGATCCGGACGTCGTCTCGTCAAGTGGTTTCGTTAGCTCATCGCCGCCCCGCTTGCCTTTCGCGCCTTCTTGTCACTAGTGGACCAATATAATTGGCAAAGACAACTACTTATAAGCCAAGGTGGCGGCAGAAGCAGCAGTCATTCATCCATCTCAAGCTAAAAAGGAAACACATTGGACAGGCTGTGGAGGGACGCTCCGTTTCCTCCTCCGTCCGCCGCTCATCTTGTCCACCCCTTTCCCGCACAATCTTTCGGTGCCGTCCGTTCCGAGACTTCGGATGCCCCAGTAATGGCTCGTAGAGAAGCTAGAGGAATCTGTCTTCTCCCATTATTTTCTAATTGGCGTCAAATCGCCGCCCTGAGTCAAGCATCTCCGAGAGGCTCTCCTTAACTCACTTTACGCGTAAAGGAGGAGGGGGTCAACACACGGTGGATATCTACCACGCCTCTTCTTCTCAACGCTTCTCAACATATCTGGGGGCACAGCGACAGCGAGATGGCTGACTCAAAAGGTTTATCTTATTTTCGAGCTTCGAGCGTCTATTCTCTTTGATGCCCTCCGACTTCCAAGTCCCCTTGGGCAAGATCTAATTTACTCCCTTTTTGCAGTGGTACCCTACCCCTTTCGCCCCGGCTCTTAACCACGGCCACGGATACCGTAGTACATGAACCCCAGCACGCCCTCGGGGCGTCTACTCGCTGAACGTCTACCGCCTCAAAAGATCTATCGCTTTTGTCACCTCATCCTTTTGCATGCCCACAAGTTGGTTTCAGTTCTTGAATGCTTACTAGATCCTCCATCCGATATCCTTTTTCTGTCTGCATACCTTTTGCAAATCCCTTTCCAAATGATCATTGATGTTTTCCACAACATTGCAGCATAAGTCTAGTAGCATAGAAGATATCCCAAGGGTGTCTGGGCGCACGGGTAATTGTCAGGTGAGTCCACCAGACAGCGCGGGTGTCTTGCGCTGCTCAGATTAGCACTGCAATAGACTGATCTACTGTTGGGGGAGGCAGATGTGTCTGGGATTAGACCATATTGCTTTTTTGGATGTCATAGACAGTGGCTACGGAAATTGGACACCGGTTTTGGTACATTTGAAAAGGGTTCGATGGTGTGGAATTATGGTATACGGTTCCTAACTGGAATGAGATTGATGCAATGCAAGTTTGTGTGTTATATTTTTCTTCAAAACAAGAACCCAAAAGTATTGGCTTCGTTCTCTTCGCATCTTGACTCCGTGTGGGCGATCCAAGTTGTTGCGCTCGCTTCTCACTTGTGCAGCATCGTGTACCCTCTTCCTGTGTGACTCGAAATTGGGTTTCAAGAGGCGGCACCGCTCAATTCAATATAGAATCTGGGGTCGGTGAGCCTTCTTGACATCTTGACAGCTTCAGACGAACTTGGTGTAGTCTTAGGCCGTCTGACGAACCTTCGGAAGGAAGTGCATCATTCAAGAATTGTACTCCTTCTAAATGCCAAGGATTGACATAGCTTTTCCTTCATGATTAGAGATATTGTCGTCGAAAACAAAATGTCATATCAGGATTGTCCATGTGCATGACATATTCTGGTAGCTGGCAGGTCTGGTGCCATTCTGATATGTGCTCTTAATATCACTATGATCACGCACAACTTTTTGGTTTTGAAAAGCTTTTGATCTCTTTTGGTCGTTACGAGTTTGCAGACATCGCCAAAAGGATTTGAAACTTATTTGATTATACCTCCGCCAAGAAAATTTTCCACCTGTGTGGTGTGTCCTGATTCATGTCTACCAACAAGTTTGGAAGAATTTGATAACTTGAACTGAATATATGATTATCTCTGATTCTCTTTGTTTCAAATGCCTTTCTCATAGTTCAGACAGTTGAATCTAGTTGATTCCGTTGTAAATCTTTGTCCCAGACTGAGTAATTCTCATTAAACTGTTCTAAACAAGCATTAGACAATTATCCTTAAAAAAGTCCGACACCGCCACCCATTTTGTTCAGAAAAATCGCTTGCCACCCATGATTCGATTGTATCTTTCGGTTATCAGAGTGAAACAGTGGCACTCGGCGTTCCTCAACATTTGCCTCTCCAATCAGTAACAGGTTTGAAACACAGTTGTCCTGGCAGATTGTGTTTGAAATCGACCTATCCGTTCTTTCGACAATCGTTTTCCTTTTCCTCCTATTATTTAGTCCACAATATCGACAAATCACATTATGGAAGTATTGCAGACTTTGAACTTTCTGTTTTACTTAAAACAACTTTCTCACTTATAGTCTTCCCGTAAACAATTTGAAGCCAATCATATCAAAAGTGAAGTGCAAACGTCTCCTCGATCTTGCAACATTTCGTTAATAAGCAAGCACAACACCGAGTACTATGTGTTTTGCATTGCAGTCTCTCTTTTTTTGTGCCCAAACATTTTTCTCGCTTTGCTGACTTGATATGGTGGCCCGCGAGTCCTTTCAGCCGCAAAAAAATTTACCTATTCTCAAAAAAGTATGAACGATTATTCGATTTACCCGCATGAACCTTTGACTTATTTCCATCGATCTTTATCTGAAACTTTTCCGAACTATCCTTGTTGTTCTGTTGCTTTGCTTTTGTTATTCCTGCTTTTCCCCCGCTTTTCTTCATCGTGGCTTCATAGGTTCCTGCTACTTGTCGCTTTTGTGACTGATCTGCAATGCCAACAACTTGCGGATTCCCAAACTGCAAATTCCGTTCCCGCTATCGTGGTCTCGAGGACAATCGTCATTTTTACCGCATTCCCAAAAGACCGCTTGTTTTGCGACAGAGGTGGTTGACAGCGATTGGACGGACCGAAGAGACCGTAGTCTCGCAGGTAATATACAAAATACAAAAAGCTCGGCTTCTGTAGCCCACTATTCGGTTGGCCGGAAAAGTGAAAACTTGGCGTGCATGGCTCGACGATTTCTAATTTGAGATCTAACCAAACAAAAGAAACATTTCCTGGTATCGACAGATCTGTCGACACTGAGAACCCGAACAAAAACGTCATGAATTACTCGCGTCATGTCGTGGGCAAAAAAGAAAAGAACAATTTTTCACTCACAAAAGCAAGTGATTCAATTTCCGATCTTCAGCTCCGAATCTGCTCGGCCCACTTTGAAGGCGGCGAGAAGAAAGAAGGAGACATTCCAGTGCCAGATCCGACGGTTTGATCTGTTGAAACCAGTGCGGTTGAAAAGCTCTGTTGTTTTTAGGTGGATAAGCAGATCAAAATAGAGTTGCCGCCGAAAGAGAGCAAAAATAGTGATCGGCGGAGGAAGCAGAACATCCCAGCGAGATTCCCACGTCCCGACTCGCCTTCAGGTCAGTTTTCTTGTAGATGTGTTTCTTGCCAGCTGGATTTCAGTATTTTGCATCTAGAATCTAAAACTTAGTTTTCAAATGTAGTTGCATAACTTTTTTTCATGAGCTTTTATGTTACTTTTAAGGAAATCAATTAGCAGTTTTTTTTAGGCGACAGTCCGTCCTACTCAAAGAAAAGTCGCAGTTTTCGTGACTTCTACCCGCCATTATCATCCACTCCATCATTCGGTTAGTTCCGTTTTTTAGATTCAGTGTGGTTCAGAAGTGAAAAAAGCGAGAAGACGAGTCCGTGGGCGACAGCGTTGGTCAACAAGTTAGATACCCATATCTTCAGTGTCTTATAGGAAAGGCAACAGCAGGCGGGGGTTGCTTCTTCAATGAACCACTCACGTCGCTACTCCATTTTATTGGAGCATAAAATGCGAAAAAAGCTCCTTATTCACAGCCTCTCGCTCCCTTTTGTCTTATTGTCGAATGCTCTCAATTGTCGTGTCAGATGTCCAAACGTGTCCGTGTTGTGTATGAGTGTGTGAAACATTAGTTTGCCAATTTCAACTGAATCGGATATCTCGCGCATCGATCTTCGCAACCTTCGCTTCTTGACTTGACGCTTCCTCCTTTCTGCCATCATCCAATCACTTTCTGAGGGGGGGGGGGTTCAAACTGCTTTCGCTAATCATTTGTGACCCCCCTCAAAGACCGTCATCACTAATTCGGCTAGTAGCTTCTCTGGATTCTAACGTGCGTAAGAGACTTCAAATCGGTTTGCAGAAGGATTACATGTCAAATATACATACACAAATGTCGTGGGTCTGACTGACTGTGAGAGTAACCAATCATCGGTGGAGTAGAGTACAAAGCGGATGCGAATTCAGACGCGCACACACATGCATTGCGTGATACTCCTGGGTGCCGGACTCTCACTAATTCCATTATTCATCATTTGGGAATAGAAATAGGGGATAGGAATATGAGTATGGGTACAACAGCTGCTCGAATGATTCTTCCTTCCCTGCGCGGCATTATCCTTCTTTGATCTTGGAGTCAAGCCTAGGTGCACACAGAAATTCGCCGGCAGGCTTAGTCTTTATCCCGAATTTAATGTGTTCATTTCGTAATTCGAGAATGTCCTCTCAAATCTGCATATATCCCGAAGAACCCATAATTTCATTCCATATTTATCTATTTTCAATTGATCATACTTCTATTTGTCAATGACTCCTTCCAGCGCCGCCCCAGTTATTGAGTAGGGACCATGGCGCTTCGTCCATTTTTGTCTCTTTCTCCTCCTTCTTTTTTCCCTCCCACCAAATGATGTGGTGCGGATTGTAATACTCTCAAAAGCTCATGAAGAATCCGGGGACCACATATATCCGCAACAAACAACTTCTTCGAATTCTCTTTTCGGGGGCTAAAAGGAAAAAAGAGAAGAAAAAGAAGAAGAAGGAGGGGTAGGCGCGGCCGCGCCGGTCGGTCGGTCGGTTGGTGCACAACGCTTCTCAATTCACTGCATTCCCCTCAGTCTCCTGCTTTTCGCAACGTTAATATCGTCTGTGTTTTTATGCAGTCTCAATGCCAACCAACCCCACAGGTGTTCCTCTCCATTTCTTCCTCTTAGATTTTCTCAGGTTCTTTTGGTATGCGGTGCCTCGATTTGGGGGCCTCTTCAACTATTCTGGTTGGCTGGCGAGCACATCGAGTGCGACTAATTAGGAGCACAGAGGGCCCCCGTCTCCTCCTCCGTCTATTACATAAGTTGACTGGCTTAGAGCCTCCGACAAGTGTCCGCTCCAGTCACCCACAATTGCCCGGCTTGCGCATTGAGGTTCAACTTATCACACATGCGGGACCCGCCGACTCCTCTCCATATGGACATCATGTCTCTCTTCTTGTGCTCCCTCCCGTCGTCTTTTCTTTCGACTCAACCTTCCGCAACATCATTTCAATTCCTAATACATTCTGTCGTATGTGCTCGTCTTCACCGCATTCTCCAAAACCTATTCCTCTTCTTTTTGTCACATTTTCACATTTTCTTTTTGCTTCGTCTGTTATTTCAACAATACGTGTTGAATTTCAATAGGCGTTTTGAGTATATATTATTCTGCGCCCGTCTCAATGACACCCCCGTCCCCCCTCCGTCCTTTGACTGAATGCGAATATGAAGCCAGATAGTGTCATCATTTCTAGCAACTTTCTCTTTCCTCTTTTTTGCCTTTTTCTTAGTTTTTGGACAAGAGTTCAGAGATCCCAATACAATCAGAATTCTCGAGGGACAGTCAGTTAATCCCATAATCCAACTTTTGTCAAACTTCAAATCTCAAAAAGTTAACGTTGAAACTTATAAACGATTGACCGGGATGAGAAGTGTTCGGAAAAAACTATGAAAACTAATGACGCGTCACATCGGGCACCTGCGAAAAGAGTGGATGCAGACGTATTTTCCGTTCCGCTTGTCCAACATCTGCACTCGGTCATCATTCCATTTCACTGGCTGTTCACCGCCCGTCCTAAGACGCATTCCGAGAGCTTATTTTTTAACAACATTATTCTCAGTACTCGCTACTCCTAATTCTGAAGAAAAAATGAAGGAGCCTTTCTGTTTTTGTCAATTTTTCATTTCGGCCGGATATGTTCTGTTCTGTTTTTTCAGGCGGTTAGCACGAGGAAGGACATGCAAGAATCTGCTTTCTTGTCCAATTATCTCATAGACATTATAATTTCTCTATTTCTTTCCGATCATCTTCTTTCTGTTTGTCTTCCTTCACCGACTTTCTCGTTCCTTTTTGCACTTTGTAAGATTTTCACGAAAGTGTTTTAGACTGAACTGCATTTTCTCCCCCCGGTAATCATAACTCGTGATGGGTGGTGAAAGCAATGGTACTAAACCGACGGGCTCGCAAAAGCGGAAAAGAAGTAAGTTATTGCATCCGTCGTCTTTGAAACGGAAGAGATGGCTCCGTTCTCTTGGCTTCCGCCCCCTCCCCCCACGAAGACTCAATTACTCATCCATCTCTCGGCCCGTTCGCTCCAATGCCACCTCTCTGCCCCCTTTATGCTTGCGGTCGGCACCCCCCAACTCTTCTTATCGCTGGCCACTTTCTAGCCATCAAGATAAAAACAAAGTTGAAGTGGTGGCCCGAGCCGAATGAAAAAAGGGAGAAGAAAGAGAAAAAGAAGGGAGAAGTAGTGGCGGACCCCCGTTGTTGTTGTAGACGTCGTCCGGCGGCTTGGCGCTTCTTCACCATTTTCCCATTGCAGTTGCTCACATATCTAATTCATGTCAAATACTGGTTAGCTGCACGACACACATGCGCACACATATATTCTCTCACACATATAGAGACAGAAAGAGCGACACGCGGTGAGGAGAAGCTTCCTGATGAAAACCAAATCGGGTCGCAACTTTTGGAAGGGAAATACCTGGAAGAGTTGACAGCTGGATTGAGGGAAATGATTGTTGTAACTACAGAGAACGGAACACACTTGTTCTCAGAAGCAACCATCTGTTGTGCGTCTGTGATAAATAACCTTTTTCATTGCAATTCATGAGCTAACTTTCTCAAAGCCAAACCCGTCAATCGCGTGCTATGGCCCGTGACACGAATGGCAATAAAATTAAAAGATGGGGACACGATGTAGATGAAAAAAAGATGGAGGGAGCAAATCGCAGTACTAAGTCACCATAAGGCTCTATAATGAGGCAAAAACATGGTTCATTATTCTCTTCGGACAAGATGTCCGTCGTGTCTTCTTGAGCCAAGTCAAATTGCAGAAAGATTACACCGAGCCGCCCAGACTAAAGCCCTTTTTTTTCTCACATCTCTTTGTTCAGATCCAGCTCAAAGCCCGCAAACGCCTCATCAGCCAGCTCTTCCGGATCCTCAGCAAGCGCTCAGCGATATTTTAAGCAGTAAGTTAATACGCTTGATTTATTCATGATTTTCATTTAAAATACATTCTGAGAATATGTTGAGATTCTCAGTACTACTCTATTTTTAGTGACCAACACAAGAATGAATGGACCTTCAAGTTCGCGACCACTAGTTGCTCTTCTGGATGGTCGGGACTGTGCTGTTGAAATGCCGATACTGAAAGACGTGGCAACTGTAGCATTCTGCGATGCGCAATCGACCCAGGAGATTCATGAGAAGGTGAGCCGCCAAGTGTGTAAACAGAAGCAGCAGTCGCCCCTAGTCGTCGTTTCCATCATATCCTTTCCCATGGAATTCAATTTCGTTGCTCTTCAATGTCAATCAAGAGAGAAGCTTGAAAACAATAGGAAACTAGGGGTCAGCTCCGTCACGACTCCATTTCTCATTGTCAATAATTGCCTTTTACAAAGATGCCGAATGCCAAAATGCCAGTACGAATAATATTTACCGCCACCGAAACATCTGCAATCGGGGTGTCAGGGAAATGCTTTATTTCCTGAAAAGGGGAAAGGGGAAGTGGAAGGGCAATGAAAACAAAAAACAAAACAAAGCTTGCTCTCTTATCCCTTAGAAAATAAAGACAACGAGTATTTTCAGGTTCTGAACGAAGCTGTCGCGGCACTCATGTATCATTCCATCAAATTGGAGAGAGAGGACCTGGAAAAGTTCAAAGTGCTCAAAGTTGTTTTCCGTATCGGGTACGGAATCGACAATATTGATGTGAAAGCAGCCACAGAGCTTGGTAATAAACCGGAGAGTGTATTTGATGAGAATGCAATTATTTCAGGAATTGCTGTGTGCCATGCACCTGGTGACTACGTCGAAGATGTTGCCGACTTCACACTTTCACTCATCTTGAACTTGTACCGTAGAACGTACTGGCATGCCAAGTCTTTCAGCGAAACCAGAAAGGTACATTCATTTCAATCTATTCCAAGCGCAACCTCTCATTTTCAGACGATTGGTGCTGATCAAGTGCGTGAGAACTCTGTCGGAAGCAAGAAAATGCGTGGGAGTGTGCTTGGGATTTTGGGCTGTGGAAGAGTGGGAACCGCCGTGGGCCTGAGAGCCAAAGCATTTGGGCTACATGTTATTTTCTATGATCCATTCGTAAAAGAGGGACTTGACAAAGCATTGGGTTTTGAAAGGTGTGATGGATACAATAGTATGCAGTAGTAACTATAAATAATTCAGAGTTTGGACAATGGACGAGTTTATGAGTCGCTCGGATTGCATCTCACTTCACTGTCATCTGGGGGATGACACCAGGGCCATCATAAACACCGACTCGTTAAGACAATGCAAGTCGGGAGTCTACATTGTCAACACCTCGCGATCGGGCCTGATCAATGAGGTTGACTTGGCGGCCGCATTGAAAAGCGGCCATGTCAAGGGAGCCGCGTTGGATGTACACGACAGTGTTCGCTACGATCCCAACGGTTTGAGTACGTCCGCAAACGGCCAATCAGAGCAATGTAGTCAAAGTTTTCAGATCCGTTGCTCGGATGCCCGAATATTATAAATACGCCACATGCGGCATGGATGAATGAAACTGCATGCAAGGAACTTAGAGTTCAGGCAGCAAAAGAGGTGTAAACAGACATAATCAAGAACGTTTCTAACTAGAAAAATTCAGATTCGGAAAGCTATCAATGGGCGGTGTCCACAAGACTTGACTCACTGTATCAATAAAGAAGCAGTTATGCGTAATAACAATCCAATAAACCGACGAACAAGTGCAGCTCATCCACTTCTCAATATGGGTAAGCAAAAACTATCCACATAACTAAAAAAACTTCGCTTTTTTTCAGGTTTCCCTCTGCCAAACTTCCCGCCCATGTCAATGAGTCCCCATTTCCCGTATCCAAACCCATTGCTAGCCATGGGAGCTCAGATGGGAGCCCTCAACCCGTTCATCGGCAACGGATCCCTTCCCTTCAACCCAGCAGCCGCATTGTCCACTCTTGCTGCTGCACAAGCCGCTCACGCACAACGGGGATCGCCAGCCAACCAGTCGAGTCGGTCGAGTCCCAGTCCGAGAACGAACAAGTCTTCGATGAGTCCTGGAAACAACGGAGTCGTCAAGACGGAGCCATCATCGCCGGCCGCCAAAATCGAGGTAGATATCGAGGAGACCGAGAAGCAGTCAATGATGACGTTCCTTCAGCGCCTCATCGGACCTAACGGGGACAGTTCATCAACCACGGACAGTGGAATTGAGGGAGGAGACAAAGAGAAGACTGTGTCGGATGGTGATGAGAACATGGAAGATATGGAGGTGATAGATGCGGAGAAGCTGAAGGAAGAACTGAACATTGGACAACTCGAAAAGCCGGAGGAGATCAGCGTTGGACTGAACGGAAATAGAATCAATATTGACGATCAACCGTTGGCAATTTGACTGGCGTTTCAGTTTCGAAACATTTCATTGTGGTTGTGACAAGACTATGTATTGTAGATTGTTTGAAGTTGCATCTCTTTCCCTCTCCATTTTTGCTCATTGGAAAAATTTACCATTAGGAGCATTTCTTCATTTCCCATTTTATCAATTCCCGCAATTCTTCATCTGTTTTAGTTTTAAATGTCCTTACGGACCTTCTCCTTAAGTAGCCATCATAATATCTATGCATTGAAGCTTTAACCAATCAAATAACTGTTAACTTACAACTTCACAAAATGTTTTTTTCGAGTAACATTTACCTTTTCGCTTATTCCCGATTCATCTCAACAGTCTTCGAATATATGCAAATTGCGCACTTTCTCTCTTTCTCGAACTTAAAAACCATACCTCATTTGTTGTATGCATCTTTTTTTCTTGGATAGATCATTTGAAGTGCGCTCCCGGTTCTCACAACCAATTTTTCTTTGTCCCGTCGACAATGCTGAAACTGACGACCACGATATTCTTTTATTTAGATGTGCTCTTTTTCTCAACTGATTTGCATGTTTTCTTGTGCTTCTCAAAGTTTCATAAAATAATAAATGTATTCTGAAAAGTACTTTATCTTTTTTTCAGAGTTTAGCGTTTTCAGGTCTGTTGCATGCTATATTGAACTGAACCCATTTGATATAAGGGTTTCGACGCGGAAGAAAGAGAAATCAGAAGGCAGTTTAATTAAAACCGACGGGTTCACAGCCGTGAAATACTCGCATTCATCCGCCCTTCGCCGCTCAGCACCACTTAGAGGGGCGACGAAATTACTATCGAAAAGGACAAAACGGGGCGTAGTAGACTCAAAAGAATCGAAACACACGTACATACACACAATAACTTTTGCTTCCGCTGCTTGATCCTTTTTGTGTATCTATTCAACAGCACCTTTTGCCCGTCTTTTGTGAAGCCTCACCCCTCATACCGATTCAATTTCTGACATCTGACAAAGAAGTAGAAGTACACTACGACGAAAAAGGTCCTGACATGTGTGTCAGTCAGTCAGTACGGAGACATGCCACGTCTGCGCCCTCCCGCCCCAATCCCTTCTTCTTGCATCCTTCATCAGCCATTTTTTGTTCGGTGCGCCTCCCCGCGTGCTTGTGTGTCTATGTTGCAGCCAGCAGCAGTCAGTGGCAGCTTGCGGAAAGGCCCGGCCCCCGGTCCAGACCCCCTCTTCGTCAACAATACAAACAAATCCTGACAGGCGCGAGGCGACCGTCTCGATCGTCCGCTACAGTATCTCATTATTGGCACCTCTAATTGCCGCCACACGGTATCAAGTTTCGAAAAACGCCCAGACAGCCTATTCCTCCCTAGTCCGCTTTCTTCCAAACACAAAATAGTCGACGACACATTTATCCGGCTGCCGGCCAACCATTTTCTCAGCGCCACCGGATATTCGGTTGCTGCTTTTATTATGTGTACAGTTGAGTGGGGCTGATGGAATTATTTCGTCTGTTCGGACGGTCAGGAAAGTACTTACTTCGGTAGTCGTCCCCATTGTTTATTCAACCTTATGATACCGTTGCTGACCTTCATCCGGATCAACGGTCATTTCCGAATTCGCAAGTCCTGAAAACCTACTCCACATTAATTTTTCACCAACTTTCTTCATCTTCAAATCTCAGCGCCGCTTCATGAAAGCGACCAAAACGTTTTTCATTTTTCATCATCTTCGGACCCTTTCAAAGAGCCCCATTCCATTCTGTTGCTTGTTTTTGGTCACGTCCAGAGAACTTTTATTCCTGAAGCATCTCCCTCCAAAACGACGCATCTACGAAAGCGAAAATCATACTCCTTTTGAAATGACCACCACTTATAAACGTCAAGTGTAACTATGAGTGTGTATGGATGTTTTATAAGAAATAAGCAAGCCTGGTTTCTTATACAGTAATCAAGTGCTATCGATGACTCTTTGCTTCTCCGCCACTTCGTAGTAAATTAATTGCCTTCTGCACACTTCTGTTTCTTTTTCGTTTTTCGCGCTACGTCATTCTTTCTCTTCTTCTTTTTTCGCTTCCTTTTCAAAAAACCAATTTCGCACCTAACAATGAAAACAATAGGGGGAGCCGCAAAACCGAATCTTTTATGCATGGCGCACAAAACCAGCAAATCGGCCGGCTGGAGTTTCAAACCGCCGAGACAGGAACTCAATCTGATTCAGTACACGTGTCAGGTGGAACCACTCGATGTCCAATTGCTGAATCATCTTAGAGAACAGGTAGGGAACTTGTCTCCGTTAAGCCTTCATTCCAATTAGAAAAGTGAGCTTAGTTAACTGAACATTTGCATATTATCTTTGATCATTTGCTCACTTCCTGCTTTCCGCGGGGGCGATTGTCTTTCCTCCGAATAATCAGAAAGACAAAGAAGAACTTGCCGAAACGAACGGCTTAGGCCTATTTCACAAGCACAGTGTTTCACAGGTTCAAAGCAGAAAAAGTGGAACGACTGCTTTTTTTCAGGCTCAGAACACCGAAGACTTGTCTGTTCTCTTCAACATCCTTCCACCAGTCGAACAGTTGATTTCTGAGATACCGTATACTTTGCCGCTTTTAGAAGCAATTTACTTGAAATGCGAACTGGTAAGCGGTTCAACCATAGAACGTTTTTATGAGAACTTGTGTTTCAGAGAACTGTCGAAGATGGATTACTGTTGCCCACGAAAGAACTTTGCTGCGAGCAATTGTTCTGCCAACTGGTTTGGTGGACGGCGTTTTGCGAGCAGAGTAACACTTCGAGTGCCAAGAAACATTGTGTCATGTTCACGGTAAGCGATTCATGATTTGTTCTGTTCTTCTTCTTCTTTTTCCTTCTTCCTTGTGCAAATCGGTGTTTGCGTTCTTTTCTTCCTGGAGTAACTTGAAGAAAACACCCGTCAAAATGGCATTTGCTTCTCTCGCTCTCTCTCTTCTACTTCTTCTTCCTTTCATGGACCGAATTGCTCTCTTGTGTGAGAGCTGAGAGAAGATAATCAAATAACGTTTCTGTGACGGCGCATCCCCACCCAACAAAACTTGACAAAAAGGAAAAAGAATAGGAAGGGCTCGTTTCAGGATTTTCAACCATGCATTGCCTCCCTAATGACCATTATCGGCCGACAATGCCCAGACTTGGTGAAGAGAGCGCATGAGGATCGAAACCAACTGAAAACATGTTTGGAGAGTCTCGGATGCCACGGGCTCGTTAATTGCTCTTCCGGCTTAATTAGGTTCGTCATAGTTTAGAGGTATTGGATGGTGATCAACATTTTCAGAATGACTGATGCGGTTCATCTCGAGCTGTTGAAACATGTTGAGAATCTGAAAGTGATCTGCACACAAATAAAGGAGCTTCAACACGATCCAAAGTCAAGTGCGCCTGACCCATCTTGTGAAAGTCATCAAAGACAGATGAGCATGAGACTATCGCAGGTCTTCGAGCGCTTGAAACTTAACGAAACGTTACAATGTGTTCTTGAAGAGACTTTTCAAAATCAACATGTACGTTGCGTTTGAGATTAAGAAAACATCAGCATAACACTTTTACAGTTGGCATCTCTTTTGAGAATATGCCGAAAACGTGTCGGCTCTGATAAATTGCTCATCGGATTGTTCAATGCATTTGCAAGAGCGGCTCCGGAAGACTTTGCTCTCCAGCAGATGGATCCAATCGTTGCCCAACTCATTGTTGTCTTTAATAATTCATATAATAAGGTAAACAGGAACTAAAAGTCAGATTTGCACGCCATCGAAAAGGTTTCAGCTGCTGCAAATGTGTCCGGACGATGTGAATGCAACTCGTTTGTCGTCGGGATCGTCGACTTCTTCTGTTTCTCAAGGAACACCTTCTCTGAGTAATGAAATCTGACAATATTTGAAAGAAATTGTTATTTTCAGCAGAAAAGTATTCTCTGCGATCTTCAGAGAACTCCATTCAGTTTGACAATCTCAAACAAGAAGTTAGTTTCCAAATAGTTCTAAAAATTAAATGGCATGAAATTTAGATTTCAAAACTTCGGAAGGAGCTCCGTGTCGCCAATTACACTATCACTCAACTGCGTGAAAAGTCAGAAGAAGATCTGGTAATCAAAGAGAGGTTAATTCAAATTTGCTGAATTTTTTCATATATTTGATTTTGTTCAGTTCTCTCCCTCTTCCCGACTACCCAGAAGCCACCGCCTATTATAGTTCTTCCGCGAAAGGCAATCTGAGTCAATTAGTCACTCGATTCGGAGAATTGTTCATTTTTGCAAGCAACGTGAGGAACAAAACTTGATTCCTTGCCTCGACACACATTTACTTTAGGAACTGAGAGACTCATTGGATACTCTGCCGGAAATGGAAGGGGAAGACGACATGCAAGCTATTTTCGGCCACGAAACTCTGATAGCCACTTACAATGCAGTCAAAGAATACATTGAGGATAGAAAGTTGGCTGTTCTTAAAGCTTTGGGATCTGGTTAGTAGTGACAGTCAAGAATCGTGTTTGTATACGGTTTTTGTTTCAGTGAATAACAATGCGAAACAGTCTAGAGAGCTCACAACTTTTGAGGATGCTCTTGATTCTCAACTTTATAAAGAGTTCACAACTACTAAAACAGGGGGACACATCAGTGAGGTGAGATAATATCTAAAGTTCCTAAAGTATACTATAAATTTCCAGGAACTGTGCCAGACAGTGTTCAAAAAGCTCAAAGACTATCCTGGAATCGACGAGTGTCTAAATGTTCACCAGTTCATCCAGAAGTGCATACAAATCTCGTGGGACATTCAGTGCTGTCCTGATCAAAAGTGAGTCATCCCTGTCTTTTCCAGCCAGACTTGAAAGCCTTCCGTTTACAAAGCCTCCGCGGTTCGTCATTGCGCGGAATTATTCAAACGGGGCGTTCAAAAATGTATCAACAAGTAGGCGCGAAGGATAAAATCGCAGCTGGCAAAAACGAATTATTGATGAACGCCAAAAATACATGCATTTCCGCAAAAACATATTTAGTCATAGGAGGCGGATTTAGGAGGCGGATTTAAAAATATCGAAAATTCACCTTTCGGTTACATCATCGCAATTTTTCCAGCTTTTCGGTGATAAATGGACGAGCATCAAAAGTTCGTGTCTCTTGACACCTGAATATCACATGAGAATGTAATCAAATAATCATACACCCACTTTCATGTTTCAAGTGACTAATCACTTTCTCATGTTCTCTGTAAACCAACCGATCATGATCTTCTAGATTTTCCGGAAATTGCGTAAAAATGTTTGTTATGAGAAGGACGTGCGTTCAGGAAAAAAGTTCAAGCGGAAAAAAAAGAATCAAGACCGGAAAAAACATCACGTTGTTTGGACATTCTTGGCGAACACATGAGATACTCCTTCTTCAGATTGAAATTGGAATACGATGGAATAGATTTTGACCCATCGCGCCATTCCCGTGGAGCCTACTCCGGAACAACGAGCCACGTCGTCAACTTCATCTGGCCCGCCCTAATTGAGACTTTAGACAATCGAGTCCTCCTGAAGGCAATTGTTTTGACGTGAAGCGAATCGCCGCGGATCGGAATAATTTATCAGTATCTGTCTGAACAACAAAAACGTTTTCTATCAAAAGTATTCCTTGCTGCAGAATGTATTTGTCTGATCCCTTTGCTCCACACTTTTTGCATCACTTACTTTTTATTTAACAAAAAATTTAAGAAAAGACTAGTATTTTGAGTCGGTTAACTCTTGTTTTTGTAAATAAACAACTCAAACTGGATGGATTTGAATCTCGACACACATCATCACAGCTCATCATAAAAGTTCTAACATCTTCAAATAACCCTACTGGCGGGGGCGTCTCAATTTTAGTACTATCCTTGAGTTTTCGCAATTCGTCAAGTGGAGGAAGGGGCGGATCTCAAGAATTTATGATCATCTTCATGTGTTCTTCATAAAAAGATAAAATAAAAGCAGCAGTTTGAGTATGATTTTTGACGTTTTCGATTTCTGCTTGACACTTGCCTATTCTTTTTTTTTGAAGTAGACTCTTCATCCTCAAAACAATTCGGTTTTTATTGAGCATCCGAGCATTCATAGTCATTTCACAAAAATACGAATTTTCCCCATGTTTTCATTCATCCCTTTTCAACAATTTCCCGCATCTACAAAATGAAAAACGTCATATTTAACAATTACAACATTTTCTCAGAAAATGGATAGATAGACGAGTGAGTAATCAAGTCTAGCGTGAATAAAGTATCGTCGTCAACTCGCCGATTCTGTGCGGAAGCGGAAAGAGCAGAATCTCCCGTTTTAAAGGAAAACGTTCAGTTCTAAATATTTATAGGATTTGAGGACACACACGAAAAAGCCAGAGAAAACTATGTACTATATGATTGATTTCTCCCAACCAACGCTAAGGATTGTCCAGTTTACTATATTTACATTAACTTCCAGCATATTCGATTTGCAAGATAGTTGATTGCGTTAACATTTCTATTATGTTTTCATCCGTTTTGTTCTCAACCTTCCGATCCCTCGCATTCTCTTGGATTATTCATAATGACGAGTTCGTGACTCTTTGATGACTTTGTCTGCGAACTTTTCTCCTTCTTTCTAATCAAGCATGTCTGTCCATAAAAGCTACTCGTATTACTCACGTAGTAACTTTTCATTTGTTTCCCATAGATCGGAGAATGACGTCTTAGATTGCAAAGTTTTGAGGAGGTGAAGAAATGCTTCGAGCTGTTTGGTCGACGGTACTTTCACAAGTGCACTCTGCACAAATGTTTTTCGAGAGCTCGATTTGCTGCCCCAACAGCATTTCATCAGACATTCAACTTACTTTTCGTCATAAGTTCCTCCCACCCTCAGATTTTCGGATTTTTCTTAAAACCACAGATTCAGGAACTTTGAATTTCAATTTAGAACTAACCCGGAGGCTACCAAAAGTGTATGTACATCCACACCAGCTGAACATCGTCCTGAACTTAGAACTTCGAGGTCCCCACTTCCTCAATTTTGAAGTGCACCCGTCATTTTTCTTATTTTCGGAGACACGTTTTACGTTCTGAGTAGCCAAGGAAATCGGGTCTAGTTGACAATAAATCAAATTCGGTAGCAAGGAAGTTGGTGCAAAACTACTAGGCGTCACAGTTTGACGAGTGTATTTTGACATTAGTCATATTCCAAGAAGCGGCTGTGTAGACTCAGATCTTAGTCAACGAACAACCGACGTATGTACATGCACCCGGTCAAAGAGTAACAAATTCTGACGTTCACTTAATGATATACTAATTTGGCTTCATGAGCTCCAAATGTTTCTTTCCATCCGCTACTTTTCTTCTTTTTTTCGGACATTCAATGAGAAGAGCATTGCTCAGTTCCTAGATCATTTCAAACAGGATCTTCCGCATTACATTTTTCTTTCTCTGAAACTTTACACCAGCGACGTCTGACAAAACTTCTATATAATCTGAGAATCCGTGATCAAAGTGTCAACTTGATACAATAATCGCTTGTGGAAAGTGACAATTACGACACGGAAGTCGCTGAAATCTTCCCTTCCCCCGAGCTTTTGAACTTCCTTGGAAAAAAGTGCTTCCACTTTTTCAGTTAAAATAAGCACGTCTCAAGTCAAAGTCAATTTCCGATTTGACGTATTTTTAGATTCTATCAGAAATGATGTTATTAGCAGTTTGAATGGAAAAAAAACGTAATCAGTAGATTTTGAACAATACGGCTTAGGACACAAAGATTTCTGAAAAAAAATCAGACAGAATTAGTCTGTTTGTTTTTGCCAGTACATGAAATTTGGAAAAGTTGAACCGACCTCAGTCAATACTCGCTCAAATCCATTCCAATTTTTGGTGTTCTCATCCCGCCATCAAGCCCGGCATTCTTCGAAATAAATGCGTGTGGTGGGTGATGAAAATGAGAGAATGGAATTCGGGCAAAAGGCCACTATCAATCATGGCGTCCGTCTTTCTGAGAAATGACGGGCAAAAAGTGAATGAATGAAGAGGATCACTTTTAGTCTAAACACCAAACTTTCCTGAAGCACGCTAGAGAGTCAATACACAGTGCAGAATTTATCTTTCTTTGCATCTATGGAATCGTTTTTGTGAATTGACCAGCTCACCCTTTGGCCATGATCAAGGAAAGGGAAGGTTTCAAACATCTCGATCCTTGATTTGACCAACTCGTTTGCAGAGTGCTCTTGTGCCCTAAAAATACTCTGACAATCATCGGATGGGCCATGTGAATAGTCAAGTGCCGTCGTTTTCCTCCTCTCTCATCCAATTATTCGATCACAATTGGCCGTGAACTCCGATTTTTTCAATCTGGCTAATGCTCTTTCCACTCGTGCCAGCAAGTGGCTGGGACTGTTTCCATTAGGCTAGATTTCATTCTCTCCATTTTTTCTCGGCTTCTCCTCAGTTTCTGTTTCAAAGCGGGGCGGAGTCAAATGTGAGCCGAGGAAGGTTAGAAAGCATGCAAGGAGGCGGAGCATGAGCACCGCGCAGCTCAAACGGAATATGGAAGGCGAGGCTATATGAGTATGGAAAGGCTCTTTCGTTCCGGTTCTGATTTTATTTTACTTTCATACCTTTGGTCCCATGGGTTCATGATCTGGAATCGCATCACTCACTTGGTCCCTGTCAATTTTTTGTCAATCTAACCCAATCCAATTTGCAGTTCAGTTCAGAGTTGTAAATCGAATTTCCCTCTGCCAACACCCGACAAGGGTTCTCTTTCTTGCTTTTTCAACTCTCAGATGATACCCATTCAAAAATCATTGAATTTATCTCAACTTTAACCCCACGCCAAACTTGTTGATGTCATCGGTAGTATTCTCATTTCAGAAATGCTTGGATCCCGTTTCCTTCTTCTTGCGCTTGGCCTCCTCGTGATGGTGTTGGCGGGAGAATCTGCCGAGAGAGTGAGAGAGCAACAGGTTCAGGAACAATCGACTGAGTGAGTGATACCGGAAAATCAGAATCAGAAAAAATAAATATTTTGATTTTTCAGACTGGACAAGTCAGAAGAACAACTATCTGCTGACGACTTGTAAATGATTCGAGCGTGAACTCTAAGCATTTTAGTATTCAGAATCGAGGAAGAAAAGCGTAACCCAATGCAACGCTCTTCAATGGTCCGTTTCGGTCGCTCTCCGATGCAACGCTCCTCGATGGTCCGATTCGGAAAACGATCTCCGATGGAGCGTTCGGCTATGGTTCGCTTCGGAAAACGCTCCCCACTGCAGCGCTCGTCGATGGTCCGATTTGGCAAGAGATCCCCCATGGAGCGCTCTGCTATGGTCCGGTTCGGAAGATCGTCGATGGACAGATCCTCAATGGTCCGCTTCGGAAGATCCTCAATCGACCGTGCTTCTATGGTTAGGTATGTTGAGCACATTCACACATAGTTAAGAACACATTTCATTTGTGATTTTCAGACTGGGCAAGCGGTCCCCAATGCAACGCTCGTCGATGGTCCGATTCGGCAAGCGCTCTTCCTTCTCCGCCGAGCAACAAAACGAATAATTTCATCCGTTTCTTTTTCTGTAAACCCCCCACCACCACCACCACCATTTGCTTACCAAGAACAAAACGGTCTCATTCTAGAATAACCGCCATCTTTTCCTATCTCGTAACTCAATTTCTTACGTGCCACTTGACGAATAGTTCAGATTGGTCGCCCCTTCTTCTCATTCCCCCTTTATTTGGAATTTGCAAAATAAAGATCCGAAGCCTGTTACTCATTGCAGAACCGAAAACAGCCATAAAACGATCAAATTTTGAATTTGCCTGACATCACTGAAGCCATTGATCAAAATATCGCTACCAATTTGTCTTAGTTGACAACATTCTTTTCTCCTGGCGCTTGGGCTCGGACGGAATGTTTCCGTGTCATAAAGCATAGGGCCGTTGAGCTAACATATTCCATAAAATGAAAGCCAAGGACATTCGGAGTCCGCTTCCTAATGAGTAAGGAATGATGATCCACGTCAGGATAAGGAAGTCATTTGTCTTACCCAGAAGTGAAAGTGCAGTCCCTCAACAGACAATGACTCAAACTTTTTTTAAAGTTAGGTGACATTGATAAGCAATTTGAAAATGTCTAGGCAAAATCATTCTTCTGTGAATAACGAAATTGAGCTTTCAAATAAAATATACGTAATCTCTCTTTAAATACTTCAGTCGTATCAACAGGCGAAACAAAGTAGGATCATATCTATGAACATGCGGAACAAAAAAACGGAGTCTCATATTCCCAGCATGTGCAATAATTTTTATTAGCTCGTAAAGCACTGGTCTGCAGCTTCCGCAAACATTTTTACAGCCAATGTTTATTAGATTGCGTGCGCCCAGAGCCAAAAAATCAGTGCGCTTTTCAAGCTTTCTAATCAAGTCGCCCACCAACAAATCTTGATTGAAACATTTTCATTTCCAATTATTCTGTGTCTCAGAATCTGTGGGAAAAAGTGCGTAAGTTGAGCATGTGGTTGCTAGTAAAGTGTGAAGGGACCGGGGGGGAAACCATGCTGAAACAATTTGCAATCCATCCGTCCATCCGAATCATCACACACATCAGTAGGAGAAAAAAGAAGACGACGGAAATGAGGAAAGCGATAAAAATTGCATGCATTGGGTGCAAATTGGCGGCGACGAAAAAGTTCAAGAAAACGTCGAGGCGGATCAAATTACGGAAAAAGCGAAACATAAAACACATCGGAAAGGGAAAACAGCGAAACTTCATCATTGCTGCCACGTCACAACTTGACAAAATAAGCTTTTGAAAGACGACGTTTTTGTGCAGAGCTGATCATACGTTCCAAAAACGGGAAGCGAAAGATGATCCCGATGTCATTACAGATTATGCGAAAACTACTTATTCTAACAAACTTCCCAATATATGGAATCAAACGTTTCTCTATCTCGACAGTCAGAAATGGATGCATGAAAAAATAAAAAAAATGATGTGAATCATAAGGCAAAGACCATCATCATGTCACGAGCCGATGCCTTCTTTGTCAGTGTGCAATCAATCATACGGGTGGTCGAAATCAAAATAGATTCGCAAACAGTTTGCCGGAATGTGAGTTTCTCCAAAAAAACATAGACGTATTGGCCGAACGGCGCCTTTGGTTGAAAACGTTTGTACTTGCACTTAATCCTGAAAAACACAATGTTTGCCAACAAGTTTGGTCCCATTGTTCAACCCAATTGGTCGTTTTTTGCACCACACGCACTTTCTCAGTCCACTACGTTTCTTCTTCTTCTTCTTCTCCTTCTTCTTCCGAAACGGTTCTGTTTGCGTCCTCCTTCGTGTATAGCGTATTTTGTGGAGCTTTTGGTTTTAAACTGAGTGCGACGAGGGATGCGGAACTCCACCCCTGATACGTTGGGTCACCGTCGCCACGAAATAGTACGGCTCCGCGCGGAGAGCGTTCCCAAAAAGATGCGCGTCGCGTGCAGAGGCGCAGAATCGGATGGCGGCGCAGACGAACGATAAGCCGCCGGCCACACACGGTATACAGTGTGCGCGCAGCTCCTCCCCATTCCAAAGTAGCCGCGACTCCCGACCGCCTCTCACCGGACAACCATTATAGTCAGTGGCTCGAAATCTGATTCCAGAGGTCGCTCGCCTTCACATGTCACCAATTCTTGCGTTATTAGTGGTTTGCGTACCGTCGGTACTCGCACAAACTTTCAATCAGACTCACCTCGGGTTTCCTGAAGCGTGGGATGGAGATAAGTATAGAGAGTTATACTGCCCCAGCAAAAACATTCCCAAATGGCTTGGTAAGTTATTTTTTCACTGTGTTTCGCCTTAGTTTTCATTTTTTTATCTTAAGACGGTTACTTCCTCTGTCAATTGTCTGCTTCCTACGGTAACTCGTCCGCTCCAGAGGGTGAGAAGCTCAATCACATGATTGACGCCATCGGTGCTGTTGGATCTTTCCATGTCAGCAACGGACAGGTACTACTTTCCTTCTGTTCTTCTCTTTTTCCTAGTTTTTCTCATTCTGTAGGTTGTCTTCTCTGCCCAGTACTACCCAGCTCGTCCGTATAAGATCTGGGAGTTTTATGACCGTAACATGAGCAAGGCCAGCGTCCCATGGGCTGGATGGTCCGACTACAATCTGACGGCCATGTCGAGATGGGAACAAGTGCCCGCAAATCCGGACTCTGCTCGTTTCCACCCAAACCTTGACTTCTGGAAGGTCGGAAACAGAATCATCGCTGGAACTGAGGCACCATACTGGGTTGGATACGAGTTTGACGTGAGTTGACTAAAAATGATTGATAGTCACAATGATGTTTAGGTTCGCACCTTGCAAAAATTCAAGTTGTTCCCATTCAAAGAGGAAAATGACATTTTCTCGACGCCAAGACACACAATGATCCCCATCTCCATGGCAATTCACGAACGTAACGATGCCGACGGCACCATCTGGGGATCCTTCTCTGCCATGAACTTCGAGGAGCAGCGGTTCTTCCAAGTATGTTCAGTTTTTTGTATCGAACTGTGTGTGTTGGTGTTGATTGTTGACCTGTTAAATCGGTTGGGCCTCACAAATTGAGCCCGATGAGTACCCACGTTGTGACATTGTCGGTAGCCAGGAATCTTGCACAAACGGTAGGCGTGCTCACGGCGCGCAAATCCATTGACGGGTCAACATTCCCAAACACACACAAATGGAATAAGTTGAAGTGTAAACAAATCGAGACCGACGAAGACGTGAATCAAATTCTATATCTATTTCGGTGTCAAATTGCTTTCCCTAGCTGTTTAGACCAACATTAGAGAGAGAAAGAATGAGCACGCTAACAAAAAACAGCTCTGAAGTGTTTCATTTTTACCCAAAACGGTTTTTGCGAAAGCGCGAAAAGTGTGTCCATCGGACAGCCGCCGCTTCAGGTTACAATTTGTTAACCTCTTGGTAAACAAATGTAGCGGGGCCAAAGTGGACACTGGTTGGAGAGCCGGTAACGTGTCAATAAACACTCAGGGCCGGCGAGGTGTGAACTCGTCCAAAAAAAGCTTCTTGTTCTTTACAGGGAATCTTCACCGTCGACACAAATGGAGTCCGCCGAGTGGTTGGATTGTATGACTATGGAGTGTGGGACACGAACGCTTGCGGAAGCAATGACGAGTACATCGGTAATAGGAGAAAAAACAAAGAGTCGAAGAAAAAGTTAACTTTAGGCGACAAGACACTTCTTCCGGGATACATCCACTCGATCACCTCCACCGAGAACTTCATCATCCTTCCAATTACTTCTCTGCTTATCAATCCATGCAAGTTCAAAGAACCACCATTGAACAATGTTCGATCTGCCATTCAAAAGGGAGGACTGTGGGGAATGGACTTCTACGACATGGTCCCAATGAGGTTCTTCCTTTGAATCTTGAACAGATTGTATTTTCTTATTTTTAGATTCCTGATTTTCAACAAGAAGACCCTCGAGTTCACGACACCAAAGCCATTGGAAGTGTTCCCATCCATGTTTGTCACTCATCAGTTGAATGCCTTTGAAGCGGATGACGGAAACTTGGTCGCTGATATGGTTGTCTATGACTCTCATGACCCATACGTCAAGTACTTCTACACTGACTTCCTCACCAAGCAACTCTACCCCAGCACCGCTCGAGTTCTCCGTTTCACCCTTGACAGCAAAAAGCAACGTGTCATGTACAACTACCTCGTCCCACAAGAAACCATTGCCGCCGATTTCCCGCAATTCAACCACGGATACGAGCAGAAGGCCTACCAATGGGGATACTTGGTCCAACATCCGTTCGCTTCTGGAAACAGCATCATTAAGATCAATGTTGACGAGCCAGCTGGACACCGAAACTTGGAATTCCGTGCCGAGTCGAGTTTGGTGCTTCATGAGCCATGGTTCGTGCAAAAGCCGGATACCAAGAAGGAAGATGAGGGCGTTCTTTTGGTTCGTGGTCTGGATACAGCTGAAAACAAAGGTAATCGGAATGAACGGAGCAATCGCAAACATTCCAATTTCAATGTTTACAGGAGTTCTCATTGTGATCGACGCTGAGAAGATGACCGAGTTGGGAAGAGCCTACGTTCCAATTTCCATTCCGTTCGGGTTCCACAACAGGTACCAAATAGAGATAGAACACTGACGAATCACTGTCACATTTCAGATTCTTCTCAAAGAAAGATCTCGGGCTTCCAGAAGGATTCCAGGTCGGTCAAAGCCAGTACAGACCAATTGAAAAGAAGGTTTCCCACTTCTATCTAACCTATTTCCTATCCCTAATATTCTCGTTTACAGCAAGGTTTTGCCACCCTTCCTTTGAGAAAGGTGTCTACCGTTCCACCGACTTCTTCCACCGCCTCTTCCACAAGTACTACCACTACCACCACTCCACGACCGACCACGACCATAACTATTCCAACAACTACCACCTCAACAACTACCACAACCACAACACCAAAGCCCACGACCACCACGTCGACTACGACATCGACAACTACCACCACCACCACCACAACTACTCCGGAACCAACTACTACGACCGTCAAGTCTGTCGCATCCGAGAAACCAGTCACTCTGACCACACAAACCTGGACTGCTCCTCCAACTACAACTACCAAAAGAACAACTCGTAAGTAGACAGTGCATTGTTCTCTTTCTTTTCATCTGGTTCACTTTCAGCGGCAACAGTTGCTACTACAACTCCAAAGATTCCACGTTGGTGGCCATTGGCGGGTTCTGGCAGCACTGAGCAGCCATGGTGGCAGAAGGTTCAGACCGGGCAGAACACCCTCCCTCCGCTATTCCCAGTTGCAAAGAGAGTCGAAGAAAAGCAAGAGAAAGTAACGGTAAGAATCAAATTCTGAGATTTTATATTCACTTGCAATATTTTACTTTTACTTTTAGGTGAAACCGAACGAGAACGAGAACAAGATTCCGGAGCAGAAACCGCTCACTGGAACCGGGTCTATGGATGAGATCTACGAACAGACGCTCGGAGCCCTTTGCTCTTGGCTCCCAAAAGTTTTCACTTCGATCTCGAACGAATTGTGCTGGAAACAGGGAAAGACCGCGGCTAAGTAAGACAGCAAACATATCCCCTTGCATATTCACACATTGTTCGCACAACGTTTGCACAAAAATCCGAGCAAAATCCGCTATATATTCAGTTCTAAAAGTCAAAGCTTCCCATGTCCGTTCAATACGCGCTTCAAATCCGTTTTCGTCCGCCAACATCGCTTCCAAATCCTTGACTTTTTATGTCCTAAATGTGAATTCCTCTAACTGCACACAGGTGAAAAATGTGACAAGAAGCCGGAACACGTTAGAAAAGCGGTTTTTTGTCACATAGTTCGCCTGTCCCTTCCCCCACGATAAAAGAACACGAAGCCCCTCTCCTTTTAGACAACATTACAGATGGATGGCCCCATTAGCGCAAACGTACGCCGAACGATTCCGAATGGGCCGTGCGAACCGAAAGGTTTCCCCTAACGACACGCCGAATGTGCAACCAACTCTCAAGCAGATGGCCTTCGATGAGCAACAAGCCGAGCCCATCCGATTCGGTTAATTAATTTTGCCCTCCGTTTTCTTCTCTTTGGCGGATGTTGAAGCCCATCTCTGTCTTTTATTCTAAGTAGGGCGTATCGTCCGATACGAGCAGGTATTATGCTCTTTTTTCTTTGTCTTCTTCTTCATGTTTGAGCGAATGCATTCGAGATTATCTCATTCTCCAATTATTGTGATTTTAACGTTTTCTATTTCTTTCTGTCTCATTTTTCACTGTTACTGGTCAAGATTTGCTTTCGCGCAATAAATGTTGCTCAATTCTATTACGTTTGAATAGTTTGATTAAACGAACACAACGTCCTAAAATGATTTATACAAACCCCGTAGTGAACTGTTATCTGACAAATTCATATTCATCATTGCTTCGTCGACATTTTCCATCGGAAAGCCACATGCCATCATCATCAGCGCGCTCTAGTCGGATATCCTCAGGAGTTATCGTGGCGTCTGGATTAGAGGCAGCGCATCGGATTAGTGACCCTTCATAGACATGACATTCTTGCACTCTCTCTCTCTCTCTCTCTCTCTTGTTTGCTCACCATTTTTTCTGCTTCTCGGAAAGGGAAACGTGCGTGACTTCTTTGCTACCATAATGTGAGGGGTGAAAAAATCTTCCAACCCGACTAATTGTTTTGTTTATCGATGTTTTATTGCTCTTGTGGGACGATGTATGTATTCCATTCTGGAGTTCGATTCAAGATTATAACACCATCAACAGAGTTTCCATTTTTCTTGCTCTTGCCTCTTCGATTTCCTATGCATTTCCAACTATTCTCATTCATTATGCAATATCATCTAATGCGTCTCTCTTGTGCCAGACGCGCCGCTATTTGGACGAGAGTAGATACCACCGTCTAACCAGAGGATACCCTCTTCTTCTTCCCTTCCTCCCGTCCTCCATTCCAATTTAATGCCGTTTTGGCGTACGAATGAGCTCTTAGCTATCGATCGAAAGCCCTCGCCGCCCGTTAGCTCCTCTCATTCTCTTTTTCCTTTCCTCATTACCCTTCATTTGCGTATTGTGTGACTCTTTGCTTCGCAAAATTGTTGTTTCCGTGACATGGGCTGAGCCCGCTGACACCGGGCGCGCGCGTTTCGGTGTGCAGAAGAGCGCGTCCTCCTCACACTTACTCTTGCTTCCCTTCTCTGGCTCGCTGACACTATTTTCTCTGACCTCTCTTTTTTTTTCTTCAATTGCATTACCAAAAAGGAGAAGAAAGAGAGAAAAAGGAAGAGGGGGAGGCGATTCGCACTCGTTCTCATAAATAAAAGTTGCTCTTTGAAGTGCTCGCTCTCCAAAATGATGGATATCTCAGTGTCTTGATGAAGGCGTCTTTTCTTCTTCCCTCTATCTCTATTTCATAGTCAGCGCTTTGTTTGTCACTCGCCATACTTTTAATCAAAGCGCAGGTGAAAAATACACTCTTTTCCTGGCTCCTCCCACTTTCCTCGCGCTTTCCATAAGGCCTCCACACATTTCTTCTTTTTTTTCATATGCTCTTCAATGTCAATAATTTCAATTGTCTCATTTCCACCATAACCTTATGAATAATTGCTCTTTCTCTCTCTCTCTCTCTCATGCCGTGACCACTTTCAACTATTCCTTGTCTCATTTTTTAGGAGCCAATATACGACTTCTCGCTTAGGTATTCTGAATGAGCGCGTTCTCAGAGCTTTTCAAGAAAGCTCACGACGCTCTAAATGGAATACGAGGTGAGTGAGAGGGTCAAAATTTGATTGGTCTCACCGCATTCCAGGCGTGAACTCGTTTTTTTTGGGGCGCGATGGAGACGTTGTTTACTCCAAAAATAACGTCTGTGTTCATGAAACCGACGCAAAAGCGGTGAGAATGTTTGAAAGGTTCTGTGTGAACTCTTGTGCACTCAGGGAGAAGACGAAGCCCACACTCCGGGCTATCTGACCGTCCACTGCCAATGCGACGAGACGATGGGCCTGACGCTCATTCTCCAGTGGCTTCCAAACTTGACTCTCCAGAAGAATCCAGCTAGGTTTAACCAAGTTTCATTCATTTTCCATGCTCTTGTGTTACAGCATTCGTAGTGTGTCGCCCCGCGGAAAACAAAACCGCGATGGCAATGAGGTATTATTGTGTAAAACTGGAAAACACAAGAGTTCATGCATATTTCAGAAGGAACAATCAAATCCACGAAAGCCGGCGGAAGAAGTTAAAGTTTCCGTGGCCCCATCCGCGTCCGATGAAGAAAGCGTAGGCGCCAAACTCATTTCTAAATTCTGATTTTGCACTTTAATATTTTCAGAGTGTTTCTCTTGATATTCAGGTGGAGGAATGTGGCACTGCGACCACAGTGAAACAGGTGAAACGCCCGACGACTTTGGTACCATATTCAGAAGTAAGAAAAAAGAATCAATCAAATAATGTTATGAGCTATTCAGCACACTAATAAGGACCACAGCTTCAACGACGCGTTGGGAGTTCCATCCATCAATGTTATTCCACACACTCCGATTAAGCATGAAAAGGATGGATTGCATGCTGCGGATAAAGCGGACCCGGATAGACAATCTCAATCTTCTTTATCAACGTCGTGTGCTGACGAAATGTCCGACAAGGAGCTGAGCTCTTCGGAAGATGAGGACGATGAAAGTGGTGATTATTGTCCAATAAAACAGCTTTTCAAGTTAGGAACAATTTCAGAGAAAGAGCCCGGAGCAGGTCTCGAGAAGATTCTGGAATCTACTCAAATGTTCGATAAGACCCCAGAACAATTCGCATTGGAGCACGACTTGATGCTCACTGATAGCAAGCCAGATGAGAGCGAAGAGCGTGGGCGTAAGAAGACCACCGCTACAACTAGTCTTTTCTCGGTCAACCTCGGTAATCGAGCACTAATTGCTTTCGGCAAAATGATTTATTTTAGGAAAAATGCGGAGCATGCGCGTATTCTACTCAAATCCAGAGTGCACTTCCGGCCAATTAGTCATCGCGACTCTTGACTCGCATTACAAGGTTTACAACTTCCTTCCCGTACTCGTTTATATTTATCCGCTCTGTTTAGATTCTTCACTTCCATCACGGTGGACTTGACAAATTAGCCTACATCTTTGAACAATGGTCAGCTATTAAAGCGCGAAGTGTGCAAGAAGTAGTCGAGCGCTTTTTTACAGAACAATCAAATGTTTTTTAGGGTTCCCCGTCGGCAATTGCTGATAAACAATTGATTATATGTCAGCCAGCGGTGACTACATTAGAAATGGACCCTGAGGAGGGGTTGTACGAGAAAATAAATTTGAATACATGGAGAAGCTACGAAAATAAGCTAGGCGTTATTGTGGACAGTGGAACCGTCCGGAAGGTTCGCAAAATTCTACTGACATCCTTTTCTAATTGAATAATAACTTCTTTAGCACATATTCTTTGCCTCTGTGGATGTCGAGATGCGCGAGAAAATATGGCCTTTCCTGCTGAGAGTCTACCCGTGGGAGTCATCTGCGGACCAAAGAGAAAACATCAAGAACGATCTGTTCTTGGAGTATCAAAACATCCGCAAGAAACGTTATCGTGTCACCGAAAGTGCTCCGGCTAAATGGATTTCTATCGAGAACTCTATTATGAAAGATGTGGTCCGTACGGATAGAAAGAACCCGTTTTTCTCTGGAGACCACAATCCTAACATCGACATCATGAAGTGAGACATATGTACCAGGTGAAAAATAATCAAAAATCTGGTAACCTTTCAGAAATGTACTTCTCAATTATGCAGTCATGTATCCGGAAATCAATTACATCCAGGGAATGTCCGACTTGCTGGCTCCGCTGTTGAGCACTTTGAAGTATGACACATCTTTCTTATATATATATATATATATATATATTAAACACAAGAGGTCTGTCTTCTTGTATGTACGCTGGGTGCAGCAGAGAAAAAGACGGACCGGCAGGCTTGTGGGCTAATAAAATTGAAATGAACATTTTTTCAGGGATGAAGTGGATTCCTATTTCTGTTTCAAAAACTTCATGCAACAAACCGTTTTCTCATCAACCCCACAGGGAAATGAGAATCTGATGGAGACAAACTTGTCGTACTTGCGAAACATGTTGAAGATATTCGTTCCGGACTTCTATTATCATCTGGACAAACAAAAGGCGGATGTCATGCAGCTCATGTTTGTTCATCGCTGGATTCTTCTATATTTCAAAAGAGAATTCCCTGAGAATCATGCATTACATATTTGGGAGGTTAGCCCTGATTCTTGTCTTGGGTCTAGACCATTTCGCTTTTTTTCAGAGTTGCTGGGCTCACTATCGAACCAACTACTTCCATTTGTTCGTCTGCGTGGCCATCGTCTCAGTTTACGGAAAAGACGTCATCACTCAGGATTTGCCTCATGATGAGATTCTCCTTTTCTTCGCTTCATTGGCAAATCACATGGATGCTAAGATTGTGCTCCAAAAAGTGCGTATAATTATGTGTCTATTTTCAGTCGTTTTCTGTGGGCGTCTTCTGTGAAGGGGAGAAGCATTGTAATTAAAATTTAAAACATTTTTTTCTTTCCAGGCTCGGGGACTTCTTTTCGAATTCACAAGAATGGAAAAGATCCCTTGCGTACTAGAGGGACTGTGTTCTGCCGAACCCGAACAATGGAAATCGCACAAGTCCTTCCGCAACTTCTACTGTAATCAAGTGAGACAACTTTGAGGGAAAACAAGGCAATAAAAGTGTTTTTTGTTTCAGAAACATGGCGATAAAGAATCATGTCCTTACCAGTGAAACACACGTATCACCCACCGACCACTCCATTCCGGCCACGTTCCACATTCAGATCCTCTGTGACATTCCCCGCTTCATTCCTTCTTCTGTCAGTTATTCTCTCCATATATATATAATCACATGAACGATTCCATTGACCTTCGACATTTACATCAATTTTACCCGAAAACAAACCTTGCCCGTCCGTGACGTTTGAGGAATGAGAAAATTGTAATTCGAGATTTATGACTCGAATCACTTGATGGACTCCCTGAAGCTAATCAAAATGTGCAAATTCAGGCCAAACCCAAACCCACTCAATCACTCGTTTTTTTTCTGCTTTTTCCGTTTGGGCTCGGTTATATCACCCAAATGACGAAAAACATCCTAACTTACTTCCAAGTGAAATAAGGAAGTGATTTTTTGAAAAAAAAGTAAAGTAGGCAAGCAACTTGTCAAATGTGAATACATTTGACATTTCGGAAATGAGTAGGGCGGCAAGAAACATGGCGTCATTCTATAGTGAGCATTCAGTACGTGACAGTTATGTCCCATTTGCAAAATTTTCCATTTTATATTCTGCAAGTCGATTATATTCTTGCAGGAGTCTTCATAACTATTGCATGAATTCAACATTAGCTAATGAAGAAATGTGCATTCATTCTTCTCTCGAGACATTTTCAAGATCATTCTGAATAAGTCCAAGTTGTTCTCTGCCTTTTAATGTTTTTCTATACCTGACTGACTATGAGCATTTCTGATTTATAACGGAATCCGTATGACGTATAAAATTGAATAATTTGGAATTCCGACCAGAAAACTACAATTCTTGTGTTTCCACTCTAGTGTGATCTTATTTTCTAGTTGAAAATCATGGTTGGCTCAAACACAAACATGTGGGGACCAGAAAGTCACGTAATTGTTTTCTCAAAACCTCACATTTTGCACAACAGTCAAGAAGTACCTGACACTGTTTCCACATCATTTCTAGTGTTTCCTTCTCAGAATTCGCCTGAAGGACCAGTTCTTTTACCGCCCATCCACAACCTTAATAACTCAAGAGGGGTTGTGGCGCGTATCCCACTCTGGTAGGCGTAATTGGATTGCGTCGGACGCCAGAGAGGGCTCGAATCTTCTTTGATAATCAAGATTCCTATAGACATTATTATTAAATTTTTGTCGAATACAAAGGACACATGTGGTGAGATGATGGTGAAAGAATTCGTCAGTGTCTCATATAAAACCAGAGAAATTCCACAGAAAGCCTCATTCGTCGGCATCGCATCATTCTTTTCAGTTCGTCTTCCGTCTTGTTTCTCCCACTTTCTTGACACGTCTTTCCGGGCGGATTCATCCGGATTCGTCAGAAAGAGAGAATCCGGCCGACGTCGAAAAACAGATTCCTTCCCGTTTCTCCAATTTTGCGCATCTAGATGTCCGCAATTAAGCTCGGGATTGTTCGTCACTGATTCCGAAACCCCGGCCTTTTCATCCATTGAATGCTCCGCCCCGTCTAACCACATCATGTTTTCAATCTCAGAATGTCATTCTTACATGCAACAACTCGGACCGCCGACGTTGCCTTTTTCTTCACTCCCTTTGTTATATTCCATGATACCAGTGTTTGTTTTTCAGGTAAAATCACATCAAAAATGATGAAGTGGCTGCTTTTGGCTGTTTTCTGCATTGCTGCCTACGCATGGGCCGATGGGGTAACCTGAAAATTCCGAATCAATCATACAGTTTTGCTAATTTCAGTCTGAAGACGCGAATATCGACCAACTGATGTCGCGAGTCTACCGAACCGTGCTGCTCAAGTCCAAGAGAAGCCGTAATACCTGTTTCCCAAGTAATGGAATTTATAATTCTAAATTTTCAGCATCCATGGGACTCTCTCTGGCCGAGTACATGGCTTCCCCACAGGGCGGAGACAACTTCCACTTCATGCCGTCCGGCCGGAAGTAAACCGAGAACACACTGATGACTTTCTTTTGTAATACCATGAATCCCCCCTCATTGTGGCCCTGACTGTAACTAATGAAATGCACACACACAATCTCTCTCTCTCTCTCTCTGTTTCTCTCTCTCTCTCGCTCTTTGTGTCTCTCACCTTTTTCATCCTCTCTCTCTGTCTCTCTGTCTGTCGCTGACTCGTGTCGTTCTAGAACCATCTGCAAATTTGTTCCTGAAAACAATAAGATCATCCATCCCCCCTCCCCCACCCCCCAAAGACGCTGCTCCTCAATTTGTGTACGTTACTTGATATTCGTCAGTTTTTTTCTCGATACCTAGTCTTCATTTCCCCATTCTTCCCCCAACAAGTTGAAAAATCCATTGACCCAATAAATGTTTGCATCGTTACGTTCGCAAGCTCGTTTTGGGAAAAAAAGCAAATTAGAGCCCTCAAATTGAGAAAATTGAACGACTTGAATAATGGGTTTTCAGAAACCCTTTTTGTGTAGTTTCAGAGGCTGAATACCGGGGCGGACTTATGATAATTCATGAGTCACAACTCACGTCAGTTTAAGTTGTGTAATATTTCATTAACAAACATGTCGTTATCATATCAAAAGTTACGGTTAATCAAGTGAGCACAGATTGGTCTGAAGATGAAACGGACGTAGCGGAGTGATGATCAGAAAATCGGAGAAGTTCAGTTCCATTGCAAGCGATTACGGTTGTAGTTAATCTCACGGATACGGGATAGTCTATCGCGGATCAAGCGAGCGTTGGTAGTGAACAGGTTCGACAGGTCACGGCTCCAGATCAAGGTCTCACGGCAGAATCGCTGAAGAATTATTTGGTTTGATCGGTGAGCTCAAGTGCAAATCAACCATGAGATCCACGACATTGTTCTCCATGTCCAAGTAGAACTCCCTGAACCACTTCCGTCTGGCAGCGACGAGGCGTCTTGACAAGGTGATTTTGTAGTCAACAGTCAGCTGAAAACGTGTACACTTCTAAAAGGTTAACACAATGTTGCAACAAACATGTGAGCTTTGCAGTTGGTCCATCATTGCATCGAGCATACACGCGGCTTGTCGGCGGTCGTACTGAGCGTTTAGTATTGAAATGAGAAAATCTACACATTTCATTCTCACATACCGCAATCTGGTTAAACAGGGAGAGTTTCAGTTCTGTTTCCTGGTGACTAGATAAAAAATCCATCTGAAAATTTTTAATAAATGCGACTTTTGTATGTAAAGAAAAAATGATAGTAGGAAATGATATGTGACAACAAGATCAGTGATTGAGGAGATCCATTGATTTCCGTTTCGTTGGGCACAGCTATCACTGCTCTTATTAGCATAAAACGTGAAAAGACATGGGCGGAATGTTAATCCGAGTGCTTGCTCACTTTTTATGTGGGCGGCAGGTGAATGGGTATTATGTGAGACAATTTGAGCGAAATTCAAGCAGAGAAGTCTCAGACCTTGCTATAAAAACAGGTGAAACAGAAAGCGCACGTGAGTATGCATGACTAGATACGCATAATCTGAAATTAATTATGTGGTATTCTTGAGAAACAAAACGTTTGGAAACTAATGTATGTGTGGGCGTTCCAGAGCTTTGACTAATGTAAGACAGAAAAGAGAATAGGACGGGGGGGGGGGCAAAAAGAAGAGAGAAGAACGGCCTAATACTACCGAGGCTTAATTTGGAAAAGAACGAGTCGAATGCTGCTCAATGCATTCACATTTCTTGCTGCTCAAAATGAGAAGAAACGTTTCTGCTCTTGTTTGCCTCTTTCTGTTCTTCCCTCACTTATTCTCTCCAATTGCCGCTTCTTGGCAAAACAGCTGAAGAGAAGAACTGGAAGGCCGTGACGGATTATGAGTGAGACACCCGTTTTCACATGCACGCCCGGACCCTCTGGCGAGTCGAATAGTCATCGCCCGCCAAGCAACCAAGTTTATTTTCTCTCGTCAGCGAAACATTTTCATGCATCAATAATTGGCTGAAAGTTCGTACTGAGCTATGAAGTATTCATAAACTCAAGCTTATTAAGTTTAAAAAAGTGGTCGACATGGGAAGTAAACAGGGAATGGAAGAGAAGGATCTAGAAAAAAGCAATGTCAACTACGGATTACGAACTACGAACTACGGAAAGGAAATTTTGCAGAACAGAGCTAATCCACTAACTTTCGATACTTTCAAGGTGTTATGAGGGCAACATTTGAGCCAATAAATTACACTGAAGAACCCCTGAAGACGTAGCGTAGTGTTGAATTGGCTTTGACAAAGTCGTGACAGAGCACTCATCCCACTACCTGGTCCAGAAATTGCCACTTTCTATACACCATGGTACCGCTGGTCCCCCGTAGTACCGTCCATTTCTTCTTGATACCGCTGATTCCACCAAAGTACCGCTCGTCCAGGATAGAGCCAAATGTTCACCGATGCTTTGCACTACACACCTGGACATAATTATAAAGGCGCCCCAAAAAACCGATGTCGAACAGGGTTTCAAACGGGACTAGAGGGGATTGAAAGGTCCCATAAAGGGTACAAACATTCCAAAGGGCTTATCTCCATTTCTCGTTTTAGCCGAGATACTGTCAAAAAGGTGCAAAAACGGTACCGTTTTAAAAAAAAATTGTATCACTGTCAAATTTTGAGTAAAACAGGCGGTAAAAAAACGAAAATGTAGCTAATGGAATGTTTAATGCTGATGTGCAATACATGTTTTATGGATGTACTATAGTACCATAGCACGTCTGCCCTATTTGAAATTTTTGAGATCCCGCCTCCTCCACCTTTGGGATCGTCGCCTAAAGGGCGTGATGGCAGTGAAGCACGGTTTGGGAGTGGCCGAGTGGGCGTGATTTCACTGTCACTATATAAAACGAGAACAACGCCAAACCATCTCTCTCTTCCTCCTTCCGACGTTATTGCTATGCAAGAAGTCAAACTCTTCACCAAATCTCTCTCTTCCTCTCTTCATACTTTGTTGACTAACTTTCTTGTACATTTTTTTGTTAATTGGGTATGTTCCACTTTTAAAGCCCATTCCATCAGCTACATTTTCGTTTTTTTACCGAGTGTTTTACTCGAAATTTCACAGAGATACGATTTTTTGTAAAAAGGTACCATTTTTGCACATTTTCCATTCTTTCTCGGAAGACACACAAAAAATTTTTCGGCGTCCGACTCGTCTTTTTCCAAATGCTCTTATTGATCTAAAACCAATAAAGGCCCCAATTTTCCCTTAAAAACTCTCCAAGTAGGTAGTGGTCCTTCGACGAAGGTTCTTGCCACCGGTGCACCCCAGGCTCGCCGACTTTCAGATATTTTGCAGGTTTCCCACAAGCAGAAAGAACTTCAGATCATTTTTTTCGAGAATCAGCATTATTACATATTTAGATATTGTTCGCGATGTAAACAATCGTATTTCTTACATTTATTCAGGAATGTCGTTTTACGTTATTTCAATTAGGTTGTTCGGAAAGTGCTAGTCATTTTTGGGTTCAGAAAAATGTATTGTGAAACAAGTCAAAGAGTTTGGTCTTTCTGGCAATGGCGACGAGCGTTATCATTTCCTTTTTGTGTATTTCATGTTTTCGCACGTCAGCTGGCTCGAGCGAGTCCGTTTCGACCTACCGCCCGCCAAACCGCACACTCTTTTTGTCTGCGTCTCTCGGCCGGCGGTCCCCCTCGCCGATCTCGATCGATTCACTTCATATTTCCCCGTTGCCGGTCCGACGCATATTCCAACGGAACCATCACTAGGGGCTGCACTGGCGAAGGGATAGAAAGGATCAAGAAAGATGATAAGGTGAGTTGAGAAAGAATTTCAAGACGCAAACTGACATATTTCCAGGTTTCGATCACGGATACGTCGCTGATTATATTTATTATTATTAGACGCAACAAAGAGAAGACTGGAGACTCGGATACAACGAAGTCAGGTGCGTAATTCAACTAGTTCTCGCTCGAACTATTTTGTTCACCAAATTGAGTGATTTCGAGTTCCGAGCTTCCACAATCAATGTGTGTTTTCATTTCAATAATTACTAGAGACGTTTTTGGACGAAACACCCTTTATTACAGAGAGAGTCTACTCCCGTATGCATATTCCGACAAAAACTATAAATTTTTTCTATTCGGAGGACACTTATCGGACGATGTTAGCAGATGTCGGTTATTATGATCTTATTGATGAGGCTACCAGGTACACGTTTTGATTCTACTTTTCTTCTGACTCTCCAAGAAACCCCGGGAACCGGTAATCCTGCTTTTCAGAGTTTACCATTAGAGGTAAGTTATCCCTTTTGTATAAAACTTTCAAGATGGGGAGAAGAGGATTGGTTAATGCTACGAATATCACTATCGCCGAGAAAAGTGATGAAGGTTACTATCGCCAAGAAAATTAAAAGGATCTACTTTTTTTTCAAGCCGTTCACACAGAGGTGAGTGTGCCTTTTTGGTAAGTCAGAAAACAATTTATTACGCGTGTTGTTGCCCTAATTTCACCGTAAAAGCGTGATGGCATTTTAGAGGTAAGTTATCCCTTTTGCATAATACTTTCAAGATGGGGAGAAGAGGACTACTGGTTAACGCTACGAATATCACTATCGCCAAGAAAAGTGATGAAGGTTACTATCGCCAAGAAAATTAAAAGGATCTACTTTTTTTTCAAGCCGTTCACACAGAGGTGAGTGTGCCTTTTTGGTAAGTCAGAAAACAATTTATTACGCGTGTTGTTGCCCTAATTTCACCGTAAAAGCGTGATGGCATTTTAAAGTTTAGTGTTTTTTTACTGCTTATATATGTTGAAGCATGTGTGTTTGCATGTCTGTGGGTCCCACTGAATCGATCACAGTTCTTTTTTGAGGAATCATGCGACCAATCACTAAAGCAATGAGAGAATCTTAATGGTTTCTCATTGACATTTGTGTTTTTCTCAACAGGTGCATCTGACTGTTTGGCTGTGTGTGCCTGGTCCAGATGTGGTTCTAATGTTAACCTCTACGAAATTCCACTGGACCGATCACAGTTTTTTTATTCTACTTTTCTTGCGACTCTTCAAGAAACCCCGGAAGCCGGTAAAAATGACTGGAACGTTCCGAACAACCTAATAAATTAATCAATTAGTTCAACACAACTGTTTTTTCTCCCCTCGGCAACCAGTCGAGTTAGCAGTCGACAGTTGCTTGCGCACTCATCTCTAATCACTCGCAAAGTGCAAGAAGCGCATTGTTCCCAAGAGGTGGAATGCTCCTAATCCTTTTGTACAAATCTGTACCGCGAGGAAGTGTGTGGCGAAATGAGCAAGACGCAACAAATAATCCATTGACAAACTGGGCGGTCCGCTCAAAATCCGCGTGGCAAACATCAAGACTCTACTGCGCTACCTTTAGTTTCCAATCATTCTGTTCCACCTATCAACCATCTAAATATTCTCTTCAAACCCTAGAGAAGACAAGATATTGTGACCGTTGTTACGGTCAATTTCTTACTCAAAACTGACCGTAATCCCGTTCACAACACCTTGTGTGTCTCTGTTTTGTTAACGGCTCTGTCTGGCAAATTTCATTTACTAAAAGGTGTGGGTGTCAGAAATATATTCAGTTTTACGACCGTGTCGAGACGTGTAAAATGGCCACGAGGTTCCCCGATGACTTCATTCATATTTTGGCACTGACAGCACAACCCCAGGTAAGTTGAGAGCAATAAAAATGATTTCACCACAACTTTTGCTCATTTCCTTTTCAAAATATCCCGATTTGAATGAACTTACGGCGATGAGTAGGTGTTGTATCGCAAAAGCGTCATAAGGTACGGCCCGCCGGACCGCGCGCCGCCAAAAACGGAAATTAAAAAAGGTGGGACTTGAGCTTATTGTTGAGCAAGTTTTATGCTAGCCGAGGCAAAAGAGAACCGAATAGGATAATCACCATTATTTGTTGAGCGCGTTAACTCGCCGATCGACACAAAACGCTCCTTTTCAGAAGCCATGCTTTTCTGCTTGTTCGCCGCACTGCTCATTTCCACCGTTCTCCCGACAACGGCCCTAGACTTTAACGGTCAGTTTTCTTGATGTCTAGACTTTCGGTTTCAATAACATGATTAGCGATCTCATTGAATAGTGCAGACAGATTATAGTTTTCACGCTAGACATCGTCTTTTCAGACTACGCACTGCAAAGAATCGCTCGTGCTCCACACCCATCGTCCGCTCTTCTCGTTCCTTATCCACGTGTCGGAAAACGAAGTGATATCAAGTAATACAAAAAATAGAAACGGTGGATTATGGCAGTCACTTTGTTTCAGACATCTTTACTCGGAAAATCACTCTGCCGGGAATGCGGTTCAGAAGCGACTCTACATGGCACGAGTCGGGAAGAGAGCTTTCTTCTACGCCCCACGCATTGGAAAGTGATGACAAGACCCCCCACCGGCCAGACTGACGCTCTTCATTTCTATCAATCTTTATTTTGCCCAATTTCCCCCTATAACCCTTCCCCTCACGTTCCCTGTACACTGACTCATTAATCCCCCTCTAGACACAAACGACGACAATAAGAGAGACGCTTTTTCCTTCAGTTATCTTTCTTTCTGAGCACTTTCCAACTTTCTCACTCCAAGTTGTGCGATTATTCATCTGTTTTTGCTCCTTCACTACGAACGGCAGAATAAAATGTGCGACGTGTTTCCAGATTGTTCACCCATTTCACAAACCACCACACGAAAACATGATGCGAGAGGGTCTTGATCTTTTCTTTCAGCGGGTTAATACAAGACTTCATAACGAAACCCACATGTTCAATCTCGCCCGTTTTTCCTCGGCGAATTTTATGCTCGGTAGATGTTGACCCGATTTTATTTTCTGTCTAATCGCTGCTATTTTTATCGTTTGCAAACACTGATCATGAATTTTCTGCGTTGAACTTTAAAAGCATACTTCCATTTTGATAATTTTGGGAAAATTCACACCTTCTCAATGACGAAAAGCTAACCCAATTTCCTGTCCCTTTTGCAAGCCTCACTTTTCGCGGAACACGGGCTACAATAGAATTTGGTTCTCAAAGTTCAATTGCTCTTCGGAGACGAATTCTTGACAAATTAATAATAAGCCCATTTGCGAGGAGAATCCGTCAATTTGATTGTACACATGGAGAATCCGTCAATTTGATTGTACACAAATCTTTTCAAACAGATAACTAAAACTCACAAATTGAGCCTGTGATCAGCCATTTTCAGCTGTAGCGACTCAAAAGTTTGCGAGTTCAAACACGAACTCGAATCCGAGCCAATTACATACTCGGCGCGACATTTCTGTCTTTCCCGTCTCGTATTAGATCTCCTATTTCATGTTTTCTGAAACAAGTACGCTTGCGGCCGCTCAACCTTGTTCCTTTCCAGCATTAATCTGACTAAAGAACAAAATCAGGCTTTTTGTAGGCTCCAGACACGTCGATGTCGTCAATTCTCCGTTGATAATCTATTGGGAAGTTCTCCAGTAATTACTTTTAGCTAACTCATGTACCTCTCCAGTGCAGAAAAGATTATGCGGGATTAGGAAAGACGGTGTGAGGGTGGGGGCGACTGACCGCCACACCACTTTAAATCTATTTCTTCTTCGGGACTCACCCGTTCTTACCCATTCCTCTTTCACATATTCAACGAATTTGTCGCTTTCTTCAATTTCAGAGGTCAAGAAGTGTTCCGGAATTATCTCGAAGAAGCTCTTTTTGATGAATAATAATGCACATTTGAACATTTGAATAAGGATTCAAGAATGACGTAGTCTGAATGCAAATTTCGAAAGAAACTGTTATTCGGCTGAAAAATTGCATAAAGGGTAAGAACAATTTCGACTTTTTGACTCTGACCTAAAAGAATGAAAGAATCTACGAATTCAATTTCAAAGATCCCTTTTATGAAACTCGCCCATTCTTTGAGGTTTTTGACAAACAAGTTTGGTCCGTGACGAATCTTTCCGGAATCTTGAACTTGCCAAGTCACCAATCTCCAGTACTCTTACAAAACGTGAAAACCAAACACTTTGATTTCGTTAGTCCGTCAAGTAGGCATGACGCGATCGCTATTTCTCATTTCCCCTTGAAGATTCGCCAAACTTGATCAGAAAAAGTTCAGCGAACCATCGAGAAGAAGTGGGCGACAGAGAAATATGAGCCAGACAGAACGGAATAAATCAAAGATGGGGTTCTTCAATTTTTGCACTCGGCAATTTAACATGCGTCTAGTAGTTCATTCACAAACACTTTTTCAGCCGAAGCCATAGGTTTCCATTCTCAAATTAAAACATTTTGCCCCCTCGACAAAATACTGAGGAGCCGTGACTTCATTCTAGTTCTCTTGATCCCTTAATTGTTAGTTTTAGAGCTATTGCACCTTTTCAAAGAGTTAGCGTCAGCTGAGAAGAATTCCACGTTACATTACTCATTTACCTTCCGCTCCCCGTACGTAATCAGAATCAGCTAAGCGCCGGATTGACCCCACATGATATTTGTGTTTTGAACCTGACTAACTGATCTTCAGATCATACATTCTGGATCTGTGACGCTCCTCCGATCTTTGTTCTTATTTCTTGTCATCTCACACCATCAGATGCTCTCAGGTGATATGAATTAATAGAAAAGAGTTAACCTCTGACACGTGATGTTTTTCATGAAATTCTGTTATTTCTGCTATCCGATACACTTGAAAATATTCCCATCAGTCATTTGTTTTGAACAAAAGTCAGTCTGCTTCGTCTCCGCCCACAGTTTGGTTAACCACGAGAACTTTTTTTGTGGCTTCCATCTCAATTCCCTAAATTTCATTTGTATTTTTTAAGAAGAGCGTTCCCCTTTTGTTTTCTTCGCCGGCCGATGATATTGTTGTGTCCTGAATCCAGAATAGATACAAAACTGAATTCCAGGAGGAGAACATATTCAAAAAACAGGAGGATATTATATATAACCTGAAGGCACGGCACAAAATGGCACAAATTGGCCACTTCAGTCTGTGTGAACGGAGCCTTTTTGAGACCCGAACTCTCCAAGCTTGCACATCTGGAATCCCGCTATTTTTCGAGGAAAAAAAAGCAAACATTTCCGCTTAGAATGGATCTTAGAACACGGTACCAAAGGGTCCCGCTTGACTTGCTCGTTTCATTCATTTTCAATAAACAGAACACTCTGAGCGCGGTTCCTGGAAACCAAACTCGTCGAATTTTGAATTGAATAAGAATGATCAATGCCTTACTAATGTAAGTGTAAATAATGAATGAGTGACCAGTGCATCTAATTACAGAGAGGATGTGATGCGCGAATGTACATAGAAAAAGGAAAACCATTTCGGTTTACTTTTAATGAGAAATCGAGAGAACGTCCGCAAAACTTTTGAACTCTTGTTTTTCTTATTCCGTTCAAATATTTATAGTCGGATGACGATGAGCAGAACTCAACGTACGTAGGCTTAACGTTATAAACTAGGGATTGTAGCTGATGATGAGATGTTGTGATGAAAAAATGTACACAGAAGAAGGAAAGCCAGTTCAATCTACGCAATTGAGAAACCGCCTACAAAACTTTCGAATTCTTGTTTTTCCTATTTCTGCCGACGATCAAAACTTACTAAGAAACGTACGTAAGCTCAACAACATAAACTAGGAATTGCAGTTGATGATGCGGAGCAGTCCGACCCCAAACCACTCTTAATCAATCATTGTCCTCCCGCCGCTTGCTTTAAAAGTTCATTAGTGTCTCGTTCTTATGTAATTGACGTCTCCAGACTGGACGGAATGTCAACGTTCTTTCCAGAACATCAGAGACCGTTTCTTCGGACAATAAAATGTAAAGGACCGGAAATGAGCTTTTCCCTTAGAAATTTTTGTGTGGTACTTTCACCTTTTCCCCAAAGTTGCATAGCATAAATGTCATTTCAAACCTCTTTCCTGTTGCCCTTACTAACCCTGTTCAACGGAGCATCCGGGCGGTTAAAAGAGGAAACTTGCGGAGCCAACTAGACTCACGTTTTTAATATTCGTAATATTTTCAATGGCACCGACCGCGACTCACTTCTAATTACCACATCATCTCCCAATTATCCAATCGACTCTCAACTTTTCTGCAAAGTCGCACGTACCCGATATTTTTAACCTCGCGTTATTCTTGCCATCTTTTCGCGTTCTAATCTACCGTAATCTTCTTCTCGATTCAAAAATAACACAATGCCCGGTCGGTGGTGCTATTGTGTTCATTTTGAAAATTGGAGCAAATTAAATTACTCCGTTTTTATTTTAAGGTGTTAATTTCATGAGCTGGTTTTTTTTCTATCCGTCGTTTGACTCTTAATTTACATCTGCCAGATTTCATAGGGTTTCTCAAAACATCCAGATATTCTGTTTTGTCTATGCTTTTTTAAATGTCGGCGGAGAAATGTATCTATCTATTTGCCTACAACAATTTGAGCCATTTTCCTCTTCGTCGAGACAATCATAACTTTGTTCTTCTTCTTTTCCTTTTTTTGTTATTAACAACATCCTTCGCTCAGTTTTGTCTGTTCACTTTGATCAGGTTTTTTTCAAGGAACTTTTCTCGTTTATTCAGGAAAGGTGAATTAGGTTTTCAAAGTTCAGTTGATTGGAAATTCCGACAGCTGAATATTGCAAACCTGGACAGCGTAAGAGGTCAACACCCACAGATTTTTGGTTTTTGCGGAAAGGAAATTTCACTTTATTTTTGAGCTAAACCTTTTGAAACATTCACCTGCATTGTGAAGAATGTCACACTTGAGCCGTGCAAACTAGAATAATTTCTAATTTTTCAGTTCAAATATTTTCTAATAGCTATGCATAATAATGTGTCCGCGAAGCCGGATCCTCTTTCTGTTTCCCTTCCAAAGGTTGTCATCCTTCCTGTTTTCTTTCTTCCTTTTTCCAAACAAGTTGTCACTTTCAAAACTGAGATCTTGGAATCGTCTGAACCCTCGAATTTCCATCTCAACTCCGCCTACCACTCAAAACGGACACTCGAAAGTAGGACGGCTCCTCAAAAACTTGCGCTTGCTCATCGTGTTCTGCTCGGATAGATTTTTGCGGATAATTCTGATCTTATACATTATGAATGTGTTTTCAGTTTCATAGCGCAATTCTTTTCCTTCCAGTTTTCGGCGGTACGGAAACAACAAATCTCCGCCTCCGTATCCATATATTGGGCGTGGTTTTGCAAGTTCCATGAATAAAATTGTTTTGTTTTGACCGTCAGTCGGTTTTTTTTTTCTTATTGAAATTAGACATCTTCCTCTCCTCCTCTCTGATTCTATTTGCGGTCACCAATTTAATTCGCGAACTGATATTCAATTACGTTAAAAATGAGAAAAGAAGCCCCGATGCAGTCCGGTCGGACACCTACTGCGTCCATTATTCTGTTGCCGAAGAACCAAACATCAAAATGTTTTCTCCGGCAGATTATAATTCACACTGAGGTCGTCGTAATCCTTATTTTGTTTGTAACTCACAATTTTTTGTCACTAATCAGCGGAGATTCGTAGATCGTGGAAAATGCAAATTGTGATCACTCCAGTGCGTGTTAACTTGATCGGCGAGGGTGTCGTGACTCTGGTATTAAAGAGCTAATCTTCCATCAAAGCTCAGAACAGGCAAGAAGGTTCAAAGTTCTAATTTTTCCGTCCAAGCGACTTCCTCCCACCCCTCGCGCTCCCACGTATTCTGAATGCATCCGGTTGACACCCCTCGCCGAGTACAATCGAATACAAAGTGAATCATGAAATTTTGACGTTCTTGATCTTGTTCTTGAATCTATGACATTTGAAAAACGAAACACCTCATTCAGTTCTCTAATCCCATTTGAGTACAATGGAAATACGTTCCTGCTTGTTTTTGAAATTATGAATCATTGTCTAGTAAGCGCTAAAAATCGCTTTCCACGACGCCAACTCCAAAATACACAGTCATTCCCCCTTCTTTTCCCCTTAATCTTCTTGATTTCATTGTTCACTTTCATACGTATCTTCTCATCCCGGCTCTTCTTTATGATGATGACGATGATGTAACCAAATCCTTTAAGTTTCTTGAGAAAAGAGTTCTCAGCGATCAAAGTGTTGCCGTTCCTCAGAGTCCAGAGATTTATCGGGAATTGAAGCGTGCCTTGAGCACTACACACAATTTTTCCAGCGTTGTTGGCTAAAAAAATAAATTTGGTCCAGTTACTTTTTCGGCCGGCCATTTGCAATGGAATTTCAAACATACGAAACCTTGTGATACCGTTCGTTTTCAAGTGTGATTAACTTTTTTGTATCTTTTCTTTACAATCACATGTACATCTCCTCTCTTTTTTGTATTTCCAGCTACATTTTCTCAACACCATCATCTCGTGTTCAGCACCCCCTCACATCCTACTCATTCCTTAACATGTTATTATAGCCTTCCTCATTTCTATACTTTCAAAAACTTTAAAAAATGACGTCCCAGACAAGTACCTTGTACCCTATCAAATGTTTCATTCGCTGAAACACTTGGCGTGGTTGAAAATGAAGGATTTCCATGGCCGATGTGAATTCTGAGGGTGCATAAGACCACGCAATTCGAGACGTCCCCGTTTTGTGTCCGCCACCCGCTAATTCTAATATTGCAACCGATGCTTGAACTCTTTTCCGAAGAGAAAGCAACCAAAACGGCACATTATTCGGGGCTTTGAGGTATTTTTCTGTGCTTTTTTTTTTTAAATTTAGCCCTACCATCCTATCAGTTAAATTATTTACGAAGTGCTCTCATCGTGCTGACGGTGAACCCAATCGTCGACAATTATTTATCCCCCTTTTCATTCCTTCCCTTGTCCAAGACACAATTGGGGCCCTGCAAGAGAAAATTTGTTAGAATCCATTGGGATTGTACAAAAACCAAAGGACAATGGCGTCAATGTTGTAGTTGTAGTGCAACTACTGACGTTACAGTTTGCACTGTATTCCCTGATGATCCCCGCCCATATTTCATTTCATTTTCATGATTGACATCACGAGTAAAGTGTCAAATGCTATAAAAATTAAGAAATCTGCATATTTTGCTCATTATTTATTAATTTTCTATCACGTCAAAAGGGTCTTATTCTTTTCCCGCTTTTCCTCGTGCTCCCGGCTTCAAAATAAGTTCATTATTGCAGATGGGGGACATAACAGAGCAGAGTGACAGCCTGATGGCCTCCAACGACACATTGACCTGCATGTACTTTGAGTGCTATATCCATTTGTTTGCTATGGTGAGTGGGATCGAAACTTGATTAAGAAGCCATAACCGCTCACTTAAAGAAGTCCAATTTTGTGAACGTTGCTAGAGCCTGAAGCGTGAAAATGTGACATCCGTGCTCTTCCACAGTTTATCTCCAGTCATAGCCATAAAACCTATCCCACTGCTGAGCCAGCCGCGCGTGCTTGTCCCTCTTTTTCAGCGCATCCCATTTTATGCAGCGGCGGGGAGGACCAGTGAATCAGTGGTGTAGAGTCATTTGGGGCACGCGATGCACAACTTGAAAAATAATTAGTTGATAGGAGCAGTGACGTGCTTGCTTGCGGTGGGCGGGGAATTTCCAGACGAGTCGCCTTCCCCATTCCCTTTCTCTCATCCCCTTTCCGAGTGACGGCTACTTATTTTTCATCTGTTTTTGTGTTGAGATTGACACCGCCGCACCCCCCAGATAATCCCGGTGAAGGGGGAACAACTTTTAAGCATTTCCACTCTCTACTCGGAAGCCTATCTGTTCATAATCTCAAAAGATGGGAAAATGGAACGAGCTTGGCTTTTTGAACCGTGACCCCACCCAGAAGTCGTTTTTGCAGTACTACGATGAAATTCACATTCCACTCTCTATTTCAATCTGTTTATTCGGCGCCGCGTCGAATGTTTTCAACATCATTGTGCTCACCCGGTAATAACCTTTCCACATGCCTTCATTGCTTTGTTTTGTGTTGCTTCCAGAAAACGGATGCGGACTCCTATCAACATATTGCTCACAGGACTCTCAATTGCTCAATGGCTCCTAGCCACCAATTACTTCCTGTTCTTAGTACTTGAGTATTATAGATTTCAATGGTAAGCTACTGGCTGAAGGGACTGAAATTGCCAACAAGAATTTTGTTTCAGTACAAACATTCTATGGTCTGAAACTTTCACCTGGTACAGGTTCTTCAACGTGAATCTGAACACGGTTTTCCACACAAGTGAGAGAGCAGTTTTTGTATTCATCGGAAAATCAATCTGAATTTCAATTTCAGTTGCGTTCACAACAACTATTGTAGTTGCTGTTTTTCGTTATTGCGCGCTGAAGTTCCCCATTCAAGCGAATCGTTTCATTTATAAATGCCAACCAGCAATCGCAGCGAACGTGATAATTTGGATAATCATTCCGATTATCAGCCTCCCATTGTTCTTCATATCAGAGGTAAGCAAAGCGCAATGTACCTTAAGTCACGTTTGCTCTTCATTAGGTGAAAATCGTGAGTTTGGATCACGTCGCTTACGACTTGCGATGCACTATGGAAGGTCCTCTGTATGACCTCAGCTACCAAGAGAGTCCTTTGCTCGTGTCTGCAGTCTTCTGGGCCTTTGGAATCGTGTTCAAGTTGCTTCCCTCGTTAATCCTCACGATTTTACTCATCGCTCTCATAAGATCTCTAAAGAGTGTGGAGAGACGACGCAAAAACTGGAAGCGCAACCAGGGCGCTCACATCTGCACCAACTCGGAGAGAAAAGCGAAGAGAAAGTTAACGACGAGGCCCCGAACTACGCGAATGCTTGTTATTATTCTACTTCTCTGCGTCATGGTCAGTTGGAATCGTACAGTTGTTATTATTGTGATTTTTATTATATTTTTTAAGGTCGAACTTCCGATGGGAATTCTCAACCTGTGCGTCGCGATATACGGAGAAGAATTTGGAAACCGCTATTACGATCCACTGGGAAATCTGATGGAAATGCTAACCCTTTTGTACAGCTCTGTCAGTTTTGTCCTTTACTGTTCAATGTCCAACGACTTCCTATCAACGTTCCGCGCACTTTTTCTCCCGTGGGCCAGAAAGAATAGTCTCCGAGGACCCCGAGGTAAGTACACAAAGCTGCAAAAAGTGTATCAACTGTGCGGACTTGATAGTTGCAGGAAGTTGGAAACAACGGCAAGACGAAGAAACCAAGTCCCCACGCACCTGCCTCATCAACGCCACAGCTCCAAGTTCCTATATCGGGTCATAATTCTAATGTGTTCTTTGCTAGTACTCAACGTTTGATCTTTTCGAATGTACGTCTCGCCGAATTGTTCCGTTGTATCTCTTTTTCAATCTTTTCCATGTCAATCTTTTGTCTGCAAGAGGGTCATTCAATTTGAACTTTTTGTTCCCAACTTTTTGTTCGTCTTACGAATCCAAATAAATAAATATTTTGAGTCAAGTGAACAGTGCCCAAAATGGAAAGCTCGACAAAAAAGTGTAAGAGCAAACGGAAAGACAAACAAAGATGACAGTTCAATGAAGGAGGGGAAGAAACGAATTGCAAACATTCGGGTATCTTCTCACGTTCAATTCTGCCTGCTCACTCATTTACACTTTTTTTCGGAAAAAAATGCTCCCAATTTATCAATTATTCACACTTTTAGCTGTTTATTTTCAACGAACAACTGGCGCCGATGCAAAGGGTATGATTCACAATTCACGCATTTGATGCTCTTGTTTTCCAAATTCTTGAAATAAGAAAACTATTTGTCTGGAAGCAAAACTGAAACACAATTTACACTAAAATCCTTTCCAGTTGGTATCCCTGGCACGGAATGCCTTTTCGGAGGTATCTGTTCTGGAGGTTCAGTCTGCATTGATGTTCTCTGTCTTTGTGTGGATGGTCAACGCGAGTTTCAGGGTCAATGTGTTGAAGAAGCAGTGTATAACACGAGAATCAAGGAGACAGGTATGTCTATTTTTGTTTGTGAATCATTTTTTATCCCAGAATCCCTACAAGATGACAAGCGTGACAATCTGCCCACAATTGGTCTGGCGGGTCATCCGTGTGGCCAAGGCGGTGTCTGTCGGCCGTCCACCAAGTGCATCGAGGGAACTTGCAAATGCAGCCAGGGTTATAATCCGTCTTTCGGAGAATGTATCCGTGACCTGAACGGTAAGAGTTATCTCTCCAAACACTTAAACGTTGAGTTTTTCAGTTCCACGCCACATTCCTCGCGCCTTCATTCCTAACCACCGGTCTATTCTTCGGTTTCCCTCATAAGTTCCATTTTTTGTAAACTTTATTTATTGAATGAAACGAAACGTCTTTTGGCAACATTATACAAAAATACATGGTAGCGTCAATGCGCAAAATTTGAGAAATATATACCCTAACAGTATTTCGGTCACCGCGTTTGTAGGTCGGTTATGAGGCGTAACGTCTGTTTGATTGTAAACAAGCAAACAAAAAGAAATGGAGAATGGGAACAGGATGAGCAAGAAAGATTTGAGAGAATGAATGGGGAAACGCGAATAATTAAAAATCTACGTCGTCGACTTGAATCGAGTAGGCTAGAATGATTTTGGTATGGCATGGTATGGAGTTGGTGAAAGATTTAGACCGTCAGGTAAGTTCGTGGCGTTTAGCTGTAAAGGTTCTCGAGTTCCTTGCGGAACGCGTTCTCAATGTTTTTTCTCTTTAGTTTGAGGGCTTCGGTGAGCAGTCCAGAGGCCGGGGTCCATGGCTCGTGGCAAATGAACAACTTCTGCGGAATCTCGACGCGTTGGAGTTTCGCTGCAAACAAATGATTAATTTGTCCGTTCTGATTTGGACCTGAACAGTCCTAAACTTACAAGCAGCATATGTGCTCAGTTCCTTCTGAAGTGCCTCCGCAATCTTCTTATCCTCACACAAAGTCTCAAAGTTTTTGGTGTCGGCTCCAAGTTTCTCGGCCAACTGGGTCAGGTTCTTCTGGTTTGGCACGACCAACGCGACCAAAAAGCTTTTGTTCGAGTCACCATAGACGCAGACGTTGTCGACGAGCGGATTGGTCAGAAGATTGGTCTCGACTTTACCTAGAGAAATGTATTCTCCATGAGCAAGCTTCAGCAAATCCTTTTTACGGTCTGCAAATAACAACAACGTAGTATAAAAGAAAAGGATTATTTCGGTTCTCTGAATGTACCAATGATCTTGAGTGATCCGTCCTCTCGGAACTCGCCAATGTCTCCAGTGGCAAAGAACAGCTTTCCATTCACGGTAACGAACTCCTCGCGAGTCTTTTCTTCGTTCTTATAATATCCAAGCGCGACATTTGGCCCGCTGACCAGAATTTCTCCCTGTGGCGGGGAGTTCTTCGGGGAGTATCCAGCCTCGGCCCACTCTTGGAGGAGGATTTCGCAGCAAGGAAGTGGTGGTCCGACGGTTCCGGTGGAGAGATCGTGGATGTCAGCAATAGTTCCTCCTCCGCAGGTCTCAGTGAGTCCGTATCCTTGAACAACAGGGCAGCAGAAGCAAATGTTCATGAATCGTTGGGTTTCTGGGCTGAGTGGCGCTCCTCCTGAGAGAATCTGGCGAATGTTTCCTCCGAGTAGTTTTCCGATACGGTTGAAGACCAATTTGTTCAGAATGAAGCTAGAATATCCTTCCTCATATCTCGATCTCTTTCTCTCGTAGCAGGTCTTGAAAAGTTCTTTGAACATCTCACTGTTCGCATTGACCTCATCGATAACAGCCTTGAAAATTCGATCCATAACCGCTGGGACACAAGCCATAAGAGTCGGCTGCAGAACCCAACAATCTCCGTGTTCTCCTTTCAAAATCTTTGGCGCTCTGTCGAACAGTGTCTGGGCGGACGAGTAGCCGATTCGGACACCTTTAGTGAAGACAACCATCTCTGCGCAGACTTCAAGAATGTGGGCGAGCGGGAGATATCCGATGTATTTGTCGTCTGGCCTGCAAATCACATGATAAGGGGTAAATATCAGAAATCATCATACTTGAGTTCAATGTTGAATGCCTGTCCGGCAGTGACCGCCACGATGTTTTGATGCGAAATCATCACACCTTTCGGGTTTCCGGTCGTTCCCGAGGTGTACATGATAAGGGCCAAATCATCCTTCTTACTGCGAATCGGAACCGGGTGTGCTGAAAAAAACGGTTATTATACCGATAAGAGTTTGACTTGTAATCGAAGTACACTTCAAACCGATACGATTAGACGGGGACACACTAGCTTTGAATAAGAAGGGAAACAAAAAACAAGTCGAGGTAGGTAGGTTGGCGGACGGTTAACACTGTAACTTCGAAAAGCGAAAAAACCCAAGCAACATACAGTACTCACGTTGACCGCGAGCGAGAAGCTGGTCAAAAGAGAGAAGGGTGAATGGGAGGTCGACATCAACGGATTCTCCACGGGATGCCGGATCCACACTGTCGAAGAAAATGATGTTTTCGATGGAAGAAGCTCCGTTGCTCATGGCTCGCTTGACTTTCGAGATGAGTGCTTCCGAAGTGAAGATGGTCTTGGCCCCGACTTCATTAATCGCATATTCAACGGCATCGTCTCCAAGAGTAGCGTACATGGTGGCAACTGTAAAAAAGAAGCCACTAATGTGATTGTTCTCAGGAACCGCTTACTCGGGAAGTTCATCTTCATACAAGCCAAGGCAGTGGTCATCCATTCCTCTCTGGTTTCAGCGAACAAGATTATTGGTTCTTTCTCCTAAAATTGAGAAAAAAGTTAGCAAACGTGTTAATAGCACTCTCGAACCTGCTGTCCAAGGCTAGTGAGTCCGGATGCCACCAGGTTGACGCGCTTGTCGACTTGAGCGTAGGTTCTCCAGTTGTAATTTCCCATCTGCCACTTTTCAAAGATTTTTCCGTTTGGCTGCTTCTCCTTGTGCACTTTGAGAACTTCGCGGGTTCCCATGCATGCCAGGTTACCGTAACGACTGAAAAAAGGTTTGTTCACATAATTAGGTTTTCCTAATTGGGTTCGTTCTACTATTACATGCGTTCTTTTCTATTCTACATCCTCATTCTTTGATGAACATAGTTTGACGCAAATGTGATCACTATCTTAAATGAAAATCACACCACATTTACGGTACGAAAAACTTGTGGTGGCTGTGATCAACGGTATCAATAAAAGAAACCTGCTGTGATAACATTAGTGTCTTGTGTGGAGCTGAACTAAACTGATAAGCTACCGGTGTGTAAAATATAATTGGGATCAGTTAACGAACGAGGAAATATAGAAACCGAAAACTAACCGAACACATTCCTCCCATTGGGTTCCGAGATCGTGAATTCCTTCGAACGAAGAGCTCAAAAGTCCTTCCTTCGCATTCACATTCTTCCATGGAGTGGATGGGTTCGAGTTCTCCGGCTCAGCCTGCAAAAAATACTTGGAGATGAGTCTATTGTTCTCTTGGATGTGTACCTTGATCCGTTCCGACTTTTCCAGTTTCTCCGCCGGGTCCGCAAATATTTTGAATGGAATGAAAGTGACGATATCGTAAACAAAGAACACAACCTTAAAATGAAGTATGTACTGTTTTTCTCTTTAGTTTGTCTCAAATGTACCTTGAGAAGCGTGATGGCAATGGTGATTGAGAGTGGACGGTCATGACCGTTCAGGGCCTGTTTCACGTCAGTTTCTTCCACCATGTTAGGTTCTGAAAAATGAACAATTGACAAAAATATTATTGTGATAGGCGAGTGATGGCGGAAGTCATGTGATTGCGGGTTGCAGAAACGGTGTGTGATCCATAGAAATACTTAAGAATGAAATGAAATTTGAAGTGAAAGAGAGGGAGAGAGAGAGCGAGAGAGCAAGAGAGAGAGCGAGCAGGTAACCGGGAGCAAAGAGCATCTGATAAACCAACTTGTATTTGTGCGTTCGTGGCGCAATTTGAGCACGTGGTGGGCCCGACAAGAGGCCCGCCTCTTCCACACTTTGTGTCTGTGTCTACGCTCCACCGTCTTTCGTTTTTCTCTTCTCTTCAACTTACGTAAAATGATCAGAGACAGCGGAAAAACAAGTGAGGGAAGGAAAAAAAAGAGAGAGAGAGAGAGAGAGAGAGAGAGTGATTGAGGATCACGCCACTAATAACGTCCGTTTTTGAGGATACACAACCTGCCTGATGCTCACTGAGCAGGCAGGCAACCCACGGCAATTGTTGTGGTGTAATAATTTTTGAGCGGATAACACTGACTGAAACAATGTTTACTGTTCCGAGAAGGTTTCGTACAAACAAATGAGTACAACTAAACATGGGAATCAAATCGAATAGTTTTCTAATTTTCTTGAAATAAGAACATAGCACTAAAGTGCTACTTCTGATGTGAAATTGCTGTTTCCTTGTTCTGGACACTTGTGCATGTGGCGTGTTGATGCAGTAAACGGTGAAATTGGAAAGGAACATTTAGGAACCCGAGTGGATGTGAAAAACAAAAACCAAGGTCGTCACAGGAAGTGATAAAGAAAATAGAAGAAGAGAACGGCTTGTCGAGACCCAGCCTTTTATCGATTTCGGAGATGGAGATGGGAGTCCAACCTTCCTCACCGGCCGTCTTCCCGCCGACACCTCACATGAGGCAAGGGCCGGTACAAAGTACAAATTGTAGTCAGAGGCAACTGGTGAGGAGATGATCATCATCTTTTTCTTCTTTCCACATTGTTGTTCAAAGAAGAAATGAGAGAAAGAGTACAAAGTTTCGAGGATGAGGAAAATGAGAAGACGGCCCAGACCACAAACCAAGCAGTTACGAACGACGTCATTTGATCAGCTGATGACGGCAGACGTGGAAATGCAATTGTATACACGTGGGCTGAGGTAACTCACCGGGTTCTTTTCTTGCTGCTGCTTCTGCTGCTACCGCCATACTTCTCTTTGTTTAGATTCACAATAACAGTTTTTCTAAATAAGTAGAGGGGGTAGACCGTTATGCCAACCCTGTGACTGAAGAATGACAGCTTGTTTCAACAGTCGCCTATCAAATTAAACTAGGCACCCAGCGGGCAAAAACTGTACTCTGGCCGGTTTGAGAACTGTGTGTAGGTGCGAATGTCATCTCTTCTCAAGCGGAAAACCGTGAAAAGACGTTTTCTGATTGACAGTTATTTTATCACGATCACAGGTCCCATGGCCTCATTCCTATCACCCCAGTCAGTAACGGCAAAGTCAAAAAAGGTTGTTCAACTCTATCATGACTTTTGGTTCATCACATCAACAAATATTTGAGCGTATCTTCAATTGAAACGGCAATTAAAAATAGATGAACAGTTGATTACCGCAGATCTTTGCAAGGAAAAAAGTTTAGCTTCACGTGGAGTGTAAATTTGCGTGAGCGGGATACTCAGTCACAATGTTGTAATATTTCGAGTGTGAGGTGGATGAGCCGGCAAGAAACAAAACCGCCAACACCAGTAAGAGCTCGAATTTGAATGGGAAAACCGAAACTGCTCAAACTTCGTTGCTTGGACTCTATGTGGTGTGTGAAATATACAAAGATATAATAGTAAATTAAAAACTATCGAGCGACTTAGATAAAATATTAACAGACGGACATACACTCACTACAAGAATAGAATAATGTATTCACAAAGCCAGCGACGGACTGCGATTTAGGGTACAAACAACGGATCAATGTAGCGTAGACTACACGGACCAACGCAGCGGACCCCCCACGAGCAACTGTTCTCTCGGAATGCAGATGCGGTCATCGGACCCGCGATCATATCGAGAGTACAGCAATCGATCCGACCGAGAGTCCATAGTACGGGGGAGAGAGAGAGCGAGGGAAGAGGCGCAGAGAAATGGACCTTGAGGTCTCAAAACACTCGGTTTGAATGGAAAGAAGAAGTAAATTTATTCAAATTCATTATTGCACATTAACAGGAAAACATAAAAGCTGTTGGAAGACCCCATAGATAATACAATCATCATTGCAAAATATATCACATATATAAATTTCTAAACCCGTAGAAACCAACAAAGGAAAGAAAGGAAAGAATCAGTTGGAAGGCCTCTGAACACGTTGAACTTATTTGATTCACAATCACACGAATTCGAACTACGCAAAGTTTTCGAGGAATGAAGAAGAAGTTCGATTCTCTTTGAGCATTTTGTACGAATACTGGCTGCGTGATAACCCGAAAGAGGCGCGACGTTTATCGTCGAAACAGAGCACCGACTGCTCTTTTGCGCAAACCAAAACAAAAAGAAGGAAGACGGCGGAAAGGAAGAATAGAGGCGCCCATAAACTCTCCGAGGCGGAGTGAGTTCTGTAATACCAAGAAGAAGTTTTTATCCGGGTCGTACCACCGACACCCACTCTTTGACGACCAGGTTGCGGCTCGAGTCGCGGAGTGGGAAGAAGCGCATGTGGTAGATCATCGCGCCGAGTGCCCATTGAACTTCTTGTCCGGCGATTGTGGAAACACTCTGGAAAATAAGATCGAAACTTTCCGTCAAATGTTTTTTCCTACTTGGAATTTGTTTTGTGTCTTGTCGACCGAGAATCCGTCGTGTAGAACGGAAGTAATCCATGCCGACTTGAAACACTGTGTCTTGAGCCGGTCCTCGTCTGCTCTCGGGTACAAATTCTTTTTGAATGCAGCCTTGAAAACATTTATCTGATTAGATCACAATAAAACACGGAACGCACCTGAATTGTCGACCATCTCTGACTACAATACTGCTGTGACTTTTTTGATATCAAATCAGCATTGTACTGTCCACCGAGACCGAGCACATCGTGTGTCGAGTACCAGTACTCGGAGAATCCGTAAATCTCCACGTCGGACAGAGGGACCTTGGGCGCGGGAACTGCTCCAAAGTAGCACTTGGCTACTTCCGCTTTACAAACCTCTGATTTTGTTTCTGGATTTAGCAGCTTTGTGACTTCGGAAACGCACGAGCCCCAATTACCGGTACCCTGGAAACGCTCTGTTCTGCTATTTGCTCATTTAATGTCAAACTTACTCTGCGGACAAAGTTTTCTCCGTTTTCTAAAGTGACCGTTTTGTGCAAGTTCAGAGGCATACAATCGTCCTGAATGACCGTTCCATTCTGCTCTTTCAGCCGTGAAGTTAGAGAATGTTCGTATTTTCGGATACCTTAATAATCAATACGCACTGGGCCTCTATTCCTAGTTCTACCTTCATTAACTCCATATCCCAAAAACGTCGTCACGAATAGTTTGTATTTGAAATTTGTGTCATCTTCCCTACATCCAAGATTTATCTGAAAAATTGAAAGTTTGTGTTGCTCTTCCGATCGATCGATCGATTCTCTCACATTTTCCACGTTTATACTTGTGAAATCCTCAGTCTCTGGCATTTCGAACGCGATTTGAGCGCTCGCTCCGCCCATATCAATCATTCCGACCGTTTTGTGCCTTAAATGACCAGGAGAAGTTCCTGGGAAGTGGATATTTGCCGGTGCCGACTTGTTGAACTTCCCTGCGATAAAAAACTGAGTATGTTACACTCTAAAAAAGATACCAAGTGCGTAATTGACTGCAATCCAACTGTAAATTCCCTCCCATTTGCCTTCAATTATTCTAATATGCTCCTTCAACACTTGCATCGACGTGATTTTTGGCAATTCTGATTGAAGATTCGAGATCACCGCCTCTTTTTGTCTGAAACTCGCGAAATTGTTCAGGATAATGGGAAAGACAACTTACTCATTGGGCAGTAACCGCATTCCCGCAGTGGCGAAGATAAAGACCGGTGTGTAGGGTACTTTGTCCTCTGGAATGTGTCGTTCGGCCAGCTCCATCAAGGGCCTCAGGTACTCGGCGGATTCACTCGGTTTCACCCCGAATGTACTCAAGCCCGGACTGATTTTCTTCATCACTGGCTTATTGTCGTATATGACTGGTTCGATTTGAATCAGTTCGGAGTCTGAATGTCTGTTTTATTTGTTGACTTGTCCACCTCGGTTGTACCTGAAGAACTAATCCAGTTGTAAACGAACACGCGTGTTCCCGTCGAGCCAGCATCACAGATCACGCCATAAGATCGTTCATATTCTGCATACATCAAACATTGTCACAAACGTTCCTGTGTGATATTGTACTGACCTTGGGATTGCGCTCCAACAGACGTGTTGGCTTCAACCGCATAAATGAAGATGAGCACTGGGAAGAAGAGCATCGCCGTGACGGCAAGAATAGTGAATCGTAGTGTTACGCGCATATGATTACCGCATTCGGATGCTGCTGAAAGTGCAAAACGTGTCTGATTCGGAGGATTGAACTCAAGAAACAATAATTGAACGGCAACAGTACCGGCTGAAGAACACTCAAAAATGCTTCAGATAAACCTTCAATTACTTTTTGATTATTTAAATTTGGGGGGAATATCTAAACTAAAGGGGAATTCAATATAACGCTCTGAGAAGTGCAATCGGTGAGATCGGTTTTGGGAGAATGATGGGGGGGGGGCTTATTAATAAGAAAAAGAGAGAAACAGAATGAACAAGAAAAAAAATATATGAGAAGAAAAACAGGAAACCGTGTGGGTGTGGGGGAATGGGAGAGATTGATGTGGAAGGAGCAAAATGGAGGTCTATATACCACAGAACCCCATAAGTCGGTAATAAAACAAATGGTATGGTCTCATAAAAAAGCACATGGTGAAATATCAGAATCTATCAATTTTGATGTGGACAGTATATACTGTCGAAGAACGGAGTGCTGTCGAGGCACCGGTCAAAAATGCCCGTGCCGCCGGCTTTTTTCAACTTGTGGTGGACCTCGTGGCACAACTTCTCGAGTTGCTTCTTGTACTCCTCGTCGGTCTCGCCGCTAGTTCGGCCGTACGCAAAAAAGTGCGATTTCTAGAAATCATCAGTTTAATCCAAAGTTTTGGTTAAGTCGAGGTTCCATACCTGTCCACTATTGTGTAAGTTGTATATATAAATTACCACGGCCTTCATCAGAAGGCCGTTGGTATAGATCGAGCGAGAGTAGGTGATGTTCTTGTTGAGGCAGAGTGTCGCATTCGGGTAGAACCCGTCTCGTCGGCATTCATCACCTTCGTACCATTTGTACTGAAATGATAGTATTGTAGTTCTTGAAAGGATACGCCTTGTAACTCACGAATGACATTCGGAGACAATTGTAGCCGAACGACCAGTTTTGACGGCCGTCCTTGTCGTAATGCTTGAATCTTTGGTAGCGATTGAGCTTCAAGAATCCGTGCACGTTCGATTTACACGTGTCCCACTGTTTTAACTGGTCCTGTGTGTGAAGCCAATCATCGTTCCCTAGCAAATCAACGGCGGATCCGTGTTCCGAGTGACTAGTTGGGCAGAAGGCAACGAGCATTTTCTGCTTGGTGATCTGATCTTGAGCGCATCCGTACAAAAAGTAATGACCGTCGCTGCCGTTGCGAAGCGCCATTGCGGCTTCTTTCAAACCATCGATATGATGTGTCACCAAGTGCCCTGAAAACATTCAAAATTTCCGCTGATAACTCTGCAAAACGTTGTTACCATTTTCATCGTTGCCAGAGTCTGCTACTGGATATTCACAGATCAGCGAAAGGTTTCCGTGCTTCGCAAACTCGTTCATTCCCGTCTGGAACTCGCCTTTCCATCCCATGAACACTCCGTCGCCGATCAGATCTCTGTACTCGTGCGTCCACCACTTTCCAATTCCGATAATGGCAATTTCGGTAATTATCATAGGAGTCTCCACCGACTCTTTGCTTTCATTCTCTTCGTCAGGGACTGTTTTTGGCTCTTCCGGTTCTTTCGCGTTTTGCTTCATCCGGCCGAAAAACTGAAAACACTGTTCTCACAAAAACAATAAGCTTCCAACAAACTTTTCCCATAATCGGATGGCCGCCGGTTACACTGGTGAAGAGATAGGGGAGAAAGTTCGTAATGTATACGGCCCGGCTGGCGTCAGCCACGTCACCGTGAAACACTTGGTGGTAGGCCGTCTCCGCGTTGATATGACGCTTGATTTGCCAGTGTTTCGGAGTCGAAAAATTTAAGACGAGGCACCTGTCCCTCATCACATACGGCACGGCCTGAAAAGCAACTTTTGTTTGGAACAAACAGTGGGAAAACAAAAAACTGACCATTCTGCGGTGTGTGAGGATGACGTAGCGGACGGCTTTCGGGTGATCGGCGTGGAATCGACGGGTCCATGTGGTGAAAAGGGGATCGCGCTCAACAGTCACATCCTTGAACATGCGTTCGTGGTCTTCAAGCAGACGATCGTAGTGCCAGTTGTACCTCTTCTTGCCAATGTACTGGAAAAGAACATACTTGTTGGTTGATTATTTGGTAAGATCACCATCCGGACGTACTCCGTGCTTGTGGAGACTTCGTCGAGGTATCCGAGAAAATGACGCATAAAGCTTTTTGCCGTATTGTACGCCGAGTTTCCGTCCTCTTCGCGATCAATGAACATGGCAGCGCAAGTGTCCAAAATGAGGAATATGTCCGCCCGGTCCCGGTAGCAACGTCCTTCGACTATCTCAGTAGTGCTCGGTTCGTCCATGGTGTTTCAAACGATAATTTATCTTCAATGCAAATTCATTGAATCCAAAAAGAGAATAAGAGAGAGAGAGGCTGAGGTTTGCGTGCGCTGGCTGACAAATGCCAGCGTGGCATGTGCTTTTTCTTTGCGTCTCTGACTTTGAATAGGGCGAAACAGGACACAGCAAATAGTGTTGGAATAGATAAAAAGGAGGTATAGAGCATAGGGAAAGAGAAAAGAGATATATAGAACGTGTACAGGAACACGTTTAAAAAATCAAAACAACAATGAGTTTCGGTGAAAAGCATTTTTCGAAAATCACAACAACAATAATAAGTATCACCGCTCAAGTTTTATTCGACAAACACCTGTAAAATACGGGGGACACAACAAAATAATACAAAAATAAGTTATAGCTGTCGGCGGCTGTACTTGTGGGCAAGTTTTTCAAACTCGGTAGCGGCCGCATCTTTCAAATGGGTCATGTCGCTGGAGACGGTCTCCGCACGGAGAAGAGCAGCAAACTGTCGGGCGTACTCGGCACTCTGTCCGCATTTCACCATCATCTTCATGTGCTCGATCTCCTTGTGGAACATGTCGGTGCGCTCGCGGAGTTTACGAAGGGCACGATATAGCTTGTTGACGTAGAAGACCATCGCTTCCGGAGTGTACCAACCGGCCACTGCAATCAGAGAAAGTTGTTTCATATTCAGAAAGATAACACTTACACTCGGTATAATCGTGGCTCTGCGGTCTACCGACGAGCTTCCTCTCTCTCTCCGAGATCTTCGCGAATGTCGCATCGTCACCGACAAGAGCGACTCTGTCTTTGAAGGCATCCCACGTCATGTCGAGCTGAAATACAACAATTACACATTCCTGTCGTGTCATTCGAACTCACCACAACCACTTCGATGTACTTGGTGCTGTCGGGCTTCTCGTCATCGTCGGTGCAATTGTATTCATCGACTAATTCGAGACTCAGGTTAGGGTCAAACGAATCGTCGGACAGATCCTGCGGAATGTTCTTTGGCTCGTTAACCTTTTCCTCGTTTTCGGTTGGAATTGAAGCTTTCGGAATAGATGCAGCATTTTCCGCGCTTCGTTCTGCAGGCTCTTCAACCTTCTCCGCATTTGTCGCCACCGGCTCTTTTGTCTCCGCTGGCTCCGCTGGCTCCTCTTCGACCTCTCCCTCTTCTTTCGCGTCTTCTTTCCGTGGTTCGACTGGCGCTTGCTGCAGTGGTTGGATGTTCGAGGGGACATCTCCATCACTCCATCTGGTCTTTTTTGGAGGAATGCGATAGTCAGTGTCCATTGCGGAAGTGCTTCGTTCCAGTGGAATCTCAACTGGAGAATCACTCGACTGCGGTAATGCGCCAGCTTGGGATCCGGTCTTCAGATTGGTGTCCAGTACCCTGTAGTCGACGTCTTTCTGGGATGATGACTCTCCAATCTGGCGCATATCAACGTCCTTGCCGAATTCCGTCTCGGTTGGAACGACAGGATCAAGCGGGATCGTTGTTGGAATAATCGGAATAAGCTTCACGTTTTGCGGCACAACTGGAGCCATGTCCGGAGACTCTGGAGCCGGCGGACTGTCCGGAGAGTCCTCAAACATTTCCATCATTGGGATGACCGGTGGAACATACGAGAACGAGACTGGATTAGCAGGAGCAGGAGCGAATCGAGACGGATGTCCTCGGATGATCTTGGCTGCATCACGTGCTGCTTCCTCTTCCTTCTTTTTCGCCTCCGCTTCCTCGATAATCTTCTGGATAATTTCATCGTCAAGGAATTTGTGCTCCGTCTCGTACAGGTTTCGGAGTCTGAGAATCACTGGTCTCTCTTTTCCAGTGTAACGCTCAATAGCACGAGCGACAAGGAACGTCTCGGGAACCTCGGAAACCTGGAAACAAACATTGAACCCAAATTACTCCTCTCTCTATCTTACCTCGTCCACTTCCAGCTCTGGCTTCCTGTCCTCTCCGTCTGTTTTCTCATCATTTTCGAAAGAAGTACCAGCAACGGTTCCAGAAGTAGAAGGTTCTCCTAGTTCTTCTTTAACCTTTTCCTTCGGCTCCTCCTTCGGCTCTACCTTGACCGCCTCCTCTTGCTCTTCTTCCTCTTCTTCCTGCTTTGCCTTCTTTCCTCTTGCTGAGCTTCTTGTGGTTCTTCGTGGAATGGATGCTTCTTTCTTTGGAGTTTCCTGTTTGATGCGTCTCGGACTTTTTGTAGGTGTCTTCGAGTTCTTCTTGGCGCTTCGCTTCTTGATCGGAGTGTACTCCTCGTCGCTCTCATCATCGTCAATCATCACTCGTTTGAGTGTTCTCGACGTTCTGCCAGAACGTTTCGGAGTGGTCTTTGGTTCAACTGGTTCCTCAGCCACGTACTCATCCTTTTCCTCGGCCTCATCTGCCACCACGTTTTTCTCCGGCTTCGTGAGCTCTACGTCTTTTGGATCGCAAACCTCAGCCGCTGAATCATCGGGTTTCGTGACAACGTCTCCTTCAGACTGCTCATCGGCAACAGGTTTGGAGGTTCCGGCGGCATCGTAATCCCTAGGCTCATCAGCGTTCTCACTAGTTTTCTGATCAACCTCTCCCGTTGTGCTTTCTTCACCCACTTGTTCGTTGGCGTCAGTCACATGATCAGCAGCCTTCTTTTCTGATTTTCCTTCCAATGAATCCTCGACTTTTCCGGCTTTGGAAACCTCGGAAGACTCTCCCTCGGACTGATCAGAAATGGGTTCGTCGGATTTGATTGATTCCACAACCTTTTCCTGTGCGCCGTCGATGACTGCTTCTTCAGTTTTCACTGACTCCATGTTCTCTATTGATGTGATTGCGGACTGCTCTTGAGCACTGGCTTCTGGCTTGGCCACCTCAGAATTCTCAGAGCTGGTCACAGTTGAGGTCGTGCCTTCACTGGTTTCAGACAAACTGGTCGAGGCGTTGTTGGTGGAAACGTTGTTCGACGCGGAAGTCGATTCGGTCGTTTTGGAGCTATCTGTTTCCTCATCCGAAGCATCCATCTCCTCGCCAAGAATCTGCTTGAGCGCGCAGTATGCCTCGACATTGCCGAGATTGCCTGAAAGTATTCATTACCAATTCAGTCATTCCAGTTACCATTACCATTTTTGCGTTTGTAGACGTCGTCAATTGGCATGAGAAAGCTTTTCGAGAGAATTGGCAAGGTTTCCAGTGGCTCAACAGTAGTCGATGCAACGACTGTGATGCTCTCCAAGCTAATCAGATTCCTTCTGTTCTTCGGAAAGTCTATGCATTCGGCGTTGAATGAGATTCCGTAGTCGACCTTTGTGAGGTACTGATCGATGAGGAACTTGTGAATCTTATCGGCAGTTTTCCTCAAATCCTTCGTCTGCACAACTTCGACCAGTTTTTGAATTGACTTTTTGACGGGTGCTCCGGAAAAATCCATGAAAAACACGTTGTCTTTCTTCTCTCCAAACATTTTCAGCATCTAAGATTACCAATAGATTTGCTGATTGATGAAATATACTCACTGCTCGTTCCACATTCGTTGTGAGCACGAAATATGTGACGATTCTGCTTGATTCTTCCTCGACGACTCTCTTCCAGTAGGCCATGCTGGCGGCGAACACCGGGCGCAATGACGAGCTCTTTGCAAACTTGCGGAGTTTTTCTAACGATTTTCCTTGCTCCAGAGAGACGATCTCATTGCCGAAATGCTGAAAAAAGTGTTTTGTGCAAGTTTTCCGCAAAATGGGCGGTAAACTCACAATGCGGACTCTGTCGGAGTAGCCTGGCTGAGAATCGCTTCTTTTGCAGAAGTGGTGCAGAAATGCCATCGTTTTCTTGTGCGGATTCTGTCCATCGGCGGTGTTCGTGCGCATTTTTTGGGAGGTGTCCACAAAGAAGTGAATGGTTTCGAGACACTCCATGCCTGCAACCCAAAAATCAATAGCCGGCGGAGAGAAATATCGACAAGAACGGAGAAAAACGCAAAGCGATAAAGAAAAGACCGAAATTGTGAGTGAATTATGCGAGTACGACTGCGGTGTAGACGCTGGGTTATTAAAGGCGCAGACAATTTAGCGGCTGGGTCCCGCAGCGATTGTCAATAGAGCGTGCTTGCATACTCCCCAGCGGCCGCTCGTTTAGCACGCAACTCAACGATTTTCTCTTTTTCAAAGTGTTTTTCAGCGATAAAAACATTAAAATAATGTATTTTTTCAGGGAAAAATGAGACCGTCCGTCGTTTCTATGGGCAAGCACTTTGGTAACCTCGGCAAGATGTACGGAGAGCACCGCTTTGCTCTGGCCCCGAACGAGCAGAAGGCGTACAAGGGATTCCTGGACCAGGCGTTTGTGAAGGTTTTCAAGACCTACGTCTGGGACCAATGGTACTACTACATCCCGCAAACCATCGGAGCCTACCTGCTCTACGATTGGGCCATCAAGACCAACCACGCCGCCAGCCGCAAGAACCCCGCCGACTACGCCAACGATCAATAAGTAGACCCCAGTTGGACGGCTTTTAGTATGTTGTTTTGTCGACTATTGCACAAACTGTCAATTTTTTCGATGCTCGAATAAATTTAGAGAGTAAATAAACATACTGGCTTGTTTTTCTGCGAGATTCCGAACAGATCGATGAAAATGAAGAAAATATGACAAAGTTCGAGAAATCTAACATTTTCGAATACGAATCAAGTGGCTTTAGTGAGATCATAACATTTTTCCGCTGCATTGAATGAGAATGTAACTGGATTTACATTGAATACAGAGTTATTGCATACACTGCAAATTGTTTCGATTCTAGAAAAAATTTATAGAGTAAATGAACATACTGCCTTGTTTTTATGCGAGTTTCTGAATGGATCGGTAAAAAAGGAGAACATTTGTCTTTTTTGAGTAGAAATCAAGTGTATTTGGTGAGAACAGCAGATTTTTCAGGTGAATTGAAGAAATTTAATTGGATTCACATTGAATACAGATTTATTGCCTTTTTCGAGCAGTTTTGTCTATCCCGACTGAGATGATGAGCGATGACGTAAAAATCTAAGGGTTCTGTTCAGAAATGATATCAGTTTGTTGTTCCGTGACATAACCGACAAATTTGGAGTTTCGCACATTTCGGAGCGCAACGTCAGTCGACAAAAAATCATAAATCTATCAGAAAGTGCCAGTTTTCTCCCGTTAACCGTCGTTTTAGTATTGAAATTCGTAATATTTCTATCACTCACAAGTCAATGGAGCTGTTCCTTTGCGAATAGACAATTGATACTGAAAAAGTCTGCAGTAATGGAACGAGCCAAACGTGTACGAAAGTGAGAATGCTAAATCAGGTTATTACATCAATCTGGCACTCTATTGTGTTTCTTCTTCTTCTTCTTCTTCATGTTCATCTAGACCAGAAAGGAATCCCCGGTTTTGCGCTGAAACTTATTTGTCCCCGGGCATCTAATGGAGTCTGAGTGCCGGTGAACCCTTGGCCGTCCGATAAATCATGTCCCCCATGCTTCATATCCATCTCTTGAGACGAAGCTCTCGAGCACACAGAAACCTTTTTATATGTCTCGCTTTCTTGACAAGTCTAATTGTGATTGCATTAATTATCTATCGGTCATATCCCAATCCATCGAGTCATCCCGCAGTCGCTTTCGGCGCTATTCCTTTTCCCCCCTCTTGGCTTTTCTACGATGACACTACAAACCACACCCGGAAGGGAGGATGAAACGGGCATTGTCCGCAATTCCTACTGATTTTTAAGTTCTCATGTTGTCCAGCAAGAAAGTGAAAGAGAGAGAGGGAGAGAAACTGGAGCAGGGGTAAACAAAAGTATGCTTTGAATATCATTGTTTTATTCCAACCTCTTCTTCCAATCCTTCTTCGATGTATGCTTCTCTTGTGCTTTCCGGAATGAATATCTGAGACGTGTGACCATTTAATTAAGGTTTTTGATCGGACCTTGTGTCTCCCTACGAATGTAAATAATCCGTCTTTTTGAAGTGTATGTGTGTGTGTGTGTATGTGTGCTCCGCAGTATTCCATGGATACACACTTTTTTGAAAACTTTTTCCCTAAATCGACGTAGAGACGTAAAATGTGAGACCAACTCGTGGCGACTCGTCTTTTCAGGGGGAATCTGTCTAATGAGCAGTATTGATATTGAACGTCAACAAGATTTCTGAACCTCGTCTGTCTTTTCATTGTGCTGTTCTATGCTCATTTCCCTCCACCCATCCACCCTCAATTTCATGTGTCATCTCCTGAAAATGGGCCCGTTCTCGTGGTTCCATCCCAATTTCCGTGTCTTCTGAGTGTCAAACTCTGAAATCCAGCAAAACATGTAATTTAAGCTCAGAACGCTCTCATTTGCAACGGTGCGTGACTAGCCAATCCCTAACTGTCGGTCGCCTTTCGAATAAATCCATTTGCGATTTTCGTTTTCGGTTTTCGGTTTTCCGCTTCTTTTCCATCTCCTGCAAATAATTGGCTTCATTTGTGCGCACTTCAACCATTCAAAGCCGAGGTGATCAACCTCATCTTCCGCCCATACTCACCCTCAACCTCAACTTTTTCATCAACTTTCATCGTGCTCATTCTCATCTCCGAGTTGTATCGGTGTATTCTCGCTTATAAATGTGTCGGGTAATTTGATATATAACAAAGCTATTTTAGGAATCATACAAAGCGCGGCAAACGTCTGAAGGAGAAGGAGAAGACTACAAGATTTGCAGTAATGAAGTCGAAGCGCTCGCTGATTCGCGCCATCCTTTTTGTCCTTCGACTACAGAAAAATGTCAACGTTCGCAGGAACCAGTCCCGTCGGAACACCTTATTCGCCTCAAGAAACATTGTTCGGTGGGTGGATGGGTTGGATGTGCGTGGGCGGAGTCTCTTTTTATGTGTTTTTCGTTGATTGTCTCGAAGATCGCATGTTGCCAAAGGCCGCATGAATGATTCCGGACGTTTTCCGGTCGTGGGGCCTTTTTCGGTTTTTGAAGTCTTCAAATCATTCAGTCAGATAACACCCAGTTACAATTCGAAGACTCTTTTTCCGATCTCTGGTCCTCAACTATGATATTTTTCAAATTTCCACCGACTTCAATCTTTTTCCAAAAAAGGAAGAAGAAGCTAAAACGGTAAGGAGTCATTCATTCAGAAGAGCCTTGTTTATTAATGATGATGTCATTCACGCCTCCGTAAACTAAAATATTTGTGGGGGAGAACTCTTCATTTTACTAAACAACCTGCTCCAGATGTGATAAATAAACATCCAAGCCCCAGAGAACCCTCATTTTTAGAGAATAATTGTGGTGAGCACAATTTTATAAAATCAAATTGGTGAGAGCTCTACTGATAAGTCACCTTATCAGCAAACAAGAGAAGCAGTGTGTAGTGCAGTTTTTGTTCCTCCAATGTCCGCATTCTCTTGGAGAAAAAAAAACAGCACGAGGTGGGAGGGGAAGGCTGAGAATGTTCCCCACAACGAGCACCTATAAATCTTGGATCTCGATCACAATAACTTCCGAATAACATGTGTTTGTTGATGAGAAATGGCGGGAAAATGAGAGAAGAGGGGTGGGGAGTGGCGTGAAGGAAACGAATAAACGATTTAGATTCGGATTTCAATTTCAATTTCAGATGCGAGTCCACCAAACATCGTCGACGGTCCTCGCACAAAAGCACTCAACGCCATCGCAACAGTGCTCCGAGCAGCTCGTACCCACTCCGGTTGGTTGTTTACATTTCATCTCTCTCTCTCTTTCTCATTACTTCCAGATCTTATGTGATTGAATTCTTCAGGTCACCAAGTGTTATTCGCGCTTCGTTCCTCGACAATCATCACAAGGAGTCAGACAATCTCTGTGATTTCGGTCCGTTCTCTCGATTTATTCGATTCCCTACCGAAATCGTGATAGTTGGTGTGCCTGGTAGCCTCTTATCTATAATTCGAGATGTTTGACGCAAAACATTGAGCGTCCGGTATAGAGGAAAAGTCGCGGGAAAGGGGAAAGAACTAACACCTCTTCCACTTCCTTTTTGGTTCAGTTCACTGTTCACTGTCTTCCAAATTGCCAGTCATTTTTAATTTGAACCACTGAACTCTCATATCTCTCCAAGTTTGGTCTTTGTTTGCTTTTTCATTCTATTCCTGCGCCTTGTCATTTTTGCTTGTTTTGTAAAGCGTCTCACGTGATACAATTATGGGGCGTCCGATTGTAATTTTGTGACCAACCGGTGCTTCGGTACCGTGTGACACAGAATGAAAAGAATCAAAAGATGGAATTTTTGAAAAACTCTTTTCCAGCGGCGCCGCCGGTTATCAATTTCAACCCGAGTTCTTCAATTTCCAACTGAAATTGTACACTTTTGTCCCAATTTTTGGTCGTTTATTATCTAAACTCTTCCTCGCAAATGCGTGACCGCTAATTTCTGTGCAAATCGCAGAGAAGTTGCCCATTTGATTTTCGCGATCTTGACCGGCTCGATGTGATAAACTCGAATAGATATTTTTGATCATAGTCGTTATCGCGACATTTCCGAATTACTCGTGTGCACATATGTGCACAAGCCGGTACAGATAACGCATTGCGTCCAGGCGTCGAACTTTAGTAACCCTTTTTTCTGAGCCTTCACCTGATATCAATGATGCCAGTTCAAGTTCAAGTACATTGCACTTTTCCTTAGTGACCACATCACGAGATTTATTCCATTGTATATTTTCAGGCGCGTTCTCTGCCATGTCCCAACCGTATCTGGTGGGTCTCGATGATTCCAGAGGAAGGCCTCTGATCAGTGTTTGTGCTGGAGCCGCTCACACTCTCGCATCCACTGCTCTTTTGTGCAGACAGCAATCTCTGGATGAACCTGCAACTCGGTACGTTTCAATTCTAATTCTGAGAATTCAATAGTCGTAAATGAGCATTTGACAGAAAAGGACGGTTTCCGTTTGTCTCTAAATTCCCATTCTCTCTCTTTTGAGTCTCCAAATCGTTAATTTCAGTGCTCTGGAAAAGGTCGCGTCAGGCCCGCTGCTCAGAGGTATGTTTATCTTCTGCAAGATTTCCGTTTCCCATCTTTTGTCAATCGTTTCCTTGAAATGTTCGCTGCAATAGATCAGACCGTGTCTTCTGAAATTGAAAAATTCCACGCCAAGTAGTCACAACATTTTTTGTTTCGTCATCGTTGAAAAGAGAGAAGCGAAAAAGAAAAAGAAAGGCGTTCAAGTGTCTTGCTGCCTCTTGTTCTTCTTTTTTTCTGTATTTTTGTACTGTTCATTGGCTCTTTTTATTCATGGCGAAAGAAGTCGTTTCTCGTGGTCGCAAGACCGAACGATTTAGACGCACAGCCAGTTCAGTTCCGTTTCGATCGCTATCAACTATTATCAGAGGTAACTGGAATTCAATGAAAAAGACACCTGATAAAAAACATCACCGATTCTTGAAAAGTGCTATTTTTGGAGTATGCTTATCAAAACGTTCTAATTTTTTAATTTGATCGGCCTATGATTTCACTTCTCTGCAAATGATCACACGATGGCCCACATTTCTCTTGAATCTATCAACTTTGCTGCTGTCTTTTTCAAAATCGGAAACAGTGTGTAGTTACTCAAAAGGTGGTAGCCATCAAATTGATTCATGCTTGGCTGACCTGATTTAACTGTTTCATCCGTTTACGCCGAAACGCGCGGCCGCAAAACCCATTATCCCTTTATCCTCAATCAACATTTGCATACTTATCTAATGAAGACGGCCACCAAATTCAAACAAAAGTGGATATCATTTCTCTCTCACTTCATCATCATTCATTCACTTTCTCCTTTCCAGGTATCTCTGTTCAGCGACAATCAAGTGTTGAGTTCAGTGAACGAAGAAGAGCGGAAGATGCTCAGAAGCTGCAGAAAAAGGCGATAAAGACCAATATGATCACTATGTTTGGTGAGTCACGTCAGCTCGGGGCGCTCTCACAGAACATCATTGTTTCTTTCCGTTTCTGTCCCACCAACAACAAAGTTCACTGAAAACATCCCGTTTTTCCTCTTAAAATCCGTTAGAAAAGAAGAAAGGATGTCCTTCTGTTATAGTGCAAGTTCATTCTTAGCTTTTGTTTCATTTCTCATTTTTTGCTGGTATTTCGGGATGCGCTTGCGTAGAAAAAAAAATAGAATAAACGGTAACATTGTTTTTTCTCCTATTTCTTGAAATAACTTATTTTCACGTTTTAGGTGCTATAATTGCTTGCGAGCAAAACGATGCGGAAGCTCTAAAGGTAGTTCTTGACAAAAATCAGTTTGACTTGAGCAACGTGGTAAACGGAAACTATGAACAATACCCAACCAAGTGGAGCCTTCTGGATATTGCCATCAATCTGAACAACGTGAAATGTGCGATACTTCTTCAGGAAAGAGGGGCCATCGAGTCATTTCAATGTGAGTCTAAAATTGAAAAAATGTAGTCCACGTCATCTGAGAATGAGCAAAGCTTCCGATGTTTTTCTAAAGTATGCGAAAAGAAAGAGGGTCACAGAATGTTTGTGACAAAAGAAAAGTTTTGATTCAGTAAACTCATTGGAGAAACGGAAGAAAGCAGTGGCAGAGGCTCTTGAAATGTCAAGAAGCACACTATCCGAGCTGAAAAAAGCTCCGCATTCTAGAGTGAGTTCCCGAAAAAAACAAATCTTACTACATTGACAACTTTTAGGATAATGACAAGAAAATGAGTGCTCTCCAAATTCACTTGAGCTTGCTCAAACAAATGGAAGACTTTCTGGAGAAGACAATCCGTCCGAAGATGTTGCAAAGTGCTTCTGTGGAAACTATATCGCACTCACGGGCTCTCATTCAGTTCACTTATAAAGAACCACAACTAAGTGTCATACTAAAGTTCAAAAGTGATCATAAAATCATTCGACAAGATTTTTACCCAAATATTTCAGTTCAATGGTCGGATACCGAAGATTTCAAAAAAGTTCTGGGAGAGATAATTGAGCCAAGACCGCTTGAGAACAAGATCATCATCCATCATCTCGAGCACGGAAAGACGTACTTTTTCACGATCAGTTGTATTGGAGTGAACGGAGAATCGAAGCCAATGCTCTGTTGGCCGGGAAAAATTGAAATCACTGGTATTGAACACCTGATAGTAATGTAAATGCCACATTTTGTTAAGATTTCGACGACGGAGATCAGAAGCGGGAGACGTGGACCGATAGAACTGAAGCTATGAACAAATTGATGGAAGACGTGGACAAGCACAGACAGAGTTTGGTGTGGCAGAGAGGTATTCGAGGTTTAACAGACTTGAAAGAGAAATTAATGACATTTGTAGTGTTCCCAATGGAAATCAACGGCAAGAAGAGGAAGAACGGGTTCAGGGAGTTGTTTTCTGCTAGTACCAAGTTATGCAAGCATGCGCATCAGTAAGAAAACATCAAGCTGTTTTTAAACAAATGAAGTTTACAGCGGAGTTTATCTTGCCGCTTTGGTTTATACAGAAGGAAAAGTTCTGGTGACTGTAGACGACTGCGTTCCCATTGTTACGGTGGATGAGAACGTGACGACGGTGTCTAAAGATGATCATCACTGGCTGATCAAGATGTCAATGTGCTGGGATCATATCAACGGACTCATGGACATCAACCCAAATGCATACTCGAACAATGTTTCATTGAGGTTCGTTTTTGTTATAGCTCGATGATATAGCTCGATTTTTAACATTTTCCTTCAGCTTCCGCAACAAATTACTCAATGCCGCATTTTCCATGCAGGAAGCTCTAGGAATCCGTAACATTGGACATGTTCACTACATGCCGTTGATTTACGATAGCTGTTTCTTCCTACTGACAGTCAGATTCATAGAGCCCAGTGTCACATTCCAGGTACCCACCGCCTTTGTCAATTTTCATGTACATGAGTTCAGAGCATCACTCTCCGCTGGATGCCGTTCAACAAACTGCTGCGGAAGAAAATGCCAACAACTGCCATCGACAACATGACGAAGCAGTTGTTGAACATTCTGAATTTTTACGAAGCTAGTCAGATTCAACTGCAACGGTGAGAATCTTCAGGGATCATTGAGTGCATAGTTGTGTTTAAGTGGATTGTATGTTGGATATCTGAAGCTGCACTCGTCGTTGAATTCGATTCGTGTGGTCGTGCCAGATGTTCTGCCGTCTATGCTTCCGTTTACTCGAGTCAGAGATAACCCACATTTGACGAAGGAGGAATGGGAATGGATCAAGGTACTTTGAAACCTGGAAGTAACCAGTAGACTATTTTAACGTTTCAGAGTATTGATATGAATGATTCCTTTTATGCGACAAAAGCTCAAGAACGCATTCACTCGGACATTGCACATGCAATCCACCGGCTTCTCAATGAACTGGATATCGATCCGGATCTCGTCCCCGGCACTCGTTTGTATCATGCCGAGATTGTCCAGCCAGACGACAACACCACTATTCTTTTGGTACGCTTTTAGTTACAAATACTTCGAATAATATGAAGTATGTTTTGAGATTCTACCCCGATCGGACGATGTGTGCTCGGTCCCCACTGGCTCGAGCAAGAATACCGAGTACATTGAGTCAAAACGTCAATGTACTAGTGTTCCGATGCCTGTTTTCGATATAAGTTAGTTTGAATGCCACGTATCTCTAAGTAATTTCCACTTCCACTAAACTTCAGTTCATTTTCTCACGTATCAAACGCATTTTTTGACGTCATACTGCAAACTGAGCATTTTCTTGGAGCATTTTGTAATGGTGAGAAAATTTTATGCTAATTGCATTCATTCCACGCTTCTCTTCTTCTCTTCAGATTTCGCAATTCGAGCAACGAAAATGTTTGTTGGAGAACGACAGCAAAGTCTACAAGAATCAAACAGAGATCTTGAATGAGTTCCAGGTCAGACAACAACAGTTCGGACTTTTTTCATCCCTTTGTTCATTTTTTTCAGAAACGTCTTGAAGAGATATGGCAGAATGCGAGATGGATCAGTCGCGTGGCATCGGAGGCTCGTGACAAACATGTCAAGTAAGGAAACGAGCACTTTACAGTGAAATATCACATCCCAAATTGTAGGGTATCTCGGAACGCAATTCCATTGACACGTTTCATGACTGCTTTGCCGCGCAATCCGGAAGAGCTGAGAAAAGAGGAAAACGAACGGGAAAGCATCCGTAGAGTTCAGCAGAGAAGGAGAATGCGCATGGAACTTTTGGGGGATAGATTGGACTCGAATGAAGAAGATGGAACAGATGAGGAATTCGAGATTGTGATGAGCAATGAGCCGAATCCAAAGTGCAATGGGTTCCTGAAATCTGAACAGCCGCGCTCAGCTTTGAACTCTCCCCAACAAAGTTATCGCGACATTGACAGGTAACCAAATTACTTCTAATTCCTCTCATTGTCATTTTCCTGTTTTCAGTGTCTACCGCCGTCGTCGAAAAGTATCCACTGACTTGGCTTTGGCTCTAAGCAATACGAGTCTCAACAATATTGACGAGAAAAACCTGACTCCAGATAGGCCGCCAATCAAAGAAGACAAAATATTTCTGGAGTCGATAAATGTGATTGTCGGATACGATTGTCAAGTGCCGAAAGGCACAAAAATCGCGTTGTCAGTGACACAAAGCACAGAAGCTGGCGATGTATGATATCATAATTGCATTTTCCGTCTCTATTTGTTTGATTTCCAGGTGGTCAGCTTTGTGATTGAGCAGATTGCAAAGTCAGCGGCAGGCCAAGACCACGAAATAACATTGTCGGACAGCTCGGATTTGTGTTTGGTGGCCGCGATTGGGCAACGGGAGAGGAGGCTGAAGGAGGAGGCGATTATCCAGAGATTGGACAGAACCTGGCTGAAAGGGAACTTTGTGATCCGGAGAAAAGACGGTTTTCTGAATGGCGAAGACATTGCAAACGAATCTCTTGTATGATACTACACTAGAAACCTTTTTCTGTATAGTTTGTAGAAATTTTTTGTTATCTAATATCCAACTTTCCATACTCCCATATTGCACTCATTCCATGGCCACGTATCACTATAAAAGTTCAGTTTTCCATGCCTGATCCCGATGATTATTATCCGCCCACGTCCCTTATTTTGCTTCCTGAACCCTTTTTTGATTGTTTATTATTTTTAGGTAATTGCTTCTAATAAATCTTTGGATAATGGAGGTACTGGCGCATGGAAGTGAATGATTTAGCGAGCGGCTTTACAATATGATTGATAGTGTTTAGTTTTCTTCTTTTTCTTCAACAAACAAACACCAACTTCCAAATTTTATTAGTCCATTAAAAAAATTTCTACGGTTTTCTTACATTATAGATCAATTACAACAATGTGTCTTTTTTTGGGGGGAGGGTGTTGAGGAATCGAATAGAAATGTTTGTGATAGCATAGGATTCTAGTGGAAAAATGTGATTGTACAGTTATAAATGAATATAAAATAGATGGCAAATCAACGTTTTCCAGAGCAAATAAAGTCGGGGAAATTTGAGGGGACAGCTGAGGGTGTTGTGTTGTCAGGGGTGTGGAAGAGGTGGTTGGGTGGTGGTGACCAACTTCACAATGCTGGTTGGATTTCAGAATTAGGAAGCGGAGGAGGGAGGGGGGAAATGAAAAAAAAACCATGAGGATGCGCATTCTTATACATATAAACTTATACTTAACTTATTATCAAAGACAAGAATCGGCATTCACTACATGAATGATGGAATAGAACGGAAAAGAATGGATGTTACTTCTTTTTTCAGAGTTGGTAACCTTTGCGTGATGAAATTTCAAGGTTGTTGTTTTAATTGGAGGAGGAGAAAAATTGGACAAAAATATTCTTTTTTTGGTCTTTTTCAGTTTTTTTCGAAGAACGGAGAGAGACAAGTAAAATTAATTGAAATTGAACAATAAGAGAATATGGAAATTTCTAGAACTAAGTGTTTTTTCTTAATTTTTTCATTTTTTCAAAGAATTGACTAGTTTGTCGAAAGTGCGGAGTTTGAATGAATGAAGCAGCGAGAAAATGAACTGACTAGAAAAGTAGGTGAACAGAGGAGGAGTACGCTATTTGGGAGGACAAATGTCACGGACAAAAAAGAGAAAAATTGAAGGAGAAATGTCTAAAAACCTAAGACAGATGAGAAGTTGGGTTCAGTTAGAGGGGTTTGTGAGGATAATATACGAATACTGAGAAACTCTATTTGGCAGAGAAGAAAAGAAGTAAAGTCGGTTTCCGGGTAAGTATCTGAGAGAATCGGTTCTGGGCTTTGGGTGATCGAGTTAGGTCATGAGCTTGACGTAGGAGTTGTAGTTCGACACGTCTCTCTTGAGGATTTCACGGACCGGGCCCATGACACGCTCGAAACGGTTACGGTCCAGCTTGATGCACTTGAGGTGCGTCTTAGCGACGACGGTGGCCGCACGTGGGCGGTCAAGAAGAAGAGCGATCTCTCCTGAACAGGCATTTTCCCTTGTTAAACTCTAATTTGATGTTTACTCACCGAAGTAGTCCGACATTCCGAGATGTCCGACAACGTCAAATGGAGCGTCGTCGCTTCTCTTCTGGAGCACATTGGCTTCTCCCTCGAGAATGATGAAGAACTCATCTCCCGGCTGTCCTTGCTCGACAACATGAGTTCCCGGCTCGAAGTCGCATCTCTCGAGAGCATCGGCCACATTGGCACGTTCCCATTGGTCGAGGTCGGCTGAAAGATGATTGATAAGTTCTTTGTTGCCGCCGCGTGTTTTTGATCTCACCCAAGATTTGGACCTTCGACAGGAACTCGTCGTACATCTTTCTCTTCTTGGTCACCGATCCCATAAGGATTCTACGATAGGTGAGACGGTCGATGGCCCACAACTTGACGTCGGTCTGAAATAACGATGCTACACAACATTCATGAGTGACTGTAATCCGTACCTTAGCGACAACGGTGGCGGCACGTGGAGTTCCGTAGATGAGAGCGAGCTCTCCGAACGAACCACCCTCGTTGATGGTGAGAACGAACTCCTGGTTGACGAAGACGTCAACGGTCTGAGGGAAAAAGTGAGATGAAAATACGGTGCTCTGAAAAGTGAACTTACTCCCTTGTCAATGACGTAGAAGTTGTCTCCCTCCTCGCCCTGCTCAATGATGGTTTCCGTGGCGGACTTCTCAACCGGGAACATGGCATCGTACATGGTCTTCTGCTCATCCTCCTATAATGAAAGGCCGCGGTGAACCGGAAGTGCATTAGGACGAGTCACTAACCTCCAAATGAGCGAAGAGCAAGTTCTTTCTCATCGCCGCCTCGAGCGACCTCCGGGTGGCATCGTCCTTCGGGATCACGACCTTCTTGTACTCTGTGTCGTCTTCCTTGATTGGCTCGGCCGAGATTCCGGTTCTGCGGCCACCAGATCTCTTCGGTGGCTCCACGATGATGTCATCATCATCAGCGGCGTCCGCATGTCCTCCTTCCTGAAACAATTATGATGAAAGGAAAATCGGCGAAGAAAGCATGCTAAGCAACCAACCATCTCTGAATAGAGTCAGCAAGTCAGAATGAAAACCAGAACCAGTTCAGTCAATTATTCTTCTTCTCCCGGCCCTCCGTTTTGTGTCAAAACGTTAACCTTGAAATCGAATTAAGTGGGCCACCGGGTAATGTGAATTACTAGTCTATGTATATATATATATATTGATTTTCACTCAGCAAAACAGTTTGTGTCCAAAGGGGAATTGCGTTGAGTCGAGTTCAAGAGTGTTTTCAGTGGGTTCGCTCGGCACGCCTAAAGGAACAAAAACAAATAGCCGCTGGGCTTGTTTGCCGTGAAAATACATTTTAGAACATGGGTTTGTGTGCAAACAGTCACCATTTAGACGCTCACCTTTCTCATTTTATTTTTTTTAGAAAAGGGCGTAGAAACGAAGTAAAATGTGCGCTTTGTGTGGAAGAAAGAAAAGCGAGAAATATTAAGTGGCGGGTATACGGAGCCAATCTATCGTCGAGAGAGCCCCCGGTTTGCTATCCGCCGTCTAATGTGCTTCAAAGCGTACGAGTCACTCTCGCGATCGGGTGCTGTGTTGCCTCTCCGTTTCTCACTCCATCAAACTTCCAGCATTTCACCCTTCCACTTTTTTCCTCACTTATGCCTGGCCTGGCCTGGCCGCAAGCTCATCCTTCATCAATCGCTGGATCCCCAACATTTTGGCAGACATCTTATTGTCTTCCAATTTTTCCCTCTTTTTTGTGGTCAGTTGGCGCTGAGGAGCAGTTTGTGTTTTGTCCGCCACCTACTTCCATCATCTGTTACTTCCGGTCAATTACCACCCTAGCGTGTATTATTGCGACCAAATGAGACATTGGTCACACAAACAAGGGAAATGACAAAAAAAAAGTAGGAAGCTTCTCGAGTTTCCGAGACTTAGAAAGTGCGCGTTGTCACCCTTCAAAAACTTAGAAACGTCATAAATTGACTTTTCAAAATGTAAAAAACTTGGTCCCCTTGGGATTCTTGATTCAAGATCTTCCTCTCAGTGACGCCCAGAATAGACAAATTGATTTGATTTGATCACCTTGGTTTTGGGAGCCTTTGCGTTTTTCGCGGCGCCCACAGCTTGCGAGTTTCGACGATTGCTCAGCTGCTGCCCCATCACATTCCTCAGTGGCTCTGCGAGTGAACCCAATCAATAATCGGCACAAGAGTACGAGACGGAGTTAGAAACTGGACAGGTGTAATAGAAATCAGCTAATGAGAAAAAAGGGAAAGATGTTGGAATTGAAATGGAAAGGAGGGAATGAAGAGTGCGTTTGCAGAGAAATAATGACGACAGACTGCAACTTAAAATAAGTACGTGAAGAGGCAAAGAAAACAAAACAAATCGGACCGGGTTCCTACACAAGACTTAATTGAAGCCGTGCGAATGTTTTCCTACTTGCAACAAAGTCATCATGTCGTCAGAGAAGAAGGGAGAGAGGGAGAAAGAGAATGTCAATTTCAGAAAGAGCATTTCTGCCGTGTTTTGTAGCAGTGACGACAACGAATTTGACTTCCGAAAACATGGAGACGTGAGGTTTTTGGTCAAAACCACACACAACACGACGAAATGTAACGAAATTTAAGAAGGAAGGGAGAAGGAAGAAGGGGAAAAAAGGGCGCCGGAGAATGTGTTGTATGTCTGGCATGATAGAATTTCCACTTTGAGGACAGTACAATCTCGCGTTGATGACGCAGAAAGCGCTTGTGATTTTCGAAGAGGAATCTGATCTTTCAGCTGATTCCAGAATTGCAGACAACAAAATCCTAGAATTGGGTCTAGGTAGGAAGTATGAAGAAACAAATCGATTCAACCAAAATTATTACCCTCCGCATCACGGCCGATGACGGAATAGAAGCTTGACTCTTCACTCTTTCTCTCTCTCTCTTCTTCTTTCTCGCTTTCCGATCATTCCTCCGCTTCTCTTTCGTCTCTCCAGTGGTCATAAAACTCCGGCCTTCAGGGCACATTTTATTCGATTATAGAATATATTCGAAGAGGAGAAGGAAGGCGAGTGAATAAAAACGGACGAAGAGAAACGTGAAACAAGTATGTAGCATTGCGTGAATGGAAATTTGAGAGGAAAAAAGAAGATCAAGTGGGAAATTGATCCAATTGAATACATTTTATAAATGAAGAGAGCCTTATGCATCAAAAACGAGGGCGGGTTGTTAATTTCAAAAATTAATCCTATTCCACTTGGACCGTCTGCCTAATTAGAACAAAAAAACAACCTTGACTGGTTTTCTGACTTCTGAAAATCAGTTACTCTGGCTGAATCTTTCAAAAACAGAAGTGGTTGATGTTTGATTGTGTAGCACCGTCATTGTTTCGTGTTTCACCTGACCCCTCAAACATAAATCACTGAATTCTTGTTTTCTCGTGAATTCTTCAACCCCCCGCCCTGCTTCCGATCTCTCAAATAGGGAGGAAGTACAACAGTTTTAGACTGATGGAAAATCAAATTGTGGCGGAGGAGCAGAGCATAAAAAAGAAGAAGCAACACCGAATGGGGAGGAAATTGCGAGGAAGAGCTGAAGAAGAAGAAGGAAAAGAAGAAGATCGACGCAAAGAAATCTGCCTCGGGGCCTTCCTTCACTCTTTGTTACTCTCCACTTCACTGCGACACAGGGACCCGCTCGTGTGCTGCGAGCTGAGCCGATGGCTGCGCGCTCTCGTTGCTCAATGGACAGCTCTGGAGGCTCATTGGGACTCGTCTCAACGGGCCCATTCTCTGCCTTCTCTCCCTTCCTCTTTCGGCTGCCTTATCCGCTCTGCGGCATCCCTCCCAACTACTCCTTCTTCGGAGGACCCTCGCCCAAAAAAAAGACACACTGCGTTTTCGAAAGACAGAAAAAAGAGAAGAAGGAGACTCTTTTCATCCACATCGATTGGGAAGCAATGGCTGAAGCTGAAGCTGAAGCTGAATCTACTGGGAAAATAGAGCGAGAAAAGAAATAGTAGAAGGAGTGAATTTACATAAACCCTTCCCAACCAACCCCGTTTTTTTCATTGGCTCACTTCTCATTGTCAGAAGCTGAAGCTGACTGAATTTTTAGTTTTGTCAACTTCTTGGAGACATGTGACGTCCGGTTTTCCGTTGAAAATGGCACAGAAGAAGTGAAGCGAAAAATGGCTTACACACGCGCAGATGTTTGATTTCCAGAAAAGTATATGTATATTTTTGTGTAAAATAAAAATTTTGGCATCGTGAGATCCGGCACAATGAGAGGGAAGGAGAGCGGAATGGAAATGAGAATATGTCAACGCATAGTCATGCATACACTATTGCATTCTTTCAGAATTGAAGACTCGAGAGCAAAAAACACGACAATATCGAAACAATTGTTGAGACATTTTGTGCGTTTAATACTCAAAATTGTTCTAGATTCTTGATTCTAGATTCCATAATGCGCTTATATTCCATCTTATTGCCTAATTTCAAGCACCATGCGTGGAGGTTTCTGATAAGAAATACTTCAAAGACAATAAAAACGTATTTTCCGGCCAAGTAAACTGCAATAGAGTCTTTTCCACCCTTTCCAACAGGGTTCTGAACTTCCTGGTCTGAAAGTGTATCAATTGTTATGTGACGTCATCATGTTCGCGGAACAAATCAATGTGTTTTTCAGACGTTTTTTTGATCTGTACATACATACTTCACAGACGTGTCACCATCAATCACTGCGACGTTTTTGATTTCTGAGATCTTCTCGGTTCATGATCAACCTCGAGGAACTGATTGAACTCTACAGTACTTGGAGACGCATCCCGGCGTTTGAGTGGGGGTGTTATCAAATCAGGACAGATATCACAAACCCCTGGGCTACGGTAGATCTATGAAACTCGTCGATATCGATACGGAAGACTGACTGAACTGGTTCTAGGAAGCCCTTCAAATCCCAGAACTCACCTGTGATCGTTGTTCGTTGAGTTTTTCGAAATGGTCCTTCAGGAAAAGAACCGGATTGTCGGGTTTGTGGATGCAAAGAACAACTGAAAATGTCAGATTTTAAACGATTTTCATAAAGCTCTCAAAACGCGTACCGATTGCCTCCTTAACCAGCTGCTGGATGTTGTGCCTTTGAACGTAGGCCTGGCACTGGGCCAACTGATCCTCTTCGTTTCCACCCGACATAAAAACGATGTTACCTACAATCGATCTGTTTGATTTTGACAAATTAAAACACGGAGAAACGGCGAGTAAACCACGGAGAGAAGAATGGCAGAGAGAAATGTTTGAAATGAGGGTGAGTGATAAGAAGAAACCGACTTTCGACGGCGAGAGAGGGCGGAATGAATGCCCGATATCAGTGTACAGCATCTCGGAAAACTTGGCGTGTGCCCCTACGGCTCACATACATTTTCAAAAGCAAGCGCGACGGGTTGGCAAGAAAAAAAACGAGGAGAAAACGTTTTGGTAAATGTTTACTCTTTTTCGCACACAAGAAGGAAAAGGAGGTCGACTGGAAAAGGAAAAAGGAAGCCGAGAGAGAAAGAAAGAGAGAAAGGGAGCTCATATGTAACTGAAAGAAAGAATAATGAAATAAAAAGGGAAAATGAAGTGAATGAAAATTGAGAACAAGTCTCTTCCAGTTTTCAAGATAACGAGGGTAAATAGGATGATTGATGATAATGGTTATCTGAATGAATCGCGTTTTCGCCAGGTAGTCACTAATTTTCGCCGGTTGACAGTCTGACGCCAAGACCGGAAGCGAAATCCAATTATTGAAAAAAAGAGTTGACCCCTCCCCCGAAGTCTTTCGAAACATCTTATACAAACAGATTTGCGCTGATTCTACTATCGGTTTAACACAATAATCGTAAATTAGATTGTGTCCACCTTAACCCGATTATAAGAATGCTTAGAAGTTCAAAAATCAATATTACTACGCAGGCATGACCTATCAATGAAAGAGGTGAAGGGGATTCTCGGCACATATTACAACGGAAAATGAGATGCGAGAAGGCTCGCTACCTTGCACACAGACGTTAAAACTCTTTCGAACATTGGTTCCCATCTTCCGGAAATCAGTTTGCAATCATTGTTCATATAGACATCAGACTCGCTAGTAATCCCCGACGGATTATGTCAGGATGTCTGAATAGCCTATGATTATTCTGATTTTCACATTTTGCAGTTGTAGTCAAAAGCTGTCCTTGTTGAGCTGAGAGGACTTTCTGATTTTCAGATTTTCAATGCGCTGTCAAGTAGAAAAAACGAAGAAGAAATGCAACATGCAAAGAAATAGGAGCCAATGAATCATGGACGGAAAACTAGAGTAGGGGGAGCGAGAAGAGACGTCGACAACGCCCCGAAGACGTCGACGGGGGAAATTGTTTTTTTTTTCCTCTGCCCACCCCTTTCTTGCGTGGTCTCAGGAGAACCACTAACTGGCGACTCACGCCCGTGGAAGATGGATGTTTAAATTAGGTAGTTTTATGAGCATTTTTCAAACGCATAAATTCTGGATCCTTTTTCGAAAAGTGGGATGGATTGGCCACTTTTCGAGAATTGCCTTCATAAATCTGGCTAGTGTGATTGACGGCAAAAAAACAGGAAAAGGGTTTGAATTTCCGTCACTCCTCGCACTTCCTTTTTGGGAACGGATACAAAAGCTCGCTAACGTTGGCTCACCAGCCAAGGAACATTCAATAACGGAAGAATACACGGCAAATGAAAATAAACGTACTGCGTCAGGCATTGTTGATTGTTCTATAGGTCCCCGATGAATCATTTTCGAAAGACTGTTGGACACGTAATTCGCAATTTCGCAATGATTCAGCCAAACAGAAGCATAGATGTAAAGAAATAATAAGATAGTCTCAGCCGAAGAAGCCCAAATGCATTAGAATCCTCGTCACCAGACAGAAAACACACATTCCTGGGAAAAAAGGGGAAGAAATGACAGCGCAGCTAGCTGGAAAATGGGCGGAGACAAAGCCAAAGTCCTCGAAAGAAATCCCGTGCAAAATGATATTCGCGAGAATTAGAGAAGTTTCACAGAGGCATGGCACCAAAAGTTCGTGAGCTCTTTGTCAAAATGTATATAGAATTCCCATCTCATATGAGAGAATAAAAAACAATAACAAAACGTAGAATCGAATTCATCATTTCACCATCAGACGCGGGACTGACAGACTGCCCCTCTGTTTCTGACGCTGTCTATTCGCCATTTTGCATATTTTATAAACTGCCGCCTGCAGCTCCAGTAGCCTAGAGTCGGCAAATAATTCACGTCGCCAACATGATGTTGTGCGGCGGCATCGTAGACAGAGAGACCAGCCGCCCCCGTCGATGAGGGCCAAAAACAATTTTCTGAACTGGTATACCGGGTGAGACGCAACCACAACCACAACGTACTGCGATGAATGCGTGACATAAAGCTTTTCGGTGGTTCTCATGATGTATGCGCGAGCGAAAGGTGTTAGAAAAAGCAAGGAACGACGTGCATGCAAACAAACAGAACAGACGGGCAGGGAAGGTTGTCCACAAGTTTATTGTATCGTATATTATAGATAACCCGGCTGAACCCGGAAACTTATCCCCCTCGTTTAGACGCGGACAAAGTACGTGTTAGAGCAAACAGATAGATAGGATCGAGAGCAAATTTGACAGGGTTTGACCTCCCTCGGATGAGTCTACAACTATTTTTTCAACGAGAAAGCTATATTGAAACGGATTGCAAGAAGGGTTACGTTTTTTATAAGTGTGCCACGAGTGGTTTCGTTTCGAAAACTGAAATTGGTGCCATTTTATATGCACACGATACGGTTCATTTTGGAAATTGCACCTATTTAGTTACAATTGGGTGCGATTTAGTGAAAAAGAAGCGAGGTCGGCGGAAGATTTACGCTTCTATACACGACCAACAACAACATAATGAAGTGTTGGCAGTTGCCTGAAAGGCTTCCGAAAAGTGAAGCTCTTGGTAACGTCTCACATAAATCATCAAGCACAACAAATGAGGCGTGTGCGGGTAGAGAGATCAGGTTTAGAAATTGTCCAAAGACCATTCAACCTCTCTTCTCACATTCATTTTTATGATTATGGTCAGGGTTTGCAAAAGCAAATGACAGAAATGGATGGAAGGATAGACATAGAATCGAAAACCAGCTGACCTAAAGTTTTATTGCGCGGAAGAAGGTAATTGGTGGATTAGCTAATATGACATGACGACAAACCGACTTTTTTTTTGATATTTCATGGAAGGGGTGTTAAAGGATTGGTTTGCTTTCGCAAAAAATACGAGAAAAAAAGAAGAAGAAGAAGAAGAAGAAGAAGCTGCCGACTACTAGCTCATGGGGGTCCCGCTGCTGTCTAGTTTGAGTCTGAAATGGCGAAAGAAGCTCTCGTTTTTGGCCAGTCTTCTTCTTTTTCTTCTTTTTCTTCCTCTTCTTTTTCTCCGTCTTCGTCTATTTTGCTCCTTTTCGCAGAGCATTTGGCATGATGTAAGCAAATCGAAGACGTGTGCCAGCCCTCCCCCTTTTTCCTAAGAAAGCCCTCACCGCCAAAGACACTCTCATTTTATTCACTCCAAAAGATTGAAGCGCTTCAGGAAAAGTGAGTGAGAAAAAGAGCGAGAGAGAGAGAGAAAGAGAGAAAGAGGGCAAACGAGAATTCACTCTGACGCCTTCCTCCTTTTAGATCGCCTGTGGCGCAGTCTTCCGCCTGCTTCGGCTTTCATCCATCCATTTCTCTCTTTCTTTCCACCAAAACCACCAATTTTAACCAAAAACGAGAAATGTTGGGGACTGAAGTCGATAACCTTAGAAAGAGATTGGCAGCAAAAGAATATGAAATCGGATTATGTGTCGTGTCCAGGAAACAAATGATTTCAGAGTTCAAAACGTGGAATGAATAAAAAAGTGAAACGCAAAACACTCGTTAACGGAGGTCTTCAGAGAAGTGTACGTTCACATGGAAAATCCATGAAAGGCCATTTCTCACCCGTTTCCCAGAACGACGGCTCGACCCACGTCATGTCTGCTCTTTTTCCACTTTACCCGAAAAGCTCCGTCGTGGCCCATTTGACAAGGGACTTTTCAAGTTTTCCTTCAAAAAAAAAAATCAAAAGAAAGAGATGACGTGATGCGTACACTTACGGAGCCCCGAAGGGATTGAAAAAAAAGCCAAAACGCGTAGAGCAAGGGAGAAGAGGAAAGCGTTGAGGGTTTGTGGCCATCTGGTCGGACCCTTGTGCCTGTGTTTGTCGTTCGGAACGAGACCCTATCTCGTCGGAGGACGCATTGGGTCTCCCGCTCTCGGCTCTCCGCCACTTGACACACATACTGATCCGATTGTTTGGCAGCATACCGTGAAAGGAAAGAAACTAAATAAACGAGGGCCAGAATAGAGTCTTTTATGCAAAGGACTTTCCCGTTCATTCATTCCTCATAAATAATTAATGAAAGTATAATGAGGTCGAAGCTCTGAAACTGAAGCGATCTCGCACTGACACACACTCTTTTTTGTGTCTGACTTTCACACGAATAAGTATTCGCATAAGTATTCAAATTTTTTCGTTTCATCTTTAGTGTTTAGGGATGAAGCATCAGGAGACAAAAAATGAAGAAATGGGACTAAGAAAGAACAGAAGTATACATACATAAATCGTATTACATTCTCTTTTTCTTTTCAGAAGCACATCAGATTTTCTAGCACGGAATGTGCGGCGAAACTAGATTACCGAACACGTTATTTGGGCTACCGAACGTCAAATTTAATTATCCGAATGGCCGAGGAAAGGCCTGCGCGAAATGAAAAGATGGAGAAGGAAGGGACACTTTGAATAAATTGGATTCCTCTTCTTCGGTGTCTCGACAGGATCACATTCGAGTTGTGAACGAAAATTGCGACAATAGGTTACATCACACGACTCTCACTCTTTCTCTCTCTCTCTCTCTCTCACTTCTTTCTTTCTCAGTTGGTGGGAGCAATATTACAAACAAAGCGGAGGAGCAGCACAAATCGGAGAAGAAGGAGCAGTAAGAACAGGAGGTGGTTCCGTCAAACCATGAAGAAAAAGAAAGAAAAAACAGAAGAGGCTGCTTTCTTATTCCTCTCCAGAAAACACAAAGATGATGAATCATCCTGGTGTCGAGGGACATGTTGAAACTCATAAATTTTCAGGTTTTTGAATAGCTCCCCGGAGAATCTCAACTCTGACAGCAAAGAAATGAAGGAAGCAGAGAACATAACTTGATTTTTGATCAACCCTGTCAAAACCGAAAAAAAAAACCGAAAAAGCTGAACAACAAGAGCGTCGAAATGTGGAAATTCACGGGTTCGCGTTGACGGAGAAGAGAAAGCGAAAAGCCACGAAAGGAAAAGATCTTCTTAGGCCGGGAATACGGGCGAGTGCGGTTGTTGTTGATACGCCGCACTGAATAATCGCCACTTTCGATGCAAAAAGAACGAAGGATATGGATTTTTATCCTCTTTATGTTTTGGTTGCTAGTAAACAAGTCCAGGTCCAGGTGGAAATCGGCAGAACTTGGCTGAAAAGCATTCAGGTCACATGTAACACACTGTTTATCATATCCGAGCTCAAAAAGTCCCTCCTCATTTCTCATCGGCCTCTCTCTTCTTTTTTTATCGCCCTTCATCGCTGCTTTCATCCATTCTAATCCTCCATTATACTCAGTGAGCAATGAGTTTTGTTGTTGCACTGAAAGGTAGACGGGAGGGTTGAGAGTCAAACGCTAGACATTATGCATGTCTCTCCAGCCTTTCTTTTCCTCATTTCTCTTTGGTTTCTTCTATTGTTTGTTGTCTTCGTCTTCTTTTTCCCCCTCATCTCGTTTCACAGTTCATTTAACTCATATGCGTGTGGTTTTGTATCAAATCAGAGTGAATTAGTGAGGTGGTATGATGTGCGGTCAAAACTGAGTTGGAATTTAATTAACACAAAAGCACACACACATACCAATTTGTTCCTCTTTCATTAAATATAACAGCTAGAAGAATCGAAATCAAAATCGAAACATATCAGAATTGCCACTGCGCGTTTTCTCTGCTACTCCTACTGTACTGCCTGCTTATTTTTCACTACGTCAAGTCGAGACCATCAAACGGGAGCCAGGCCTTCATTGAGTATTCTATTATTGAGTTTAGAAGAGTATGGAAACGCGAGAGCCGCAGACACTGCGTCCCCCAAATACCCATTACCTCTGCCGCCGGCGCACTCTTTCCCTTTTCCCTTCTTTCTCGGGGTCCTCTCGCTGAGGCCGGTCGGGCCGGCGCACAGGCGGTGCGGTCTCGCGTCGCCTGCCAGCCTGCGAATCAAACGGCGCGACCCGCCAATTCAAATGTGGCCGAACAAAACGACGGACAGACAACAAGAGGAAAGACCGCGTTTGCCCGAGCCGCGTTGCCTGGAAACCATTCTACTGCCGCGCAGAGTTATTAGAGGGGGGGCGAGACTGCCGAATTTATATGGAGAGTAGATATAGAAAAAGAATGAAAAGCCGAGAGTGTAGCGATTTCGGAGAGCCGCGCGCGTCCGGGCACGTTGTGGTTTTTCAAAAAGGGAAAGTGCGATAGAAGGTCTCTTGCTTCTAAGAGCCGCCTCTCCTAAATTGAAGTCTAATCGGCGCGCCATTAGCCACTTGGCTCCGCCGAGACATGCACAACTGCCTACTATTACTGTACTTTTGTTGATATTGATATATATCCCCCGGTGGCAATGCAAAAACAACAACTTACGGTACGTTTTGTGAATTTCAATCAAATAACTGTGAAGCAGCACTGCTAGGGGAGCGTGAGCCAGCTAAGAGAGGTGTTTCTTCAAGTTTATACCTTTCAAAGAGATTCATTTAGAAATTATTCTGAAGGAAATTGGCTAGTGACAAAAGAAACATGGTTGTTTGGTTTTCTGTTTGAACAAGATAGTAATGACTGAAAGTTGTATGTGCCCGACTCCCCGAGACTTGCCATTATTATCAATTTTCTCACTATCACTGTGGCGGTCAGCATCCGGCTCAATTTCTGCAAAACGTTTCGTACTTCCTATTTCCCTTTTCCTGAATTGGGCACAACCTGCTCGGCGCCAAGTCCGTCGGGTTGTCATTAGTGATGTGTGCAGCTCTGAAATACAAAAATGTGATTGTTTCGCAATCCGACACAAAATATGAAATCATAGCATTGAAGCATAAAAGGTGTGATTATAGGCGGCGGAAGGAGTTGGATATTACCTTTAGATTAGAAAGATTGTACAAATCACACATTTTTTGATTCTCCATTACACTCTGACGGACACTGCAAAAGTAATGCAATTTTTCTCAGGCTGAATAAAGAAGCGGAAAGATGAAATGTAGAATCATCTGAATTTGAGACTGACTAATGTGAAATAGTGACACAGCGAGAGCTGCCCCCGATTGTAATTTGAAACTTTCAGAAATGTTTACTTTTCTCCGTAGTGATTCATAGAATAGTGACGCAGAGATCCACAATGTTTTGTTCTTTTTTTTCGCGAAACACTGATCATTGGTTTTCTGGTGAATGAGATTTATATATAGAGCTTTCTGAGAATTATTCGACAAATATCTTATCCGCATAACTAGCAGTATGATTTCATACAAATTGCTATTTCCACAACGCCAAAGGCTTTCTTCATCTCCAACTTCCTTTCCATAGTCATGTGTACACATTTGCATTATATACAACGCGTGGAAAGCAATTTGTGGTCATCTATTGAAAAAAACGGGCGCCGCTTTTTTCTTGCGCACCTTGGAGCACATAAATACGGAAAAAGGTCGGATTTATACTAAAAGAGGGCACAACTTGCTTTTTTTATGTTGAAAGAATAAGAAACGACCTATTGAGTGTGTACTAGACCTGACTAGGCCTATTGTGAAGTTGTACACCGACCAACTCGAACAAAATGTTCAATTGAATGGGATCCGGTTTTTTTTTTTGAAATTCTCTGGAGACAAACTAACGAGCATTAGGAAGGGAAAAGTCATTATGGACAGAAACAAAAAGTTTTTCTGATGATGGGGTTCGGTTATTCCTAATGAGATAAATAATGTCTTTGTTCCTTTTGTGCATTCATTCAAGTAAAAACAGTGGGATAAAATTGACAAATTTCAGGTGGTAGTTCGAGTGAGACCATTGAATTCCGAAGAAAAAGCAAGGAAAGCGTTTCAATGTGTGTTCCCTCTGGACAAGTCAAGAGTTCTATTGGTTGACCCGGAAAAGTTTGAGAACAATATATTGAGACAAAACAGACAGCATGAGCGGAAATTTGAGTTTGACGCGACATTCGGAGCAGTTTCTAACCAGGTAAAATGAAAAAGGAAATTCTATCAAGTAGGCGATGTCTTTTTTTCAGGAAGACGTTCATGACACGACCACCGGGCCTATCATAGACTCTGTTGTAAGTGGCTATAATGCAACCGTATTTGCCTATGGAGCTACTGGATCCGGAAAGACCTACACGATGATAGGGACCAAAGAGAGACCTGGACTCATGACTTTGATGACGAAGGCATTGTATGAGAAGTTGGACAATCAGTATCACGTTCTACTGTCTTATATGGTTAGTTGAAATATCGGATCTAAGTAATTACTATCGACATTTAGGAGATATACAACGAAATCATACGTGATCTACTGAATCCATCTGGCGGAGATCTAGAACTTCTCGAAGATGAGCGGGGAAACATCAGAGTGCCCGGACTGTCATCTGTCCGAGCTCCGAACCTCTCCAGAGTGAGTCTTTTTTCAAAAGCAGACGAGAGTGGCAATTCTATGACCTTTTGAGCTACAGTAATCCTTATTTGTCTTTAGATCATGCAAATACTGCAAGAAGGCAATCTGCGACGCACTCAGGAAGCGACGATGGCGAATAAGACGAGCTCAAGAAGTCATGCTTTGCTCCAGGCAAGATTCATCCAACCACGCACTTAATTTTTGGGTTTTTTTCTGGGGAAATCTATGCAAAAGAGGAAGTTGAAGTAAATATGAAACAGAAAAAGAGAGGAAAACTATTTTCAGAAGGGGGTCTGAAAATTGAGTGGAGGTGGACGGAGAAGACAAATGAAACTTGACACCTAATGTCGAAGGAAATTTCAGGTCATGATCGTCAAGAACCAAACACTTCACAGCAAGCTTTTCATGATCGACTTGGCCGGATCGGAAAGAGCCTCAAACACTCAAGTACGTCTTTCATCCGAGGACCCTTTTTCCCCTATTTCCCATTCACATCTTGAGAATGTCCATTTCACTTTAGAACCGAGGGATCCGGCTGAAGGAAGGAGCGGCAATAAATCGCTCGCTGCTGGCACTTGGGAATGTCATTAACTCGTTGGCGTCGAGTGAGTTGAAAGCCTCTTTTTACGGCCTTTTATTCATATATTTCGATGGGAACTCACTCTTTTTTTCAGAAACTACGAAATATGTGAACTATCGAGATAGCAAACTGACACGACTTTTGAAGGATTCACTTGGTAGAGCCATTCATGTGTACAGAAAAGAATTTCTGATTCAGGAGGCACTGCAAAGACTTGTATGATAGCCCACGTCACTCCGTCAAGTTTAAACTTCGAGGAGACGTACAACACCTTGATGTACGCTTCGAGGGCGATGAATATAACAAATAAAGTGCCGGAAATGAAAGATTCTTAATAGGAAATCCGTTTTTTCCAGATTATCCGAAATCGACCCGCTTCTGCGGATCAGGTTTATGCGGAAGCAATGACAGCGATACGGAAGGAAATTGGCTCGCAAATGAAGAACTCGTCATCTATCGCAGGATGTAAGTGGCGAAATGCATATTTATAACACGTTGTCATTTTCAGTGGCTGTCAGAAATGGCTTACCAGAAAGAGTGGCGAGCCGATCGCGACCAAAGTCCATCTCAAGAAATAGCAGCTTGACGAGGGCGGCCGCTCCACTGCCGGTCTGTTGAGGACATGTCATCTCATAAATTAGTTTCGTTTTTAGATGGACCGTGGGCGGGGAGGCTCGCTTTTCACGCAGCTCAAGGAGCAATACATGACACTATCGGACAAGCAGAAACGATTGAGGTAATTAAGAATTCAGCGCGGAGAGAAACATGAGACAGGCGAAATTGTTTGGTTTTTAGGGAGAAGCTTATGGCGACAAATCAAGAAGCTTACGGCCTGGAGATGTCGCTGATTTCCAAGAATGCAATTATCAATGCCTGGGAGAAACATCATCAGGATAAGACCACCGAGAGTATTGAGAGACTGAAACAGGACGGAGAACTTCAGGTGAGTGATAGGCCTAATGGGTGCAGTTGTCTGCAAAGTTGCGTACATGCGGATCTGACGCTGATCTCTAGTTTTTAGTGAAAAAACGATCAGAAGTTAGGGGGTATCGTCAAATCAACAATGCATTTCAGTGACACCTTTCAATTGTGATCTGAAATGAAATGTGTTTCAAGAAACAGGTTCTCACCCCCCTACTAATCTTTGTTTTGATTTCAGCGTCTACGTCTTGTCGAACTATCCGACCAACGGACTAAAGTGGAAAAGGCGCTGCGGAAGGGGGAGGAGAATGCGAGTGGGCTGGAATCCCGGATGCGGAGCCTGGCAGCCACTAATGAGCAACGAGAAGTAGTCAAATTGATGGTGAAGATGGCCGAAATAGAAGCACAGAGTGGGCGTTGTAATTGGTTATTCTTAGAATTTCCCGCTATTCTATTTCAGAAATTTCCGCCTTGTCGGACTTGGCTATTAAAGGACTAATAATGGATCGAACTGACACGTCAATAGCTAAACTTCAAAAGTATGAAATGGTAGCTGACAAATTGATCGATGGAAAGTTGGATGGTAATCTTAACGTCCTTGTCATAGTTCAAGTGAGCAACTTTCCAGATCCAGACCGAAAAAAGCTGGAGGAAGAGTATCGCGTGATCAAAAATCAGTTTCATTATCACCTGCTGCCGCTGAAAAATATACAAACCACAGTGTCGTGGAATTCTATGCTTCTGCCGAAAATAAACAATAATAACAATAACATTATTTTGGAGGAGAAGTTGTATAGTGGTCTTAGGTCATAGGAAAACGTCATCGAGATACTTTCAGATTGATTTCTTCTTCGAAAAAGAAATTGGATGCTGTGATATTGCCAGTAATTACAAATGGAAGAGAAAAATATCCGTCATCATCAGCAGAGTCCACTACTGACGGTTGGTAATCCTTCGTTTTCACATGTCAATGCTTTTTTTTAGATGACAGAGTAAATTCGCCAGTATCCGAGCGACTTCCAGTGATTTGAGTTCTACGTCGAATTAAACACATTTTTCTGTTCTTTCACAATGTCTACTAGTTTCTTTCTTCTTCAGTCTCGAGTATTTCCATTGTTTTGTGATACATCTGTCCCTGCACTTTTATCGAACAAAACAGACTTTATTATCGTTCAAATGCAATAAAAATAGAGTTACTGGTGTGGCGGTATCCATTAGACAACAATATCTCTCCAGGCAAATCCATTAACGAATCCCACTTGAGTCATGTTCTCATCGAAGAGTTCAAGAGAGCGCTTCCCATTCTCTTCGCATTTGACGCTGAGCAGGAAGCTTCCAGCCAACGCGACAGGAAGTCGGATTTGCGCAATCTCTTTCAACTCACGCAATTTCAGATTAGTCGTCAGATGGACCATCGCGGCCATCACTTTTGTGATCTCCTCGGCATGAGCAACCTGCAAATATAAAATACAATGCTCTCGCAATGAACATCTTATTCGGTCCCACTTTTTCAGGATTACGATCGACGAGGAGGAAGTACAAATTGTCCTCTTTGTTTTTGCCCAGAGTGAAAACGGTGTCTGCGCCCAAGATGCCGGCCAAATGGTCGGAATTGAGAGAGACCTTTTCGCAGTCATGCAGCACAATGTCGCATTTCTTTTGTGTGGCAATCGGCACCTCAATTTGTAAATGAGGTGTGTTCGACATTAATCTGTGGTACCTGAATAGCCGATCCACAGTAGTCAATGCCGTCGACCATTGTACGGATCGGGTGAGGACAGACGGCAGCTGGCAACGTTCCCTTGCGAATGTGCTCGACTTGTTGGAAAAGAGAGTTCTCCATCAAATAGTCCTTGGAATATCGGATGAGGTCTGGGACGACAACAGTTAGAATCTCCATATTGAGATATTGAGCAAGCTGGTCGCACATTCATATTCAGATGCCATTCTATATATACCGTTTAGGAAAGTACAATTTCCGTTCGATTTGGCCAATTTTATGCGGCATCTACCTGAGAAAAACATGATTCATCTAATTTTCATCACACGCATGTTTCTTAGCGGAAATCTTTTTCTGGGAAAACGAAAATGAGAATCATCTCGATCAGTGCCGCAAATTAACAATTATCAAGATAAGAATGCGATTGAATGTTTGCGTGGTTGGTGCTTTCCGTCGAGTTGCGATCTATTTGATCATCTACTCTTGCTGGCGGTGCACTAACCCGCCAAATTATTTTGATCAAATCTTTAGCGACGAGGAGTCCCCGTCCCGCTTAACGGCTTATTGCGCCTTTCGAACCCGCACTACTTTTCACACTTTTCAATCTTGGTTCGGTACTATGATGTGTGCTTTGCTTTTCCAGTGCATGTGATTAGATTACAGTATCCACACTAATTGTGAAATGATATTCTCTGCTATTGTTTTTTTGTTTTCACGCTGATAGGCGATATGCACTCTACTCTTCATTCTGTAAAGCTAGTCGAGCCCATTAAAATTTAACAATATCGAAAGATTCTCTAACCTTTTCTGCAGACCACAAAACCCGATAAGCCACCCACGCACTCATCTCTATTGTACTCGGCCGCCAACTCTTAACCTTTAGTTCTCCTCCAACATGCTCATCTCATTATGGTACTAGAATATAGAAGAAGAACACGTAGAAGAGAGCGCTTTGAAGTGTGTATGTCAACACAATGGCAAATGGCACAGTATCAATGTCGTCTTTCGTTTATCTACTGCGACATTTCAAGATACGATTGTATTTGCTCGATTAATCCAAACAAAGGAAATATCCTCCCACTTTCAACTCATATCAAACTTTTTTCTGCTCTGCCGGCAATGTATCCAGTGCGCGGGTCTACCCTACTAAACGACAGGTGATTTTTACCCTTTCTCTCCTCGGAACCGCCCGATGGCGGCTCTTTTGAGAGTGGCACATTGCGCATCTGGTAATGCACACCCCATTTGTTCTAACTTACTTCCGACACGTTTACAACGTCTCAAGGTTCTTTTTTCGATTTACACCACCTCTAGGCACTTTCTGCACTTTTCCAAGTGGTACTAAGACGTACCGGCTATTCGTAGAGTGACCGACTCGCAGTTCAAACAAGGAATTAAAGCCTCCGGGGTTGATGCGTGAGCCATGTTTGTTCTCGTTCACGCACAATTTTGGGGGGTTTACAACCTTGATAAAACTTAAGGACGGCTCTTTTTGTTGTGTTCAACTTGTCGATAGCGCAAATAGTCAATCCAGTCACCCTTGCGTTGATCTTCTGTACAGTCTCTCGTAATTATGATAGGCATCTAGTGGCGTCTTGACAGACAATCGACCTTGTCGGAATAGATATGATAACTGCTGGGAAGGCTTACGACGTGGGGATCTGTTCGGGATAAGTTATGCCTTTCCGCTATTGCACCTGTAGGAAATGCAAACATCGATGGATTTCTCTATTATAATTTATTCTGTGCAATGTCTGCCATACCCTCAATCCGAATACGATCGACCCGCTTTCCCAGACCCACCACTGTGCACTTGTCGTCATTAGTATGTCTAACGAGGCTCTCATGCACACTCACAGTCCTCACACCAAAGAGGGCGAGAGGCATGGTGTCTGCGCGGATCAATAAGAAACGTGCGTTTCTGTAGAAAACGGCCCACTGACCTGACCCCGTCTCTCGCAATCCGTGTCTCTCTCCCTCACCGCGCGGACCATCTCCTCTTTCCTCTCCTTTTCTTCTGGGGCCGCTCGGTGCACACAGTGCTGTCCGCACATTGGAGTGTTCGGCGTTGGCAGCGGTCAGACACCACAACTCTCCTCCCCAGACCTCCCCAGACGTGGTGGTGCTGCGCGGGTTACCAGATGGACGGCTCATTTTGCTACCCAGCATTCAGTCACCATCTGCTTACATTGTGTTTACCCCGGCACCCGTTTCCTCTCTTGTTCTTCGCACCACTTTCTCAGGATATTCCTCTCAATCACGTCACTTTTTCATTGAAATACCGTTTCGTAATTTTATCCGCTCGCCACTCTCGGGGCTCAATCCTCATTTCATCATTTCAGAAGCAATGTTGGGTGTACCGTTCATTGATCGGTGGCTCGCCAATACTTTCAAAGCTAAAACTTTCGACGATGCCGTCGACCGTCTCAGCTACGTCACCACCGCCACTCTCCTCACCTTCTTCTCCATCATGGTTTCGTGCAAACAGTAAGTTCCAACCACATTCCCAGATTGCATCATGTAGTTTAGTACTGTAGTCAGCGATATTCCAATTTCCGTTTCTCGCATTGACTCATTCACTGAGCGCATTTTACGGTCGAACGAGCGAGGTGCGCGAGATAGAATAAGCCGAGGGCCGATGGTGTTTGTGTTTGCACTTCTTCGGTTTGATCGGGCTCGCGTTTTGAATCACTGTGATGAATAAATTAACGTGTAGCGAGGCGGTGTGAGTATGATTTATGGGTGCTAAGAAGAAAACGGCGCAACGATACGATACTGTAAGCTATCTGTCATCCGAGCTTATCGGAGCAGCCGGAGCCGGACAAATAAACAATCAGTCTTACAGATACGTCGGATCTGCCATCCAATGTTGGATGCCAATGGAGTTCAAGGGAGGCTGGGAGCAATACGCTGAAGACTACTGCTTCATCCAGAACACGTTCTTCATTCCCGAACGTTCTGAGATCCCAGGCGATGTGGAAGACCGTCAGAAGGCTGAGATTGGATACTACCAATGGGTGCCGATTGTGCTTGCCATCCAGGCGTTCATGTTCTACCTTCCATCCTGGATCTGGTCGTCGTTGTACAAGCAGTGCGGACTCGATTTCCCGTCGGTGATCAGCGAGGCTGAGGCTCTCCGCAGCAGTGATTCTGACTCGCGCAAAAAGGGAATCAACAAACTGGTCGGATTCATTGAGGACATCCTGGAGACTCGCTCTAAGAACGACTACGGCCGTTTCTACTGCTATAGATTCGGAAAGGGCCTCGGATCAATGACTTCGGTTCTTTACATTTGCATCAAGCTCATGTACCTCGCCAACGTCCTCATTCAGTTTGTCATTCTCAACAGATTCCTTGGAAACGAAACGTTCTTGTGGGGATTCCATGTAAGAAGGAATTCAGCGATCAGATCATTCAATGATCCATTTTCAGACCTTTGCTGATTTGTACTCTGGCCGTGAATGGCAGGACTCTGGAGTGTTTCCACGTGTCACTCTCTGCGACTTCTCGGTCCGCAAGCTCGCGAACGTCCACCGCTACACCGTCCAATGCGTGCTCATGATCAACATGTTTAACGAAAAGATCTACCTGTTCATCTGGTTCTGGTTTGTCTTCGTGCTCATCACCACTTTCATCAACACGCTGTGCACGATATGGCGCCTGAGTGTCGACACCTCTCGCAACAACTACATCCGAACCCTGCTCAGTGGACCAGTCCAAAACTTCAAGGACGAGCAATCGAGACTGCCGATCGCCAAGTTCACCAACCACGGACTGAAACAGGACGGAGTTCTGCTCATGCGCTTCATCGACGACCACGCCGGAGCCATGGTGACCAAGGAAATCTGCGAGAAACTGTTCACCAACTATCTGGAAAGCGTAAGCTGCCTGTCAACCGACACATTTGTGCTAATGATGGAATAGATTTCAGAATCCGTACGCCCGACCTGTGCACCATGGTCACTCGACAAAGTCGACTTCACCTGGTATCGAGGAAGGACCCCATGAGCATCTCTACACACCGGAGAAGATCGGATTGATGGTTCCAGATTACCCCATCAAACACGCCTAATCCCCTCTCACCACGCAAAACTTCTCAACTGAATTCTCAAAATTTTAATTCGAATCTCAAAACGTTCACTAAAACGTCAAACTCAATCTCTCTTATTTTGACATATTTCAGAGCAAGTTGGCTACTCGACCTATTTTCCTGTAATTCACTGTTCCCTTTTGTCATTCATTTAGTTTTGCCTTTTAATTTCATGTCATGTTGACCAACACTCTTGTTTTTCCTCCTCGAAATTGTAATGATTGCTAAAAACGAACCAATTTCTTCATTTCCTTCACTTTATTGTATCTTCGACTCTTTCAACTTTTGTTATCAAACATTACGAGTTTACGTATGTAACAATAAAGTCCGTTTGTAAATTGACTTTTGAGTAATTTCATTTCATACGCAACGTAGACACATACAAATAGACTTTGAGGGAAACCGAACAATGGACTTGCCAGCATTTGCATTGTTCTTATAATTAGCAGAATCAGTTGTTGGGCACGCGGAACGTGCGGCAGACACCCGTGTTCGTGTCACAAGATGTGCCTGAAGGGCAGGCGGAGCAACCAATAGAGACGGGACCGTTGAAGGCTGTACGGAAAGTTCGGCATACACCTGCAATTTGAAAAGTCAAATTTTCTAAGTACACCATTAAAAACATAGTTGCAACGGCCCGGCGCATGGATTCTGTTAAACATTTTTGAATTGTTTTTGTTTCGCTAACTATGTATAGTCAGAAAGAGCAGTTATCGTCTTCCTGAATAAGGAATATTCCAGAAAACTCCATTTTTTGCCACGGTCCGGATTTTGCCAATTTCAGAACTCGAAAGTGTACAGCTTGAGCTCTTTAGGGGACCGTTTTCTGATGCACCTAGTTGGAACCGATTTTTGTCAACCTCTCTGTTCTAACCTATAACGTGCCATCCATCAGAAAACGGTCCCCTAAGGAACTCAAGCTCTACGCCTTCGAGAATACTGATAATGCACGTAAAAACAGGACTTAAACTCTGATTTCTGAATTTCAAAACTCACCAGTATTGTAGTCGCACAATTGTGGTTGAACACAAGCGGGATTACACGTGAACGACTGCGATGTCACCAGATGCGCCGAAAAAACGACGAAAAGCAAAAGGCAGAGTTTGTACATGTTTCGACTGTCACAAGAAAATGGTGAAAATGTGCTGTTAGAAGTAAGTTTTGTACTGAACGTTCAGAATGTTTGCGCGAGAAAATGTTTGTCGCTGCTGCTGCTGCAAATATTGAGTTTTCCAATTGTGATACCAGTCGCGCCTACTACCAGACTTTCTATATTCTTCTCGTTTGCTGTCCCAACGTTTGCGATGGGAGTGTCCTGAAGAATTTGATTCAAACCACTTTATTCAGAAAAAGTCATCAACAGTCATCGTCATCAGAAAATAAATCAGCGAACAAATACACAAGAAAGCTCCAACAACCAAATGATGCACATAAAACGCCTAATCTATCCTATTCTAGCCTGCTAGAGTCACCAGTTTCAAAATAATGACCAAATACAATCAAAGGTTGGTACTTGGTACCCGGGCGATGTTAGTAAGAGCTGGACAGGCATAGTCAAACTTCACGATCAACTATAGATCCTGTCAATCTTTTACTAGTTCGGCTTCGGCTTTGGCTTAGTCCGGTTCGGCCGGTGGAACCGACGGTCTCAAAAATATAATGAAGCAAAATAAGAATAGTGGATTAGTACAAGAGCTATATGAACACATATGACAAGAATGAGCCCAAAAATAATTGGAAGGGAGGGAATAATGCCAAATACGTGGATGCCAACTTGTAACCGAGATAGATTTAGTAGGGAGAGGACGAGGTCGCGGAGAGAGGGAGAGAGAGGGACTAAATAAATTCTGAGGTAAGGGGCTAAAGGAGGATATCAAAGACGGAGGGATATGAGCACGCCTTTGATAACTCCGAGGTACTCGAAAATAGAGGTATCAGGGGAGGTACAAATAAATGGAATGAGGAAAAATATACGGGATCAAGACTAAGGCATCACAGATACTTTCCTAGAACCTAAAGTCTTTGAGTACAAAGTTTCTGAATTTGTTTTTCGTGCTAAATTTTTTGGTTTTTTGTCTAACCGGGATGCTACTAAATATATATATATATATATATATATATATATATATATATATGGTTCCGCAAGGGATTGCTATCTTCACCAGGAAGCGTGCAGTCCAAAAGCGACCGGCGCTAATCGAGAGGAAGCTTGCGAAGAATGCGAACCGTCGAGTTGCCCGAAGATTCCGGCGGATGAGTTGATGATTGATTGACTGACGTTGATGACTGATTGATGACTAAATGAGGACAAAATGGTATTGAATCATTTTTCGATGCTGATCAGGATGCTGAAAATATTGTTTCGCGGTTTGAATCATCCTAGTTACGGTCACAATTCACCTTAAAGCATGATGATCTCTAGAGACGGAGTGGCATTTCGCAATCGGGTGCGAGCCGGCGGCCCAAGGAGAGTTTCGTTCACATCTGAAAAGAAAAATTTCTATGAAAATTTCAATAAACGTTGTTGATCTTTGCTCACTTTCACAGACGGAGGATGTATGTAGGTGGGGCGGCCGTTCTCTCATCGAGCCAACAGATGTGACGTGGACGGCATGGGAACGAGAACGACCGCAAAACGCGTCAGGAATGCGAATCGATGGATGTTGTTACGACATTTGCTCTGGAAATGGAATGCATTAGTTGATTGAATTGCAAACAAGAGAAAATAAAAAGACGGAGAACAGGAACAAAAACGAGTGGTGAGTTGGAGCGAACTGCCATTTCGTCATGATGAGGAGAGAGCCCAGCCTCTTCTTTTATTGCTTTCAGCTGTGAACCGAGCCAGACCAAGTGGAACAGAATGGCGCTATCATAAAAGGAAACCACGTCTGGCTGACAATCCGAGCAGCTGTCGTCAATCCGAAGCATGACGCGAGAAGCACCGGGAACATGTGTCCGTCGAGTTGCTATGGTGTCATCCAGTGCCGTTGGTGACGCTTTGAACAGCCGAAGAGAATGGGAGAAGGGGGAACGAGGGGAGGGCCCACAATTCAAGCCGGCGGCAGTCGACAGAAAAGGCCAACTGACGGAGTGATGAAAACACCCCCCTCTTTTATGGGGCCATGGCGCGACGTCGCGGCTCCGCCCCTCGTGGCGCGATTTGCATATTCGCGGTTGTCGGTGCCAACGCGGCGTGTTGATCGAGTTGGCGAAAGGTACGAATGATGGTGGACAATTGTAGTTCCAAAAAATCGTATAGCTACTGTAATCCTTTTACAAATGTGGGTGGAGAAAGGGGGAAGAGACTTCAAAAATAAGTTATCTCGAGGAATGAGATGATTTGGGTGACAGACCAAAGATACTGAAGTGTTTATGGACTACCGTCTAGTAAATTGAAAACTAGTTTCTCGGAAAAAAACGGAAATATGTGGCCGTCTGAGAATGCTGAAGGCAATTAGACATTTTTCGATTATTCTGAAGACCAGAAGAGAGCGAACTAATTTTGTTTGATGTTATTTACACGTGGCCCAATAGTGTTCAATATTCCCTCTATTTGTTTTCATCGACAGTGGAAATGAAAAACGGAAACTGGAAAACGGTCGGGATGAACATTCCGGGTGTCCTGCCACCGACACTCACGGCGCGAACATTGTTCAATCCTGGTAACTAGTTTTTTGATAAGTTCGCTCCATTTTTCATCGTGTGCGGTCTTTTCGCTTTCCGATTTGAAGCCCTCGTTCGCGCGTTTCCTTTTGTCGCAATCCGGCATAAAACAACGAGGCGTTTCGCGACGCAATGAAAAAATATTCCATGTTTCGTATGTGCGAACACCTCCCCCCCCCTTTAATCTTGCTACACAGTTTCTTTTCACTGTTGAACAATTGGAGGAAGAAGAGGCCAAAGACGGGGGTGTATGACTGATAAGGAATTGTAGTGTCCTTGTTCCTGGGACGCCGCGGCACAGGTGTCCTGGCGCTAATATGCAAATTTTTGTATGTAAAGCAAAAGCGAGTGCCGCCGACGACCACAAATAATAAATGAGTCGCCGGTTGGTACGGAATGCCACCGGTCCCCGAGTGTAGGTAACCGTCAAGCCGCCAAACAGAATGAGCCATCGACCAATAGGACGGCGAAGGGAAAAAAGTACAAAGAGGCTGGATTTGGACGGGAAATTGGAGTTTGAGAAAGGATACTAGTAACCGGAAACGAAATGTGAACCCGAGCAAACACTCTGTTCAATTTTGCCGAGTGGTTTCTGATCGGGAGCAGCGGTCCGACTTTCTCACGTGACTCACAGCTTTCTGGCACTTTTCCTGCTCGAGGCGAATTCATTTCCAGAAAGTTTAAATTGAAAGATCACATTAGTGTCGAATTATGTTGACATTTTAATGTATTTCGTATAGTAGGAAAATGTTGACTAAAAAGAACATTGCATTTTCATGTTCGGTTATCCTATAGATTGATAGTGTGACTCACATGAAAACATTCAAATTGAAAAAAAGGGAAAAGAACAAGACGATTCAATCCCAGACTTCGATTTGAAAGTGAGGGGTTCTTCCGTTGATCTTCGATTCCTTCGGTCACCTGTCGTGGCACCTATTGTACGAACTGTCGCCCTCTCAGATTTATACCCCCATTCGCACGTTGCGCCATCGACTCATCCGTCTCCACAAGTTGACGGGCCGCTAATGTTCTTTGTTCACTACGAACAGCAGCACCCGTGCGATGTCAGATGCGGACCAGACTGGGAGGTCTCTGGCGCCCACTAATTCAGCTGCGTGTCCCTGCCACGTTTAATTACTCGCCAAGGTAACAGATCGCCATTATCGTCCACTAACATCTCTGTTCGTCTGTTCTGGCGCTTCACATAAAAATAAATCTTTGCGCACAATCCCGTGTGTCGGCAGAAATGGGGGAATGAATCGAGGGAGAATGAAGTGATTTGAACAGAACAGACAGATACTCCGCGCTGCCCTTTCCGCGTTATCAGAGACGCGGCGGAAAACAATGAATAACGAGAATAGATGGGATGCGAATACTTGATGGCGGGCAAGAAACGGAGAGATATCGTCTTCGCTTACTCAAAAATGATAGCCGATGGCTTTGGACGCAACGGACAAATCTCGCTTTCCCTCGGAGAGAAAGCAACTTTCGCCCCCCGGTTCTTCACATTCATTTAGGTCACCGTATATTCTCACTCTCGCTTGCTTCTTTCATTCCATTAGGTGATTATTCGATTTCTTCTCCAACAATCATGTTGCTGAGACCTTTTCTGCTCTTAGCACTTGTTTGTGTCGGAGCATTTCTAGCGGAAGAAAGTGAATCCAAAACTCCTGGAGAAGAAAGTAGGTCTCATTTTGATAGATTTTTCAAATTTTCTTCGATTTCTAGTGATCGACCGACTTGCTGTTAACATGGCAGGAGCGTTCGTAAAATCAATGTTCCCTGAGATGGACCGAAAGCCGACAGAAGCCCCAACACCCGCTCCCGCTCCTACTCCATCTTCCGAGATTCGAAGAGCGCCCATCAATCCTCTGCTCTCATCAATGGACGGATACTCACGTATGTCAGACCATCCAGAAAGAAAAATAAATGAATGACAACGAGGTCGTCGACGGTTTTTTTCTAAAGTACGGGGCCTGATCTCAATTGAGATAGAGATGATTTACTTTTGAATGCGATACAAATACAAAAATCGGCCGTCAGCATCTATCCGATACTTGGCTGTGGCTGTGGGTATAGGGCAGATAAAGTTCAAAACACAATTTTCCAGCTTCTTTCGCAGCTTCTGAGTACAATGCTATTCCGCAAATGGGACAACAAGCCGCAGAGACTCCGAGAAATCCATTCAGCTATCAAGGGAACCAGCCGTCCAGCTACTCTCTCATGCCGGAAGTTGGATGACGTGTCTGTCGTAATGTGAACCACTGAACTTTTAGGCATCTAATCAGAGGGTGAGCCAGTCTAGTGGAATGGACAGCTTGGGAGCGCTGGCGTTGAGTGGAATGCGGAACCCGGATATCTCGGGAATGTTGTCCGGAGGCCAGGGGACTCCAGAGGCTATCAATGCTGTTAGAAACCAGGCATATCTCGCCGAGCTTTCCAAACATCAATCTGAACTGAACTCGTACAGCGCCAAACAGATGGAGTACTTGGACCAACAGAGAAGATACCAGCAGGCAATGATTGACCATCAAGCAGGTGCTGCCCTTCTCATGCAAAAACAACAACAGGAGATCATCGCTAAGCAAATGGCCAACATGAAGCAGTCCTATGGAATGAATGAAGACGGAAGTGCGTCTCAAGCAAAGGAATTCTCCGAAAATGATAACACGGTCGGCGGAAGGGTAATTGCATTCATCCTCAATCTTTTTCGGCAGAATTTGCATTTATGGTTATTACAGTACCTCACCGCGCGCGCACGAGGAGCAAAAACAATGAAAGTGCCTACGAATCGAAGTTTGCGCCCACTTTACGACGTATCAATTAAACACATCTTGCAGAGTTGGAGGACGACGATGTTGTGGCCAACGACGAATATTTGAAGGAATACTTCAAACAAAAGTACAACATTGACATTCCAGATGATGTCAGCCAGCTCACCGACGATGAGAAAGCTACTCTGAGGTTAACACATAAGGGACAATGGGCGCAACGTGCAAAAAATTCATTTTTTCAGAGCTTTGAAGAAAGAGCTTTCTCGTCAAAAGGATAAAGTGAAAGAGAATGGAGTTTTTAAAACGATGGATAGCCTGAAAGGGTAAATAACCGAAAATAAACTGCGGTAATAATTTTTTCTTTCCAGGAAAATGACTAATGAGCGAGCTGCGCCTTCGAATAATTATCCATCCGAAGCGTGCGACCAATGTATTCCAATGAACATTAAGACGATCCGAGGGGCTTGGACTCAAGTGAGCGAGACTCTGAATGAGTTTCAATTGACGGACTTTAAAGGTTTATGGAAATCCAAAAGTCGTTAACAAGGTCTTCGGAACCGTGATGAGTTTGGAGAACATGAAGGCGTCCACAGGCAGCATCAAAATGTCGAACAAGAAGACGTCATGCGTCGGAATGGAAGTGGGAGCTGCTTCAAGCCACCGAAAATCTTCCAAGATGAACCTGTTCTTCCGTGATTCTGACGAAGGAAACGAACTTCATGAGGTGCATTCTTCGTCAATCTCCATCACGTCAACCATCTTTTTTTCAGATGCGAGGTACCGTAACCGTCAAAGATAACATCATGAGTGTGGAAACCAATCTCTACCGTACCCACAGTAAGACAACTTTGTTCCTATTCAATTCTCTTCTCAATTTTTCAGTGTGTCTCGTCAAGGCCGGTCCGTCCGAGTCGGATCGTTTAGAGTACGTTGTGCTGGCGGAGACGACTGGCAAACACGCGTGCAGGTGCGTGAATTTCAAAGAAAAAATGAAAGATTTTGTGTCCTTCTTCAGATCGTATCATGTGTTCGTCCGAAATACCGAAGAGTTTAACCGACGCCACTTTGATGATGTTTCGGAATTCATGAAGACGGTACTGAGTCAAATACAACCAGGCCAAATTGAAATTTCTTTCAGCAAGCCGATGCTCTTCCTGTCGGAGCTCTTCCAAAATCTTCTCTTTGTGAACTAGACAACCCATAGACCAAAAAACTACAAAAAATTCAATTGTGTCAACTAATAAGTATTGTTAATAAGATGAATAAAGTAATAGAACAGATGTGACAGTGAAACTTGAAAACATGAAATTGGTAACATATGATACACACGTCGTAATGTACACGTCAGATTGTGACCTACTGAGAAGTCAGCCTAGGAATTCAGAAGCACAGTTATGTTGAAATGTCCGATGAATGTGTTATATGTCACAATGAAGAGAATTGGTCCTCAACTATCGGCGGAGCAAGGCGCATATCACTGTTCCGTCTGGCGATGACTCGATCCGTCGACAACTCTCCGTCGTTCAATGTTACCTGCAATGATTTCTGGTTGGTTCATACAAAAGCCATTCAGCCAGTCCATTACAGTAGCCCTAAACCCCCTTCTTTCTTTTCAAATTGTTCAACCAATCATCGGGTAATGGAAGCCGTTCATCTTCTTTAACGACCGTCTATTAGATAGCATCAAAACCCAATTTCATGAAGAGGTCGTGAAAAGAAGAGAAAAAGGCGATGACCAGTTCATTTTTCGATCAAAGGAATTTTCGGAAGGAGGCAAGGGACTGAGTACATACTTTTCCAGTATTGTTCAAACTGTCTTGATGGCAAATTGCAAAAAAGTTCTGCTCAGAAGACTGTGTTTGAGTGTCGTGCAGATTATCCATGCTCAGTATTGAGCTGAAACAGTAGACATCACTCTAACTACTCTTTTTTTTTTTGAAACAAACCTCCCATCGGCCGTACATTCACTGTGCTCACTCTTCGGCTGATGACTGTTCTCTGAGTCAATGCTTGGTCTTCTATTCATGATAATGCCACGTTCCAATTGATAATTATCATTAGCATCATGTTTTTGAATAACGCTAAATTTGTTTTTATAATTATTTACGAACAAGCGATACTGGAACATACATGGCGCCAGACTTTGGATTCGTTTCCGATGAATAGATTTGAGCGGATTTAGAGCGATTTCTGAAGTATTTCAGGAAGAAGAACACGAAGAAAATGACAGTGAGGACTGTGATACAAACGCAGATGGTGATGACAGAGTACATCCAGCTAAATGGATAATATTTGTTTGTGTTGAACTAGTGGGACTCACGCTGGAATGACAGTTTCCGTTTGGTTCGATGGACTAGCAGTCTCAAGAGTCGTTCCAGATGCATCTTCGGTGGTTTCCTCTGGAACCATGGTAGTTGAGTACTCCTTGTACGGATCCATAATGAGGGAGCTGATCTCGTCCACGATCTTATTCAGACCCTCCATGTAATTTCTCTCAGTGAACAAGTTCTTGTACTGAGCCAAGGAGTTATCAAGCGCCTCTTTTGGGATGGCAAGATCAGATCCAGTCTGAGAACTTTTGTATTTTGAGAAGAAAATGTAAGCTTGAACTAACCCAAACGTAAATCTGTTTCGCCAATTCCACACCAAGAACCAGCGCATAGTTTTTGCATGGCATGCTGTCCAAACCAAATGCTTCCCTGATTCCATGCCCGAATTGAGTCTGAAAATATTTGTTGTTTAATGAAAACATGAGAGAACTCATCTACATACCAAATCATTGCTGGTTATGCTCTGGTTGCTCGCAGTATGAATTCTTTTTGCCAGAATAATAAAAATCTGAACCGGTTCAGTGCTATTCGAGAGGCATTCCGGGCTTGCATCTTCCGTGTAATGGATCTTTGCGTCTTGTAGTTCTGCAAATTCACTTTTCAATTCGCGAGTCAACAAAAGCGAGTGAATGCCACGTACTGGCCATGTGCTGTTCCACATTATCTAGTATTGTTTGCCGCCACGTGTCGGTCAATATGTGATCCGGATCACAAAGTGTTCCCTCGTGAGGTACATTGCATTCTGTCGAATTGGTTCTGGGATCAGGATAAGTGAGCGGCTCCCAAAGCTGAAAAAAAAAGCGTCTTTCGTCATTTCCTCATTTCGATTTCGAGATTTGAGATCATATGAGCAGAATGACTGGCAAACATTCGAACAAACTGTTTATGCAAACATTTTATAGCCAATTACTTTCCGGGAGCCAGAAAATTGATAAGAAGTTCAGCCCCATAATGATCAGAAGCACTACAACTGTTTTTAGTGCTTTTCCACATGCACAAAACATCGTTTCACTATGGTTCACTGGTGCTGGTCAGTCACGCAAAATGTGTATATTCTCTGCTCGAGAATGAGAATGAGCCACTTGATAAGTGAGCTGCTGCGTTCGTTTTGTTTTCAAACAATCTTCACAGATAGCCAGTGTGCCTCGCGTTTTGCGACTTTCGAGGGGGTAAAGATAGCCGTGTCACTGATCTGTTTCGTTGTGTTCTTGATAGCCCCGCGGTTACTTGATCGTGTTTGTACAAGTACGGTTGCGAGTCCGAAAAATTTTCTGATCGGATCAGTAAATAATTTGAGCAATTTTTGAAATGCGGAAAAAATGGTGTTCTCGATTCTCGAGTCTCAAGTACTGTTTCGCTGTTCGCTAAAGAGGACAGAGATGACGTGTTCTGGGAAGGACGGCCACGACGGAAATTTGGCGAAAACCGCATATGTAATGAAAAAGAAAACATGGTAGACAAAGATCACAGCCCTTGTTTTGCACTTTACTTCTAAAGTCACATCTGTGTCACTTTACACTTTACTTCATTTTATTTATTTTTGACTTACCTCTGTGTCAGCTCGTAAAACAGTCCCTGATGCGATAATCAGGGAAAGTAGAGAGAGCATTTTGAACTTCTCTGACTGTAGTGCTGAAATAGTCAGAACTGAAGTGAGAATGGGATATTAGGCATAAAACTTGAGATAAGACTGAGATGAAGTCACACAGACACTTCAAGCGAGCATGTCAAGTACGTCAAGTTTTCGCACGTACATGACAAGGAAGCTGAGCTCTCGCATGATGATAACCAATGAAACAATAACTTGGAAACAGGTTGGGTATTGTACTCATTGGGATCAAACATCCTTGTAATAAGCAAAAAGCAGCTGGCTTTTCTGATACATGAGATCGGGGTTTGTTATCATTGAAAATAAGGCAAGGATGGCTGAGCACGAGCCCAGGCAAAAGTAGAGTGGTCAGTGCTGTTGACCGTTTCTACCCACTTGATATTTGACTCACTTATTTCGCCTCCCTTCCTATCTCCCTGCACAAGTTTTCTCCTCCTCTTTCCTTTGCCTCTTTTCCCTCTATCTTTAGATTGCTCCTTGCCTTGAGGCTCCGCCCGTTTCCATCTCTCCTAAAACCGCGTTCGTCGTGTTCATTACAATGTCCACCCACCCTCCCTAAATTCTTGCACAATTTGTAACTGTCGGCAGGCCGGGGGGAAGCCGGTATCTGTGTACACGTCGCTGCTCGCGCGCCCACCCATAAAAAGCATGCGCTTTTGTGTTTGTGGGGGGCCGCCGCCCGCCCGCCGCGATTTTTGTGCCAACCCGACTACGGATATGCTCATGTTGCGAGTGCGCGGCGCGAAATTTGAGATGTTCCATTCAAGGCGAGCGTTCGACTGAAACACACAGTGTGCCGACATGACTAGACTTGCTCGCGAATGTGTTTGGTAAGCAGGAAAGCAGAAGAAATTGCTGCAAGACGGTCTTCGAGCAAAGTTCAGAAAGCTGCATATTGGCGCGCGGCAGCGAGAGCGACAAGTGTCATTGTCGGGACAACAAGGCTGGGCCGGGGGGTTTTCTGAAGTGATAAGTATGCAAATTGGAACATGTGATTCGGTCTTTCGAGTGGATTTCCGGCAATTGGAAACATCAACATCGGGGAAAATAGAAGTATGATTTGAAGGAAAAATGGCGTAATGCTGATGTGATACATGAACTATATAATTTATTTGTGTTGTGGAATCGCGAGACATGCCTGAAAAGAACAGTTGATTGTCATTTTAGATCCCTTGTCAAAAAACGATTCTTAATCTTTTTCTTCTTTCATCGTTCCCAGCCTTTAACCCGACAAGGAAAACATTTGAATTGTGAAATATTGCATCCGTCATCTAAAAAAACATAACCGGCCGGATCCCTCGGTCCCTTCTTCCTTGTTTCACGTGATACCGTCCCCTTCTTCCAACGATTCGTCATGGGCCATTGTTTTCTATTGTTCCTCTTCCTCCGTTCAGAAGAAAAGATTGAGAAAGAAGAGAGCCGTGACGACGAAACGGGTTGTAATCAGTGTCTGAAATGAGTCAGAGCCACCCGTCGGTTCTTCATCAATTCTCTTTTGTGTTCTTCCGCTGTCTTCCTCCGCTTTCTGTTCTTCTCCCTTCACAATTTCGTTATCTCAACATGTACTGTTTTCGCCATTTTCAGACCGTCAGCGGACAGGAAAGCGAACACGGAACAGTAACAAGTACGACCGTCTCTGTGACTCTCGATCAGTTTGTCTAGCGGGTATGTTACAAGATTCCACAGAATAACAGAAGTGCTCAAACAACGCACTTGATGTGTTGGGAAGCTGTTTTTCCCGCCATTTTTCTTTATGACTCGATCAGCTCTCTTTTACTCCGAGCGATAAGAATGGTGACGAGAAAGGGAATTAGTAGGAGCGAAAAAGTTGTTTTAAGATGAAGAGAAGAGTATCACATGCACTTGATGACCACTTGAGACATACACACTTACATTTAATACTCAGACCTCCCACGCTTTTCGAAAAGTTCAATTTCCTCAACCAAACTACAATCATGTTCTCTGAAACAGTTCATGACACTTTTCCGAGAGCTCACCTACAGTTCCAAAGTTTCGAGCGCCGTTAAATATTAATAGCTTCAAAGAATGAAGCAAACACATCAAAAGGTGTAAAGACTCGAAACCCGAACAGTTCTTATCAAAGTTCAGTCGACGTACCCACAAAGTGTGGCTCGGCGGCTTAATGTGCACCAGTCTCTTATCAATTTTTCTCTGACCAGACCGTCGACGTCACTGTTAGAAAGGCCGCATACACTCCAAAATGAATGAAGAAAAGAAGACATTTTTGATTTTATTGCATAATAATAAAAACTTGGCGAAAAGGGTACAAAAAATGGCTATCACCCATCTGATTGACAATGAAACCGTGTTATTTACAGGTTTAACTGTGTATTCCATGTATTCTGTTCTCAACGCGTCTTGTTTGTCAGGCCAGGTCAGGTCAGCAATGCCACATTTCGTTCTGAAATTCCAGAGTGTCGATTACAGTGCCGCCAGAGAATGATGAACCGGCTACGTAAACAGATCATTCTTTCTCTCTCCACCGGGTTTGCCGTAAACTTTATCAAAATGTCAGCGTTTGAGCTGAAATTTCACTAGCGTTGCCTTAAATTTTTATGCACGTTTTAGTGACGTGCGTAACAATTGATCTGCTTGGATGCAGGTCAGAACCAGTTGATAAGGTCTTCTTTTTTTCCGTGTCGGTGCTTGTGACCGTACTCTCTGACGTAACGCTATATTTTTCTTCTTTTGTTCCGTTTTCCATCTGTCGTGAATCATAAAAAAGCGTGCGGAAAACAGTGTGTTTCCATGAGGCATATTCCTTTTCTTTTTCCTCTGGAAACGGTGGTTTTTGGCGCGGGCGTGAGTGATAAAAGAGTACAGAGCACGTTTCGCTAACACGGGTGTACCCGAAAACTTATCAATTAAGACCCCATCAATATTTCAGTTTCGTGTGCAACCGAAAATTTATTATCTACGCGCTCGCACACGGTTACAAATTCGTCGGCTTAACTTCAGAACTTTCGCATTCCTTCTTTCTTTCTACCTTTATTCATACTTTCTTTCAGTTCAAGAGGAGAGACACACTTATTCAAATATTTAGTCACGTTTCCTTCTCATGTGTTTCGAATGTCTTTTTTGCTGGCGGAAGTGTTAAAGGAAAGAGGCTCCGCCTGTCGGTTCTCTGTATTCCTTTGGAAGTTTAACTTTTAATAACAAAATGATGCGAGCGCATTGTTTGTTTCATATTTTCCGCAGTCACTGCCAATTTTTTTCTGCTTTCAGATGTTCATTTCCAGAGAGTCCTTTCCTTCCGCACGCAACTATCAATCCTGAAAGGCTTGTAAAAAATATCATCATAAATGCCGCGACGTCACTCTTAGAAAATACTGCACAAAAAGCAATATGAAGTGGAGGCGCGATTCTGTGTGTGTTATCATTTTTCGCGTACTTATTTTATTGATCTTGTGTAAACCCGTAACACCGATTATAAGGTCTCCAGTTTTTCACTTCATGTAGATATTGAGTAAAAAATTGTGGTATTAAACCAGAATTAAACTCTTAGACACTATCAACGTGTGACCTTTTTCTTAGAATGAGAATTCCTTATATTGATAAGTTTCTACCTCAAACTGTTGGCAATCAGTTCTATGATTCGAATGGTCTCTTGTGTTGGAGTCATATTTTGAAACCTTCTCATTTTTTCTGCAGAGCAAATTTTTGGATGACGCATGGCTCGGAATACATGCATCACCAATTCAAATTACGTGGGCGTAACTTTTTTCACTACCGCTCCGCTTAGAGAAGCTTTGCATATAATTGGCTACAGTCGCGGCGTCAAAAAGTAGTTAAACAGCACTCCAAATATCAGTAGAAGGCGTTCACAGCCCACTCCAATTTCAGGTCTTCATAAAATGTTGGCAATTCTCAATTAACAGGTCGGTGGGTCGTCAGACACTCTTTCCTGCATTTCACTATTAATCATTTGTAGTCGTCTTCAATTTCCCCCCGCTCTCACTTTCATATATTCCAGTTCCGTCCGAAGCACGGCCGCCTTGTTTTCTCCTTTTTACACTACGTACAGATAGATTTCTCTATACTGTAACATGTTGTGTAAAAAAGAAGGAACAAAATGGATCGTTGAAGAAAAAGAAAAGAAAAAGTTCTCGTCGGTGATGGTGACATAATCCATGGGAACCCCCCGAATGTTTTTTTTGAACGTCACTATTGCCATACAAAACGGATTGGAATAGAGGTCGTCTCTCAGCTCTCGAAGCCACACATTTCCTGCTCTCAAAATTCGACATTTGTTGACGGCGGACTCTTCGCCTCGTTTTCACGCAATATCCGCCGGGTCTCCGTTTGATGCTTGTCCTCTCCTATATCATTCACTTGTCGCCAAATCTCTCGTTTCCTGACTCTCGACGCCCGGTGCACCTATTATCCAAGTCGTTAGAACACGAGGAAGACGAAGACTGACGAATGTCGCAATGATCCTACTAAAGAATACCTAAAGCAAAGCACCGGTGAGTCGGTCTAATGTGATTTATCCGCCCGCCGCTGTCACCGTTTAAACGCCGCTCCTAATTATCCGCCCTTAGCATTCACATCCTTTTTGTCGCAGTTTGTGACGCGACCTTCTTCTTCTTCTTCTTCATCGTCGTGCCAAGTGATGTTTGTTGTCAAAAACGGAAAGGAAGCATGTGCGATCACGGTGTATCTGTTCTAATAGCGTTTGCGGATGGATGTTGAATGTTGAGACACCACAAACTTCAATTACAAAAAAAACACTCAACCAACTTTCTTCAATTAAGTGGTGACTTTTGACGTATTCATTCAGTGGAAAAATGCGTCATCTTTCTACACATAAGGTTTCTTTTCCTTATTCCCAAAAAAGAAATGCATGGGAAGTAGAACTAAACGCTGGAGAGGTAGTCCTCAAGAAAGATGAGCTGTGTAAATCTAAATCTTCTCCAATTTTTTCATCATTTTAAAAGCTGCCTTGCTCTGACCGCTCCAGCGAAATTATCGAATTCTGCTACTCAAAAACTCCAATCCGTGTTGTAAGCGCAGGCAAAACATGTCCAAATATTTGTCACTTTTCGGCCTGACTCGTTCACAAACAATAACTTTTAAACTTTACCTACAAAAGTTCCACAGAACTTGGCGCCATCTGGACGCAATATTATTGTCGTATTGTTGTTTATTCTTTCTTTTCCCTCTTCTTTCTCTCCGTCAAAGCCGGGCAGGCGATGAATATATTTTTGGGGGCGGGATAACGGCCGCTTTCATGCGTTTCTCTCTTCTATCCATGGGCTCTTGCTCATGCATAATGTTGTTTCTCTTCTTGCCGCGACCCCGAAATGTCTAGTGAGTCTAGTCTTTGCTTAAAAGTGCATACATTTGATTCATTCACGAAAATGTAGAAGAAAAAGAAAGAGAGAACTTTGTAGTAAATCATATTGTCCTTTCCTGTGTTGGTTTAGTGAATTCGCTTAGAAACTCCCGCGAAACATTGTTTGCATTGAGGAGGCTGAGAGTTTCCAACCCGCGACCCGACGAACCCGAAACCCGTTTTTCGAAAGATTACCTTACAAGGAAAGAGGGTAGATCGTATGTCCGTCGTCCTTGGCCAGGTGAAAATATCACGCTGGTGAAGTTCAGTTCCGAATTGTGTTTTCTATCACTTTTCTCATTTCGTTAACAACAAAACTCATTACCTAGGCGTCTTAGTCACTCGTGCACGTACAGTAGTTCCGCCCAGAAGCACTTCATTTGCGATTGAAAATTGTTCTGACATTCACATTCCAAGGTTTCTTCTTCTTCTTCTTCTTCTTCTTCTCTTTTTTTTCATTCCCCCGAATCACCAAAGATCTCGGCTCTCCACTAAACTAAGAATTACAGCATAACATGTTTTCTACACACCTTTCTTCTTCATCTTCTTCTTTTCCTTCTTCTTTTTTTCTATCTGAATCACAGAAATTAGTGTCAATTTTGTTAGCTGCTCAGCCAATATTTTTCTCCACACACAGAATAATCCAGCAATATTGAGCAAACATAGCACGAATATCTTTTCCGCTCCATCTCTCCAACTTTATTGCTCGCAATAATCATCCGATTTGATGTTCTGCATTCTTCTTTTTATTCTATTCAGCTCTTTTGAATTGAATTGAAATGAATTGCCGCTGATTTGCAGAGATGGTTCAATATTTGTTGATTACGGCTAACGTTGGATCGCTCTTTGAGCCCGAGGCTCGCTTGCACGCATCTTGGGTCAAAACTGTTTCTGATGTAAGTCCAGTTGGTTGGCTGTGGGTCAACGAACTTTTCATTTTTTCAGCAAGTTGATCGCATCAATCCGTCTTTCTTTGTTATTCATCTGCAAGAAACTGGCGGAAAAAAGTTCACGCAATGCTGCACTCAGGTTCCAGTCATTATCAACCGTCTCTCCGGGGCTCTTCCAAAATTCGATCTTCTTAGAGCATACGTTGACATCGACCACGAAGCGCTCGAGTTCACGGTAACCATGGGTCACCAATTTTTATACACACGCTCGTTTTCTCAGGCTCTCGGCTGTCTCTGCTTCATCAAAAGGTCTCTCTGGTCCAACGTTGCCCAGTTCAACTTCCACACTAAAAAATATGAACAGCTGACGAGTCCAAAAGAAGTGGTCACCCACGGACTTGAGAACTACCCATACGTCGTCAAACATAAGTTCCCGAAGGACTTCTGGCCGTCTATCAAGTGGGGACGCAAAGGGTACATGCAGACGAGATGGAAAATTGCGAACAGGTAGGGGAAAGAGTGACAAACGACAAGCGTCATTCATTTCAAAGAAGCAGCAACATGACAGCACGCGTAAAGCATTAAAAAAAAGTTTATTTCCAGAGTCTTCGACTTTGTCAACGCTCATCTCTTCCACGACGAGTCCAACTTGGCCCTCATCCACGAGGTACTCAAATCAGTCCAACCTTCCTGTTCAACCTCCAATTACCCTTTCAGAACCCAGAGCTGTACAGCCAGAACCGGAAACGTGCACTCGACTTTGTTCTCTCGGAGCTCTCCTCGATGGAAAATGGCTGCACGCCACTTCTTTTTGTCTTCGGAGACCTCAATTTCAGACTCGACTCGCGCTCCTTCTTGAACGTAATGAAGCGTACAAAGAGGACAGAAAATGAAAACAGACAAATGTTATTTCAGCGGCTGACCGAGCGCACTGCTCCCCATTCAGTGGATGAGCAGGAGCAGCTGGGCTCATTGGCTGAGGGTCTTCAGAAGCCGGCCGCCAATCTTCAAGTGGCCCATCCATCCGAGAACCTCAGAAGAACAGTCTCGGCTATTGAGTTCCGTAGAGAATCTGACAGTGATGACAGCCAAAAGTAATAGGGGAAAATCTCTACTTCTAACAAGTCTAACATTATTCAGCAGCTGTGTGTTGAGAATCGAGAAGAAGAAATTTGACTATTTCAACCACAAAAAACTACTGGATGACTGGCAGTCGTACCGTGGCGATGACAAAGAAGCCGACAATTTCAAAAGCATGCACGAGCTGGACATTGACTTCCCACCAACGTAATCATGAAATTGCGCTGACATCAATTCAAAGTTTTCTTTTTGCAGGTACCCATGGAGCGAGGATCCGGAAGACTCGGAGACCTTGATGAAGACCCGTGCTCCGGCCTGGTGCGACAGAGTTCTAATGAACAAAACTGCTTTTGCGCTGATCGAAGAAGGAAATCCAACATACAACTCATTCGGAATGGAGACATGCACTGGAGACCACAAGGTAATGTCCAACAAAGCCAAATCTCTCTGCAACTACTCAATTTCAGCCTGTGATGCTGGCGTTCAACATCTGAGACACCTTTCTGTACAAACACCAGCCTTCTTCTCCATCTCGAAGCTACGGATAATAAATTTTCAGCAAATTGGCTTGGGGACTCCACTTCTCCTCCTGTTCCCGCCTCATTACTTCCCGTTTTCCAACCCTCTCATCCCGATTATTCCATTTTCCGCTTTCGCTTGCTGTTTTTTCTTCGGTAAAACTGCCTAGATTCGGTGGCTCTACTATCTGTTCATACTCTGCACGGGGTTTTTTCAGTTGTTTTCTCTTTCCATCTCCCTCTCACATCATAATCTAAGGTTCCCTTTATCATCCTATCCCAAAATTTTTTTGCTTTGGTTGGTGGGCCTGGCCGCTCATTTTTTCAAACCTTGAATTCCAAAAAAAAAACGAACAAACACACAAACAAATCTTTGAAACATTTTTTAATTGTCTGTGATGATTCTTGTCCATTTCTTTTTACTGAAATGGAAAATAACTATTGTCTGCTTTTAAGAATACGAATAAAAGGTTTATAAAGGGAATCTTCAGAGAAAACGTTACTTTCCGTTTTGGGCTGCTATCATTTACGTGAAAAATGAACATCCACTCCGGATAATTAAATGAACCCAAAAAATCATTTAGAAAAAGAGCGAGAAGAAAATGAATAGAACGATTACGGCTGGTACTACATGTTTCAGTTAACTTTTGTTCTACAAAAAGCGATTTAATTGTTGTATAGTTGATGTGGCGGGGGCTGGAGGAGACGGAGAAGGAGCGGAAGCGGACGGTCTGGGGGCTGTCATCGGTGGTTTACTGCTGAATAGCGAGTTGCGGGAGCGGAGCCTCGACGGTGAGCACGCCATCGGTGGAGAGAGTCGACGAGATTTGCTCCGGGTTAGTTCCTCTTGGCAGCAGGAACTCCTGAAATATGATTATTTATGTGTCCTTCTGATTCGTCTTAATTTGTCATGTAGGTGGCCCGAATCCCAACTCTCGGAAGTGCCTAACAGCCACGGTCAGAACTTTAACATTTCTGAGAGTTTTGATTCGGGCAGTGTATGTGGTAGTTTAATAGTGTCTACCTGGTTATAGGTTCTTACCTGGTTGTACTCTCTGAAGACAGTTCTCTGAGGAGTCTTTTCCTCGTGCTTGGCGTGCACCAAAAGACGGTTGTCGATGGTCTTGACGGTGACCTCCTCTGGCTTGTAGTTGGCCACATCGAATCTGAAAAGCCTCGTGTTCACTTCACAAACATCCTCTTTTTCAAACACTCACCTCAGACGGAGAGTCTTTCCATCGCTCTCGTCCTTGATGAGCGGGCTCTTCAAGTTGTCCAAGTACGGATCGTAAGTCGGGCGATGAGCCATCAGGTCGCTTGGTCCTGCAAATAAAAATAATAGTTGCGAAAAGGAAAAAGGAAAATAGAAAATGGCGAGCACAATAGGAATGCGAGCGGAGGTTGCTGTTGGTGCCGAAATGTTGCTATGCGGCTATTCGGCTCAGGATGCCCCTGGTGCATAAAACCACTGTGTAATAATTCAAATTGTTCTGTGCTGCGAACGAGCAGAGAGCAGAGAGCAACAACAACAATGCCGAAAATGCAAGAACAAAAAACGAAGCGAAACAACACGACAAAGTTGGGGATGAAATTTGATAGGGAAGGATGCTTTTTGGTCCTAGAACCAACCTTGGGAAAATATAAAAGCTCAAAAATTGTTTTGCAAACCAAAAAAAGCTGTGTTCACCATTTTAGGTCAGCTGCTGTCACTTGTTTTTGAAAGCCTCCTTTCGCAAAAAAGTGAGCGTTTCTCAATTGTGCAGTTGGGAATTTTAACGACGCCGAAGCGGCCCTCACGTTGCCCTCTCAAGGAAGAAAGGAAACGAAACAAAAATCAAGCACGCGAAGGGTTAGAGGCCATTATTATGGTCATTTAACTTGAGTTTGTCACTGATTGATGAGGGGAGTTTAATGGTGAGAAATTGAAGGATGGAAAAGGGCACTAACGGGCCCGATATTGGTGCAAAATTCGGAATTCGGAATTGATGCGCACGTCAGATAATTTTATACATACGACGCAGACAATGATTCGTCTGCCTTTTCCTCCTTTTCTGTCGTCAAAATTCGGAAAAAATTGTGAAAAATATAAGAAAATCTGTGAAACGCCCAAGAATCTTGTTAGAAAAGCCATTGAAGAGGGCTGAGAAAACATGTTTTGCATGGCCAGTTATTTGGAACACGACGACAAAAAAGGGGAAGGAAGAAGGAGAGAATGAAGAAGTGCCCCCGCTAAGCACACATGCAAGGACTGACGAGAATTCCTTCATTTCCTTCCCTATTGCTCACTTTTTGGCACGTTCTCTCGTCTTCTCTGCAAAATATGCTTACCGTGAAACGACGATGGTGGAATTGGAGCAGCTCCGAATCCTCCGGTACGGTTCGACGACTCGTGGTGAGAAGAAGTCGTCGAGTAGGCGTTGTAGGGCTGGTTCGAAATGGCGGCCGGGGCGCCTCCGTTTGGACGATAGCCTGCAATCATGAACCAATGAACCTTTCATTTCTTTCTCCACTACACTTTGAAAATGACCTTGTGCGTTCGAGACGAGATGATTAACTAAGTGTCGTCGCGCAAAATCATTGGGAACAACTCAAAAGAAAAAATGTGAGCGCACTGGCTGGGCGCAGTTCCAGCGCATTAGGCGCCGCGAAATAGAATTTGGTCAGTGAGGGTCCGCAAAATGACGTTGTCCACTTTCTTTCTTTTGTGTTCTGGCTGCTTCTTTCTCAAAACATCACTTTCGTAAGTGGGTCTTATGGGACGGATACGCAAATTTTTTTCCCGAAAAAAAAGCTGTAGAATCTTAGGCGCTTCGAGAAGCTTTTTTTTCAGTTTTCAGATGAGAATTCGACTTGTAAATGAATGAGCGTTGACGCGGAAGGAAGAAAGGATGTAATGAGAATGAGCACAAAGATGGTGAGAGAATCCTTTGTGTGACATTCGAGGAAAAGAGTAAACGTCCGTCCCGCACATTTTCTGCTTGCTTGCCTTTCATTTATATGGGAATTTTTAGGGGGAATGTTCGCCTAGTTGTCGGATTTTTGTTTATTGGAATCCATTTTGGTTCCGATTGCTATCAATAACGCTTTGCAATGTTGTTGTTGTTCTCGAACAGTTGCTCACAAAGTTTCACGTGATGTCACGTTTTTACTGATAGCCCAAAAATGAAGGAAAAAGAAGGAAAGAAGGAAATGACAAAGCAGTTGAACTAGTTCGAGGTCTCTGGGTTAACGACTCAATAAAATGGAACACTGCGAAACTTTCCTTGTGCTGGCTGACCTTCGAACTCGCTGCGAAGGCGCTTCATCTCCTCCTCGACACGGCGCATTTCCTGCTCGAAACGATCGCGCATGTTGCCGAACTCGTTGTCGATGACCGAGTAGTTGGCGCGGTTAACGTCGATGCGGCGTTCCGACATTTCTCTGAAGTTTTAGCAGAATTTCGAAATAGCTGACAAACATTGAAGTTTGATAGAGTTTATAAAGGTGAAAAGGCTATAAAAAATGATCGTTTTAATAGTTTCAAGAAAAAGTGTTCGTTTGCACATAAACAGAGACATAAACGCAACTTTATAACGCTTGCAAATAGCAAAACCGCCATACTTTGGTTTTGTTCAGCTAGTTTTTCAGAATATCCTAGTATATCTAATGTTAGCCCACCTTTTAGTATAAGACACAGTACGGGTGTGTGTAGGCATGTCGGCGGAATGGAATGAATTTTTTGTTATGATTTGGCAGCAGCAATGCTTTTCACTTTTGTACGTCTCGTGAGAGCATAGAAAGGAAAAAAGAGAGGGGAAAAGCATTTTTCGCCATCCGGCACATTCCAAAGTTCTGAATTATTGGAAAATGCCTTCTTCCGTTGGGTGCCTACCGCTCCCGTCAAATATTTCCGTTTTATTCCAAAGTAAGGGGCCTAGGCTTATAAGAAATGACGTCAGAATTTATAATATCAAAATGGTTGGCCGGATATAAGAGGGAATGCATGAGAACTTGATACTATGTAAACGAATATGGGGCGGAAAACAAGAGCTCTCTCAATTAAATAGAGACTGAAACCATAAGAATATAAGAAGGCGCATGTGTGCCCGTCTCGCACTCAATCGGGGGGTTCGCGCCCCGTCAGCTATGAACTCATCTCGCAATATTTGTTGTTTAGTTTATGTGGGTGTTGATAGGACGGGCCGAGGGGGTGTGGGCCGCGAGGATGCGCCAGTCGGGTAAGAGGATATCACGCTGGCCAGCTGACAAAAAATTAAAAGACTAGGTGCCCTGCTCGGCTCGGCAGCGGATGCTCTGCGGCCGCTGTAACACCACAGCTGCATTCGATCAATTTTTGTGTGGATTTGTTGGTGAACACAGATGTTGGGAGCGAACTGAACTGCGTTCGAGAGAAGAAGAATGCGTTGTGGTGTGGCGGCGGGTAAATGATAATGGTGACGGCGGACGGCGGACGGCGACCCGCACGTTCTTGTTTTGATTTACTGACCAGACGAGAACTTTGCATTCGAAATCATGCGAGCGGTTAGACTGAATGATAAGCAATTCGAACTGCGTAGGCGGAAGTAAATAAAGTTTCTTGACGTGTGTCTTCGGTAGTACATAAAGTAGAGCAACCACTTTGGAATTTTAAGAATTTCGAAAGCGAGACATCATTTTTGAACAATGAGCAAGAATATCATCTCCATTATTTTGAAATAGTTGAGAAATTCAATTTTGAGAATCACTTTGGTGAGTTGTACTGATAAGAAAAGATAATCGGAGCTTACGCCCTTTCACAAACAAGATTGCTGTGCGAAGGTTTGTAGTATACCTGTAATGTAATGCAAATCGTTGCTACTACCCGACGAATGAAAGAGAAAAAGTGCGAACTAAGCGCTGAATACACGTAACATCGCGCAGTACACACTATTTTGTCCAAAATTTTATCTGCGTCGCGATCCTCGCTTACTCTGTCCGTTTATCTTTTGTTGGGTAACAGTAGAAACGGGACAGAAGTGAAAAAGAAAAGACAGAGACAAGTAAACAGCGACGGGAATGCAAAACGTCCCGGTCGGGCAAAGGGACACAGAGAAGAAACAAATGAAAAAGAGAAAATGAGAGAAAGTGGAAGAGAGAGAGGAAGGAAAGGTAAATGATGCAAAAGAGACAGACAACACGATGATGGCGCTGCCGCGTTGCGAACCCGACAATTGGATGGTGATGCGTCGGCCTCCGATAATCATTGCGGCGTCGCTTAAGAAGTTTCGAGAACTTTCCAAAGGAGGGTATGAGAAAAAGAGATGAGAAAAAAGTACTCTTCAGTCTTCAATCACGCCATTTTGTTGTTGACGACGCGAACTTACCATGAACGACTGCCCTTACACACTTGATAGAAGGTTCGAGAACAGTACGAAAGGGCAGGCTCGATGCACTCGCAAACCTTTTTAAAATGCCGAGCGTATTCAAATGCAAAAGTGCGCGCGATGTGACGAACAAACAATACAACGCCTAACACAAAAGAATCATTGCGATATTTGCATGACCCTGAATTTTAATGGTGTTTTATATTATACAAAATCTGTGTCCTGACAATCGAAGATGACTGACTGTTGACTGTCTTATCGTTAGAGGGTTGGGCTCACGCAGAAAAACGTTTATGAGCAAAGGCAGCACACGAAAAGACAAACAGTTTTCTTCGCGTCTTTTTTTGTGCCAAAGCAGTCGGAATTAACTCGGAAGGCAAACATACACGGGGTCTGTTGATTCATATGCTGCTCCTCAACCTATCAGACATAATTTCTGAACATCTCTCCTCTTTGCACAACTTTTGTTTCATCATCTCAATTTCATTTAACTGGATCAAAGGGAGAGTACAGTGTTCAAACAAGTCATGAGATGGAAAAGTTGGAACGAAACATTCTGAAAAACACAAAAAAATAGCGGCGAGGAAATAAAATACAGAAGTTGGTGTGATTGAGTGGGAGGGGACTGGCAACTTGGTTGTGAATTTACTTTTTTCGACGACACAATTGCATGAAACCGAATGAAATAGGAAGAAAAGAAGTGAACACTCACATAAATAAGGCATAGAAACAGAAGCGAAAAGAATCTAAGGCGGGCGGAGATTTCAGGCGAAAAAAGAAGGATTCGATTCATTGGAGGGAAACTCCAAAAAGAGGCTGCAAATTTACTCGTGACGGGTTCCAGAAACATTACGCAAAAGTTGGATTCTAGGTGATTCTCTGAAATAGTGTGACTCGATGGGATGGGGGATTCAGAAAAGCGGATATTCAGTTGCTCGACTCGGCAATGCTCTTCTTGGCGGCCACAATCAAGTAGTAAAGGGAAGCGAGCGGTTTGGCGCATCGTAGGAACGGATGCGTCAGAAGCTGACTGGCCGACCAACGGTTCTCCACTTGCACCTCGAGTGCCGAATCGACAAAGGTCTGAAAAAGAGGGAAGATAGATATATGTATTACAGGAAGTCACGGCAAAAGTTGTGAGTCACACTTTGTACATGTGTGAATCATTGTACAGTTGCGTTTCCGGTTTTGTCAGCTTTAAAAATTGTGAAAAAAGTAGTCACCTTGAACATGGGCGTCATCGTTTCTCTTCCTGGGAAGTCGGGTTTGCCGTTAGTGGCAATGAGGTAGATGGCCTGGAAGATAACTATGAATCCTTTGAAACAATTCCGGTTTCATACCCTCAGCGGCTGCTCATTCAAGTACGGAGGCTCTCCCTCGACCATCTCGATGGCCATGATTCCGAGAGACCACACATCGACCTTCGGCCCGTATTGTTTGCGGGTCACCACTTCCGGAGCCATCTTAAATAGTCAAACATTTCATTTCCATGTCATTTCCTTCTCAGCGGCTTACCCAATACGGAGTGCCCACCATCGTTGTGCGCTTTCTTTGCTCCGGCGACAGTTGCGCACAGAATCCGAAGTCGGCTGGAAAATTAAGTAATTAAGATTGAAAACTGGTTCTTGATAGAAGGAACATACTCAATTTCACGGAACCATCCATTCCAAGGAGAATGTTGTCCGACTTGATATCTCTGTGAATCACATGACGACTGTGCAGAAACTCGAGGGCTTGAAGGACCTCTCTGCAGACGGCCGCAATGATTCCGTCCTCCATCTGACACTCGGTGACCACGTCGGTGAGCGATCCTCCCGCCAGGTACTCCATGACTACCCACAGCTCCTCGCAAACCAAGTACGAGTCCAGGTAGTTGACAATGTTGGCGTGCTTGTTCTCGCGCATCACCAGAATCTCGTTGATGATCAATTCCTTCTTTGGCTGGTCCTTCAGAGTCATCTGCTTGATGGCAACCTCTGCCTCTGTGCTGATCTCGATGGCCGTGTACACAGATCCCGACGCTCCGGACCCGATTTTGTCGATCTTTTTGTACTTTCGGTCCGGGTTTCCGATAGACACAATAGTGCGAAGTTTGGCGAGCACTTCGCCGTCCGTCATCTTCTTCTTCGATCTTTGTCCACGAGTTTGCACTCCGAACTGACCCTTCGACAGGTCTGGTATCTTCTCTTCTTCTTCTTTCGGTTTGGTGTACTGAAAACATGATGATTATTTGAGAATGGCTGAATACAGCGACATACAATGCTCAGAGTTCTGGCTGGTCTGTCTGGAATTGGTGGCGGAACAATGTCGGCCGGCATTTCTCCATGTGGCACTGGTGGGGGAGCGTAGCTCTGAAATTGAACGAGTCAAGAAGAATTTGGTTGGGATTAGCTACCGGCGGCATGCTGGAACGATTATCGTTCACACTGAAAGTCGACGGAGATGACGGTCCCGTTTTATAAGGACTACTATGGTTGCTCGTCGTCATCGGGCTCATCTTCCTCTGATCTTGCAGTTTTGAGCCGTGATATGGAAGCGACGAGGTGCTGTACGATTGCGGCTTCAGTCCGTAAGACACAGTGCGAGACGGAGCATCATCTATAAACACTGTAGAAGGGTGAGGCTCACGCGAGACAATAAATCAATTTCCACTTACTCATATCGTACTGCAGCCATTTTTGACCGCCCTCGGCTTGTGTGTAATACTTGAGCGCATCGAGGACGGCTTGCGGATTTTGCTGCTGCTCCAGTTTCGAGATTTGGGAGTCTGTCAGCAGACGAGCCCAGGCTTCCGGCATTCCCTGTAAAAAGATAATTTGATGTGAGTTGGCAGTATTTGTGAGGGCTAGGGGATGTGGGACGAGAGTCTACCTTTTCAGTGAGCCAGTTACATACGTTTTCGAACTTTTCGTAGAACATTTTTCTCAGATAATAAATACTGCGAGCATTGCACATGAAAACATGCATTCGAGAACTTGTTGCTTCCAATAAAACATCTGTTTCGGTTTCTAAGCTTTTTGCTATAAAATTTTAGTACGGTTCCAAAAAGTGCTCTTGTGAGTGCAATCTTCTTGGGGTCGGCAAGAATGCTCGTTTTTGAGTCCACCAGTGGCGAACATCGCTCTCAAAATTTTAATTACCTGCAGTCAACTACAAAGAGCTTTGCTTTTTTTCCAAAATTGGCGAATCGTACATTGACTATAGTCTTTCTCTCTCAAAAAAAATTTGCATTTTCAACAAAACTCAACAAAAAATCGAGCGGCCCGCACTCAAAAACTAACTCGAAATATTCTATCAATAACTTTAGGAGTTGGCCTGTCAAACAAGATGTCTCGCTTGTTTTGACGGTGCGCCAAAAAGTAAAAGTATAAGTGGTAGTTTTTTTTAGTTTTTAAGCTCACTATTAGCATCCACTAACGTTAATCCGGTATGATTAGCGGTTTTGGCGTCGGAGAGACGGGCACAACTCATACGCCTTCCGTCATCACAAAAATACGTTTCGTTATATGGAGGAGGAGGCGAGACTGTTGCGGTGAACTGTTGCTTACCGTGAACTCTTTCGTTTGAGGGTCATATCCCACGTGGATTGTGTGCTCAAAGTTACTGGGACGCGAAATAACAGGCTTCTCGGCAACCTCTTTCTTTTCTTTGTTCTCTGAAGAAGGAATGGGTATATGAGAGTGGTTACAGGAGGAATGAATTACTTTTCATGAACGGGTTTGGCATCGTTTTCTTCTTTTTGGTGGCTTCTGGCTCTTTCGGCAGTGGCTTCAATCCGACGACCTGAAAAATTGAGTTAGTTGGATGAAAAGAGAGAAAGGGAGAAGGAGAAGGAGAAGACGGCATCATCTGATTTGGGAGGAAAGGGGGGAGGAGCCTCATGCATCACAATGAGTTAATTACCTGATTTTCCCGCGTGGCCGAGCTGCTGAAACGAATTGGTGGCGCTGGCGGTTTCTCATCGTACGACGAGAAGGCTTTCATTGTGAAGCTGCTGAAAATAAAACAAGTTTTAAAATGTTGACGTTCAATTTTTGACGTATAAGAATAGACAAAACGCGACAGAAAAAGGCAATATTTAGAAAGTTATAGAAGTGACTACGGTATTCATGAAATTAGGCCGAATTGTCGGCTCGAGAGACAAACTGTTGATGTTTCTCTCACTACACAAAAGTAGTATAATCTGAGGCAATTTTGATGGAAGTCGAGATGACACAAAATATTTTTTGAGTGAGAATGTGGAAAACGAGGGGAGGGGGGACATAGAGTGCTTTTCGCCCCCAAAACCACCAGCAATTTGTTGGAGTATGTATGACTAACACAGCGGAAATTGATAGTGAGCGGCCGAGAAATGGATACACACATGGTGCATCGGCCGACAAGCGGGTTGGGGGAAACGACGACAGAGGGGGTCTATGAGTAATCTTAGGTCGAAAAAACATGGACGACGCGTCCAAGGTCGCCGAAAACGATTGCTTTTTCATTTTCCGGCCTTCGCGGCAATGGATAGCTTTGTTTGGGAAAAGAAAAAGTGAATGAAAGCTTTTTCTCATTTGCATTATTGAAGAGTGGCGTCCTCGCGAAAGTTTGAAGCGAGTTTGACCCGAAGAAGATGGATGACTTTTTGGTTTTCCAACAGCTCAGAAGTTTCGAGAAAATGATGGATGATAAATAAGCAGAGGAGAGATTTCGAAATTTGAGAAAAAGTGAGGAGTCTCACACTCTTTGTATCGAATAAGACTGACAACAAAAAACAGAAATGTGTCAAAAGGATGAGTCAATGTCACTTTTCACTTTATCGACACGTACGTTCACTTTCGTTCATACTTTAAAACAAAAAAAAAGCGACTGCAGAAAACGATGTTCGGAAGCGAATTCTGTAGTAAGTTACCAAATGATGGAAACCAGTTTTAGAAAACTGAATGGAGTAGCGTGAAGCATGAAGAAGGTGTCACTTTTCAGGGACTACTGCTGGTGTTTGCGACGTTTACACCCATTCCTGAGTGGGAGAAAAAAAACGGTTCTCTCAGAGAAGACGGTTTGCGAAAAAAGGCAAGGGCAGTGTTTGTTGAACGCGGCAGTCTCTGTGGCATTATCAAGCGGAATCACGGAAAACGATAACTAGTACGGCTGGTCGGGAAGGGGATGCGGGAGGACCAAATGATAAAGAGCCGCGGGGACGGATGCCAGGACGGACGGATGTCGATGGAGATAAAATCAATCGATAGCGGTCAAATGAAGAAGAACACACACACACAGACATACGCACACACACACACACACATATACACGGGGAGGGAGGGGGTAAGAGATTGGAGTAAGAGGGATAGAAGAACATTAGACAACCACTAAACATCTCGACCCTGTCGACACTTATCATCCAAAGCTTGGTATGAGGACAGCTACTACAAGGTGGAAAAAGTCGCTCTTATCTTTATCCTTGTCGGAAACGCGCTTGATTGAAACGCTCACTGTTCCCTCAAACCCACGCACTCAATTTCTTTTGCGGGTTCTCAGTAGCACACGGAAATATGAAGAACTTTGTCAATATCGCACGACAACTGCCAACCGTTTTCGAAATACCGTCTGCGGTGATGGATCTAGTTTCTCACTTTTGTTTGACATTTGTCTGATACCAACGCGTGTTGCAAAGTGTAGGCGCGCGAGGCAAGGTAGTTCTACATTTTGGAAGGCTTGATTAATTGAATTATAGGAATATATCATCGGGCGCGAAGAGGAGGCAAGAAACGTATCCTATCACCGTGTCGTCTCAATCTCAATCTCAATCCTGGCTGTCCCTGGCCTCCCCGACGAGGTTTCACTTTCATTCAGGCCACGGCAAACCTTCTGTTATTATCATTCCTATCGATACAAGCACACGCATACACACACTCATTGAAATGTAGCGAGAAACCGAGAAAACTAGTTCTCCTGCTGGCTGCCACCGACGTCGTTTCAAATTCGGATCACTCTGATAGCAATTATTGTTTACTTCTTGTTAGCGGTACGCATAATGAGATGAAGAATGTTCTCGGAAGTAATGTTACATTGAAATTGCGATCAACTTGAGAGCGGAGTGCATAGTCATTTGACAGGTTTGGGTTGAAGTATATTGATTCCGAGTTTTAGACCAATCAGTTACTCTAGAGATATAGTGGTTCGGAGTCGTTCTGAAGAGAAGAACTTGAAAGTCGAAGAAATGAGTTTAGGTACTCTATGAATGGTAATGTAAACATAAATGAGTGCACGCACCCGCCAGCACAAGTCACACCACCGTGTGTGGCAGAGGTCATCTGGTGGATTTGTCTGCCCAGCCACCGACCAGCAACAATGTTTATTAGACAAGCTTGTGTGAGTGATGAGTGTTTTGGAGCTTACTTTCAAAGATTACACTGAGAGGGAGGAAACTGGAGAACGGATAGATTCTCTATACGTTTTGTACTTTTCAACACGACAAGACAACACCAAAATTCGAAATGAATTGGGAAAAGACAGTTGTGGCAGTAGTTTGTGACGCTTGTTTACAAGAAAAACAGTGAAAAATTGCTGGACCAAGCAAATACAATCGGATAAAAACGGCAGTGGTCGGCCAAGGATACACCGCGGACATGCATTCAGAATTACGCTTCGAGAAAGGTCACAAGTCGAGTTTAATGCCAATTTTAAGCCATAAAAAGGCCAATCCTCCTATCGCAAAAGAGTCTTGCATCGAAACCTTCAATGAATTGCTAAGCAGGAGGCAAATTTGATCGGAATTAACTCTTTTCTCGCAAAAGTAGTAGTGTAATAGTGGCTGAGTGGGGGCGAAAGTGCACGGGTAGAGTTAATGGTTTGTGACCGAGCGAGTCAATGGAAACCGGATTTCTCTGGGAGACTGGTAATTTTTCCAGACCACTCGACAGAACACACCGATTTCAAGTGGTTTTTCCGGGAAAAAACAGAAAATTGGCATCGGTTCAGTTCCTTATCACCACTGCCGAATTCGAAAACACGTTTTTATCAATAGAGACTCTCTCTCTCTTCCTCTTTCTCTCCATTATGAACAGAGACGTGGCCTCATTTGCACAATCGATTCACAATAACGGACCATTATCCCTCAAAAAATCGATTACGCAACGAATCCAGTGACCGCCGGTAGTTTAACACGCGAAAGTCTTTAAAAATTACAAAAACTTACTTTTCTGAAATTTTTTAAACAAAAAATGCGGTGGAACTCAAGGAAAATTAGAAAAACACGGCATTATTCCGTTTGAAGTCTATCGAACACTGCTGTTGTGTAGTGCACACAGTGCGCCACATATGACGACATTTCCGTTCGTGTCACACTTCTTCCTCATTGCGCCTTCGATTCTCACAACGTTTCTTCGGTTTCTTGGTTAAATAATTATTTTTGAGATGGACTTCTTCTTAAAAATTGCAAAAAGCGACACTGGCCAACAGGCGATGAACGCCGTCTGCCGGAATTTAGAGGAACGCGTCAGACAATCGATGGCCGGACCACAAGCGTCCGATCAGCCAGTTCGTGGCCCAGATGAGTCCCTGACACAGTCACTGGCTGCCAATTTGCTCACTTCACTTGTCGATAAAGCTCCGGAGACTGAAAACATTTTCGTGGTAAGTGTTTTGACAAAATTCTCGCCACAAATAGTTTGTTTTGCAGACGCCACAACCACCTATTCCCAATTCAGTCAAACGTCCCTGCAAAGAATTAGGAGATTCGTTTTTACTTGCCCAGTACCGTGATCGCTACGCAATTTTTTACGAGCCCGAAAATCTGGTGAGATTTTGAGCCCGACGAGGTCGTTCATATGGTTAAATTTAGGTTGTTTGTGTCTTCGATACGATTAAAGAGGTAGACGATTACAGCTTCGTCTGGGAACATTTTTTGCCGACAATCTACAAAGCCAGACGCCCTTTAGATGCTTTCGCTCGTTATCTGGATATCATACGGACTGACATAAGCTGGGGATTGAAACTGTCGCCGCTCTACTATGCAATCAAATTTGGAGTCATTGACTACGTTCAGAATGAGAAAAAGAAAAACCCAAGCGGGTTAGTTTCAATCTTGCCGAGTATTAAATTCTTGGTTTCTTTCAGATTTTCGATGCAAAGACTGACAGAAAGAGGCGATACTCCAGTCCACGTAGCCGCTCGCTTTGGAACTCTCGAGATGGTCAAAACGGTGTGGGATGAACATTTCGACCCGAAAACTAGTAACTGGATGGGCGAGACTGTCTTCGAACTGTCGAGCCAACCGGTAGTTGTTCAGGTGAGCGCTCTTTTAGTTTTTTAGAATAATTTTTGAGAAAAAAAAAATAATTTCAGTATATAAGCAAACGCTTGCCAATCGATTTCTCCAAAAGCGAAAACAAATATCTGAATCCTGAAATGTTCAACTTTCCGGCTTCGTTCGAAGTGCTCAAAAGTAAGGAATTGGCCGCCAGATAATTAATAATGAGTAGTTTCAGACCATTGGTGCCTTACGTCCATGCCACACTTGTTTTTCGCGCCGCCGATCGTTTTCAAAACATCAAAAGTGCCAATTGAGGATATTGAAAAGTATTCTTTTCAGCAGAGATTATTCCCTAGTATTCCGTTCTCAGAGCGATTAAATTGGTGTATGCGAAAGACAACGAGTTCTTGGGGCAGTTCTATAAGAACAAAAGCGCATTCCACAACCTTCACGGCTTCCCAGAACAGGTAGGGCGATCAGAATGTCTTTAACGTTAGTCAAGACCCAATTTTCAGTATCAAAAGATGATTCTCAAGTACGCCAATTTCAAAATGTTGAATGCAGTCGATAGTTTTGGAGCAACGCCGGTTCACAGAGCGGGTGAGTACTCCTAACTGATTTCCGAAACAACGCGTTTTACAGTCGAGCACAACTCCCTGAAGACATTGATCTCACTGTGGTCGCATGGTGCTGACATCAATATCCGGGATGCCGAAGGATACTTTCCGATGGACCACGCCATCAAGAAAGACTATGAGGGTCTCCTAAAAGCGTTTCTTGTTTTCGATGGCCTCGCAAGCGAGAAAGTTTGGACCAGAACAATAACTGAAAAGACAGGAAATGCCTCTCGTCTGCTGAAGGAGCACTACGCACAGCCAGGAACTTTATCTCAGCCCTACCAACTCACTTACAACAATGGTATGAAAATTTGAGTTGTCTTTGTGATTACACTTTTTTGTTCAGACAACCCGACTCATATCCGGTGCAAAAACTTCCCGCCTCTCACTAAAGCCGATAACATTGTTCTTTCCATTGACGGTGGCGGAATCAAAGGTCTTCTGGCCCTTCAGATGCTCAAGGAAATCGAAAAGATTAAGGGAACCGATTTATTGGAGTGGTTCAGCCATTTTGGAGGAACTTCAACCGGATCGATAATTGCTCTTGGACTTGCCAAACACAGAAATATCGACATTGTTCTCCGCTCGTACTTTAGACTCAAGGTGATTCCTCAGGGATTGTGACTACTTTTTTAAAACTGATGTTCCAGGATGACATCTTCGCCGGATCTCGTCCGTACTCTGGTGACCACCTGGAGAATGTGCTGCTTCACGAGTTTGGCACCGCAACACTTTCGGACCTCGCAGTGAACAGGGGCACACGTCTCTGCATACCTGTAACCTGTGTGGACGTGAGCCCACCGATGCTCTACATGTTCCGCAGCTACGACCTCGATGACAAAATCACTGATCCAACATTTGCGAAACCACAATGGAACGCCGCCAGAATTGTCCGCGCTTCTTGGTAATTTGAAAGTCCCAACTTTTTTCTTAAACCAAAATTTGAGTGCTGCGCCGTCATACTTTCCACCGGTCGATGGGAAATTCATGGACGGAGGACTTGTCGCAAACAATCCCACCATCGACATTCTTACTGATTGTCAGCGGTTGGCATTCGAGACGAAGGGCGAGCACACGTCAAAAATCGCTGTATCCATTGGAACTGGCACAAAGAAAAAATTAATGCAAAATGTTGAAATATCGATGCCGACCTCAGTTTGGGAAGTTGTGAAAACTGCCACTCAGTTTTTCCATTTGAAGGATGTGTTTATCGACCAGGTGAGCTCAAGCTCAAATTTCACGAACAATTACGAATGTGAATGTTCAGCTGACTGCGGCCGATGGTGTGCCCGTGGAACGTGCGAGATGGATGGCCGACGCGATGGGAATGGCCTTTTTTCGCTTCAATCCTGACCTTGGTAATCTTTCCGATACAGTGGCGATCGATGAGAAAGATGACATCAAGCTGCTCGACGCAATGCTCGAGGTCAAGGTATGATTCACCTTTTTTTCTTTTCTTTAAATAAAATTTTCCAGCACAATGCAAAGTTAATGCACAACGAGATGCACATGTTGGCTTCGATATTGAAGTAACCATCCTGTCTTAATCCTATTTTTTAGCCATACATTCTTCATACGAGTGCAGTACTTCTAAATCCAGTTAGTTGTACAACATTCCGCCATAATTCTGTTCAGATCACCGTTTATTTTTCTCATTGGAAAAGATTGAATAAATGTTTGTGAATGTTTGTGAATATTGTCTCGATTTGGTCAACACCCGGCGCTTTATATTTTCACCTATAATTCTCCAATTTGGTGCCTAACCCTCATCTCTTTTCGTGGCTTCACACACCCAAATTTCAAATTTTGTTTTCCCTTGAGCCCTCGAGTCACGTGAATTATAGGCGGATGATGCAAATCGTTGTCTAGCAAAGTCCATTGAGAGCGTTTTCTGTTTCTCGCAATTTCGATAAGAATAGCTTCGATTGTTCACTTTTTCTCCCTCTAATGATAACTGAACAACAAGTGAAAGGAAAGGGAAAAGTGCACGCGAACCAAGTCATTAATCACAGTTCGCGCCGACACGGTAACCGACAGATTCAGTTTGTTCCGCCCGAGTCCCACACACACACATACTATGATAATCGACCTTATCGTGTTTTCACATTTGAAGTTGTGTTTTTGATCTATGATTTCTTGACAGTATGGCAACTAACCATTTTCCGATTTTCTCGTCCATTCCCTATTTGCTATCTTTGTCGCTCTTTCTGAGTGCTTTGCGTCTCATTTTCCCGAATCAGGTAAGCGCTCACTATTCGCAGACGTACCAAGTTTCGCGGGTCATAACTGAACTATCCGTTTGGTTGGGTTGATCTCCCCGCTCTCTGCGTCTTTTCCACCTCTTATGTCATACCGGACCGCATTTGCAGACACTCTCTCATTCACTCGCTCACGCACACGGACAGAAAAAACGAACTCATCGTTAATCTTTCAATGTTTCGTCTTTTCGCAATATGTTTGAGCGTTTTTACGTAGTCTACAGTCCATTAACTTTCCTTTTTTGCGCTATCTTGATCTATCTCTTTCTCATCTTTAGAAAACTGCGGAAAGCCAACTAATTTTTGTGTTTTCAGAGGTTCACGTGTCCATCATGTCGTACGGAAGACCGCATAAACGATCCAACACCGCAAGTATGATCAGTTTGTCTGAAAGCATGAATAAACGCAAAAATATTGCAGATATCAGCGATTTGAACGCAAAGTACATGGCGTTGGAGCAGTTTGACAACTACCAGGTCATGTACATTTGGATCGATGCCACGTTGGAAAACCTGAGAGGAAAGACCAAAACGTTCGACTTTGAGCCGAAACAACCTTCAGGTATCAGAATTTTCATAGGTTTTTTGGAGTATTTTTGAAAATATTTTCAGATCTTCCCGTCTGGAACTTTGACGGAACTTCGACCGGACAATCGCTGGGAGAAGGATCGGATGTGTACATCCGTCCGGTCGCGCTCTTCCGTGATCCGTTCAGACCCGGACCGAACAAAATTGCGCTGTGTGAAACGTTGACCCACGACAACAAACCGCATCGTGAGTGCACGCTAAGGAAATGACTTAATTTTTTCCTATTTCAGCTACAAACACACGTCAGCAGTGTCTTGAGACTATGGAGAAGGTGAAGGAGCAAGAGCCGTGGTTCGGAATGGAGCAGGAGTTCACATTGCTCGAGGTGGACAAACGTCCGTTCAACTGGCCGTATAACGGATTCCCAGCGCCGCAAGGACCGTATTACTGCGGAGTCGGAAGTGATCGTGTGTTCGGACGGCAGATCCTTGAGGCACATTACCGTGCGTGCATGTACGCTGGAATCAAGATCAGCGGATCGAATGTGGAAAGCATGCCGTCGCAAGTGAGTTACTCCCGGCTCTACGTCCAACCAACACACTCCAAATGCTTCAGTTCGAATACCAAGTCGGTCCCTGCGAAGGAATCACAATGGGAGATCAATTGTGGGTCTCCCGCTACATTCTCCATCGCATCTGTGAGGAATACGGTGTCGTGTGTAGTCTGGATCCGAAACCAGTCCTCGGCGATTGGAGTGGTGCAGGTTGTCACCTGAACTTCTCCACAAAGATCATGCGGACTCCGAGCGAGGACGGCGCCGGATGGGAGTGAGTCGATCGGAAATCAAAGTGTCAAAATGCCAAAAAGTCAAACTGCTTTCAGAGCAATCAAAGAAGCGGTTAACAAACTGAAGCCGGTGCACATGCAGCACATTGCGTACTACGACCCGCACGGAGGACGTGACAACGAGCGCCGGCTCATCGGAGCCAACCAAACGGAAACTGTGGATGCGTTCTCGTCGGGAGTCGCCGACCGAGAGGCCAGCGTTCGAATTCCCCGCCAAGTGTATGCTGATAAATGCGTGAGTGTTGCGTGCAAACCTCGTAATGATGAGAGACGTTAGAGAATTGCTAAAAACGAGAACTGAAAGAAAGAGCTCATGGCCGCCATATGTGCTGGTCTTCTTTTTGAACCTTGTGATTGACTCGTCTCTAGCCTGGTTCCTCTCTCTCTCTCTCTCTCTCTCTCTCTCTCTTTCGCTTCCCCTTTATCGTTATCATATAATCGCTCAAATTCCGCTATGTTTTGATGTTTGATGTGAAAATGTTTCAGGGATACTTCGAGGACCGTCGTCCGGCATCCAACTGTGATCCGTACATGGTGACGGTCGCGATGGTCAAAACGTGTTGCTTGGAAGGAGAGGACGCCAAACTGAAGCTGAAATATGTCCCCAAGTTCTGAGATCGCTTTATCAAACGACGAATCTAATTTCGATACCGATTTCTTTAATGTGGTTTTTTTTTGTAAAACTCTGCTAATTTTATCGTGAACAGAATCTCATTTCCGATTCCTTCTTTATCAGGCACTTTTGTAAATTTTTATTCGTCATTTTTATTGCAAATTTGGTGATCAATAAAGCTGTCAAGCCACAAATTTCGGGAAACAAGGTGCTCAGTGGATATATTTGTATCGACTATGACAGGTTAGAAACATAATAAGTTATTAGGAGGAACTCGTGGAACGAAAAGGGTCTTTGTGGGTCGGGTATCGGAGAAGGCACTGTTCAGAAAAATAAATTACAATATCACTAGAGTTAGTGAGAAATTTAATGGAGCTCAAGTGGAGGTTGTTTGGAAATGGCATGCCTATTTCTTAGCGGAACTCGTTCGCATGGATCCAACGCGGAAATGAGTTGTGGCAGCCAGACAAGAGCGTGGATCAGACCTGAAATCAGAACAATCTAGTTGCTTTTTTCCGAGATTAGGGCAACATACCGATAATATTCACAAGATAGACGGTCTGGAAGAACACTCGGACGAGATAGGCGGGCACCAAAATAGTGCAAGCCAGTCCGACAAGTGTGGAACTGACAGCCTGGGTGATTGGCCAGGCGACGGAGGCAAGAGTGTCAGCCACCTTTTCCTTGGCTGTTGTGTACTCGGATCTGTGATATCTGTAGCAAATATGGACGGAGTAGTCGACAGCCAATCCGATAGCCATGACAATGCATCCCATACTGACGGAATCCAAGTCGGAACCGAGAAGAGCCAAACCTCCACAGACACCCATCGAAATGGAAAGAAGCGACCAGGTCATGAGGAACACGGAGAGCTGGAAAAGGTAATTTGGGGTTTTCAAAACAGTCAAATTAACATACAGCATCAGGAAGGAAGAAGAATGAAATGAGGGCCATCATTGCAAGAGCGGATCCGATGGTTTGCATGGAAGACGGAGCAATGGTGTGACGTTGATCGATAAGGAAAGGACTGAAGATTCCGGAAAGGAACATATCGTATTCGGGGTACTCCTTCAGAATGTCACGCCAATGGAACAACTCGGCTTGTCTTTTATCCCAACTGTCAAGTCCGTAGAACGAAGTTTGGAAGGAGAAAGCAGCAATACACGGTTCTCCGTTCGTGATATTATCCATGATTCTCACCTTATCTGTAAAAATTCAACTTTAATTACGTGATATTCTCGGTGGTTTTACCTCTGTATTGCGAGTAATCAAGCTGCGAAAAGAAGTCTCTCATATTCTTTCTGTCGTAGAAGTCGATAGTGTAGTTGATGTTCGGGAAATCGTTCAAGTACTGCTGATACTGCCAAACCCACAAGTTGGTCGAAACTCTTCCAATGGAATAGTCAGTGTGTTCCAGACGGAAGACGAGTTCGTTCAATTTGGCACGGGATCCGGCATCACGGAGATCTGGGGGATTCATGATGTGGAAGGTTGGCATCACGTTGTCAGCCCAAATGTACTTGTCTGAAAGAAAGTCAAGATGGTTTTTGAGGAGGGCAAAAATGAAATACCGGCAAGTGCAACAAAAGTTTGAATTGGAGAGTTGTCTCGGATGTACTTGACTGGGGAGATATCAACTCGAAGAATGGAGCATCCGTAGATAGCAAAAGCTGTGTAGATTGGGAACAGAGCAAGGGAAGCAACACGGACCCATTTCTTCATGAGGAATGGAGCGAATACGTCGCGGAAGTACTTGTGCATGTATGGCACTAAAAATGAAGCAACGTAAATTAAAAACTATTCAAAAACTAGAAAAACTTACAATCTTTAGTTTTCTCGTGGTGTTGATAGTTGATATGTTCTTCTTTCTCCTTGTCAATTTGCGGTCTTTGGTTGACATTTTCCACGTCTTCATCTTCAATCTTACTGTAGCAGCAAGAAGCCAATCCTCCGGTCTCTTCTCTATCTCCAGAGTACTTGAGCACTGCAGCATAGAAAGTGATCTGCATCAAGTAATCGAAAATGACTCCAACAGCGGTGATGATGCAGAAGTCAGCGACAGCTGGGGTGGAGCACATGAGCCATCCGAGGAAGAAGCAGAAGAAGTTGGTGAAGGAAGTGACCGTGATAGATGCACCGGCATCTCCCATCACAAGAGCTAATCTTGTGGCTGGTGACAGTTTCCGATCGCATTCTCTCCAAGCGGCGACCATGAGGAAGTCGTCGTCGACTCCGACAGCCAGAATGAGGAAAGGCATTGTGGATGTGACTGGGTTGAACTTGGCTCCACAGAAGAAGAAGATTCCGAAAGTGATGATGAGAGCGAAGATGATGCACCAGACTCCGAGACACATTTCAATCGGCTTGGACCTGCAAAAAGTTGTTCAGTTTTGTCTCAAAACTACTTGGACCATACTTTGTCTTATCTCTACTGAAGTTAGCGGACAGCACGAACAAAGTGAGCATAATAGTAGCTGGGACAGCGAACGGAACAGTGGTTTTGATGATCTCAAGCATTTCATCATCCATAGCTTTGTCACTGAAGAATTACAACTTTTCCTTTGATTTCCACATTTCCAATTTATAACTTACTTGTGTGGGATGAACTGAAGATCACTGTTCTCAGCAATTCCCTCCCAGTACTCATTAAGTTTCTGACGGAATTCATAGTAGGCCTTGTTGTTCTCCGGAGTGGCTGGATAGTTGACAAACCAATGGATTGTCAGCACTCTAGCTCCTTGAATCTCGTTCTTTTCTCCTTTGACGTCAACTCCGTAGATGACATTTCCGATGTCCTTTGGTCTGTTGAATAGGTACAATACTGGATAAGAAAGTTGAAGGTTCGGGTTCGCTTTGATCTTTCCGTCTTTGAACAGAACGTCGGCGTGCTTGATCCAGAGATTCAAGTTGTTGTTGCAGGAAGCTGATCCACCCTCTTTCACGCAGAAATCTTCAAGTCCCCAGGTCTCTCCTTCGAAGTCATTTGTCACTTTCATCATCTGAAAGGTCAGAATGATCTTATTGTGTTTTGATAAGTTTCATACATCCTGGGTGTACTGGAAGAGTGGTCCGAGGTATTTGGATTGCAAAAGATTTTCAAAGTTACGGTGGACAACGTAGAAGCGGAGGATGTCATTCTTGGCATGTACTGAAATATTAGATTTGTAGTTTTTGTGAAGTTTCTATCCGCATGTCTCATTCCGATCTTACGACCAATTTCACTCGGTCATAAAGCATTCTCGAAAGTGCGCCCGTTCTACTTTCCCTTTTTCATGTGTTCCATCTTGTCTGGTCGAATCTCGGATCGAAATCCATTCTTCTCGACTCAAAAACCATCTCCCTTTTCATGTCTGTTTCGTTTTTCATTTCACGGCCAATCGTGCACAAATCGCAATCAGATCGGAAAAGGTAGAACGATGAAGACGGTGAGGGAGGGGATAGTAGACTTGGTGTAACAAAACCGCCGCGAAATTCGGGCGAGTGACGCGATTTGACCCGGTTTTGAGGAAAAGATAGAAAAGAAAGAGAGATTAAGAATGAATGCTGGATGACGTTATCCTGAGAGAAGACCAAACTCGAAACGTTTCAAGATAAGAGAATTTGAGTGATATTGGTCCCCCGAACATCCAGTGTTTTCCAAAAAACATGACTCACCAAGCTTCCTTTCGCGCTCCTTCTTTTCTTTATTCTTGTTCACGTCTCTCTTGTATCTGACCAGACTGGAATTGGCAAATGGCAACTCATGCATATCTTCGGCCTCCATAGCCTGCAAATCTCTGCGCAGTCTGTCCATCTCAACGTCAGGGAACATGCAGGCAGTGTCGGAGCAGTCGAATTCACGTCGATGACGTTTTGGAATTAAATTGAGATCTCCCAATGGCAACTGATTGAACTCTTTCGTTCTTTCGAACTCATATCTGACCTGAAACAAAAAATATGTGTTATTCGACGTCTTCTTCTTCTTCTTTAAACGTACTGGAGCATCGGTGGGTACAAATAACCTATAGAGATCGAGATTGATTTGCAAATAGAAAAGTCCTGGGATAGAAGCAATTGTCAAGAAAATTGGAACAAGAAGGAACCATCTCTGGTGTTTGGCGATGAAAAGTCCATAGTTGTAAAATACCTGAACCAAAACTATTATACTGTAAACTAAACTTTTTTAAACTCACTTTTACCATCCAATCCTCAAATTGTTTACCATAGTCGCTGAGACGCATGGTTAGGTCTGAACCCAACTGCTGAAAAAGAAAATAAAGTGATAGCAACGGGGGAGCGAAAAAAGGATACAAAAAGGACTACGAGAAGTGGGAGGGATGTGGGTGTTGGACGGTGGACGGAGGACGGCCAAAATATCCAGAATCTATCTGGCAGAAGCTAATGAAACGACGGGCAAGAGGACTGATGGTCACCGAACAGGTTCTGATGAGAATACAAAAAAAGTGTGAGAGGAAAGAGGCAAAGCCAGACGGAATAATGATTGATTCCGTGTCCAGATAAATGACAAACTCTTTGGCGACAGAAGCACGAGAACACAACAGATCCGGAGGAAGAGGTGGAGGAGGAGGAGGAGGTTTGAGATGAAAAACAACAAGTAAAAGTTATGATTTATGCAATGGGGTGTGACAGTGATCGGGTTCTCTGAAGATGAAACTGGAGAAAGCTAAGAAAAAAGTGAGGATACGTGTTGAAAACAAAGCTGTGGTAGGTGGGTCTAATAAAAGGGAAACGTCCAAGCAAAAACGGCGGGAGGAAATGAAAGGAAAGAAGCACTTGAAACGTTGCGAAACGACTTTGAGGACTTGACAGCGACTCGACGCAATTGGCCCGAAGCAGCAGCAGCAGCCGCCCCGCATTCGTCAGTTCAACCGGCGATTTGATAGGCCTTAGCCGGTCGAGAGGACAATCGGTGACCCATATAAGGCGAAACGATGAACATTTTGTCTCTTCTTGGCGGTTTGGCCTCCGACACCATCATCCGCGGCGGCGTCGGCGGCTGCCCGGCTGCCTGGCCGATTTGCATGCTATCACACTCACATCCACGCATACGTACATAGACTGCCTCCGAACCAACTTCATCCCGCCTTTTCTGATGACCTGTCAACAATATTGAATCCGATTTTGGGGATTATGAGATAACGGAATGTTTCGGTTTGCGGCGGATGGATCTACGTTATAAGACGAAGATATTTATTCTCTTGTCGGGATTTATTTGAAAAATCAGTGACCCGACCGGGCCCGGCTGCAAAAATGTTGAACAAGTTTTTGAGAAATAATCGATACGTAATTTTTGAACTCCGTTTACAAAAAGGCACGATTTGGACAAACATTTGGCTCAAAAATCATGTTTCGGGCTGCGACAAGTCTGATGGACACCGCTTTCAGATCTTCCTTGGTTTTTGAGTTTTCCTAGAGTTTTCAGAACTTGACGTCCGAATCCGAAAACCACAATATTATTGTTCGTCTGCATTGAAAATTACAATAATAATAATAATAACAATAATAGATTGGTCTATTGTAGACCTCCAACACAACACAAAAAACATGAAATGCTCCAGACATCAAACATGGCACAACTTGTCAATGAAAAAGCTGCCAAGAGTGTCATTAATGTTTTTCGCGTGTTGCGAGTATCACTTTGGCCCCTCGAACAAGTTCCTCCTTCTTTTGTCGAGCCGCTTTCTGAGTCCATTTTATCACCCTCAGACTTCCCCCCGCTCGTTTAGTTGGAAAGACTACTTTGTGCAAAAGTGAAGTTGTTCTTTCATTTCTGTTCCAATTATCATTTGAGTGCACTGCACTGCTTTACTCCTCGAGCCCTCACCTGCGACTTCTCACGCGCTCCACAAAACATTACGGCATTCTGGGGCTCGGGTTTCAGAAACATTCTTTGCTCTTGGCTGATGGGCCATCAGCCACCGTAATACTCTAAACCTTCTTATGCAAATTGGGCGTCTCAGACGGCACAAAGTGCCAATTGGAATCAGTCTGTCTCGCACTTTCTTGGCGTGAAAAACGAGAAGTAAAGCTTTGATAATCTTCTGGCGGTCCAATTCACTTTTCTTTTCCTTCTTCTTCTCTTGTCTTTGACCGAATGACGCATTCTTTGGTGGCCTTGCAGATAGTGGTCCAACAAGAGATGCAAAAATAGTTCACATCTTCCTCATTAACCAATTTAGCGGGGGCTATTTCTGTCCTAAATTTGTACGACCAAAAGTTGGATCTAATATAGTCGAGTAATCACATTTTGCGTGGATCCCTTTTTCGGGGGACCCAAAAGGGTCTTCTCTATTGTTTGTCACTTTTCAGTCGTTTTTTTGCCTCCAAATGTCAAAAAATTTGACACCTTTCGCGGATGAACACGTACGTACGTGTTTTCCACTCCAATATTCTACTTTCACATTGTGTAACTACCGAATTCCACATCATCATCATCGTTGTTTTCGCTATTCGAGGCGTGCTCGCGCATCGTTTCAGTTTACAATTACTTACTCTTCTTTTTGATTCACCCAACTCGTCTTTTGGTTGCCCATCCATTTTTGACACATTCAAAACATGAAAAACACGCAGACGTCTGAAGAAGGAACAATAGCTTCGCGGAGATGAACAAAATTTGCACAGCCTAGTAGAAGGGTCTCAAAAAACAAATGATTTGCTTTTATTTGATGTTCCGGACATTTTTTTTTTGAAAAAGAATGAAGTTCTGTGGAAGTCGAAGAAAAACTGATTTTTCTGGATAAGCAGGATATATTTCATAAAACCTGCAAACGGCCTTTTTCTTGTTTTATAGGGTACACCACAAGACCACCAAAAAACCCTATCATTATTATTTCAAGATTTTCCGTTTTTCTTTCTCTTTTTGGTTTCTTGGCTCTACCTACTCTGACTTTTGCCCACTTCGAACCATTGTCTTTCTTCTGGCCGCCTTCTTTTCTAATTTTAACTGCTTCCAAGTGAGAGAAAAAGGTAAGTTTGTGTGTTGAGTTTCTTCGTGAACAATGGAGCTGGCCAGCACCTTTCCGGAAGCACAGGGAGGAAGAAAAAAAGACTTGAAAAGGAATGAAAGGTCAGAATAGAATACGACAATGATTTCCGATGCTCTCTTTACTCTCCCTTCTAACCCCATGTTGAGCCGTCACAGCTGAAATATTAGCATGGAGTTCTTAAGTTCAATTCGGATGAAAAATTATTTCCCTTCCGTGTTTTTCCTCAATTCTAGGCAAATTCTCCAAAGATCTCCAGATTTCTGCTCTCTTGCCCATCGCGCTAATTGATCTCTACATCCTGACCACATTTTGATGGAGATGGCGTAGAAACGAAACACGGCGCCGTTGTCTTTCCTCTCCAGCCCAATTCCTAATTCTACACTCCTCAATTATGAATAATGAATTAATCTTTTGAAAAGAACTGAAACTCACTTCCGGAAGATTTTCTGCTCAATGATATTTGGTATTCTATCTTCATCAATGTCGCTGACAGATCTTTTTTTTGCTCTGTCCTTTCATTTCCCATCTTTTTCCAACTTTTTGTGCCCAAGTCTACCGAAATTCCGTTTGCCAGCATGCCGACCGGGAGGGCTCCGAAAGAAAAGCATCTGGTAAACACACATTAATTGCGTTTCGAACGTTGATTCTTCTTTCTCGTTTACTCATTTTCTTCCGGCAGATGTTCTTTTTTCACTTTTTCATTACACCTTTTTGCTTTTCGAATGAAATCTGAAAATTGGACATCTCATTCAACGTCTTAGGAAAGAGTACGCTTCCTTCCTTCTTTTTCATTCCTGTTGGGTCCATCAACCCAAATTAAAAACCATTACTCAATCACTCATTCGTGTCCGTCAGAGCCATATAAAAAGAGGCTGGGTCTCGTCAAAACGGGAAGCCCTTCCACATCCTTCACCCCGTTCCACCGCTGTGTGCCGGTCGTAGTTCTTATTTTAAACTATTGGTGCGTTTTCGTTTTGTTTTCGTTTTTTAACATAATCCTCGACCACTTCCGGACATTGGGTTACAATGCGTCCGGAACCTTCACTTTAAACTTCTGTACTCTTCATTCTTCAGACAACTCTGAAAGTTTGAAGAGTAAAAGTGAAGTTAGGTGATTCTGAAGTGTTACTCCAAAAGGATCAATCATCTCTAGAAATATGAGCATAAATATTCGAGTACGTAAGGGATTTGTCACGGGGATGAGCAAACAGAGAATAGGACACTAGTACTGGCGCGAAATTGCAATTTCTTACTCGATTTCAAAACACCGATCTTTGATTTCGATTGGGGAAGATTGGGAAGATGAGAAAAATAACAGAGTTATAAAAATTAACTATAATTTCTTCTTCATTTCGTTGCGGTTTTTAAGAAAAATGAGTGCAATCCGATTCTAACCGAAGAGGTCATAAATCCACATGGCCCATCCCATCCAATCCCCGATGACCTTTGCGCATGCCATCTTAAAATTATAGATGGACATGCACTCCACCTTTTCATCCATTTTTCCAACACCATTCTTTCAAATCGGTTCGAATGCGAGCGTCTTCAATTGAGCCGCTCTCGGTGCCCGTTGGACGAGAGTCCCGCCCCTTTTTGCTCCTTTCGCTACGAAGCTCTCGCCTATCTCACTTTAATGTTTTTCCAAGCCTGGTTGTGAATTCAATCTTCAGAAGAGAAGACGGCGTCGACGAGCGAGTCTCGACTCTGCAAGAATATGCTCTTGTTCTCATCTATATTCCTGCTACTCTACAGGTACTGTAGACAAGGAGAAGTTCTTGAAATTCAATACTTTTTCAGAGGAGGATCTGCAAGTCGAAGTGAGCCGGTACCAATTTACCTGGACAATCTTCTGAATGCGGGAAGACAGGTTTATGATAATCAGTCCCCACCGGTACAACATGACAAAGGTAACTATTGGTTTTCATGTTTTTTACTTTTACATAGTTGGCCCAAGTTCTTTTTCGTTTCGTGGTTTCTCCAGAACATTGTTCCTTTAATTCAATTACATTTGTAATACACTGCTAATCAGTTCAATCGTAAAAGCTCACAGAATGTTAGCACTGAATTCTATTTGTTTCTCTAATCGTCAAGCACAAAAAGTTTAGTCGGGAGCATCTGAGCTTCAGAACGGACGCCTTGTCCGAAATAGATCCTTAGGCGGTCAGCGACAAAGTGAATAAGCGAGTCGCGTGCTCAACGTGACGCGATCGTATCAATGTGCTTTTCCGTCGTCGAGCATTTCGTTTCCGCACGCCGCCTCTTCTGTGTTTTCAAATCCTCAAGACTCATTTTCATTTTTCGTTTAGAGGCCAACGCGGACCGATAAGGAGGGGAGGGGGGATACTTATGCAAATATTCGAAGATTCACGGCTTTGTGGGCAGCTCGATGAGCAACCGGCAGCGCAAATTGCGCTTGCTTCCGATTTGTCAGGCGTTTTTAGTTTCTTGTCGTCTTGGACGATCGTTTTGTGCACTTGTTAGACAGGACGCAATTAGGGCGGATAGCGTCCGAAAAACAGCGAAAGAAACACTGGAGCACTTCCTAGGACGAAAAAAGTTCGTAGATTCGGAAAAGAGGGAACCGAACAAAAAGCTATTCACATTTTGGAACTCTGAGAGCACTTGAAACCTGCTCCAGGAAGTTCGCAGCCCCTCCGAACCAATCCAATTGTCCACCTTCTCTTTGCAAGCGGAGAACCTCATTTCAGTTTTTTGCTCACTTCAAATTCCGGCTTGAGACAATTTGAGCAAGCAAAATAAATTGCACAACGTCACGGTGCCCTAATTTCAGATGAAGTGACGGTCGTCGAACTGGCCATGTACATCGAAGGAATGTCGTCGTTCCGTACACAAACCATGGATTTCCAACTCGACGTCTACTTTCAGCAATTCTGGCGGGACCCGCGTTTAGCGCACAACGAGACAAGACGGGTTCTCGTGAAAGACAAGGCAGTGTTGCACAAGATGTGGCACCCCGATGTTTACTTCGCAAATGCACGAATCGCAGAGTTCCATGAGGTTCGAACCATTGCGACTAGAGCCTTGTCTTCGATTACCGCATATTGTGTTTTGCAGGTAACTCAACCGAACTTCCTGGTATGGATACAACCGGATGGTTCGATTCTCTATGATACCCGCATCTCGATGGTTGTAGTGTGTACTTTGAACCTGGAGAAGTGGCCGCTGGATTCGCAACGGTGTCACTTGCGCATTCTGAGCTGTGAGCTGGAGCATGAAGCATAATCAGTTTGACGTCATCTTCCAGATGCCTACACCACAGAACAATTGGTGATCAAGTGGAAGGAGGAGGAGCCGATCACTCGCAATCCGAACATTGCCATGTCAGACATGCACATTGTCGACTTGTTCCCAGGTCTATGCGACGGAAATTACTCGACGGGTTAGTTTGGTCTTTTTGAATAACAATCGAAATCCCGCCGAGCCAAATGTGAATAGGTAATAGTGCGTGACTAACGGCATTTTTGAAAGGTGCTGCTTCACAAAATATTCTTGAAAAGGAAGTAAAGAAGAAAAAAGAAGCCCGCCGTCATGAACCAATTTTGACAGACGGCGGAAGCAGAAATCAGAAAAGCGACTCAATTATAAAGAGCAGAGAGTAGTGTGCCGTACTTGCAGGTACCTGGAGTTGCGTGACGGCAGAGTTCTTTGTCAAACGAGAAATCACCCATCATGTCATGCAGTCTTACGTACCAACCACGTTAATTGTAGTCATTTCCTGGTAAAATTCACTATGTTCCTAGCGGCGGCTTCAACCTTTTCGGGGGTTTAGGTTCAGTTTCTGGCTCGACGTGGAAGCAGTACCTGCCCGAGTATCCCTCGCAATCACCACCCTCCTGACACTCTCTACACAAGCAAATGCAGCTCGGATGGCACTTCCAGAAGTCAGTTACATGAAAGCAATCGATGTTTGGATGGGCGCCTGCATGATGTGAGTTCTTATGCACCACACACGTGGGTGTTAAAGGTTCGGCAAGTCAAAACACATTTGAGACAATAGGGAAGAGAGTTGACGCGGCGGAGGGTAACCTGATTTTGCACAACGGAATCGCGACACAAGGGAAACGTGGAAAGAGGGTGCTAAACTAGGTTTCAGTACTTGAGAAGGTCTGGAAAATGGGGAGAAAGAAGAATTGTGAGTCATTGTCACGTTCTATTCGATCTTTCAGGTTTGTGTTCGGAGTCATGATCGAGTTCACGATTGTCAACTACGCTCAAAGACAAGGTAACGTTTTCTGCATCCAGGCCATTTGAGGGTCTTATAGTCAAATTACGGCACACCTTGTGGTAGTTTCAAGTTTCACAATTACGGCTAGAACCTCACTATATCATTTTGAATGGTCGGATTGTAATGATTCCCTGAAGGCGAGCCTATTCCAGTGGTTATGGAGAGTAAACTAATCACTTAAATTAGTAATATCTAGGACGAAAATGGCACCGCACTGACGCTGAAATTGGTAGGTGATCAAGAGCCGAAATGCGCAAAGAGGCCGTCATTTTGGCAAGAATCATGTTGTAGCTTTATATCTTCTTCGAGTCACAAAAACTCTCGTCATCAACTTAGTTCCCAGTTTTGTACATTTATTGTGGTGTTCTTCCATGCCGAGTAACCGATTATGTTAAAGTATGCTGAGATCCTGAAAATGCATGACTTCTACCTTTTGATGTATCCAATAACTTCTACAATTGTCCGTCCACTTCTATGCGCTCCTATGTTCCTAAACATTTTTATATCATTTTTTATGCTTTCGAAGTAGGACTCCTTCCCACTCAAGTCGTTATCAATAGTCTTTGTTCTTTTCAGTTATGGCATCTTCACTGGAATCCGTTAAAAGTGGCGGAGTGGAGAAGAAAGCTTCACGTGGCGATCTGGGTACTCACGCCAGACAACTGTTCCTCAGGCTTCGGACTAACGAGCGACAACATTTAGTAGAGGTATTAACTTTTCAAATTACTCTCACAGACACAAAACATGTTCGATGTGCTTCGCTTACGTTCACTTCTCCACATGTGTTCAAGGGTTCTGTCAGACACATCTTAGGAGTCACCGTACTTTTCACTCAGTTTCACAGAGGATTTTGTAGGAACCACATGAACAAATACCAATGAATGACACAGCTTATGATACGGTCAGTCAAGCGTACAGTAACAGCTTCTCTGACGAAGAGGTACGCTTCCGTGCAACTCTTCACCAAGTGCCGTGTCCTTTCCTATTCTCCCAGTCCTGTCCTAACCCCCACCCGTGTGTTCTTTGCATGACCTTCACCCGTCCAACGTCTTGGTACTGATGTCTTGATCTTACCAATCAAAATCAATTTTTTCTCTTTTTTTTGGGCATCAGAAACCGTAACCAGTTTGAAGTGATTATCAGCATGTGTATAGGGTACAGTAAGACCTTGTAAAGTTTAAGACAATACAGGCGGCACCGGTGACTCAACCGCGGAACGATGAGAACGAAGCACAAGAGGAAGTGTGGGCGGAACAGAAAGACACCAATCTGAGCGAAGTCTGGAGCAACAGAGACGGAGATACTGCCGAGAGGCTTGCTCATTGGAACGGAAAAGAGAACGACGCCAGCTCTCCATTAATGGGAAACGGTCGATCACATGGTATTGTGTAATCATAAACAACAACATTCAGCCAAATAGTTTCAGTGCGATACGGAGCAGCTGACAAGCTAAGGAACAGAAAGAGCAATGAGAGCAGCAGGAAAAAGGATAAATGGAGTTCTGCAATAAAACAAATCCAGAAGCACAAGTGCGTTCAATTTTTCTTTAAAACATTCTGAACCAGTTAACCCAAAATCGATCTATCCAACTAACTTCTTTCAGAACTAGAAGCGGATCTGTTATCGGGTAAAATAATACCCTTCCACCCTTAGTTGAAACCATTCATTCCTGAGTGTATTCCCTCCTTAATTTTCATTTTTTAATGCATTCCCTATAGCAACTCTTCAAATTCTGTAAAAATTTACTGTTTTCCAGAAAAATCGCTGGCCGCAACCGTGCAAAGAAAATCGATCAGACGAGCCGATGGATTTTCCCGCTTTCCTTTGTGATCTTCAACCTCACCTACTGGATTTACTACCTTTACTGGAAAGAGTAAAGAGTCCCGTCATAAATTTCTCTCAGTCAGCAATATTTTCAAACCATGTATTCAAATTTTATGAAAAAGAAAATCAAAACGAACAAATGTTCAAAACATTTGGACAATATCTCAGTTCCACGAGTTTTTCCAACTTTTCTGATGTAACTTCAATATCATGACCACCTTTCCCACTTTATTTCCTGATTTTTGTGGTTTCCTCAATAAACTTCTGCAAAAAAGCGTGTGCCATTTCCATCAGACACCTTGAGCAACATCCGCTCGACCAGGAAGATAATCAAAAAGCAGAAAGGAGTATCCTTTTCTTATCAGCGATTGGAACTGATGTTTCCAGTCCCATTTTGTTGTCTTTTGAGAAGAGAATCATGATACGTTTCGAGAAGGAAGAGGAGACGCAAAAGCAGCGACAGCAGAGATCATTAAATTAGTGTGGACTTTGAAAGAAAGACATTTAGGTCGTGATTTTTTGTTACTACATTCTTACATTAAGAGAAGATACATGGATGTGATGTTTAGCTGTCACAAATTGCATCAGAACGTCTGCAAAGATCAGTTTCAAAACAGTTTCAGGAAGTCAACAATTTCACAGACCATCCACTTCATGCTTATTTGGCGAGGAAGAATGAATTAATTCGTGTGATCTTTCGACTTTGCGCCGTATTCTGCTAGTTCGTGACAGAAAGTTCACTATCAAAACATCACGTTTACCGAGAAGTCATTGCTGTGAAAGATCGCTTCCAAATTGAAGAAAACAAGAATGGGCAGGGTTTTCTTTCGGTAAGACTCCGCTTCTGGGGAGTATAAAAGACCGACTCGGGACCGAAATGCCATCAGACGATCACCAAAATGAACGCTTTCGGTCTTCTTCTAGCTTTCGCCGTTCTTTTCGCTTCTGCTGCGGCCGCCAACCGTTACGGATGGCCAGACTCTTACGAGAGATTCCTTGAGAGAGTAAGTACCCTTTCAGCCTGTTCCCAGCCAAGCATAATAAAATTTCAGCAAGGATACTGGGACTTCAAGAGTCATGATGTGAAATCGTCGTACAGAGGCCGTGCCAACTACGAGCATGACCTTCGTGAGCTCTTCGACGACTGGAAAAAGCAGACGAGATGGGGCCAGAAGGACTACCGCTCTAACAAGTACACTCCACCACAGGGACGTTGGGGATTCCCAGGAAAGTAAATTTGCTCGACTTTTACATAAACTGATTTGATTATTCTCCTTTTTTATAACAATACATATATTTTATACTATTTGATGACTGTTCAAGAGAATTATGGATGGCACTGGATGACGAAACAACGAGAGACTGGATAAGTCTCTCACGATCTCCTTATTTCCAAACTCAGCCTTTTTGGAGTCTTCCCATGTTTCAGGTGCGAAAAGATGAAACCTGGCACTCGAAGAAGGACATCAAATGCAGTGCATCGTTCGAAAGAAGCAACATGGATGCTCCCGCATGGATTCGCGCACCTCACCTATCAAGTGAGCCTTGCGTTTTATCTTCGAATCTTTAAATTACCAGAATCAAACCACAGCCGAAATTCATTGCGAAAAGCGACTAAAATGACAAATAAATAGTGAAGACCAGTAAGGAAAGGTTAAACGCTGGGGTATTTCACAAACATAATCTGTTCTTAGAAGAGAACGTCCAATATTCAATGAAACGATAGATGAAGAAGAGCCATTTTTGTTAAAACACTATGGTGACCGCGTTTTGAAATGAGAAAAAGGGGAAAAGAGAGAGAGGGAAAGGGAACAACAACAATTGTTTAGATTGAACTTTCAACATGAAATAATAAATATTATTAAGGGATTCGGGTAGATTGATCGATTTACAGCTCGTCCTTCTCGTCAGCTCCCTCTTCCGCAGCCTCTTCTCCTCCAGCTCCTCCCTCCTTGTAAAGTTTCGATACGATCGGTTGAACCTTGCTCTCGAGGTCCTTCTTCTGTTCCTTGAGCTCTTCGGCCGAAGCGTCAGTGTTGGATCCGAGCCAGGAGATGGCCTCATCGACAGCCTCCTCGATCGTCTTCTTGTCGTCTTCGTCAAGCTTTCCTCCGAGCTTTTCCTTGTCTCCAATTTGGTTCTTCAGGTTGTAGGCGTAAGATTCGAGCTCATTGCGAGCCTCGGCCTTTTCCTTGACCTTCTTGTCGTCCTCAGCGAACTTCTCGGCGTCGTTGATCATGCGCTCGATGTCTTCGGGGCTGAGTCTGTTCTGGTCGTTGGTAATGGTGATCTTGTTCTTGTTTCCGGTTCCCTTGTCCTCGGCGGTAACGTGAAGGATACCGTTGACGTCAATCTCGAAGGTGACTTCGATTTGTGGGACTCCGCGTGGTGCTGGTGGGATTCCGGTAAGGTCAAACTTTCCGAGCTGGTGGTTGTCCTTGGTCATTGGGCGTTCTCCCTCGAAGACCTGTAAAACGGTGATTACAATGAGTTAATCGTCTGGCAATCCGTCAGAACGGAAAGTAAAAGAGCTGTCATTACCTGGATAGTGACGGTTGGCTGGTTGTCGGCGGCGGTGGAGAAGACTTGGGACTTCTTGGTTGGGATGACGGTGTTACGGGAGATGAGCTTGGTCATGACTCCTCCGACAGTCTCGATACCCATGGTAAGCGGGTTGACGTCGAGAAGAACAATCTCTCCGGTGTCCTCCTCTCCGGAGATGACTCCTCCCTGGACGGCGGCTCCGTAAGCGACGGCTTCATCTGGGTTGATACCGCGGGATGGCTCCTTTCCGTTGAAGAACTCCTTGATGAGTTGTTGGACTTTCGGGATTCTGGTGGATCCTCCGACAAGAACAATCTCGTGAACATCATCCTTCTTGAGGTCAGAGTCCTCAAGAACTTTCTGGACTGGCTTGAGAGTGGCGCGGAAGAGATCCATGTTGAGCTCCTCGAACTTGGCCCGGGTGAGCGTCTCAGAGAAGTCCTCTCCGTCGAAGAGAGACTCGACCTCAACCTTGGTCTGGTGCTGGGTGGACAAAGCTCTCTTGGCCTTTTCGACCTCACGACGGAGCTTCTGAACGGCGCGCTTATCCTTGCGGAGATCCTTTCCAGACTTCTTCTTGTACAGCTTGATGAAGTACTCCATGACGCGCTGGTCGAAGTCTTCTCCTCCCAAGTGAGTGTCTCCGTTGGTGGCCAATACTTCGAAGACTCCGTTGTCGATGGTGAGCATGGACACATCAAAGGTACCACCTCCAAGATCAAAGACGAGGATGTTGCGCTCTCCTGAAAAAACATTATGAGTCATGAGCCCTCAGATCTTGTACTTTTCCCCATTCAAACAAAACCTAGTCTCGAACTATCTCTCATGTGTCTATTTGTGCACGCGATGTCTCTCTAATCGTCATCAACTGTTCGGTAGAGGAACCTGTACCAGTCACTGACCAACTCGATTGTTTGCACAGAACGGTCAATGCGAAAAGAGGCAAGTCCACGGACAAATATTAGGGCACCCTTCATCCCTTTTCTCCTAAACTAACCGTCCTTCTTGTCAAGTCCGTAGGCAATGGCGGCGGCGGTTGGCTCGTTGATGATACGGACAACGTTCAATCCGGCGATAGTTCCGGCGTCCTTGGTGGCCTGACGTTGGGCGTCGTTGAAGTAAGCTGGGACGGTGACGACGGCGTGTTTGACTTCCTTTCCGAGGTACGACTCGGCGATCTCCTTCATCTTGACGAGAACCATGGCGGAGACCTCCTCTGGGGTGAACTGCTTCTGCTCGGATCCGACCTTCACCTCAACGGATGGCTTGTTTCCCTTGTCGAGCACCTTGAATGGCCAGAGCTTGACGTCGGCTTGGACGGTCTTGTCGTTGAAGTCTCTTCCGATGAGACGCTTGGCATCGAAGATGGTGTTCTCTGGGTTGATGGTGAGCTGGTTCTTGGCGGCATCTCCGATCAGACGCTCTCCCTGCTCTCCGGAGAAGGCAACGTAGGATGGAGTGATACGGTTTCCTGAAAAAAAAGTAATCATTGCTAGCGTTCTATTTTTCGAATAGTTTACCTTGGTCGTTGGCAATGATTTCGACGCGTCCGTTCTTGTAAACTCCGACACACGAGTAGGTGGTTCCGAGATCGATGCCGATAATGGTTCCATACTTGGTCTCTTTCTTCTCGGTTTTCTCTTCCTCTTCACAGTAGACACTGACGGCGGAAAGGGCGATAAGGCCCAACAAGAACAAGGTCTTCATACTTGGAGTTTGGTTTACTTTCTGAAACGAATACAAGTTAGCTTGTTACGTTGGAAGATGCGGAAAGACAGATCAAAAGCAAGACCACTCGGTGAAAGAAATGGAATGCAAAAGGATATAGCTGCGGGGGCCGATTTGTAGGTCGTCCTTCCGACACGCCGCCCGAATGCTCAAGGTCGTTCATCGCGAAGGCCGGAGTGGTACCGCCGACCGTCGAGTATGGTGGAGGGAGAGCAAACTGACGGATCGGGCGGACGGTCGGACATAAAGAGACAGCGAGAGAAGAACTGCGAATGTCGACGTGGCCAACACAGATACGACTGGCCAACGTCAGCAGAGCGCACGGCTCTTGCGGAGAAAAGGAAGAGACGCAGAGTCAGGCAACCAATCGGAGAGCGCCCCGTCGGTGTGTGCGTGTCTCTGTGTGCGTACGAACGTCGTGAGTGGAAGAGTGTGCTAGTAAACGTCGCTTTGGGGGACGCGATGCGGTCGCGTTGCGTGCTGGCCACATCCAGACTAGGTATCATGGAGAAGCAGGGAAATGAGCGGAGAAAAACCGAAAGGGTTTGAGAAATGGGATAATCCAATTCTAATAAACCACAGAAACAATGAAAGACGCTCTCTAAGATTTGAATGTGAAATAATGGCAAGAGACACTTACTCGGAGGTACCCGGAAATCAGAACAAAATACCGGCAACTACTGTACCTTGTTCAGTTAATGGTTTAACTATACTTTCTGATCAGGTTAAATAGGAAGAACTATGTAGAAAGTACGCCTTTGAAAGGAATGTAGGTCAGGATCGGACTCAAGTAGTACTTTGCCCACGCACGGCGATAATAGGATGCTGTCCTCCAAGGGCAAGATGACGACGATACGTGCTTCAAAAGATAAGATTCTGTGCAGTAAGACGATCCGATTGAAAAGACCAGATAAGATGCGCTAACGGTGAAGGGATACCGATCAAAATTTCAAACAATATCATCCGTTGCTGAAGTAATACGCCGGAAAGCTGATGGGGTTTTCCTGTATCCATCGAAAACAGCAAAACTAACCTAGGAATCTACAGTAGCCAAAACTGTGCGACTTTCCCACTCTATTGAAGGCTTACTAAGTGAAATGCGACGGGGAAGTTGATAAAAACACGCATTCAGATGAGACTGACCTCAAATCGCCCATTTGTCGCCGTTACGAATTCTCGACGCCCAATTCGAGACGTCTATCAATGGAGCGCGTTTACAATGGCCACGGCATTCGAGAGTATAAACATGTCTAATACGGCCATGTTTTCCAGTTTCCGATGCTATTTTCCACTAATTTTTACCTCAAACACGTGAAACATTCTTGTCCCGTTCGCTTACGTTCATTTTCAACTTATTGTTTTTCAGGTAGCAAAATGTGGTGTCGATGTATATTATCTTTTTTGACGATATCGACAATAACAGCCAAATTCCATCACTTGGCATTGAGAGTGAGCAGAAATCAATTCTCAATTGAAAACAAGTATTTGGAACGTGACTTTTGCAGGCAGACTCCCGCAGAAACATCATTATCAGCGAATTTGGATATGGTGTTAACGGCACGCTTAATATCGGTATTGCCAATTTCACAGTGCCAGAAAAGATCAAAAATTCCGTTGATTCAACTGAAAATGCTGATAAACTGGTTAGAATCAACTCCAAGTGGTCTGTAGCCGTAAAAATTATCGATTTTTGCAGGGGGTCATCGGATTTTCGCTCTCATTGGGCTCAATTATAACCAGAGGCGTTGGCTCGAATCCGCATGTTTGCCAGTTACAAGTGAGCACTTTCACATTGTTTTTCAGATCTGATATTTGAGAACCTCATCTTTTTCAGCAAACGGATCAAGGCTACGACGCGATATTCTTCTTTGCCGATTTGCCCAACAAACGGTTACGAGTATATAGGAGCGGAATCGGAAGATACATACGGATATGTGAAACGCCTTACGAGTAAGAATCTAAATTCTCATCGGTTTCGCTTTTCACTGCTTGTTTTCGCAGATGTCGGGATAATGATGCGATTCGCGAGCCGAAACCGGAAGAGCTGAAACCGGAAAACCCGACGGGGCCCATAGAGGAGCGTGGGTGGTTCCGCAACTTGTTCGGTAGGTTTCTGAACCCCAGTGCACCACAAATCGCCTACGACAATTATGTTCCTCTACTAGTGCACGATGAGAATCATTTCTCAACAAACGTAAGCTTCAATTTGTGGCTCCTGGCACATCTTCATCCTGATTTGCAGATGTCGATCCGTTTTGACGGAAAAATCGTTGGACAGTACGTTTTTATGTTCCATAACTGCTACAATTACAGAGCTCATGGATACAGGTGCTCATTTACTTGACATTTTCATAAAAAACCGTCATAACCTGCGTTTTTCAGTGATCGTGTCGCTGTTGACCTCACTGTCGACCTGGTGGAGAGAAATATGCACTCGTACCTGTCCGTCAGTGAAATTCCAAAGCCGCAGATCTTTCTGTACATGTCGATCCTCTTCTTTGCGCTCTTCATATACTGGAGCCATTTGCTTTGCAGATCAAGGTATCCAAATCTCACAAAAATCCTTTCACGAAAGTCGTTTCAGCTCCGAGAACATCTACCGAGTGCACAAATTCATGGCAGTACTCGTCTTCCTCAAGTCGGTCTCGCTCTTCTTTCACGGACTCAACTACTATTTTCTGAGCAAATACGGAATGCAGAAGGAGTTTTGGGCGGTTCTCTACTATATCACACATCTGTAAGTTTTTGCTACAAATTGCAGAACTTTTCAAAAAAATCGAGGAAATTTGTAAAGAAATTTTGAACGATAGTTTTGTGGTCAGGAGCTCGGACAGCATCTAAAACTCGACTTACAAGATTCGGAGCCAGCTCGGTTTTGATCAGGTTAACGAATTTGCCAGCCCGGCCCGACCCGGTCGGATTATAAGATTTGCCGTGAACGAGTTAGTCGGTGGCCAGAACGGACCGAAATATTTCCAGAAACAGCGGCTCGGTGTGAAGCTTATAGCATTCTTTGTGTTTTCAGACTCAAAGGACTTCTTCTGTTCGGAACAATCATTCTCATTGGAACAGGATACACGTTCATCAAGCAATTCCTAACCGATCGCGACCGCCGAGTTTTCATGTTTGTACTGCCGATTCAGGTATTCAACGAGCTTACGAACCGACTGAAATCCATGCAATTCAGGTACTCGATAACATATTCCTGATCATCCTAAGCGAAAGCGAAATCGGAACGGAAAGCCACCAACTCTGGCTGAAACTCTTTGTATTCCTCGACATTTTGTGCTGCTTTCTGGTCGGACTCCCTATTGTCTGGTCAGTTCTATTCTTTTGAAACATTTTTTGTTACCGATGACGTTCAGGTCCATTCAACACTTACATGAAGGCGCCTCCACAGACGGAAAAGCCGCGGCGAACCTCAATAAACTGCGATTGTTCCGTCAATTTTACATTCTCGTCATTGTGTACATATATTGTACCAGATTCTTCAGTGTGATTTTCAGAGTTAGGAAATTTCACCAGAAAATCCAGAAGTTATTTGATTTTTGCAGTTCGTTCTGCCGAACAACTTGGAATGGATGATTGTCGCTGCGGTCGAAGTGGTCACTTTCATGTTCTTCATTATTGTCGGTTACAAGTTCCGTCCAGCCAACTCTCACAACTACCTCTTGCTCAACTCCGACTTTGATAGCTATGATCTGGAAGCGGCGCCAAAGGAAGAAAAGAAGGACGAGGACGATGAGCCGAAAGTCGGAGAACAGTGAGTCACAGCTGTCCGAGAGTCCGGGCATTCTATTAAACATTTCATTCCCTCTTTTTCCAGATTCCTGACCCAAGTTTTCTCAGAAGCCAATGTCTCGCGGCGCGTCATTTCCGATGAGTCAGCGGTTGATTATCCGCATCAGAAACTCATGAAGAAACCGTAAGCGAAATAGATTTCACTCGCCACCCGGAAATAATCTGTGTTTGTTCAGTTCTCAAGCATACGAACAGTCTCTGATAGATTAATTATAATCCAATCCGCAGCAACCACGAAAACAACGGAGTGTGCAGTGAGGACTGCGGTTTATCATCAACTCCCTTCTGTTTTGGTTAATGCTATTATGTACACTTTCATCATCTGCCACTTTCAATTTTTTTCCATTTTTCGCCCCGCTTTGGTCATGCCCAGTTGCTCCTTTAACTATAATATTATTATTTTCATCATCGGGTTCTCAATTCTAACGCGTTTTAGTCCAAAATTGTCGACTTGTGAGGGTACTTGACAATTTTCTAAAGTGAACAGGTGGCCACAATTGTTCCCCGTCTTTGCCCCTCCGCATTTTTCACATTTATCTATCAAGGTTTCATTCGTGTGATATCTGTTAGTCATGTTTCAATTCTCGCCCGTTCTCTTCCTCGAAAAGAAACCTTTTGTCCTTTGCCCTTGCCCCCGCTCTCTTATTACATTAGATATAAGAGTTTACCACGACAATAATACGTTTTGGTGACCTTCTCCGCATAAATCCTCTTTTCAATCGCTTCAGACGACACACGAACCCAAGCACCGGCTAATGAAGGATCGCGGCGGCATTGGACAGCTGTTCGAGTTCAAGCGACTACTGGTGAGCGAAGTGAACGGACGGGAAAGGGGGGTCCGCAGTGTCGCGTACGCGTGTTTGCGTACCCCGCCGTCACCCGCACCAAAATCCCCGCTGTTTTGTGCAATGGCACAGCATTGTTATGCAGTCTCTCGTGATAATTGCGATCATTTTGCTTGCTGTCCCTCACTTTCTTTCTCTTTATTTGCTTTCTCGCGAGTTTTCTGCTCGCTCAAGAAACACGCGTTGATTGGCATGACAAATACTGCTCCAAAGTTGTCCGTATCGCTCGCTAATTAATCAAACTGGCCAGCGACCTTTGTCCACTTCACCAATTTTAATTGATAAAACGCCATTTCGGAGTGCAATTCAATTCTGCATAATGGTCATCGATGTAGCGCGGCAGAAAACTCCACTATCAGCAACATGTCCGATTATTCTTAAATTCGGCATCGATTGAGTGACAGCGGTCGGCGCCGGCCGAAAAATGTGAGGGGAAAAAGCGAAATTTGCTTCCTAGTTTGTTTCTCTTTCCCTCCAAGACGATCAGTCTTAGTCACAACTTCAGTTTGTTTTTTTTTTCTTTTTCCCGTCGCAATGCGGTCGGTTCGCGGCGAAAATGAGTGTGTATCGAACTGCAATGACCATCCATCTATTGCGTCCATTCCGTCCGGTCGGCCGGCCAATCCTCCCGTCGCTCAGTCGTTTTCCGGCGGTAAAAACCGCAAAACGAAAGATGCGGCGATTTCCTGTTGACTGGGAGTGTTTTAGCCAATCTCCCGAAGTGGTTTGATTGACATCGACGCCCTCCGCTATTTCACCACCAAAGCATCTCCCCCCGCCCCGTTATGCACTCTCTTCTTCTCAACAATTCGCAGTAACAAGAACAAAACCGAGCTTTTTTCTTTTTCTTTCTTGTTTCGACCTCAGCGTCATGAATTATGATCGGTGCGTTGAGTGCCAGTGCAAAGACCTTGAAAATTGAGAATTCTATCAAATTCACCCTGTCATTTCACAGATGAGCAGGTAGCCTTTGCGCCATTTTTTTGCATTCCGTTTTTCACCATTTTACGACGCAGTTTCGGCAATGTGTATCACATCGAGTCCAATTTTTATGGTGGGCGCGGAGGCGGCAGCGGCGGGCGTTCGGACTACCTCACAAGTGTTGACACACACTCTCTTCATTTGGCCGTCCTCTGTGCCCATTTCCAACTTTTGTATAGGAGCCCAAGTGTCATTATTGTGACAGACAGTTTCAATTTCTACACTTCCCCCATATCATCAGAGTTTTTGACTGGTCTCCGATTACATATTCAATCGGAAAAAGGCTCATTTGTGAATCTTTTGAACTCATACTGTGGACGTGGACATTTACTGAAAAGTTAGGCCAAAGCCGCTGAGTCATTTCGATTTTCGAAATTCTAACAAAAAACAGTTTCCGATGCCTACAAAAGAACATAGACTGATCGGTGTAATATTGGTTACACGAGAAGTGTGTGTCTAGTAACAAGGACAAATATATAAATCATTTCGAATGGTATGTATAACATCATCGTATTGGAATGTCCGGTTTTCTCACTCATCGATCATTTTTGATAGAAATTGATTAAGGCAGACAAACGAGAACATTCTTTGATACTACTAGCAAATCGCAAGCCCCAATTTTTCAGTGAAGACACCATTATAATAAATTTGGTAATAAAATGAGCGTTATCGCGTTTCGCCGATGTCGGGAAAGGCGTAAATGAGGGGAGCGGGACACGATAAGAAGTATCGGTCAAGCCGGCCTTTGCCAAAGGAAAAGTGTAGCCTGTTCTCGGTTTGTGGCGGAAGACTCTCCCCTAGTTTCGCTTTCCTTCTCTTTGTTCGATATCAGATTTCGAATCAGTATGTTATGTTCAAATCGGCCACTCGTCTCTCGCAAAAGACGGATATTTTCTGCTTCAAAACTATGCGTCTATTCCAGATGACTACGGACTCGGCAAGTATCAAGTCTTCCGAGGGAACGTGCAGTTCGATTGGTGACGAGCGCGAGAAGGCGAAAATTGTGCAGAAGTTGGTCGAAATTAAGGACAAATTGAGAGCGTTGAACGAGAAACGTGAAGGTGAGTTGATTCTCCGCCGCGACACGCATTAGGAAGGCATCAACTCACTCTAATTCGTTCCAGTTGACGTCGAAAAGTTCCTGTCAGTGACCAAACAGTCGGAAATCGCCCGCGGCATCGGCCTCGACAACCCGCAACGAGCCCGTATCCGCAACAATTTCGAACGCCAAAACCGCAAGCATGCTCAGGAAACCGAGGTTCTTCAGGTGAGCTGAACATTCAATCGATAAATGGGTGGGCTAACCTTTTTTTTGGTCCAGAAGAAACTTCTCGACTACGAAGAGCGTCTGAAACAAGTCGACAGCGGAGAATATGAGCCGAGCCCGACGCGTTCCAGAGTTTTCCCCACTGGAATCAGGTTAGTTAGAAGCATAGTTGGCAAAATCCGGACTAACGAGCGGGCCGTGCTATTATAGGAAAACTTTATGAAAATTATGCGAAAAGAGACCAAAATCTAATTCGGTTATCACACGTTTAGTTATCCATTAGACACATCATGTACGAATATGCAGAACACTCAATCGATACACGATTTTTTGTGAGAAAATGTATTTGCTGACGTGTCAAAAAAGCAGCCAATTGACGAATAAACATCGCAAGGTTTATCTGCCAGATGTTTAATAGGTGGTTTGCACATGTGCACCATCCCACTGAACACAAGCCAGTTTTAAAGTTTTCGTTGAAATGTTTTGAAGCAACGCAATAATGCGGACGCCTTTTAATTTCTCCCTTTCTCATTCGCTTTAGTACAAAAAAAGACGGAATCAGGCAAGAATGCATAAATCAGCTTTGGAGAAAATATCTGAAAGAAGACGGCGTATTGGATGGAATAGGCGTCACAGGCAAAAAGCAATTTCCAGTTTGTATTACCTCGAGCCGGCATCGATTGGGGGCCGGACCAGGCAGCCCAGCCTGCTCGGCTCTTTTTCATCCGTGTCACAGGATATCACATTCAATTTTTACGACCAAATTTGCGTGTGCCAACCTCCTCTCGAAAGAGAAGAGCCGAGATTTTTGCCTCCAGCGACACACATTGTTCCCCGTGGCTACCACTACAATTCTTTCCATTTTCAGAAAAGCCAAAGGAGTCACAGAGTCTGTGATGAACGCTCAAATGGAACTCGCGCAACGTGTCAAGTCGGCCTTCTCGGCGGACAATGTCAGCTCTCAGAACGGATCTGTGCACGGAGGTAAGCAAATCGAACACGTTTATTTGAAAAGAACATAAGTTATAAGCAAAACGGGCAAAGCCATGAGACTCTTTGTCGTCGAGCTGTTGCAATATTCGCCAGTGCAACAGCAGATGGTGCTCCAAGAGCCATCGTAGCCGTTTTTGTTGGTATTGTAGCATCCCGTGGTCTGACACGCTCCGTTGTCGCATCCTTTCAACGTTTTCTCCAAAGAGTTGTTGTTGTCAAACTCCAGAGTTCTGAATAGTACGGTTAAAAAGCCGTTTTGTTGGCTCGACTCACTTTGTACAGAAACTGTTGGTGGTGCATTCGGTGTACGCCATGTTGACACCACTGTCTTGCAAATGACACGTGTATCCGTAGACAACGACAGGAAGAAGAGCGAGAACAGTGAGAACTTGAGTAGAAACCATTTTTTGAGTAAGAGCGAGAAAAAGTTGAAGTGACGATAATCTGCGCTATGTTGGTATTTTATACCAACACGAGAGGTAGATGTCTATTTGCGTTGAGATGCCTCATCGGATTCTTTCTATCACGCCTCAAACCACGCACTTTTTGGCAAAGTTCTCTTTTGTCGGAGTGAAAATTTTCTTGATAAACAGCTTAGTCCTTGCGCCAAGTTTGGAAATGTTTGCATTGCGTGTGTCATAACTTTTTTCTGGAAACGTTGCGCGAAGGCAGACATGGTCTCGCGCAGTCAGGGATGATTCACTGATCTCTGTGTTAAAAATTTTGTAATTTTCAGGGAAGACTGGACAATCCACGTTCTTCACTGACCGCCGCAGTGCTGATGCCGAGGATCTCGAGAGCTCTGACCGGTATGAAAACTTTGTGACATGTTCCTAGCAATAACCCCCACGTAGTTCCAGCAAGCCGCGTGCTCCTGCCCGTAACAGCTCCACGCTTCCTCCGAATCTCGCGCTCAGCAGTCCGGATCCCCTCAACGCCTACAAGGAAGACGATCTCGAGCCACTGTCCCGTCCCGGAAGTGCTGCCGATGACACCACCAACCCGGTTAGAATTCTAAAAAAAACCTTCCAGTAAACCGTCCAATTTCAGTATCACACCGCTGACAACAGCCTCTACCTCACTTCTTCGCATCACGACTACCAAAAGCAGCAACAGGACATCACCGCCCGCGAGGAGAGCTTTAAGATCATTCACGAGAACCTCAACAGCATTCTGCATCATTTGGTGCTTTTGGACCGCAAGCACGACAGACTTGAGGACGATGTCAGGAAAGACATCAAGGTATACTCGGAGGGACTCGAACAGGAACGCTTCAAGACCACGGTAACTTGGTGAACTCTAAAGATTCTGACAATCTCATAATTTTGCAGAAACTGGAGGAGATTCTGAACGAGGCGATCGAGCTGCAACAGGCTGAGATTTCGGCGTTGAAGGAACAGAATTTGATGGCCACTCGTGTCGACTACCAGCACAACGATCGTTTCAGAACCATCGAGGAGAACATGGAATCGCTCCAGAATCACGTGAGCTCTATCATCATTTCCTCTGTTCTAGTTGATGAATGATATTTGTTCAGATGGTCAGAATTGAAAATGCGCTGATGGATGTAAGACAAGTCCGCCTGACGAGCAATGTGTGGCAGCGTGTGGCCTTGACTGCTGGCAACATTGTTGTGGAGTTCCTTAAAATCGCTCTTTTCGTCGTCGCTTCCGTGCTGGACATGGTCCGTCCGTTGACTGGATCCAGGTGAGAAATCGATAAGTATAAACTTGAAAATAATGTTATTTTTTAGAAACCGCTCGGCCGTCGCGTTTGCCCTCATGTTCTTTGCGCTCTTTTTCGGTCATCACCTCACCAAGCTCAACATCTTCGGAGGAAGCTCGTCGGAGCCGGGAAACAGTGGTTCCAAGTAGACCGCTTCACGATTTATCATGTCATTTGTAATCTGCTCTATACTTTTGTTAGATATTTTCTAGTCATTGCAAATAGTGCCTCGACTCGAATTTCTCCGTGCCTTTTGCTGGTAATCTGCTTCTTCTTCTTCTCAAAATCAGGTGCACATTGTTTGTGTCTGTATCAAAATGTTCAACCTATTGTATTCCACACATTCCATTTCGCCCTTTGTTTGTAGTTTCCCATTCCTCCTGTTTCCTATCCAAGTCGCTTCGGTTCTTTGCTTGCTGGTCAGTGCAGATGCTTTTTGTCTGGACGTCTGCGAAATGTACAATGATTCTTGATTCTATTCCAATTCACACCGATTGCCATCAATAACTTTCCAAAGAGCTTTGCTAGTTTTCCAATTGTGCATTCCCACTTTCTGTTTATTCACTTCATATGGTGAACGCTGAGAAACATTTCGTGGGCATTTGTAACTTTAAATTTACCTATCAATTGTATCAATTTGGACCAATACAACTTTAATTTCTCGAAAGCACATAACAGGGGAAAACGGACCAATTGTTTATTATTGTAATAAACAAGTGTCATATTTCGGAAACGTTAGTAATTGGAGGAACGAGCGTTTGGTTTCTCCAAACAGTTTGTTCAGGTGAAAGGGTAACCAGGGATTTCCGCTGATCTCTGCCACAAACGTACCGCGTATAAGACGTGTGATTTTTTTTTAAATAAAGGACCAGGGAACCCTCTGAGTTTATGTGTCTGACTGAATTGCTTCTTATCGCCACGTTCACAGTCCGAGCCAAAACTTTCAGAAATACCTGTGAATGAAACAGTGCTTAGTCAAAGTTGTGGCCGTGGCCCAGAAAAGTTCTAGGCCTTGTGATCTTTTCCGGATTTTTTTTTGCGTTCGGCACAATCTTCATACGTTGCAAAACATTCACACTGATCAGCATCCATACATAGCGCAAGAGCATCAAATTGCACATAGGAAAGAGTTTTCACACCGGAGTTTCCTAGGTCACGGCCACAACTTCAACTGCACGCCGTTTCGTTCATTGGCATTTCTGAGAGTCAGCATTTCACCAGTATGAGGTAATAAAAGACAATTCAAACAGACACAAAAAATTTCACAAAAACATCAGAAAATTTGAGGGTTCCCTGGTCCTTTAAATGTTATCTGAAATGCTGATCATTCACATGTTCTGTTTGATCGAATTGCTCTTTATTAGTCTTCATTTTTATCTTTTTCGGTTTGCATGCAATTTTTTCAATTATGAATCCGATTTTAACGTTTATCATCATATCAATCTTTCATGCAAAAATAAAAAATAAACTAGTTTTGAGAAGAATTGGCTTCTGGAAGTTTAGTGTATTCGATTTCTCCCTCGACAAGGAGCGCTACTTCTTCAAGAGCGGAGATGAAACGACGGATGTCGACGTAGTTGTTGTAGAGATGGACCGGAGCCACACGGATCACATTCGGATATCGCTTATCAACCTGAAACTCCTTGAATATACCCGAAAATAGAGACAGGATGACTCACGGCAACTCCGCGCTTCACCAGTTCCTTGTAGATCCGGTCGATCGGAGAGGAGAAACGGAGCGAAAGTTGGCAGCCGCGCTCGTGGAAATCCAATGGAGTGATGATGTCGATCATGAGCTTAGTAGTTCTGTACGGCGAGTGTTTACTGAAAAAGTGCTCCACAAGAATCTCCAAGTATCCGGTGAGATACAAAGAACGGCTGCGAAGGTGCTCGAAAGGCACTTGATTGAAAACCTGGAATCAGAAAAAGCATGTCCCAGGGCTCAAAAGTTTCAATTCATACCTCCAAACTTCCTAGCAGTGCCGCCACCAAGTGAATCGGTGGATTGCTAATTCTGTACCCAGCAGCACCCTGGTCCAAGTCGAGGACTAAACATTTGATTATTTTGATTAATATCTTCGAACTATATATATTCACCGTTGTCCATGGCGAATCTAGTAGCCATCTTGTGACTCCACCATCCTAACATTCTATCCCTCTTGTCGTCCAAGAATCTCTCGTGGACAAAGAGCCCAGCGATGCCTCCAGCTCCGGTGCATCCGTATTTGTAAGAGCACCAAGCGGCAAAGTCCACGTCCCACCAATGTAGATGAAGAGGAACGTTGGCGAAGGCGTGGGCGAGATCCCAACCGACAAGGCACCCCTAAAAAAGAAAGATATTCAAAACCGGTTTCAAAAATGATTTCAAACCTTGCGATGTCCGGCCTCGGTGATAGCGCGAATGTCGAACAACTGGCCGGTGTAATATTGGATGCCCGAGAAGAAAATGATGGCGACTTCTTCACCGTGCTTCTCGATATAATCGAGAATGTCCCCAGTGCGGAGGAAATCAATGCCTCTTCCCGGTTCCAAGCACACCATGCTTTCCTCCACAGAACGTCCCTTCAGGCGCAGTTGAGACTCGATGGCGTAATGATCGGATGGGAACGCTCTGGATTCCAGAAGGATCTTATGACGTGTGTCAGTTGGTTTGTAGAAAGCGGTCTGAAACCTGAGATGACAAAGCGACATGAGCAAGCGCTTACCAAAAGGATGTGGATATTGACGGTGAGACTGTTGCACACGGCGATTTCTTCTTTCTTGGCACCAACCAAGCGTCCTACTCCCTCAAGAGCATGCTCATCGGCATGAGCCCATGGAAGATCTCCAGACATGTGTCCAAAGACACCCCTGAATAAAGTTACATGTTCTCGGAAGATCACTCAAAACCCTACTGTTTCGCCCATTTATCGAGCTGCTCCTGCATCTTCCGCCCAGTTGCTTTCGGCATGAGTCCCAGAGAGTTACCACAAAGGTAGATACTATCACTTTCCGGGTCCACGAGAGTTGGGTCCACTGGAAGGAAATCATTGGAAAAGTGGACTAACGAATGAAATAAACCATCGGGAAGAGTTCCAGCCTTTGGGTAGTGGAACAGATCTCTTATTCCCTTGAGACCGTCGCTATCGCTAAGAAACTCAGCCAAAGCTGGATCCGTAATATCGTCGATGTTGGCCGCCTACGAACATCAGAACATGAAGAACAGCCAATAGACTATTTCACTTACTTTGGCCATTTCTTGCAAGAATTCATTCACTTTTTGCTGGGTGAATGCCCCGTCAAACTGCTGCGGTGGTGGAGCTTCAGTCATTGCTAAAAATTCGGAACGTAAGTTTAACTGAATTCAAGGATCAAAAGAGACGGGGAGACCCGCTAGCAAACAACAGCTGCAGTACACAAAATAGAAGAATGATGGTTGTTAAACTGAAGTTTGCTGGTTAGCCGACTCTTATCGCTCTGCGAAGAGAGGAGAAGAGAAAACAGCGCTGATTTGATAAGATATTAGCGTTTCGTTGAAAAATCGGCCGGTCTGGAATGAAGTACATCGGCAAAACGGACTGTGTCGATTGATTGAAAGATAACTGCAGTTATACAAGAGGTCAAGGACGGAATGTTGATCGAGACTGACGATGATACTTCTCTCATTGTCAATGAATGACGTGTATGGTCATCCTTTTTTGGAATTTGAAATTCAACTTGGAAATCAAAAGTAAAAACATTTTTTTGGCGCGCGAAAACATCGATTTTCCTGTTCAGCGCGGAGCAAAGACCAGATTTGACCACGTGAGAATATGCGATTTTTGAATTTGGCCTAAGATTTGCTCCCTGCAGTTTCTCAGAGCATGCATGAGAGAATTTGATTTTCAAACGTGGCATAGAAGTTTTTCGCTAAAGACTCCTATTCTAAGAAGAAATCAGATTTCACATAAAAGTAGGCAGACTTTATTGTCGACGTAGTCAGTCAGTCAAAAATACAAAAAGCTCATAATATGAGCGAAAACAATTGCTAAAGCCATGAGAACTCCAAATCTGGTCACTCTGAATCACGAGTTGAAGACATAGACGGCAAATTGGTGAATGTCAGAAGAGTACAAAGAATTGAAGAGAGGGCTGTCGAAGGCAGTGGAAGTCAGAACCGGGAAAGAATTGGAGAAAGACGGGACATACTTCACCAGAGATTGCTCCTCGCTCCCAATCATCTGGAATACATTACTTTTGATGAAGATCTCTCTCAACTTTAAAACCAACCTTCAGGGCAGCTGAGAAATAGAAATCGAGGAGGCTATTAAGCACACTGATGCTTTTGCTGGACTCCAAGTTATTCGTTAACTTCTGAAGAAGTTTCACAACGGCCGAGCTCGCATCTTGCTGAAAATGTAAAAATGAGAAGAAAATCAAAAGTAAATAGACGGGTTACTCACCCCATCATCCAACGGGGCGACTAGTTTTGTGAGAAGGCCTGTGAACCCGACCCGGTTTCCAACTCTATCGAAAAAGTCGCGCATCTCAGCTTTGGTTTTCACATCCGTCAGTTTCCAATTCTCGAGCTCCGCAGAAATCGCTTCGGCGACATATTCCATGAGCTCGGGAATACCTGCAAGTTTTACATTCACTTTTTTGCAAACATCGAGTGTTTAAACTCACCGCGAAGTGTGAAATATTGAACGCATTGGAGGAAAATGCGACGGTTTCCCACTTCCATCGGATTATCAGTCGGTGCCATTGAATTCGATCCGTTCTTGGACGTTTTCCAAAAAGAATTCACGGATTCTGGAAGATACGTCTGCCTGAAATTGAAATTTGCCCACATATTCTCATGCAACAATCACAATTACCATGGTGAAGTCTGATTGCGCTTTTCGAATTGAGCACACGTATCTGCTGCGAGAATCGAAATCTGAGCCTTCAGTGTTAACGTTAAAATGGAAAAACCGTATGCGACAGAGACGATTCGGCAGAATACATTGGTCTGTAATTTTGCGTGTCTTATGACTCAAAAGCACAGAAAATACCTTCAATTGATTCCAAAGCTGCAGTTTTTGATCGGCGGTCATGTCGGGAGTCGTTCGAAGTTTCTCTTGAATTGATTCCACGTCAAATCGAGCCTGAAAGTGTATAAAGGGAAGTAGAATAATATTCAAGGATACCTGGATTTGGGTTACAACCGATGGAATAAGATCGGTGATTGATTGGTCACAGGAGCGGTGAGTTGAGTCGAATATGTAGTGCCTTCGCGCCTGTAAAATGGATTTCGGCAAAATCTCAAAAACATTCTTCCAACCTGATTCGGGAGTTCGTTATTTGCATGTGGCTTCTCCAATACACGACCTGTTGATGTGGATTGAGCATAAGCGATTGCACTTCCAATCAAAACACCGCCTGGAAACGACTTGGGATTTGGATATATTCAATTGAAAATGACTAACCAGCAATAATCTTCCCCTTGTTCCGTTTTGCGAACTCCCACGCGGATTGCAGCATTCTCAGTTCAGGCTGAAAATAAAAGGTGAAATGTTTTTGATTGGTACGAGTTAATTTGAGTAGAACAAAGAAAAAGACAACGGAAACCATCACGATGTGGAAGGAAAAAACGAGGAGACAGTGCGGTTGATGAAGGCACGCAGACCCACAAACAACGTGTCTTATCGTTGACCCTACAATGTAGTAAGATAGGCAATCGACGTATTTGGAGGTGGCCGGAGAACGGAGGATACGGAGGAATGAGCAATTGATGGGAAATTTAAAAAAAAGCTGAAACTCCGTTAACTGACAGCTTCTAGACAAATCTTTTTTTAGACGTGTTGTTCCATGACACTGTAAATCTTGAATAAAACATATTTATTGAAACTGTAAAGCAGAAAACTTGATAATCTATGTAGAAATTGTGTTCTCAAACAGAAAAGTCATGTACAGTGGCGAGAATGAGTACAATTTGTTTTAAAGCAATTGTTTTTCTGATTTAGGTTTTAAGTAAAAAACATTGTTTTGTGATATCTTATATTATCGTGGTTTCTAGTCGCAAATGTTGCTAAACACTCACATTAGCAAAAAATATCACCTGGACATCCGGGCCCCTACGTTAGAGCACTGCAAGTCAAAAGGGGCTGTTTGGCTCATTCAACATAATTGGGTTGAGAATGATTCAAATTGACGGATAATTTGTGAACAGGTCGGTTTAAAGTTCGTGACAAAGGTTATGTTCTAATCTTGAAGATTGTTAACAGTTTTTCAGATTTCTACAATCAACAGAAAGTCCAAGTTATCCCTGTCCCAAATAAATCTATGCACAACCAATTACGAACTATTCCTGGTAGACCAGAAGATGATGTCTGCGCTGACGTCTCATGCACTTCAGCCTATATGTTCATAAACCAATCGTTTTCACATTTCCCACATACATTTGCAAAGATCTTGTACCCTTGTGCACAGTCACATGTTCAGTAGGCTTTAGATCTCAACTGACTGACACATGAGAAAAGAAGGCGTGGGAATCGTGCGCCATTGCTTCGCAACATCTAATAATTTCAGTTTTTAGCAGGAAATGCAATGTGTTTTATTCACCTGCTCTTTCCCAGCTTTGAAAAATGACATTTAGTTTTTTGAACGCACGCAAATCAGTTAGTTCAGGGTCACGGTTAGGCTAACTTTTCTAAAATCAGAAATCTTTGTTTTTTGACCGGAGAACTTCCTTCCGCTCTAATTGAATTTTTCTGTCAGTTTGAGGGATAACTTTTAAGAATATGAAAAACATTATTTGGCCGCTCAACTTTATCCAATTTTCCGTGTTTGCTCCTACTTTATAACTCAATCTTTCCGAGCCAAATCCTACTGTATGTCTATCCGGAACTGAAACAGATCTTTATTTTCGCTCTAGTTTCCGGTTGACATCTTCGGAAGGAGACACATTACGTGTTTACCTTTTTGTTTATAAAAAAACCCTTGAAACGGATGGCTTCGTTCTGCTTTCGGCTCTAAACTCGTCATTTCCTGTTTCCATCTGATTTGTGTTTCAGGTACAATAATGTTCGACATCTACGTGGTCCTGAAAGCGTTGATGTGCATATGGGGCATATTTTGGAACGTTTTGATCGTGGCTGCTATTCTCAAAGATCGAGTGCTTCGGAATTCATCCACATTCTTATTGCTAAGTCTACATTTCTGTGCTTGTACGGTTGATGTCGGCTCGAGATTGGTTTTCGATGTTCCCTCGGAGATTTTGAACCGTCCCCTTTTCCGATTGTCTGTCAACTACGGTAATCAAACAAAAAATTACCTCACTTGGTTTGCAATTAAGTGAGTGACTTTCAGATGATTTCCCGACAAAACTATTCCACTACACCACCTACACTTGCTGGTTTATCCAACTTTACTCATTGATTGCAATCGCTGCCTCACATATTCTTGCCGTCTATGGAACAATTTATTACGCTCGCTTCACTCAAAAAAAGACTCTTTTCGTTATTTTCGCTATTATTCTTCTCTCAATGCTCTCTGTCTGCTACCTGTGGGGTGACTTCCCCATACGTTTTTACACGGATTTCTGGGGATGGACGGAAGATCGCGACAGATTTTGGGTTCAATTCTTCTTCTATCTCAACTATGTAGTTCAGGTAACGCGAGAAAATGACACGAAAACATTTCCGGTTCAGGGAATTGTTTTCTTCTGTCTTGGACTCACTGATGTTTTGATTGTGTATAAATTGAGTACAATCAAGGATTCTGGACTCTCTGCCGAAAGAAGCGCTACCGTAAGTTTGAAAGCAATCTGTTCTATCTGAGAAACCACTTTAATTAATTTTGCTTTTCACATGTTCTCAAATTGACCCGGGGTTCTCATTCGAACACACTTACTAGGTCGCACCAGAAATGATGCAGGTGTCGGTGATCAACAGCGGCAACACTTCCGCGACCCCGAAACGATCCCATATACGAGTGTCGACCGAGCTGAAAGTTTCCATCAACTTCATCATTGTCTCGCTGTTCCTCCTCATCCAAACGCTCATCTACAATATTTGTACACTGTTAGTCATCAACACAACATGTTTCTGTTGCGCGTGTGCCGCCTTATCACTATAGTTTTTCCAGATACACCGACCCGGTCTCTCTCTTCTTACTTTTCATTGCTCCCCTTTTCCGAGGAAGCAAGTGTCTCGCTTATTTGGTCTCCGGAAGTGCACTTCGTAATGCAATTGTCAATCTGATCAAGTGTCGGAAACAATTTTGACCATTTCACTTGTCCCTGCTTTATCCTCTTTTTTTAATAAATATAAAGCTGAAAATCTATTATTGTTGTCAAACGTCTCTCTTCCTCCTCCGCCGCCATCTCTTTCTCTGTGTTCTCTTTCCGCTCCGCAGAAAAAGCTGTTTCAGAAATCAAAGACTAGTGTGTACTAGTAGAAGCCGTGAGAATATGATTGCCATGCACGCATTCCAAGTACGAGTGTCTCGCTCCTGCTCATGAGATTTTTTCTCTGCCGTCTATGTTGCCAGCTAAAAATAACGAAGCGCCGGCGCGAGCCTAACTAATCGTATAGTACACCTTCTTCTCCTCTCTTCCTCCCTCATTAACTCGCACCTTAGACACGCTCCGTTCTTGTTATCACTTCCGTCGGTTTTTCAGTTAGGCCCCGTCTACATTCGAGTCGGTTAAAGGTGTACTTTTGCGCTTGAAACCGGACCAGAGATCAGTACGTGCAATAACTGAAGCCAGAGCAGATGTGCGCCGTTATCACTTGTCTCTTCACACTGTGACCCGATAAAAAGTGCAGTCGGCAGAAGATAATCAGCCGCGTTTTCATTTGGCTCTTCTCAACACTCAAGAAAAGCCGACCGCCATGCTCATCGACACGAGCACCTCCGATTCGTCGACAATCATCGAGGTCAGTGATTTATAACTAGAGCTCTCATTGTGAATCAGTTACTTCCAGCTGGAGAACAACTACTATTTTGTGAATCCTCGACACGCAAAGTCTGATTTCGATGTGGACGGATTCAAATGGTGAGAGATTTCTTGATTTCTTGTCTATACTGTCATTTTCTTAAGGAAAATCGTGTTCGACACCCAACAAATAACATTCACATTGCTCTCAGAAGTCTCCGAGGGCTCTTTCGTCCGTCTCATCGTACACTGTACAGATTCAACGTGCAATTCCTCATTTGTGAGTCATTGCTCCCCGTTCTTTTCGCTATTAAGGAAAATCGTACAGCGAGTGTTACAGACCTCACAATTCCACCGGGCCGGCGAGTCAGTTGTTCACGAGTGGCTGCCCGGCGGTCACCACGTGCAATTGGAGATTGACCAGACATATCAGTGAGCACCCTTTGTACTTCCGTCACCGCACTTGTTTGTTTTTCCGTTTCAGAGAGTCTCAACTGGCCGGATATGACTTTAGTCGTCCATTTCTCCAAACGAATGCAGTTCTAAGAGTGGAAGACGAAGAGTTTCACGTGCACACACTTGTACGGATTATGCAAATCTGTGCCCATACAAAAGCCCCTTTTACAGATATTGAGCCTCGCTTCCCAGTTTTTTCGATGTCTCTTTGACGGATCTTTCAGAGAATCTGTGAATCGGGACCGACCGATCGAACTCAAAGGAATTTCGTCGTGCTCCTTCAGAAATCTGCTGAATTGTATATATGGATACCCTTACACCTTCAAAATTACAAGTATGAGTCAGAATTGGAGGTTTTTGAGGTTTTATTCATTTGTAGGAGGGAATATAGCTGAGTTACTCGAGCTGAGCCATTATTATGACTGCAAAAACGTAACTCTTATATGCGAATACAATTTGGTTTATGATTCATGCTACAACATTCGTTCTGAACAAAAATTGGACTGGGCCGTACGCTACCAACTGAATACTCTCAAAGTGAGTCATCGATCACATTCACCTTAGAATATGAACTTTTCAGAACCAACTTTTGAGACGAGAACCACACCTTATTGGACTTCTTGACATCGACTGAACCACGGAAACTTGTAGATTAGTGCAAGTACTCTTTCCCGCTATTAGACTTTCAGTTCCCGATCGCATTGGTTGTGCAGAGTGTACATATATGAACAATATCAGGATTTGTTTTGTGTTTTTCTGACTTTATTTGAAACCAAAGACAACGTTGCTCAATCTCAGTATGATACTTCGATCAAACACCAAATTTCTAAGTTTTAATTAAAAGTATATGTTTAGGGAAACGGAGATGTGTGAGGGTTACAATTGATGTGGGAAAAACCGAATGGGTAATGATGATAGAAACGAAATTAAATAGCTGATTGGTCAAGCCCAAAATTAACGAGAGTTGGATTGTCGCAGTGTGACAGGGGAAATGAAAGGAGTGATGAAAATGTTGAGTGTTTTGATATAGGTTTTGTAGTTACTTCTCGAGATCTCTGCATAACGTGAAAGTGTTTCCAAAAGTGTTTCCAATCCGTCCGAAATTTTTTGTGGGCACATCGCGGCTCCGAGTGGGGTCGCGGACACATCCACACAAATAATTAGAGACGGATCGGAAACACTTTCAGCAACACTTCACACGGTGTGAGCGAAGAAGTGACGAGTTACAGAGTCAATCTTCTGAGGAGACTGCAGACATAATCTTGCCTGAAACAAATAGGAGAAAGTTTTAAAAATTAACTAATGTAACTCACTTTTCGAAGATCTCAACGATCAACAGTGCGATTTCATTGCGAACAGAGTCGACTTTGGCCTCTACGGGCAGATTGTTGTTGTTCTTAGTGGTCATGTACATGTGGGCCATTCTCGTCACTATCATCTCGACTTTGTTGGTGGTCGGCGCATGGAAGTTCCATCTGTACCACTTAGCGAGAGTGGGCTCTCTCATGACGTTCATAGCGATCTGCTCGCACTTTTTGATAGCGTCGAACGACTTCTTCTGCACAGACAGATGACGCAGCGACAATCCCGATTTGATGAGCTCTTTGCGCCACTGTCCGGCAAGGCGACTCTTGCGGACGATGCACCCGCAATCTTGCACTGGTCCGCGAGAGCCCGAATATGGGATCAGGTCACAGTCCAACTCGAAGCGTTTGAAGCGTTTGCGCACTTTCTCATCGTTTATCGCAAGGATCACCTTAAATATTTCTGTACGTGTGCAATCTCCTTAGAAACCTACATATTGGAGGAAAGCGGTACATGGCTCGAGGTGGTCAGTGTTTGTCGGGTTCAGAGCGAGACGACGGCCCTTTAGCCCATTCTCCATCATCTGCTGGCGGAGTTCGCTTTTCACAAGGCTCGAGTGAGTGATGACGCAGTGCGGATGAGTTGCGTAGTTCTAAAATTCAAATCTCATGAGGCTAGTTATCTATCGCGCTCTATCCCACATAAAAGTATATCGTCCTGGCGCGAGCGCACTAAATGGTAATTTTATTCTGTTTACCTTGATCGGTTTTTTTGGGAAACGTCTGTTGACGCGAGCAGCTCCGTCGACCGGTGGAGCTGCCTGACCATTCTCCGCCGGAACGATGTTCTCTTCTCTCGACTCGAACAGTTTGTATTCACGCTGAAAAGTCAGAAAGTTTTAATTTAACTAGTGAGGGTGACCAGTGTGCCGTTTCGACAACATTTCGAAAATGCGCACTGGGGGTGACACTTTTAACGATGACCATTCAACGCACCTGACATACGTAGAACTCCTCCACTCCATCTTTGAACATCGAGAATGTGAAGTTGACGAGGTAGTTTTCGAAGATGCGGATAGCTTTGGCTTCGGTTGCAACTTTGTCGCTCAGCTGCATGACGGTTTTGAACGGATTGCGAGCAAGACGGGCGAAATTGACTCCTTTTTCCGTCATTCTGTTCCTCAGGTACGAATTGTCTCCCTTCACGCAAAGGCTCATTTCTACGGTGTGCGGCGACACGCGTTTCGGCTAAAAAAGACGAGATTAGGAAATTTTCTTTTTGATCCGCTTTACTTCTGTCTTAACCCTGGCACCCATCGCGAAGTACGTCGGGCAAGTATTGATATGAAACTGAAAAGCAAGTGGATTATCTGGAACGAGTGATCAGAACAAGTAAAAGCCAGCCGGAAGGTGCGAGAAGAAGGAAACAGACTGGTTGAGGTGAGTGAAGGGAAGAGAGTGGTGGTCACTTTCTCTTTCTCTCTTCTTTCTCTCCCGGTCGCATGAGTTGGCATCCACATCCACTATGCTAATAGTGGAAGAAACACCATCTCGTTGTTGTTTTTGGAGAGTGCAGACGTCGAAACAATGGTGACGTGTTCAAAACATTGATAGCGCCGTTTAGAAACGGGACGGAAGGGAATAACGTTCGAAGAAAGCAAACATTGTAAAATAATAAAACATCGATCACAAACCAGCGCGTTTCCATGGAAATGAGCAACACGCGTGATCAAATATTTCTCGGCATTTACACAATCACATATGTATTTATTGCATAAACTAAAAAAAGGAGAAAGGACTTGCGAATCAACGCCACTTGAGGAGGACATGCACTAAAAAGCAGAAGAAAAGACGAATGGTATCGAAAAGAAAAAAGAGAAAAGCGTAGGGACAAGACAAATAGATGATGGTACTTAAAACTGCTCAATTCGGCGCAAACGGTCCGGCGTTTTCATTTCTTTGTTTGAGTAGGCACCACATTATATATATGTCCATGAAAGATTTTTCCTCGCGGTCCATGATGAATCGATTCGGTCGGGTCTCTCTTATCTGCAAAATATCTGTTTGCCATCTTTTGTTTCAGCGGATCGTTTCTCTTACAGGAAATGAGAGAAAGGTATCAACGAATGTGTCTAACCACGGGCGGTTGTGAGGCATTTTGATCCAGGGTACAAATGATGAACACAAGAAATAATTCAATTGACCCAAATGAATCCATATGTCGGGGATAGGGCAGAACGCGATATTAGACCGAGCCATCCAGTTCAACCAAGTCTTATGCGCTTTTATTATTGTTGGCTGAAATTTTCATTCCCCTGCTCAAAAACTTTTAGATTCTGCACAAGTTACCATTCTTTCGTGAAGGCCTCTCGTATCGAAACAGTGAAATGTTAGAGTTTTGATCTGAACATGTAGTACTTGTGAATCTTCTCTTCCACAGTTTCTTACATGTCTCAAAGCATCATCCCAGAGCTTTAAGTGAATGAGAGAAGTGGGATTACGTGCAAGGTATTTGTGCTTGAACCCTTTCTCCACCATAGAACGACGTACACTTCTCTTAATTGCACATGGATGCGCGGTAATGCTATGTGCTTGGACTTTCTTCGAAATTTATGATTTTCACAAGTATATACATAAATGGCACACCCACCCTGACTGGTAGTTTTGGGAATCTACGGTTTCTGGATCTGACTAGCTCAGGAGGCTTCGGACGTGCAACTTCCACAGCAGTCAACAGAAAGTCGGCGGCTTGTGAATACACATTCGCATCATATCCATTGAATAGTAGACGCGGGAACTTGAAATGGAAAAGGGACTCCAACTCTTTTCGTGTTTTTTGCGGACTGCCAAGTTGCAGAAAGCACGTTGTTATTTCTTCCTTAAATATTTTTTTAAAGAAAATTGTGAATTCTTCTCACTGCGGGTTTCTCAAAATCAGCACAACCGCGGATGATCCAGTCAATTATCCATTGAAAAGCATAGAAGTCCATCAGCCGGAACATATATAAGCAATCGGGTGATATTATTGGATTGATCCTCGGATCCATCTCAATCTGTACTACTTTTCCTTAAAGAAGACAACAAGCACTCACCGCCGATTCCAGCACGTCCCTGGTGCGTGTGATGTAGACTCAAAAATGGTATAAATCTAATCAGTGAAATGTGTCGGTGATAAAGAACCGAGAAAAAGGGGGGAAAGTGAATGAAACAAAGAGAGCACTGGCCTGATGCATCCTTGTCAGGCGGTCGGCAAATCACAGATAACTTCGAGCAGAGAACTTCATTACAAACGTTGTTCTTCGGAGAGGTGAAAGAGTCCGACAGTGCCACGACGGGCATGATACGGTTTTTGTTCAAAGTGCATTTGTGCACTTTGTGCTGCAAGACGAGAAAAATGCTGACGAGAGAATTTGTCGAGAGAATTTGTACACCTAGAAGTAAACATACACCGTAAATACTATATTGGAAGGGTACCCAGCACAGTGAGCGATTGTCGGACGTTTTACACACATGTGAAGTTCAAAGAAACTATTTTTCGGCATTTTAAAATAGAAAGGTTTGCCCTTCTAAAACAGTGTTTACGGTACTTGTTATCACAAATAGTTCCAGTCAGAAGAGTTCGCTTTTTTTAATTGAAATTGAAAAGTGGACCCCATCGATTTTCCAATACCCAAGTCATGTTTGGCTGGTAAGCACGCGGTCGCTCGGTCATTCATGTACACACAAACAATTCTGATAACAACTGTTTACTATATAATTGAATAGACGCAGTTCAAAAGTCATTAACGCCCGCAATTCATCAGTTTTCCTCAAAGCCCCAGCGGTTGGTTGTTTCGTTTGACTTGCTGTTTGTTTTCTTCTCACACACTGAGAGAGCAAAAGTGTTTCTATGTTTTGTTGTTTTCCTGAACTCAATAATGTTGTTCACTTCTTTTTCGGTAATTCTTCTACGTTAGTGTCAATTTTCCTCATTCGTTGCGATCATTTGAACACGATAATCATTCCACTGAGCTGTTTACACTGTTATCATGATCAAAGTACACTTTTCGGGGTCACTTTTTCCTATTGAGAACAGGTTATAGCCAGATAAGCGGTCAAAGTATTCCTAAACATCCAATACAGAGAGCATTTGCAAGTAGACTACTCCATGTGTCTCACCGGCTGTTTGTTTATGCATTCGTCCCTTTCGACCACGTGATGTTAGCCGCGCACGGCTGTTTTCGGTCTTCCTGCATTGACGGACAAGCTTTTCTTGTTGTTTCCCAATCTTTTCCGCCTATTCCTTCACGCTTTCTACAATTTCTTGCGTACATTGACGGAACGTCGCTACTGATGTCCTTGAAGATATCTTATCAGGCATTCTCTAGTCGCATAAACAACACCCCACTTTCCTAAACCTTTTTTTCGCATGTATCCTCAGATATTGTTTTTCAGATGCCGATTTTGCGATCAAAAGTCACTAGACTGTACTGTTTGCGTGTGTTTTCACTCGGACCGAAGCGAATCGAGTACTCCAAGTTGAAAGTTGCCGTTCCGAAGGAAGTATTTCCTGGTAACCTCAGTTTTTAAGAAAAGAGTGCACTGCCGGTTTGTTCAGGAGAAAAACGCGTTTCACTGAGTCCATCCGGTGTATCACTTTTGAAGAAAAATGGGATAAATGTATTGGTGAGTGTCAAAACGACGGTTCTTTTCAATTAAAATAATATTTTTCATTCAGATTGAACAAAATGCGGGTGCGTTGGCTGGCTACTCGAACGAAGAGTACACAAAACATGGAGCTGTTGTCACCGACACAAACGAAGTGTTCGATACTGATGTTCTTTTGAAGGTACACACGTTTTTAGGCTTCAAAAATCTGAACTTTCACCAGATTCGTCCTCCAACAGATGGAGAAGTGGCCAAGCTGCGTAATGGGAGCACTCTCATCTCATTTATCCATCCAGGACAGAATAAACCACTTCTGGAGTTGTTGACCAAGTCAGACAAAACTGTGTTCGCGATGGATTGTGTTCCGAGGATCAGTCGTGCTCAGGTGTTCGACGCGTTGTCTTCCATGGCTAACATCGCTGGTTACCGTGCTGTTATTGAAGCTGCAAACCATTTTGGACGCTTTTTCACTGGACAGATCACTGCAGCCGGAAAGGTCCCTCCCGCAAAGGTTCTTGTGATCGGAGGAGGAGTTGCCGGGTTGAGTGCAATTGGAACTGCAAGAGGAATGGTAAGATTGGCGGTCGCCAATATATTTCATCAATAACATGTAGGGAGCGGTTGTGAGAGGATTTGATACGCGCGCATCGGTCAAGGAACATGTCGAGTCACTAGGCGCTCAATTTCTAACAGTGAATGTGAAAGAGGACGGTGAAGGAGGCGGTGGATACGCGAAGGAAATGAGCAAAGAGTTCATCGAAGCGGAAATGAAGCTTTTTGCGGATCAGTGCAAAGACGTCGACATCATCATCACGACCGCACTCATTCCAGGCAGAAAAGCACCTGTGCTGATTACTGAGGTTAGATTCTTCTCTTTTTTTATTCAAAATAACACCAAAACTTAAGGAAATGATCAAAACAATGAAGCCTGGAAGTGTTGTTGTGGACTTGGCCGCAGAATCGGGAGGAAATATTGAGACTACACGTCCTGGAGAGGTGTACACAAAACATGGGGTCACACACATCGGGTTCACGGATCTGCCTTCAAGGTAGAGATAAACTCTGAAAATGTGTACTATTTATTTTCCAGACTCCCGACACAAAGTAGCGAATTGTACTCAAACAACATTTCCAAATTCCTTCTTCATCTCGGCAAAGACAAGACTTTCTTTGTGAACGAAGAAGACGAGGCATGACTTGATTGAAGATAAAGTCCGAGATTCCCTGGGTTTAGGTCACTCGAGGTGCATTGGTCGTGCATGAGGGACAACTGAAATGGCCGCCACCGCCGATCAACTTTCCACCTCCAGCAGCTCCGAAAGTAGCGAAAGCTGTTGACACGACTGCGTTGGTCCCACTGACTCCATTCAGAAAAACTGCAAATCAGACTCTGCTTCTCACTTCAGGTTTTCACATAGTTTTCCTGTGAATGTAACTCTTTAACTTTTTCAGGACTTGGCTCCATATCACTGCTCGGACTGTCTTGCACCAATCCTCAACTTTCCAGCATGTCAACCACATTTGCATTGGCCGGGATTGTTGGTGAATAATAGGAATGAATCTGCACAGTTTAAAATCAAATGAAAATTACAGGTTACCATACCGTTTGGGGTGTCACACCAGCTCTCCACTCCCCTTTGATGAGTGTTACCAATGCGATATCTGGAACTACTGCCGCTGGAGCACTGTGCTTGATGGGCGGAGGATTGTTCCCTCAGAATTCGTATCAAACTATGGCTCTGCTGGCAACGTTCATCTCTTCTGTCAACATTGGTGGTGGGTTCTTGGTGACCAAAAGAATGCTGGATATGTTCAAAAGAAAAGGTAGTTTCCAAAGGTTTCATGATCATCCGAATTGAATCCGCTCTTGATTCAGACGACCCCCCAGAGCACAATTATCTGTACTCCATTCCTGCTGCAGTATTTCTAGGAGGCTATGGCTATGGGCTTTATACCGTGAGTTAAGCACTTTCAGTGAGTAGTATTTAATAATTTTCCTCAACAGGCTGCTCCTTTGATTCATTCGTATGCCTATCTCGGATCATCGTTGTGCTGCGTCGGTGCGCTGGCCGGTCTTTCCTCTCAAACGACAGCAAGAGTCGGAAATGCTCTTGGAATCATCGGAGTTACCGGAGGAGTTGGTGCCACGCTCGGTATTCTTCAGCCCGATTTCAATACTTTGCTTCAAATGGGTGGCGCATTGGGTCTCGGATCATTGATTGGTGTTGGTATTGCAAACAGAATCAAAGTAAGATTTTTCAGATAAATGTGACATGCTTTCAGTTTTGAACAGGTCACGGATTTGCCCCAACTCGTCGCGGCATTTCACTCATTTGTCGGTCTGGCCGCCACTCTCACATGTTTGGCCAATTTCGTCAAAGAACACCCACACTTTCTGGCAGATCCATCAAGTAGGCAAAACAAAAAAGTTCACAGGCACTAATCCTTCTTTCCTTTCCATCCCTTCAGACGCGGCTGCTGCAAAGATTGCACTCTTTCTGGGTGCGTACATCGGAGGAGTCACTTTCACTGGCAGTCTGATGGCATACGGAAAATTGCAAGGAATTCTGGCGTCCGCTCCAACATACCTACCTGCTCGTCACCTGCTCAACGGAGGGTTGTTGGCTGGAAACGTGGGAGCATTGGGAACTTACATGTATTCCACCGACTTTGGAACGGGAATGAGCATGCTGGGAACAACTGTGGGACTTTCCAGTCTCATGGGTGTCACATTGACAATGGCTATCGGAGGAGCCGATATGCCGATTGTCATCACTGTTCTCAACTCATACAGTGGTTGGGCTCTTTGTGCAGAGGGATTTATGCTAAATAACGATTTGCTGACAATTTTGGGAGCTATGATCGGAAGTTCCGGAGCAATTCTCTCACACATCATGTGCAAGGCTATGAATCGATCGCTTCTCAACGTTATTCTTGGTGGCGTTGGAACAAAGTCGAAGGGAACCGGCGCCGCAAAGGCTATCGAGGGCACTGCAAAGGAAATTGCTTGCAATGAAGTACTGAACAAGTTTTCCCTGGTAAATTGAAAAAAGGAACTCTTTTAGACTGCGGACTTGCTTCTCAATGCACGTTCAGTCATCATCATTCCGGGGTACGGACTCTGTGCCGCCCAAGCGCAATACCCGATCGCCCAGCTAGTGAAAGAACTGCAGCAGAGAGGAGTGCGAGTGAGATTCGCAATTCATCCTGTCGCAGGTCTGTGACAAAGTTCAATATGTGTTTCAACAGTTGGTCGGGTTGCAGGAAGAATGCCCGGACAACTGAATGTTCTTCTCGCCGAGGCGGGTGTGCCCTACGACATTGTCGAGGAAATGGAAGAGATTAATGATGATTTCAAAGAAACTGACGTCGCGCTCGTGATCGGTTCTAACGACACCATCAATTCTGCAGCGGAGGATGACCCGAACAGTTCGATTGCCGGTATGCCGGTTCTGCGAGTGTGGAATTCGAAACAGGTATAAACCACAGTTGACTGAGACGAATGTCCCCATTTTCTATCACAGGTCATCATTGTAAAACGGACACTTGGTACCGGCTACGCGGCAGTCGACAATCCAGTGTTTTTCAACGAAAACACTCAGATGCTGCTGGGAGATGCGAAGAAAATGAGCGAGAAACTGCTCGAAGAAGTGAAGGCTAAACCAATGTAGACTATTTATTTTGTATAAAATGTGTTTTTTTTTAAATTTCAAAATGCGAATCCTAAAAGTGTATATCTCGACATTTTGAGACCTGGAATAATGAGAAAATGCAAAAAAATTAAGGGAATTTTTTTTGGGGAGTTGTTCTATCATTGAAGGAGGTAGATAGCAATGAGGGTAATGATGGAAAGTGGCGAGAAGACGGCTCCGATCGAGTTGCATGGGGTTCCGGGCTGAAAATGCGAGTATTGTCCAGCATTCTCTATGAATTGTATCCTCTATACCTGTTCGTTCTGGCACTGGTAGTAGTAGAGTTGAATGGCGTGGTTTCCGGTCTTCTTGAGTCCGTCGGCGTTGGATCCGGAGTAAGCGCACTCTCTGACGATCGACTCGACTCCCTCGACGTTCTGAAACAGTTGTTCTTGAATACGCCCGTAGACGTCCGACTTCAATACCTGAGAGACTTTGCGGCATCCGATGGCGGCGGTTCCCTTGAAACTTCCGTCGGCGAGCGGTTCGCAGGGCTGAAAACACACAACATTCCATTAGACTGATCAATTACTGATCAAGTTGTTGTTTTGTCTTTCATCTTTCCGGTTATTTTCCCTCTTGTTACATTTCGAAAATTAGTTATTTACTGTTGAAGAGGAGGATCAGTGGGCATTATCGAGTGCTTTTACCTTCTTGAAGCTTTCAAGAGCCCCCGCGTCATTGACCGAGCACGTCGGGTTCTCGTTCGAGGTGCATTGGAAGCATTGGAGGTTGGCACTGAACGAAAACTGGTAAAATATCAACTGAAAACCTGGAAACGTACCTAACTCCCAAAGCGAGAGCAGCAAGAAGGACGAAGCAGGCAGCACGCATCTGAAAGCAAAATATTAAATGCGTCTCGACCGTCAAGACACGGGAGATAAAGAAAGAATAATGAAAGCTAATAAATTGACCGGCGAAGGGCAAAACCCGACAAGTAGAATGGAAGACACGCGTTTGCGAGCAGCTAATGCATTCGAGAGAAAGAAGAAGACGGAGGTCTAGCGGCAGAGACGCAGACGGCTATCCGACGTGCTCGAGCATTGTGACGGCACGGATAGGTACAACAAGAGAGAAGAAAGAGAGAAAGAGAGAGGGAAACAAGAGGAGGATTCAGATTGATGTAATAAACGGATAGACTGAGACTGCAACTGTTTTTTGTTACAATAAATTGTGATAAATTGATCGAGGTCGAGTGGAGAGAGAGAGAGAGAAAACGAAGATTCTCAAGTTTCATGTGACGTACTCACATATTCACTGGATCTTTTTTCGATTTTCTGAAACAGACAACCATGATCCATGTTTGACCAATTCAGGGAACCATTGACGAAAATGAAGGACACACGGCGATGTTTTACCTTTTATAGTTCTCTGAATTGATCATGGCAGAAATAGACGACCTTCTTCCTCTCTCTCTCTCTCTCTCTCTCTCCCTCTTTCTTTTTGACGGCGCCGGAAGAGGTTGGGGGCAGCGACGTACTTGTCTGTTGTTCGCTATCTACGACGTTCGATCAAAAAGGAAAGAGTATTGATTGATGGTTGTTCTTTTTCGAAAATAGAAAGTGCCTATGTAGTACTGAAGATAAAACTGCCGTAGAGAGCAAGAGCAAAGGTTCGTATTACTTCGGTGTGCTCAGCGTAAGAACAAACAAAATGGTAGCCTCTTCTTTTTGGCTGATGCTCAGCCAGACTACCGCCCCTATTTACTTACTTAATTTCGAAAAGTAAGTGAAATTTTGCGCCGACTCTGCTGCTGCAGCTGCACAAAGCCACCAATGTTTGATAGACCTGCGCCGCGGTGCTCCTTATCAAAAAAATGCGGAGACAGCGGGTAACTGGCGTCAATGGAGCACACAGAGACCGTTTTATTTTAATGAGATACTGTCTTCCATCCTTTTTTCTTTTCGCCTTCTCATCTCGCACGTTATTTCTGTGTTTTTATCGCAACGCGTTTATTGGCAGGCTAGAAATAAAAACGCTAGAAGGAATGAGGGGAAAAGTACTACAATCGGAAATGGGTTTGGCGTTTTCGATTTGTGTTCTGCAAAAAGAAGGAGATACTAAATGAATGGAGAGAATCGGAGTATAAATAGTCTAAATGAAAGAGTTTGAAATTGTTTTCGTTTTGAATTGAGAAAGATGGGGAACATAAGTGGGGCAGACAGAATAGACAGACAAAGAAGTTGTGAATGAATAAACATTGGAACAGGGAAATGGCGAAAAGACAAGTCACTTTTTCACAGAAATTAGCTGGAAGCTACAAAGTAGGGGTGATTTAAAAGATAGAAGAGGGAGAAAATGTTGCAATTTTTTCAGAATCCATTTTTGACAGGCACCGGGGAGTGGCATGAAGGCTCTGACGATTGAGCAGAACTACTCGCCGTCGACTTGGCGATTTCCTCTTCGAAGTCGCCGAGCATCGCCTGAAGATAAACATTTGTCCAGTCTTTCGCATTAGTCTTTACTTTGAGTCCCATAATTTCGCCTTTCACGACCAAAAGTTGTGGAAGGTTTCGGAAGTCCTCAAGCACTTCGTAGTTGCGACAAAGGTGAACGATCACCTGGAAAAGTTCAAAAAGTTAGAGATTAGAGGTCATTCATTTGAAAGAATTGAAAACCTTTTTCAAAGTGGAATGATTGGCGAGTTCCACGACGGTTCCTCGGTTGATTTTCTCCAAATCCAGTTCACGCAAGTAGATGAACTAAAACGTGCTCTGTTATTTCAAAGATCTGTTTTTTGTGCGAGACCTGCAACTTTGGCATCTTGTTGGCCATGTAGGAGAAAAGAGAGTCTGGAAGAAAGGGATAATCGACTGGTTTGTCAACGAGACAGACACGCTCCACTCTCTGCTCGAACTTCTCCAGAATTGCCATTAAGGGTCCCTGAAAACAGAAAAGTACTTTACATGGCTCCCAGAACGCAATCTTTTTTCTCTGTTTTTGAAATCTGATTAACTTGAGTGTCTTGTGCCTCAATCTCCTCCAATTTTAACTGAAACTTCAGTCTTAGTCTCGTTTCTCTCCCCCTTTGTTTCATTTCCGTTCGTGCCAACAAAATTAATCCTATTCCCCGTCGCTTTGCCCATCTAAGACGGGCAAGGGCGTTGCAAACATTTTTGTTTCGCGAATGTTTCCACTCTGTTTATTTCGGTTGCTCCCAAAAACTTTTTGACGAGCTCGCCACAAAAAGTGTAATCGTCTTCTTGGCGGCGGCGTCGCGAAACGGAAATTGAATCCAGAGCGGCCGGCAAAAAGAGAATTCGGAGCGAGGGTGGGATGAATTACAATTTTCTCAAGAAATTCTAGCGGATGGATGACAGAATTGCATTCGGAAGAGTCGTATCGCATTTCAGCTCCAGCGCATATCTTCTTCTCACTTTACAGACGATGTTTCAAGTCCATCCCGAGCAGAATTGAATAAGTTCGGAATTGTACACATTTGCCAATTTTCGTTCCCCATCAATGACCAATCAGATTTGAGTCACATCTTATTTTTGTGCCTCAAAACAACAACAACGGTGGGTGTCTCGCGAAAAAGAACCATTGTGCTGACCCATCTGACGTGAGCACTTTTCCGTTTTCGAAAATTGCTCTCGAGTAAGTCTGCCATGAATTCTCGATGACCCCCTCCTTTAGAAGATGTCGTCTTCGGAACTTCGTCATGTTGGACTTGGTCTGGGATAAGTACTAAAGGGCAGGGCAACCAAAAGTTCTTCATTGGGTATTCGTGAGTTCTGAAGTTGCTCAACTGGAAAATCCCGAAGTGGGACAAACTTTACGAGCGACTCCCGGTGAACTAAAGTAGCAATACACTGCAAAATCTCAGCTTTTGCGGCAGGGGTTTGATGGATGACAGCAGAAACTTTTCGTTTTAAACACTCTCCAAAAAACAAACGCAATTCTCGGGAGTGGAACGATTCGTCTTTTAAAGAAACGCCAAAATCCTGACAGCTATCATTACTTTTTCTGGCAATTTTTCTGCTTCTCTCTTTCTCTTTTTGACTGTTTATAATATCAATGGCGACAAAGACGGACCCATCCATCTTACAAAGTCCCCAGGGTGTTTTTGAGGCAACGAAGTATCTGATAACATTACCGTATGCCTTTAAGAAGACGCACCAAACCCCAAAGATTGAATTTTGCGATGGCACACCTCATGCTCGTCGAAGTGACACGAGCAGCAGTAGATGTAGGCGACTTGACGCTTCCAGAAGATGGGTCCGTCGAAACTGATGTTCACCGTCATCTTCTCATGTCCTAAACATAACAATTGACTTGGAACCTGATGATCGAAACTAATGGATTACCTGAGCAGTGATTTTTCCGGAAAATAATGTATACCCACACGGGTTTCGTCTCATTCCTGGTGGTCTCCATGATAGCGTTTCTCCAAGCCCGAGACACTCGTTCGGCTCTGCAAAAACCGCGGAATACAACGGAGAAAAGAGCGATCAGAGCAAGAAGAAAAGCGGAGAAAAAGCAATAAATTCAGTGGGGGAGATCGTGAGCTTCCGCCAATTTGCCAAATGCTTCTTTTTATGGGCCATAACCGAATGGGCAGTGTTGACAAGCGACAAGCAAAACGTCTTTTCGAAATTACAACGTCTCTTTCCTACGCACAAAATCAACTAATTAATGACTCAGTCTGCTTCTGAAGGAGATCCCGCCCATTCATTCTAGACGACGAATTGCGTTTTTTTTGTTTCTTGTTGCTGACTGTTTTAATTTGAGGATCTTTGGACCACTGCTCCGGAAGCATCTGGCTCAAGGAGCACATTAAATTATGTATCTTTTCTTGAGACTAATAGGATTTGTAACAAATCTGAAAGCGGACTGAAAGGAATGAAGATGAATATAATATGAATTAAGACCAAGATTTTTCGTCAAAATAAATAATCTAAGAATTCTCCGGGGAGTTGTCTACAAAATATCGCCATGTCTTAGTAAAATATGCATGTTTTGGAGCTGGGAGTGAGGGTGAGGAGTTATTGAGTTTGACACAACTTGGAAATTTAACATTGCACATTTTGTATTCATCTTTTCTCAGAGGCCGGAAGGCGAGGGAGGTGAACTTTGAGGGGTGAAATGAAATGCGACAAACTGGGATTGGACGACTAAATGCGGCAACACGCAACATGAAACTTTTTATATGATCACTATAGCACGACGAACAAAGAGCGGGACCCCCGAAGGACGAGTGTCTCCAGAGAGGAAGAGAGAGAGCGTGCTGCGGCCTCTTCTTCTTCTTCTTCTTGCGCGCAGTGCCGCACACTAGCAGAAAACTCCTTTTTTGGCGCCAACGGATGGCGTAACAGCCGCCATCTGCCGCTTCCTCGCCTCCACTTTCACCAAAAATCCGCAGGGGGCGGACCCTTTATATGCATGTTGGTGCGGTTGTCTCTGCGTGTGTGTGTGTATGTTTCGTCGGTGTGTTTGTTGTCTGTCTCTGGGACCTCTCCCGATGTCACTTTCGTGTTTTGTTTCATTCCATGTTTCCATATACCACATGGGAATTGGATGCGTTGCGGTAAGGAAAAAAGAAGATATTGAGTGAGTGGGTGGCAGCGAGTTCGAATTTTCGGATTGCGTCAGAACAAAGAAATGAAGTAGGAAGAGAAAAAAGGCTGAGGATGCTCTTGACAGAGTCTTATGGGACTTGTTTTGGGCGAAAGGTCAGAACAAGTTGCCTACGAGGAAGTGGAAGGATCTGGGGGCGGAGGTGGTGCTGCATGCAAAACGGAATGCCAATTTGACTTTGCAGGAGATTCTACTAAAAATTCCCAGGAGAGAAAGCCCCATATTTGCAAACTTGAAAGTAGAGTACTGGATCAATTTTGCAGTAATTCTGAATTACTGAAAGTTCTGGATAAAAGTTGGTCGTCTTCTGTAGTTTCGGCACAAAAACACGTTGTTTTGACACAATGCGAACTCGGCCGCAAGGAGGTCCCAAACAAAACACTGGACGGACGCTTTGGGGAGGGTTCAAGATTTGTTCGGGAAAAGTTATGACATGCACGGCAGTACTAAAATGTATAGTCCAACTGCAGAAACTGCTACGGAACAGAGTTCGGCGGAATAGATTTTTCGAAAAAGCGGAAGCTGAAATTGAATATTTAGCGTCAAAGTCAGTTTTGCGGCTGAAAATCAAAGAAAGAATCCACCCTGATTTCCGAGATTTGTAGTAAGAACATTAGGATTGGTGCATATTCACCCATTATAACTTTCTAGAACCATTTTCGGAAGCCATAGCTGCTTTTCAAGCTTTTTAAAAAGAAGTACGAAAAGCGGAGGACAATTGAAGGAGCACGACCACAAATCTCCATCGGAAGCGTTTTTGGCGGTTTTATTTCCGATCGTCCAGTTTAGTGGTCCGCCGAGGGGACAATTAACGGAAAAGCGGTCAAGTTTCTCCCGGCGGGTCAGTTAGGGGTCGAGAAATGGCGACTGCGGGCCGGATTATCCCTAGAAAAAGGAAAAAGAGAAAGAGAGATGAAAGATTGGAAGCTGTGGATGGACTCTACGAGTGTCGCCAGTTGTACGAGTGATGGAAGGCTTGAAGAAAAGAGGAAGGAATTGAAATGAACGCAGCGGGAGAGAAAAGAAGAGTTGTGGCACACAGCTCCGTCGGCTCGGCCACGAAAAACTATCATATCTTGATTTTACACACACTCTCTCTCTCTCTCTTTCCCTGAGAAGAAGATCTGATCCGCTCGGCAATTGAGGGGTTATGATCGAATTCAAATTTTATGCCAATGTGTATAGTCGGTTGGGGTCTGGCTCTGGCTTGTATAGTACTTGACGGACTGCTCGAGCACCGACTAACCCTCAATTTTATTTTTTTAAGCGGGTGAATTGAGAAGAAAAGAAATAAAGCGGGGTGTAGCGGCGGACCCTCCCCAAACAGGATGATGGATGAAGTACGAGATGGCACCGGATGAGGCGACAAACAATAAATAACGTACCTAGTTCTCTGCGGCAGTTGGAGGTACGCGAAGAGGATTGGCGCCACGTCTTTGCCGAGCACATCCACCGGGTCCACTCGGCGTTCGGCCATTGCGTTTCCTGAAATCGAGAAGATGTGCGAACGAAATTGGAGATCGGCAGAAAGATGGAGAGATTGTCAGAAACACTCTATAATTGAGCGTCTGCTATTAGGATTCCGTATATGTGAAATGAGGATGAACGGAAAGTCGAGTTAGATGAAGTCGAAGAGAAAGTGTATGAATATGCAAATTCAAATTCAGAACCAGCAGCCGTTTTTCTGGAATAAATTGAAGATGTGCGTGTGCCCGCAAAGGATAGGTTTTTCATATCTTTCTGAAGCCAGCGATACACGCACGATTAAATTGGTCCTCGAGAAAGGCTATTGGGAGAAATACATGGGAAAAATGGGAAAAGAGTCTGAAAAAAGTTAATGAACTTGTATTATAATTATAATGGGGATATGAAATAGCTAAAAGTGAAATGGACAGATGCTAAATCTATTTCGAACGTCGAGATTCGTAACCGGACCTTATGCGGGTACTCACTTAGATTAAGGGACCACCAACACCCACACCCACAAAAAGGTTCCCAAATATTTGCATACTCTTCTCTTCCAATCAACTTCTTCAGGAATTGTCTCGAAAGTTTCAAGAAACGGTCAACTCAATTAGAGTTCTGTTTTTCGAACGAGTTGAGTTAAGAAGAGCTTTTTGGAAAACTGAGCAAACTGGGTGGAAGTCCTTGAAAAAAGTAGGCGTGGGAGTAACAGAGTGACAGTTAAGTATTCAAAGAGTTTGACAAGCAAGAAAAAGAAAAAGAACTCTCAGAAAAAGTAAGACAGACATTCAGGGGCACCACACGACGTCAAATGTGGACAGAATACATCTATTAATCATGGAAAAGGTTTAGAAGTTCACGGCCACGCAAGAAAAGATTAGACGACTTTTTTCGAGGTTTTTCTCTTTCCAATTTTGTTTTCCAACGAAAAGTGGAACAGGATCTACGGGCTGGCTCTGCGGTGCGGGGGATAATTAAGGATGCGTAGGTTCTAATTCAATTCGCACTCGCTCTACGCATCCCCGCCAGAGCCCGCAGACAAAAAAGGAAGTGAAAAGAGTAGGCGACGCACTGATTCTTACTTTGGATTTTATGCGAAGTAGGTTTTATTGAGATCCGAGCACTTGGACAGCCATGTATAATGCGTGGAACAATGGGTGGAAGATGGAAAAATGAAGTTGGTCATGTAGAAAATTGGTTGTGGTATTCGGTTATTCAGTACGTATTTACGATTCTGAATTGAGCATTGAGTTGAGTTGAGCAAGTTGAGCTACATTTTTATCGAATCGAATCGAATCAAAAACCGAAAAAAAATTAACTTTCTGAATCCGATCAGATGTTTCATTTCTATACGGAATGAATAAACCATAAAGACGGTCTCGTTGCGTGTTGAAATGAAACAAATCTGAAGTACGAAAGGCCTGATTGGGATTGCGTGACAGTGAAACATTTGGTCCGAAACTTTTTGCAGTTTTTCACTTAAACAAGCTGCTCTCAAGAAAACCGGGAGAAAATGGGAATGGGGACGCGTTGAGCCGTCGTTAACTGGAACATGCTCCGTTTCAAATTGAAAATGAGAAACGAAACGTTTCGTTTCTCCTCTTCTCTTCATTTTTTCTTGACTTTTGAAGTAATTAGGTTTCACGAAGGTTCTTTATTGAGTGACACGTCAATTTGAACGATTGGAGGAAGCAAAATATGAAGAGGGAATATGAAAGGCAACATTTGCAGAAAGAAAAAGTACGAATAAGCACCAGAAGAAACGTGTTTGGGATCTGTGAGCAACGGAATAGATTTCAAACAAAAAGTTGGCGGAGATAAGCGATAAATCACCGGCACGGTGACTGATTAGAATCAAAATGAGTGTGGAGGGACAAAAAGATGAAGGCGTCGGGATGCCATTTGTGCATAAACCCATAGAATTGAACTGGAAACGAGGGGTATCGCCTGATTGCACAGGAATTGAGAATTGAAAGATGAATGTGGAAAACGGCTCCGAAATGGTGGCGGAGCGGGAATGTGGTCGATGAAAGATTCCGTAATTTGGCTCAAAATGAAAACGAGGACGTCGAATTCGATGTTGTTGCTGTGCTGTTGGTACGCGGAGACTGCAAGTCGACCTGCAAGTATATTTCCGTTTACCGATTCCAGAAAGATCAACTTTCAGATATTTCACTTCGAATAATGCCTCTTTTAATTAAAATTACTTAATCCCAACCAAAAAACACAATTGGTGTACTCTAATTTACAAAAATTCACAATTTTGAAAAAATGTTGTTTCAGAATTCATTTGACAAGGGATCAATTCGGAAACTGTGAAAGTGTTCATCCCAAAGTTCCTTTCTCTTTCCTTCTTTCCACTATTCTATCCAATCACACAAAGCGTGAAGAATTCCTCGTAAACTATCAAATTACCAAAAGGTCAGGTGTGTGGATCTCGTATCGGATCTCGGTGACGGGGCGAAAAATGTAAACTACGTACGGATGCACTCATCAACCCACCGTTACACGATTTATTGGAGCATTTGGCGGGTAAGCGGGGCAAGTTGGCACTCCTGGCGGCAGCGGATACGCGGATGGCACCTCTTGCTCCTCAAACTCGTCATCTGGAAAACAAGCAACATTCGAAGAAACGGCGAGGAGAGAGTATTGATTGGATCCTACCACTAAAGTCATCGTAGAAACTCTCGCGATAGGAGCCGAACACTTTGGACGTTTCATACTGCTGACCACCACCTGGCGCCACCACTTGGATTGTTGTCTTTGGTCTGAACCGGAAATGTTATTTGGATATCCTTTTTTTGAAGGAAAGAGAAACTTACGGTGGAGGTGGCGGAGGAACCTTCGGCCTTTGGATTGTGGCAAAACGAGAATCATTGCTTACGAGGATAGTGTTACTTCCAGAAGCCTGAAATCAAGTTTAAAGTAATTTCATTTTTAGAAAGCATTTTAATACCGATGAATGGGACAGTTTTCTGCTCTGATACGGGCTCGCAGCAAGTATCTGAATCTGGCCGTTGGTGTACGGACTCGAGTTTCCGCGGTCATGTTTCGATTTGTATTTCTTGAAGCAGTTGAGCATGGTTCCAAAGTATCGATAGATGACGAGCGAAGTTGCGACAATCAAGAAAACGATGAACGCGAATAGAACGAGACCCTGAAATTGGAACGTGATTGAATAAAAATAGAATCGGAGGAGAAATGAATAGAGGAACGAAGAAAACGCGAGCGGACAGGTGGAATTTGGAGAAGTGTCGGCACGACAAGGAAAAGATAACAGCTGTGTTACTAGTCATCGTAAACATTCACAACGGGCCACTCGGGGGACGCGTTTTTCACCACGGGGTTCCCGTCGGCGCCCATTGATGCGTCGTACAACATTTCGACCCGTCGGACCCCAGTGTGACCGATGGCACCGACATAAAGTTTCATTGAAATTCGAGGCGAAGAGGCAGAGTCACCCACCCGCTGTGCAGTAAAAAGAGAGTGACGAGAGGGGCGAATGGTCAGAATTCGTGACACAAGGCGCGCAAAACATGGTCATGTGAGGGAAAATGAGGATTGTTCGCTCCGGCGCATTCTCAGTTCATCTCGTTAAGATGACAATTAATGCGATCTACTAGAAGCGCCACTTGAAACGAAAAGAATCATGTACAAAAACCACGAATTAAGATAGCCATCATCAATTCTTCTACGAATGAAGTACGCCATCAAGATATGTGAAAAGCGAAAAGATGCTGAAGATCTAGCGCGCAAGAGACAACGGATTCGCTTCAATTCTTCAAGAAAACCATTTAGGATAGAAAATAGGGCCAAGGGGTGAAATGAAATGGACAGTCCGACAGCTTTCGAGTGACCTTGGTCTAAGGGTATCGTTGCTCCTCGCGGATGAGGAGGAGACAGACGAAGCGCAACAGTTGGCGCGCTCTCCGCTCTCATTACTCGCCCGTTGATCTATTACCTTGGTCCGCCAAGTAATTTTCATAACTGACTGCCCTGCGGGAGAGATTGATGGATTAGAACGGAACACCGGAACACTAAGACTTGATGGCAAGTTGTTGTGGTCTAATGCCATGATTGGAATAGAATAAGAAGGAGATGGGGATGAAGAATAATAATAGTGTCGGCAAAAGATAGATTAAGGATGTCGGATATGTGAAGGAGGAAAGGAAAGGAAATGGGCAAGAGACTTACCAAAAAGAACGGATGCATGTAATATCGGCAGGTGTGCGGCTGGCAGTTCAGATCGGAGCACCGACCCGGCAACCCGCAATCACAGTTCTCGCCCTCCTCGACAACTCCGTTTCCACAGACCGGCTCACTCCTACAATCACAAATTGTTGTTTGCCCTGGCCTTGTTTGAGAATCGCCCACACACATTCACTCTTTCTTGATTACCATCTTAGAGTGACAACAATGTGCCATAGTGTACCTACGCGCAAAGCCGGAATGGCAAAAGAGCATGGAGAAGTGGGGTGGTAAGGTGAACGAAGTGAAAAACTTACTCGATGAACTTTGGTTCTTTCAAAATGCACTTGTTCTTGTAGATTGTGTTCACAAACTGTTGAACTGTGCAATCGTGATCGAACCCTCTGAAATGCACGTCTTAATTTTTGCATTTATTTGATAAAACCAACGGTATCTTCAGACATCCGTCCTCTTTTGCGGAATCTTTCGGTGTACACTGACAATTCGGTACATAAATAGATTCATTGACTGCCCGATGCGGGACTCCAACTAGGTGAGCCACCTCGTGGAAGAAAATCGATCCCATCGCTCTCGGCTCATTCGGATAGAACTGAAATGACCAATTCCCATTCCCATTCTCTTATTACGAATCCGAGCAAATCCGCGCGATTAGGCCCTATCTTCCGCGCGGAAATGAGCCTCTTCATCATGGCTCTTCTCACTCACTATCCTAGGGAATTGCTAATTTGAGAGTTGAGAGCCAAATTACGCGCGTCTTCTCCATCGTTCTCTTCATTCATCACAACGGCTTGTGAGCGGACAGAAAGAGAAAGGACCATATTATCGGTCGGGCGTGGTGAACGTGGATGAACACACATGGATGACAACAATTTGAGTACCCTTATGATCGTGTTTTTATTGGATGCCGACGCAATCATTGTCGGCGTCTGTCTCTTTTCCGAAAGAGCTGTAAACACTTTGCAAACAACAGACTATCCGCCCTTATCTTGATGACCTTTCTAATGAAAATTGGAAAGGAAACTCACGCCACACAGCGACACAGAATGCGACGAACACATTCCATTGACATACGCCAGACCGCCGGCGTACTTGTAGGAGATCAGAGTGGCAAACTCGTGCTCCGGCAGTTTGTGAATTCTGAAATTGCAGACGGTAAACGCTAAACTTGCACGTTCGTTCCACCCAGTTACCTCGCATTCCGGTACTCATGGAACGACTGTAGACTCAAGTCGCCACGGTTTGTTTGCAGAATTCCGACGACAATCAAACCTACTCCAAGTTGGTTCAAGTACTGAAAGAATTCACTGAAAAAGGCAAACAAATAGTGGTCTTACTTGATTTGCTTCGTCTATCATCTTCATGATGTTGAGTTTGACTCGGATCATGTCGAATTCATAGTAAGACGTCTGGAAAGTGTTTCAAATGTTCGATGCTTTTAACAAAATTTTTAAGAATCTTACAGTTTTATTGTCTACAAACACCAAACTTCGAATGAACACCGTTGTGCCAGGACTTGTAGTTGCCAGACGGTAATCCGGCGCTTTAGCACCCCAGACAGCAGCTCCATTTTCCACGTAGACCTCTTCCAATGGTGAAGAATCCTAAAAAATAATCAAATAATTAGGATGTAGACGAACTCGAGAGACTACTCACAATATCAAATTCATGCTGACTTACAACAATTCCAAAAAGGCTAAAAAGGAGAGTAAGTGATGATCCACGCATAGTTCTACCGCCACTTCAACACCGTCATTCACTTCATGCTACTTTTCTGAAATATGCAATTAATTAGTGTATGCGACGCAAAAAAGGGAGGCGACGATAAAAATCGCATTAAACGAAGCGGGAACTGATAAGTTTTTGATTGAGAAGAAGAAAAAGATCGTTTTGGAAATAAAGTGAACAGAAGGGAATGGTAGCAAATGTAAAAGCTTTCAATTCTACCGGATCAATTAAAGTTGTGTACATTTGTATCGTGAAGGGGGAGAGAATTGAAAAAGTTGAATGGCTTTTTTCAGGTGGAAACCTTCATTTTCAAATAGTATTCTGGATACATTTGATGATAAAGAAGAGCGGAAGAATGTGTGCAAACAGTGGCCTTTTTCTGGGTGAGAAGTTAATGGAACATGACTGGGCGCGGAGAAAAAGAAGGAAGAAAACGATATTCGAAAGTGTCCCGGAAGGTTTGACAGCGAAGAGACAACGGATCGGATCAACCCATTAATCCTCGAAAAAAATGGGAACGTCAAAGTTCTGAGAAGACGAATAAAACATAATGTCAAGGTGAGACGAGACGTACTCGTTTCGTTTCATTTTCAACAGCTTCCGTCCTTCCGTCCGGCGGCCGGGTACAGAGGGCAACATCTGGCTGGGAGGATGTTCCAAAATCAACTACCACATATTGTTCTGTGGCAGCAGCATCGGATTTATGGATGAATAATATGCGAAAGTGCGCGTAATTACCACATGTAGGTGTTCGGAAGAGACCCCCGGAGAGGGGGGCAAGAGGGCCAATATACACATAGTAACAGATTGTTTATCGGGAAGTGGAAGTGCGTTGAGAAGGGTGGTGGCTAGGACGGGCAGGCAGGGTAAAAGTGCGTCGGAACTGACCAGGCGGCTGTGCGAGTGACCCTAGCCGTGCTATCCGGGGGCATTGCTCGGGGACCCATTTGCAACAGACACCTCAGGTTGCTGGACCAAGAAGACCGAAGGCGTGGACAAAAAGTGCAGGCGCATTGGAATTGATGAATGGTCGCGGCGGGGCAGCAAGCGGAAAGTGCGAAGGATGAAGAATTCATCCGCTGCGAGAAGAAAGAACATGCCAACTCATTTTGCTCTCCGGTCCAGAAGCTTTTAGTCTTTTTGCCCTTATTTCAGGAAACAATCGGGATATGCAAATCGCGGAAAATGTTGGCGGAAAGCGTTTTGGCAAAGAAAAGATTGCTGGACGGATAGGAAAAATAGAAAGAGCTTGTCGAGTGTTGCAAGTTTTTCCTTCATCTTTTCATAAAGAATCACTGGGTGGTCTAGGTGGTTTTTCGGTTTCCTCTTGGGGATATCGGGGACAAAACGACGTTTTTGAAAAGAATGGAACGTACTTTAAAAGGACATATTCAATTTGGTTAATGGTCAATTTGACAGACTTTCAATGAACCTAAGACATTGGAAATGACAAATCTGTTGCTTCCGATTAGTCCAATGAGCTTTTCTGGGGTTGTGCAGCTGCTACGAAAAAGCATTTGGAGCTTCTGACGAAATATGGCACTCGGGTCCCGGGATTGTGAAATTCTCCACCCAACAGATGGACGAGGAAGACGAAGAAGAGGTGGGTGAATCGCTTTCGAACGCAATGAATAATTAATGAATGGTCATGAACACGAACGTTTTAAGGGCGCAAGTTTTATGGGTAGGGCGTAGAGGGATTGGTGAAAGAAGAAGAGAAGGGCGTGGATTATAGAGGTAATCATGTATCGGTTCCAAACTCGATTTCAATGACCGCAACTGGCTGGATGAGTAGCTGCGCGACGACAACGACGCACCATTCTGATACCGAATGAGTTAGTGAAAGAAGAAGTGGAAAGAAATGCGGGGAAAAGGGGGGGGGGAGGCTGGACTCTGTATACAGAAGACATGACTCATTTTTGAGGTGCACATGTGAACGGAAGGTCAACTGTACGAAACGACTGCCGTGGTTGGCCTTGGCGATTCAAAAATTGGATTTTCAAATGAAAATCTGAGGCAGAATCTTAGGGATGACCAAAATAATAACAAATCTATTTGTCGGCTTGGCTTTGAAAAAGAAATGACGAACACAAGCAAAAATGAGAGAACTTCAAACGAGAAGTCGGTCATAAAAACGGTGTCTGGCGCTGTTGTAATCGGGTTTCGGATAAATCCACTTGCAAAAAAGCGAGTATTCACACTAGTCGGAATATGTGTACTAGTAAAACAGATGTGGTCTCGAGTGGTATCATGAAAAAAGTACTATGAATGCTAACTGATACAATAGGAGGTGAGCGAGGAACGGCGGAATGGAAGAGAATCAGAGAAAAAAAAAGAGGTAAGGAACGGAGGAGCGGCACCAAGCGGACGGAAATGAATGGTCGGACGGTCGGCCGGTCGGTCTCTTTGTGGTTTTTAGTACAGCGGAAAACGAAGAGCTCTTAGTGGCTCATGCCCTTGCGCAATGACTACGAAACAGCGCTGGGACACATTTTGATCGAGAGCTGGTCATCTTGCCATTAATTTTGTTGGTGTCCACCCGGGAAAAGGAGGAAGAGAGGAGAAGGCCACTCGTTCAAGCACTTGTCACGAAAAGCCCTCGCGTTCACATTGAGGAGAAGCTGGCTGTTGCGTGGCCGCTTATAATAAGCGACTGATTAATTAGGTGCTGTGCTGCGGGCCGACAAGATGGGAACCTGAAACAAATTGGAACAGAAGGAATGATTCAATTACGAGAAGAAGGAGAAGAAGGAGGAGAGGACGAAGATTTGCATGAATTGGTACGCGACACAATGGGCCGACCGCTTTGCAACAAAAGCTGAGTCTCTTTTTTTCCATTTTTATAGGGTTCAGTCCGAGCGGCAAGAAAGTATCAGTGGACTTTGTCACTTTTCCACTGGAGTACATATTCAGGTCAAGGATTTGACATTTATGACTAATCCTTGCCGCGGGCTTCGTCAAAGGTTACTCATCGCAGTCTTTTGCAGACTTCCCACACACGTTTTTATAGTTTCGCTCTTCTAATTAGCAAAAAAGTACGAAACCGTAGGCTAAATGTCAAATTTGTACAAAAAGAAAGCGGAAAGCAAAAGTTACCCGTGTGCATAGCGGCTTGCCTGAATTTAATTAACAAGTGTGAACCAGAAAACGAAAGTAAATTGAGAACGACGTATGTGCGGGCCGAAAAAGACACGTATTGCAGCCGGTGTACATGACAAATTTGCATAATTTGTGTGAATGCAACCGACACTTTCGGTGCTCTGACACTAGGAGTACTCTTCTCCTCGCGCGCATCGGGGACACTACTCCCATCGGCAATTATTGCGCGATTATGTTACTGGCACTGGCACTCTGACAATGACTAGATGAGAGCACGCGACGACCACCCAGCTACGTCTGAAGTGGAGAAATTTCCGGGAAAATGATTGAATTCTGTGTTGAATGTTGAGCATGAAGGGCAATTCATTCCTTTTTACAATCACGAAGAGTTTCATGTACACAGAGGCTTACTGTATCATGAGAACTATCTAATTTCTGAAAATAAAGTATAGTAACAAAATAATAACAGATAACTTGAAGGATGAGAGAACCTTCCTAGTTTATGTGTCTGTATGACTCGTCTTTCACATCCACACGCGCTGTCCAAATCTCACCTTACAGATATGATTTTAAACGAAACAATGCAGTCAAAGTTGTGGCCGTGGCCTAGGAAATTCAAGTGTGAAAACTCTTTCCTGCCGGAAACATGACGACCTTGCTTTTTGACGGAATTTTGATTTGTGTGCATGATTGACTGAAGATTGTACCGAACGCAAAAAAATCCGTAAGAGAACACAGGACCGAGGATTTTCACACAACTTTGACTGCGCGCCCTTCCGTTTAAAGGCATTTCTGAGAGTTGGAACGCGGACGGCGAATGTGGCAATCTGAGAAGAGTCAGACAGACACATAAACCCGGAGGGCTCTCAGGTCCTTTAATGAAAATATCGTTGAAGATGAACAAGGTTCACTCTAGAAATTTTTTCGGCAAATCTGCTCAAACCCCCGTCAATCAATCCATTTGCATCCGCTTACAAATTTCAACTCTCAAAGCGAGTGAACAATTATTTTCAATGTAACTCAAGATTAACTCACTGCTGCCCTGTAAAACCAATCAAAACATCCTCCTCCGATAATACATTTTTTCGACAGACAATTTTAAACAACAACTTTCGACCCCTTCCAATGCTCTGTTCCGACGTCTTTTAAGAATTGTCAGTTCCTTGTGATATCAGTTTGACCTGACATCCATTGCGCAACCGTACCACTCGACACATTTACGACATAACGATCAGATGATTATTCGGCCGGTGCTCGTCAACTGAAAACAGAGTCAGAAACCCGTGTGCTCACCAGAATTACCGATCATAAGCGGTTTTAGCCTGCATTTCACGTTTATCACTACCGTAGCAGAGTTTCGCTTCACAATGTGATCAATCGGCAACTTTTGAAAAACGAACGAGTGAAATGGAATCATTTGAATGTGAATGGAGCACTTGTTTACCGAGTTGCACGCGCAAGTCACCGTTCTCACCATCACTCACTTTTTTGGTTATCAGAGAGCCTAACCACTGGCTGAGAGTGACCTGGTTCGAAACAGTTCACGATCTGATGACAATTCTTCTGAATCACTGGGAAACGTCAGCTGTGACGTGATTCTTTGAAATTTCGAAAGGCTTTTCTACGTCATTTCTCAAAAAAATTTCGGTCAAACCCCATGCGCCGGGCCAGGCCCTTTTCAACTTTAGTCCAGTGAATCCGTTCGATCCATAACCCATAACATCTCCATTTCCTCTACCGTCTTGCCGTGCACACCCATGCCTTCGAACCAGTTCCGGTTTGAAAAATGACACTTCGATGACCTCCTCCTTTTTGCAATAAACGCCGACGCCCGAAAGCTATCCGAGCCGTGTCCCTTGTAAATCGGCATCCACCATATTGTTCCCAATGCTCGTGCACATATATACTTTATTGAAGAAACTCAGGAAATCACAAAACTAAGAAATTCAACCCTATCAACAAAAAGGGGAAATCATGACAATCAAGTGGAACGTGGGGCGGAGCGGGCGACTGGGGCAATATAATGAGGGGAAATTATTTCTTAATAAAGAATTTTTCGAGTGAACTTTACTAAAGGACAGAAGAACGTCATATAATACTGGGGGAGAAAAAGCCTATATCCAAGAGAAAAATAAAAAAAAACGGGCTCGCGGGGAGGAAGAACACATCAAATAATGACTATTAAAGCTGGAAAAAGAGGTGGAAGGGAGACTGGAATTGCAAGACTACACCAAAGAATTTGCGTAATGAGAACAATGGAATGATGTGACCCATTTCAAATATATAAACGTGCGATGTTTACTCGGAAGAGTCCAGATCCTCCCGGTTGGGAGAGATCTGTGGCGACGTCATCGGCGTGAAGCTGTCCGCGAGATTCTGAAGAATCTGAGTTAAACTCGGACCCTCCTCGTGCGACGGTGCGATACTCACAATTGGAATCATCGGGTGGTGGTGGCGCGAGTTCTCGTGAGTGGCGCGGTGAACGAGCAGAGTTCTCGACTGACAGAAGCCCTTTCCACACACCTCGCACTTGAACGGCTTATCCTTCTGATGGATGTATTTGTGGTCCCTGAGATGATCCTGACGTCGGAACGCCTTTCCACAAACGTCGCAGGAGTACGGTCGCTCGTCGGTGTGAGTCCTCTCGTGGATGAGCAGATTGTAGGACTTGGTGAAGTGTCGTTCACAGTACTTGCAGATGAACTCCTTCTTCGGGCGTGCCGCTCTTCCAGTCGTCCTGCCGCGCCCGGGAATCATGAACCTGAAATAACAAATAGTTGCTAATCGGCTACAGTAACCCTTATCGTATTTGAGAGGATCATCTTCTCCGTAAGGCTACTAACTCACCACGGTTGATCGTACGGTCCAAACGATCTGATTGGCGCAACGTTGAGAGTCGGAGAAACTTTTGGCGATACACTCTCCTCCTTGATCTTCTGCTCCAATTCGATGGATTGTGCCAGATGGGTGAAGTCGAATTTCTCCTTCTTGTCTTCAGTTCCAACTACTGGGGCTGGATTCATGCCGATCATGGTCAACTTCCGTTGCTGAAGGAAGTTGTGCACCTGCAGATGCTGATGAGCAATCATGAGTCGGAGGAGCTGATCATTTGGCTGTGGGAATATGGAAGTTTGGAGCTGACGTTGCCAAGGGAGCATAGTGATACTGAAATTTTGAAATCTTGAACAATAGAGAAAAAGGCAGGGCGAGAAGGGAAGATGTTACAAAAAAGCGAGCAAATATGGGAAGGAAACTGACGATAAAAGAGATGGTCGGGGCAAAGAACTTCAGAAGAAGGAGAAGGAGCGAGACTTATTGTTTGCCAACGATTCACAAGAAGTTGTCACTACGTTAACGAGTATTAACGTCTTACGTAGTAATACTGTCCAAACAGATCCAGAAATGAAGAAGAAGAAGAAGAGGAACGGGCGGAGCACAATGTGTGTACACGTGGGAGGACCATCACCCTCCCACCGCACAGCAGGGATGCTCTTTGAGGCGGCCTCTGTAACTGATCTCTCCGGGGAGACGACTCATTTGGTGATGCAGAGAGTCACAGAACTTTTACGGTCTCGCCGACACTTCTGAATTTCGAAACAAAGATAAGGGTTCTTCTCTCTATTTTAAACAAGAATTTCGCGTGTCGTCGGTTAGTAGAAAGGTTTTGATGACTTGTTGATGCTCCGGCGCGCGCGCTCATGATATTATCAAGTACATGGGGAGCTATAAAAACTGTGGCTTCCGTGCTTCGGTCCGACTTCAAAGGTAGCCGACGTACACGGAGGTGTTGCCTGTTTACCGACCAGTGGTGATACTCCGAAGGTGGAAATTGAGGCGTGACTCGGGAAAACTGGCCTGCATAGTCGAAGGAGCACGAAAAGGAAGAAGGGAATGAGTCAGAGAGATGGACGAAAATGGGCGAGGAAAGCAATTTTTCGGGTGAGAAGCTGCCAAAAAGTGATATGCAAACAGTCGAGTTTTCCAGTTAACGGAAGAAGGGAATTCAGTCAAAAGGAAACAAAGTTAGGGGTCGCTATTGACAAAGCGTTGATACGGTGCCTCTCGCTATCCTATTTCGATTTTACCAGCCCAAAAGATGGCAGAATAAAAGGGGCACACTATCATTCTTAACCCGGCTATTGTGATGCTAAAATCGTATTGCTAGCTACTTCGCCGTTCCCGCAACATTCAATGCATCTTGAATTTTTGGTTTGATTTCAATTGTTAAAAGGGATGCTTTTGAATAATGATGCATCCAAGCAGGTGATGACGCAAAACGGTAGATGCCTTCCGAGCGACGGAAGGAATCATTTTCAAATTTTAGTATAAATAGGGGAGAGTAGTGTGAATGGGCGCAAACCATTACTATGAACGATGTGTGCTGAAGAGTTGGATTCAAAAAAGCACTTTGTAGCCGTATATGCACTTTTTGACAGTTTCAACGTGTAGGCCACAGTAGAGCACTGTTTCTAACGTCAGTGTGAACCTAAAAAAGTTGCAGAAAAGTAGAACTCAAGAGGAACAACAACTTTTTTGAAAGTTGGAAGTTGGCTACTGGATATATACTCTACAAGACATCTTTGCTTCTGAACAACAGAACTGAAACTCACTTAAAGTTTGAAGCCATACGACAAGAAGATGGATTACAGTACCGACTAGGGAGTGGCGGAATGAAAGGAGTGAGTGTCGTCCCAGAAGCAGACGGAGGCGGCCACCACCTCCTTCAGCTCGTCCTCCGTCGGCCCCGCCCCATCCTCCGGCTGCTCGCGACGCGCTGGTTGAGTGACTACGGTAGGCGCATGCTGCTGTGCGCCGCCTATTTTTAGGGCAGGAATCGAGGGGAAAACTTAGAGAATTGGGAAAAAGAATAGATTAACAGTAACTCGAACGGGTTTGGGGAATGTTCATGTGCTCATATTGACAGGTACAGTGACTGGAACGATAAGGAAGCGTCGGAAGGTCTGGACAAGGATGCGGATTCCGCAGACATTCGGGTACCGGACATGTTTTTGTTGCATTTGAGCATTTTCTAGCGTTTAAATCACAAAATACTGCAAATGTCACAGGGTTACAACATTCGAGTGCTGGTGACATTTGCAGTGTTTGGAAAGTTACTAGACAGATGCTACTTGCTGCTGACGCAACATTGATAGGGCAAATATTTCTTCTTGGATAATTATCGACAACTTTCCAGTAGTGGGACAATGTGATGGTACCCAGAAGGCATTGGAAGTGAAGTGAAATGGAAGTTTGAAATGAATGCTCAAGCGCCGCCCTTTCCTTTTTCAAATACTGTCTGTCCGAATCGACATTTGAAAAAGAGGCGCCACTTTTTATGGAACCGTTAGCACTAGTCCGTACCACTACCTTTTACGACCTTCCCTACATAAACTACCCTTTGGTGGTGTACGCCGCCTAATGATAATTGACTATTATCAAAAAGCAAAGGTGAATCGGTGAATGGACTATGCGCAAGGCAGTGATAAAGGAGAGAGCAAAGAGGATGTAAGAGGAGGAACCTTTCACCTACCTAGAGCAGTGAGTCAATCAACTTCCGGAAAAATCAGTGATTTAGCAGAGAACAATGTTCTCGAAGTGTGTAGGAGTGGTGTCGATAACCGAGTGTGTGCTCCTATTTAGTAGGCAGTATTAGGTACAATAATCCGCTTACCAAAAGTAAGGAGGAGCATCGACGCTGACAAGAAAGAGTTATCGCGAGGGTTTTGACGCCAATGGCTCGATTTCGAAACAAAGGACATTGTATGTCAGCTTATCTCGGAAACGTTTTCCTTAAAATCACACAATGTAGCACAAATGGCCTCATCTCTCATCAACACAACTACAAAGATATCCAACCGGTGGGAATTGCACTAATCCTGCTAGCGGTCCCGCTCACCGACATTATCCACAAACACACTATTTGTTTGCATCGCTTTGTGCGTTCCCATCCATAAGGTCCCTAAACGGCTGCCACGTATCTTCATTCCAGCATTGGCAAACAAACTATTTTTTCTTTTTCTTCTTCCTCTCTTTCACAGTTACCGACTCACAGCGCATTAGGACAGGGAAGGAATTTTTGTGTTTGGTAGGCCCGGACAAAAGACGGAGAAGAGTTGAAGAGGGTTGAAACGGACAGAAAATTCATTAGTGAGGGAAGAGGGAAAACGGGCATTGTTTTGTGATACTGTAGATTATGATATTGTTAAAAAGGCGACCAATACTCGTTTTTCCTCCTTTTTTGCGGGTTACAAATAACATCTTCTTCCCAGGAACTACCTTTCTGCTCCCCTCTTTTCATTTGTTCCGGCGGCACGACGCCCTCAAAAAGGAACGTTGGAGCCTGATAGGTTATTGTACTGGTTATTGCATCTTCTTTTGCTTGTTTGATCGTTCGAGGTGCAACGATATTTGGACCTCACTGATGAATGGTAAGGAAACAATGAGAGGAGGCTAGATGAAAGGTGTCAGCAAGCATACCGGCTGCGAGCAACGTTTAATTGTTGAATCCGGGATGCCGACAACACGTCAGCTAACAAGCCTGTTTGCCAATATCATGGTTCTCTTTCTGACTCATCTTCCTTGTAATCGAGGAGGATGGGATTAATGAATTCCAATGGTTGGGGCCAGCATCCGTACAGTTGTCGATAAAGTTGTCAACGTCACAGCTCGATGTGCTCTTCTCTTCGCAAAAATTCTCGCCTAACACCCTTAACCACACTCTTACGTTCAGACTCTGTTTGGCTACACTCCTTATCATGTGACAAAAGGTGTGAAAAGCGGAGCAGCAGCCCCAGTGGCAGCAGCTCGCCTACCGTATTCATGAAGAACTGGATTGCGCGAGACGCTCTGCGTCAGCATCAGCCTAAAACTTTACTCAAACACCCTTCCAATCCATAAACGGTCGCTCGGCGATCTTGCTCAAACTTCAGTAAACGGGGACGACTCGCGGGTGAGGTGTAATGCACACGGGCTGATATCCTTGTATTGTTTGTACATGCGCGTGAATCGACATTGTGTTAACAGATTAGCTGGAGGGGGATCAATAGAAGGTTAAGGGTCTTGGCGGAACGGAACGAACGGGTTCAGGAAGAGTAAGGAAAAGAGGGCTAGCCAAAGGGCACATTAGTCTTTGTTAGGATCCTGGACCAATGGGAAAATGAGTAGGCTAGGCACAAGCTCCCTCATTTTCTCGGTTCCTCCACTCAATTGGCAATAATTCAACATCCGAATTCCTCATAAAAGGTGCCCATATGTCTGTTCGATGGTTTCTCGTCGAACACCTCGCAAAACCCTCCGTTTTCTAATTGCCATGTCGTAAACATGGAGAATTTATGCACTTTGCGACTGAACGGATGGTCTTGAAGCGGACAACAGGTGCCACGCAGGCTTCATGACAAAGTGCAAAGAGTACTAACCTTTTTTAGTCATAAAACTGCCAGCTGAACGTGTCTAAGATTGTACAAATTTCACTTTTCAAGTGTATTAAACACAGCTGCAAGCGTTCACTTTTTAAGTTTTCAGGAAACATTTGTTGAGAGGAATGCTCCGATTCTAGGGGTTTCCAGAGAAAAAAGGGGAAAAGGAATCCAAGTTGGCGGACTACGGTACATTCTCGAGCGTCTCCTCGATTTATAGCATCACCAAACTACTTCCTCTTCGGAAAGCTGTGAAAATTGACAAGTTTGTCATCGTCGTCGTCGTCGTCGAAGCGCCACAACCTTGCCCGTCATAAACCTACCGTAGTTGGATGAGGTGTCCGTGCACACACACACACACACACACAAGGAAACGTCGTTTAGTGAGAGAAAGGGGAACTCTCGGCACGCCGTAAATTGTCTTCCCATCTCCCCGTTTTATTATTCGCGCCTCCAAACAGAATCTTCCTCTCCTTTCCTTTCCACTTCTACTTCTACTTCCAGGGAGACAATTTACCGTGCGAAGTTCCTGACTATTCTTTGCCTTTTTTAAATCATAGGGACAGGGAGTGTTATCTGGGAAGAGGATTGCACAATATATACGGGGTCAACTCGACTGCATATCATTATCACAGAACCATGACGCCACCATGAGAGTCCGGTCGAGTACCTCCTGGATGAAAAGAATGTACGCATACTCAAAACTTGACGTTGAACGTTGCGTCAGACAATACAATTAATTGGCGGTGGAACTCAAAGAGAATTCAATTCAGTCGACTCCTCGTTCCGTGTCTCTGTGTGTACTTCACTATCATGAAAAAGAAGGAGCAGGAGAAGAAGAAGAAGCCGGTGTCTATCGGGGGCGGCCTTCGCTTTGATCTAGCTCAAACGAGCGTGAGCATACTGTTTGAGACCCGTGCCAAACTCTCCTCGCCCTCCTCTTTCTCCCTATTTCCAACACCTTATTTGCGTTGTGACGGTTTCCGAGTCGACAAACTGTTAAGGGAGACGATTCCATGCGGTAGTGACGGGGGACTGGCACACGTCTCAAAGACGATTAGTTGGGGAAGAGCAAAAAGATTTGTGATTTCTCGACTCTGTTTGATGATAACGTCGTTCGAGCTGAAAATGTCGCTTATTCAGGAGGGGACGTCACTTTTGTACACTTTTCCCAAAGGGGCAAAGTATTTTTCCATCCGTTTCCGGTTCCTGCCTATCTTTTTCTCGTTGTGCATCGTCAACCAACCGGAGGAACACTCGATTTCCTGTGTGAGGGGGTCTGAGTCATCCGAGCTCCAGCATGCACAGGTTCCCAGCGTTTGCCTTGTCCGGAAATGCGCGATAACAGCTTTCATGTTGCCGCGCGGGCTACTAATGACGCACTGAATAAAAGCAGGGAAAGCTGGGAAAAACCGAAAGTTTTGCCATTGTTCAATAACTGATGGGAACATGTACAGTAAGTCTTCCCTCTGTTTATGACTCTTGTGCCCAGGTGTTTTACGAGCTTTTTTAAGAACGGGGAACCATGTCAATCTTTTTCCGGGAAATGATGGGGGGATGTGTCACCGGTCGGATGGCAGTGCAAACAAATCCGGCGGGCTAAACGGAAACGGCGGCATGAGCACCCAACGAGTATGCGTTTATTACAGTAATCAAAGCAAATATTATTGGATTCTTCACGCGCAGTTCGCCGCTAACAGCTCTACCGCACATGCTCGCTGTGTGCCGCCAAAGGAATCAACACGTCAAGCGGATAATCCAACTATCAACAATAACTTGGGCTCCGAGTTACTTTCATCAAATCCTTTTGAAGTGCGCCGACCGGAAGGATTTGACACGTGTTGATTGAGCCGGACACCTGTGATTGTATCCGAGGGACTGAACCTAAGACGATCAAGGATTATATTTTGTGTCCGATTTGGTTTCGCTCTGTGTTGTCGATTCTGCTCCTCGCAATCAAAACTTTGTTATCTAAAGAAAATATTGACGCCGATTAAAAGGCTCATGGAAGAGAAGATGCTTTATCAGCGGCCACGCTACTGATTGATTGCTCCATCATTTCACGCCCTGGCCAACAATATATAAAATACCCCCCTAGTATGGCACACGACCAATTCAGGAAGGAAAGGGAGAAGAACAACAAAAGACGCTTCGCATGGTTTTCAGATATTGTTTTGTTTCAGTCGGCTGCCATGACGAGATTGTACGGGATGAAAGGAGCGGAAAAGAAAACACTTGGGAACGATTGTGCCCCGATGTGAATCATCGCATTTCTTGGTGCCGCCGAGTGAATCACATCTTCCTTCGCGGCGACGCCTCCAACTTTCTCACTGAGCGCTTCACTTGCTTTTTTGAAATGAATCCTGATAGCTTCTGTACGGAGTAAGTTTCTCTTTTCTTCTACTGACTGGAGATTTTGGATTTTACAGTTATTCTAACACTTCCAAACAGGACCAAGAGCCTTCCGGACGACGATTGTCAACTGTAAGCGTGCCAAATAACTGAACTAAACAGAAATATTCTTCCAGAGCTGGGACAACGAGAACAAAATAAGTGCGTTGGCTGTGCCCCATGTTGAGCAACGAAGAAACTCTAATACGGTCTCTAAAACCAGTCGGATCAAATCCAGAAACAAATGATCTAACAATTCAGCTCGCCCAACTTCTCGAATACCGTCAACTGTCTCTCACCGATGATGTTTCTCTTGATTTGGAGGTGTTTGCAAAAGGCTGCAATGGGAAACAAACCATCTTTTTTCAGAGTTCCCATTCGTCTCGACCGGCTTCTCGACGTGGATCGATTGTGCTACGGAGAGCGTCTGTGGGCTCAAGAAGGCAATCTGTCGTGGAAATGCTCGTGGATAGTGGACTTCCGAAAACTAACAATGATTGTGTGATGGTAACTTTCAGCTCACAGTTGTCCGTATTTGAAAATGATGATCTAAGGTTCAACAAACTCTCGGAACTTCTACTACTCTTTTCTTTCAAAAGAACCCATTAGTTGATAATTTGGATCTACGTCCATCTGCCGCCGAGAGAGGAATCTTCAATGTAACTTGTAAGCTCTTTGAATCAAAAACCTTGATTTTTGTAGTTTGACGATTCAATCAAGGAAGTCCCTCCAATGAAGTACTTCGGGACTCCCCGTCCATCGATCCAACTGCCCCAGTCCCCGAGACCATCTACTTTTGCTCATCCAATTCAATCGATCGATGAGTCTGAAGACGAAGGAAACCAAACTCCAACTCTCAAGAACCTGACGATCCGTCCATCCCTCGAAGAACGAGGACTCCCGGCGGTAACCTCTCAGTTTCATCTGTTATGGCTTTCTTCCTTTGTGTTTTTTCAATGCACTTAACTTTTGCGTCCCCATAGTTAGTTTCCTTATGGTTCTTTCCTCATATACAGGTCAAGTTCGCACCAGTGGTCCCGGTAGCAAGTGGCAGAGTGCAAACCCGCGGTCGGACTCTCCACAAGGTAATGGAGTCTCTCAGGATCGATAGAGAGAGAGAGAGAGGGAAACACTCTTGCATTTTTTGCAAGTGTGAGAACGTTTCATTTCGACTTTGCATATTTTAGCAACCTCGCGCCGATCCTAGCTTCGACTTGGAACTCGATGTACGTTTTCTTCTTCTTCTTCTTTCTTCTCTTCTTTGTTGCTTTGTTTTCTAAAACATACACTTTTGCAGACAATAATCGCGTCGCGACGGAAGATTGTTGACGAAGAAGAAACAAAACGGGAAAGGGAAAATCAAATTCGCCCGAGAATTCAACGTGAGAACGAGAGAAACAGAATTAGTGATTCATTTTCGTGTTCCAGAAGAAAACCGTTCTCAGTCTCGCCCTCACCACTACGACGGACACTTGCCACACCAATTCGGAACTTTCAACGTCATGGAGGTGTTGTACCGTCTGAATTATCATATTTCAATCAGAACTTATCAGGAACTTCGCAATCAAATGGAAAGCGGCGAAGTGGATCGCATAGTAAAGGAGAAGAAGACGACCACGGTGACCGAGACCCGCGAGATTGTTTATTTCACGCATCGCTTGCCTTCTTCTATCGCTATCTCGACCAGAGTACCAGCTTTTGCTTTCTTCCTTTGCTTCTTCCGGGGAAATCCATTCACTCACCTAGTTTTTTCCATTTACAGCTTTCTCCGACCGGAGTTCCTGTGCACAATGTGAATCGAAATTCGATCACCGTTGAGGGATCGCTGTGAGAAAATGGGGAAACAATTAGCAGAATCTTAGTTTCTCAATTTCAGACCACCACTTCTTGATAGACCGTATGTTCGTGCTCAGGAGGGGTAGCTTTAATGGAAAATGAAGGACAAAAAACTAATTCGAACTATTTAGAAAACAAGGATTGACCCCTGACGGCAAGTCTCCTAGCAAAACCGTCACCATTCGTGTCCCAGAAGACCATCAAAATCATCCAGTAATAATAAATGAATGATGCACAGAATCAAAATTACTTTTTCCAGAGAGGACACATGCTCCATAGATCCGCGACGCCGTCGCCACACAACGTTAGGTTTTGATCCATTGACGTAGTGCTTGTCGATTTTGTTCTGGATGTTTGAAACATTACGCAGATATGTATTATTGCAGACTGCTGACAAGCGCCGAGAAGGCAGTACTTCGCCATAACGCTTCCAGGTACGAGTCGAAACCACCGATGGACCACCCGCTCGACGACGCCGCCGATAACTGTAGACAAAGCTGAACTACTGTTTTCTACACATGTTTTTTTCTCCGCTTCTGCTTCCTTTTCCTTTCTCTCTTTTTACTGTTGTACTAACCGCTTTTCCATTCTTGGCCGCATCTACTAACCACCCCATCGCAAATACATAAATGATTAGATAGTCAGGCGTTTCGTCAGCAAGACATTAAAAAACATCCAGAAACAGAAAAGATCGGCAAGAAGGCATCAGTTGAACAATGTTCCACACCCAAATTTCTTATCTTTTCTTGACGACTGATTGAATTAGCTGCTGTCTCTTGCTGAATAGGTGGAGATTCATAAAGGTGAACCGAATCCGTGAGGCGCAAGCCCTGCCTCTCATAAAGGTACTCTTTGTCCAAAATGCGGCTGCTGATCACATCTCTTCTGTGCTTTATCATTAGAATTTGTAACGCTTGTCTTCCAACACAAACTGTCGGTGAGTTAGAAAACATATCGGGTAGCCTTAGTACTATGTAGTAGAGTAGATCTTTATTTTTGACCTCTCAAAAAAGTCAGGATGGGTAATTTAGTCACTACCACTTCCACTACTTCCACTACAACTATTACAGTTACTACAACAACCGAGGCACCATACCGTAAGACCGACGACTTCATCTTCAATCCCTAATAACTTACTAATCTTTTAGCGTGTTCTGTGTGTCCAAAAATTTATAGCTCTGGATGTCTGGGGGGTGGCTCTGACGTCTGTGCGACAGCTGCTCAAGTTGGCATAACTTACACATTAGGCGTTTTGACAGGATACAACTACGGAGATTCTAATACATGCTCGTGAGTTCTTGAAAAAAAAGAAAAAGAGTTTTTTACTTTGCTTATTTGTGTAGTATTGTCTGGCGTTGATTCATGTGCGGAAACTTTATTTATTTCAATTTACGTTTCCGTACAGTCCGTTTCATAAGTAAAGGGCCACCCCTAAAATTGAATATATCGTCTTTCCCCAACAAAATACAAATCCAGGACCTTGAAAATCAAAATCAGCATCACAAATAACCCCCGGAAGACAAATTTGAGAGCAGTGCAAAGGATAGTTAGGGAATGGTGCTGAAATATCTGAAAATGTTGCATCTGTAAGCGTTTTATAAATATAGGGCCACCTCTCTGGAATCCTCTTAAACTGATAAACGTAATCTTGAATGGAGTTTTATGCACCTTTAGGATGTCCAAAAAGACTTTTTGAAAGCATGTGCAATGACCTCGACGCCACCTAAAGCCACTCTCCTAGGTTTAGCCTAATGTTCTGTGTGAAGCTCGGGAGTGGATCCGGGGGACTCCGATCTAGTCAGCACTGTAATATGATTGAATCCATTTATTTTAGTTGGTTTATGTTGCTCGCGAAAACTGAGCGAATTTGTAAAAACAGATGAATTGCCAAGTTTCATCATTTTTGTTGTTTCAGAACTGTCTTCTCGTGTCCCGTCGCAACTACTTCTAAAGTCAAACTGCCGATCACTGGAACAATCACCCCTGGCCCATCTCTCGTGATTGCCACGTGTCAAGAAACTGGGGAAGACGCCGGCACGTGGTATTATGGAATTCCGCCGCTCTCAACGCCGGTCGAAATTGTGGCAACTTCATGTGATGGCATTGTTTCCGGATGATTCACTACATTTTTCGTCTCTGATTCATTTAATATTTGTATATATTGATAATTTGCAACATAAGCGCATATCATGGACATAAATGTCACCTTAACAATAAACTTAATTTTTTTTTCGTTAAAATTTGATCTATGGGCATGTGCGAGATAACGTTCATAATTCTTATAAATCATGATTCCCAGACTGTCTTTCATGGAACGAAACTTGTCGTCAATCATTAGTCATTAGTTCAGACATCAGTAATGTTTCATTTTGTCGATCATTTTGTTCAATAAACTGTTTTAAAGAAGATAAAAGACAATATCAGTAACTGAACGCCAATTAGCTATGAATTGTGAAGAGTCTATGTGAGTAGCAATTCTTAAAAGTGGTTTCCGTACTTTACCTAAAAGTTCCTCGTTTTCCTTCCCAATTTCTACACTGTGAACTGTTATACAGAACACAGATTGCGCGAACATAGGTCAGACTACACACGCTTATCCAATTTATCAAGAGATCAGGAATGGGAGGAGTTTTATTTAAAAGAACACAAACGCACTGTACCTGCCGGCAACAAATTATGATGCTTCAATCTACTATTATTCTGAAATTTTCAGTATTTCTGCTCTACTACGTGCAAAAGTCATTCGGTTGCATTCCCACTCAAAATGTTGATGGTGAGTTAGATGGAATTTGCACAACAACGAATTTGCACGATCGTAGTTTTTTGAATACAACTATGGCATTTCAGTTTATTTATTTTTGTAGTTATTGTAAAGTACTTGCCAGAATTCATTTTTAAAGACTTTATTCAGATTCTGGAGCATTTGGTGGTTCTGCAACAACCACGACGGCAGCTTCAACAACTACGACTACAACAAGCACAACTACGACAACGACAACAATGACTACGACTACTACAGTAACCGAACCTCCTTACCGTAATCTCAAAAGACTTGACAAAGTAGACAACGTGCTTTTTAGCGTGTACGGTTTGCCAAAAAGTATACAGTACCACTTGCTTCGGTACTGGACTTCTTGATTTCTGTCCGACAGCCGCCGAAGTTGGACTCATTTACTTTCTTGGTATTGTTCCTGGATTGTTATTCGGAGATGCCGATACTTGCTCGTGAGACGTTCGATATCCCAAAAAGACTAAATCATCTGTTTCAGTACGGTATTTGCATGTCCGTTGGGGACCACATCTCGAGTGAAATATCCATTGCTCGGAGAAGGACTGGGACCTGCACTGGTCATCGCTTCGTGTCAAGAAACCGGGGCGAATGCAGGCATATGGTATCTCGGCGTTCCACCTTTACCACCCCTTCCTGCTATTGAATTGGTGTCACTGACGTGTCAAGGACTGCTTTCCGGATGATTTATGTAAATTTACTTCAAGAAACTTGTTTGTAGAACTGTGTTCAGTTAATAACGTCTCTAATAAAACAAAATAACTTTTCATTTTCAGTTTCTATATCGGTTTACATATTGTAATGTCAGATTCTGAAACAGTCAGAAATTGGTTCGATTGAACCTCTTTTTCCCAATTGTGTCCACCACCAAATTGTCACTGTTTCTTCTTATTTCTTGTTTCATCTCCCGTTGATCCTCGGTTGATAAGAACAATAGAGTGGATTCGTGCAAATTGAAAGAAGATAGAAAATCGTTTATGGGTTGATAAATCCCGAACTAGCTGATTGTTTGAACTATGTTCTCAATATAAACTTTGTGTTTTCCTCAGGCAGACAGCTAATTCGGTCACTATTTAGTATGGATAAACAAAGTTATAAAGATAGAGAGAATCCTGATTATCCGCCGCTAATCCTTTGTCTGAAGTTGTTTTCTTCGACATGATGCTAATTCAAAACACAATCATTCTCAGCTTCCTCATTGAGTTCCTGGATGCCTGTTTACCGACACAGCATTTAGATGGTATGTACATATATATTTGTAAAGGCGGTCTAATGAGGTGGTGTGTCAACACATACATTTGTTTATTGGTACAATCGTCATTTTTTGACCTGGCACTACTTTTTAGACGATTCCTCTACGCTCTTTAGTTTTCGCTTATTGCGATCAAGAAGGCCCAGATGCCGGATTACGATACTACGGTATTCCACCTCTTCTCTAACTTGTGTAGGAGTTTTACCAAGATGAAAACACTTTGTTTGGGAACACATTTAAAGTAAAATAAACCTTTTTTCTGCTTGAAAAGTTAGTCTGTATAGCTATTAATTCACTATTTCTTCTCGTACTTTTCCTTTCATTGCCCTACGGTCTATGCTTGATGAGAACAAAAGAGTGGATAATTGATAGTTGCGATTTGAAAGAAGATAGAAGAAAATTCGTTAACATCCTGACCAATTCTGGATTCGCTCATCATTTGAACAATGTTCTTAACACAGAAGAAACTTCGTATCTTCTCTTATCAACCAACGAAATCGGTCATTTTATTTGTATGGGTCGGGAAAATTTATAAAGGTGGGCGGCGGACGTGATTGTTGACCAAACGACCCTTCCTGGTGTTGGCATGTCACTCAAAATGCTTGTCCACAACACTTTCCTACTCTGTTTCCTAATTGAGATCCTAGATGCATGCTTACCCACTCAGAATGTGGATAGTGGTGAGTTCTGAGAATAGTCCACAAACAAGCAGTGTTGGGCCACAAAATTTGTCACATCAGATTTTGTTTTGTAATTTTTTTAAATTTTAGTCTGATGCTCAATTTTCTGACCTGACACTACTTATTCAGACAATTCGAATACCCTAACCACTACCACTGCAGTAACCACTACAACCGTGACAACAACTACGACAGCTACAGAAGCACCATTCCGTAAGGACTCGAGTTTTGAAACACTAAATAAGAAGTAACTTTCAGCTTGTACTGTCTGTCCGAAGATCTACGACACAGGGTGCTTAGGACCGGGAACCGGAGATTGGTGTGCTACGGCTGCAGATGTTGGAGTCTCGTACACAATCGGAGCAGTTGCCGCGATCCTTGGATTGAGTTCAAACACTTGCCAGTAAGTAATCCTATCGTTTTCTTCAAAGATGGTCTCTTTTTATAGAACATCGTTCTCCTGCCCACTTGGTACATCTTCAAGGATCATATTTTTCGGTTACGAAATCGTTGGCCCTTCATTAGTCTTTGCGTATTGCGATCAACAGGGTACCAACGCTGGTGTCTGGTACTATGGAATCCCACCACTTATCCCAACAAAAATCAAACTCGCTTCCCTGACGTGTGTAGGAATATTGTCGGGATGAAAATTTAATTATTTTTATTGTTCATTCCCGTTGCCAGCGGAATGAGAATTGTTCAAAACTAATAAGAAACGGATTAATAATATGTATATTTGCTTCAAAATTTGTCAATGAAAATATTAATTTATTCAAAAGGGAACACATTAAGACATCATTCATCGCGAACATTGAAAAGAGATGACAAAGCCCACATCAATAAATTTGCTTTGTCCGGAGTCAATTGTTCGGAAGCATCTTGCTCCTTATCAGAGACCATTGTACTTTCTTTCATGGTTTTTAGTGACAAATCAGTAGCCGAACTTTGGTTTGCGTTCAAAAAAAGGTTCAACGAGGTAGCCAATTGGATTGCGTTTGAATCCGAACTTTCGTCAATCAGGTCAACAAGAGATTCCAAAGAAACATCTGAACTGTTTCTGCTTCCAGGTGACGTCTCTAATTTTTCATTTGAGATCTTGATCTTCCCGTCTGAAAGTGTAAAAAAAAAATAAATCGAATCATTTGTACTTTCGTTTTCAATTACCTTGGTCAGAAGAATTTTGCGCTTTTCTATCCTCAGATAAAAGTTCAGTAGAGATTTCGAAAGCTACCGTGGGCGATTTCTTCTTCAAAAACGGATACTCAATTTCTTTCGGCGGCTCATACGGATGATACGTGTGCCGCAGCTCTCGACGATACTTGGCGCGCCGATTTTGAAACCAAATCTGAAAACAAGATACTATTTTGTTGCTTTTCGGGAAATGATCTCACTTGGACCCTCTCCTCATGTAACTGAATTCTGGTAGCAAGCTCATCTCTGCATAATGCATCCGGATATTGGTTTTCCGCAAAAACTTTCTCCATTTCTTCAACTTGAATGACATCAAAAGTGATGCGGTTCCGCTTCTTCTTCTCTGTTGCGTCGGGGACTTGAGCCACTTGTTTCTTTTTATGACTCTTTTTGCTCACGATCGGAGGGGGACTAATGTACCGTATTCCGCCGAGAAAATCTACCAGAGAAGGAGCTGTTAGTTGCTGAAACCGAAGATCGAGGAAATGTTCTGGTAGAATAAGACGGTATACCTGGAGGCTTTCCATGCTGGGCAGATAAGATGACCTGTAAAATATTTAAATTAAAAGCAGAAAATCGAGAGTGAAGTTTGTGGTAAATAGAAGTGAAGAAGCGAAGCAAAACGGACACAATGAAATGCCAAATGAAAAGTCGGGCAGAAGAGGTAGGCTTATGAAGGGATTAGAAAACCAATAATGTTATTTCGAGAAGTTCTGGCGTCAACGACGCATCCGTGTTGGATAATCTTCGTATCAGCAATATTATTGATGATGGGCTTATTCAGGGAAACTTGGGCACTTCGAAGTAACTAACGTTAACACACTTTAACTATCAAATTTCTGCTATAAACAAATCAAGCGTACTAGTTTTCGAGAGCTCTTTAAAGGAATTATGGTTTGTTCAGCAACTTCTACTGAAAATGAATAAAGTATTTATATACATGCATAATGAAGTCAGTCAGAAACCTATAAAACATGTCAGATCGAGACAAAATTAAGATTAGCCATGTCTGGCAGCCCGATTCCAAGGTACTAATAGAGATTGACGGCATCATTATATAAGCAAATTTGTGGCCGAGAATGAATAACTATCATATTCGTGTCGAGATTGAGCGTGTGTGTGTGTGTGTGTGTGTGTGTGTGTGTGTGTATGCGAGAGTGTGAGTGTGCGTCGCGTGCCGGAATGGAATGGAATGGAATTGACTAGATTGCTCTCAAAACTCGCTAATGTGAGAAATTGAGAGTGGATTGGAAGAGCTTGAAGATTTCTGAGCACACCGGAAAAGAGATGAGAGAAGAAGAAAGAGGAGCTGAAAAGGGAGTAATTTGTGTCGAATGTTGACGATCTCAAAGCTTCGGCTTGTGTCAGGTGTATATGATCACCTTGGGAGAAAAAAAAACGGGTGAGTGGTGTGCTATTAGACAGCGGTGGGAAAAATATAAATTAAAAGGGAGGTCTGAATCAGATGACTTGCTGCACACTTGTGAGAGCCCGGGGAAAATGTTAAAGGATCAGTGACTTGCTTGCATGTGCATTAAAGCGCTCTTTTTTTGGAAATGTCAATCCGCTGGACCTCGACGATTAACATAATCCTCCACGTTTAGGATTCAGTGATTTCTGGATTGCGAATTGTGTCCGAAAAAGTCTCAAAAAGGGGCGCGTTTTGAGCTACGTCTAAATTTTATTGGAAATCCGTAGAACTAGTATGAAAAAAGAGAAAGCTGGAGTCGATCTAATTATGAAAAAAAATGAAATGGAATGACATTTCCACCAAGTTCACTCTGAAAACAAAACATCTGCCATTGCGTGTAGGTGTCATTAGTAGTGTTTTCATGCTCCCTGAAGATGTTCTCATTGTTGTGATAGGATGTTCAAACTCAAATGTTCAAAAATCACGAAAACTTTCTACTTTTGTAGTTTGAATGTGTGCGTCTTCATATGTTCTCGTTAATCGAATCAAAATCAATCATTCTTGACCACACGTAGAAGACGTGAAATTTTGTCATAAAAACCGACGAAATCGGCGTCTAGACTTGATAAGAAAAACGACGCAGAAAGATCAAGCTGGCCTGGGGGTGGCGGCCTCCTAGAGGGCACGATCGGTTCTGAAGGGGAGGCAAAGATGGGTGGTATCATCACAAAAGGCCGAGTCGACCATTCGGCATTGAGACTCATTCATTTGTCACACGTTTCCGTCCTTCGGTAGCCGGCAGCAGTAGCAGTTCTTTTCGCTACAATCATGCACTATGGAAATGAAAATCGTCTTCTAGCCAGGTAATTTTGATCTGAAACCAATTCCCCCGTCTGGAAAGTAACTACAATGGAACTGTTGTATTCGTCGCTTCTTTCCAGCATTATCGACCACGCATCAAAATTCTATGTGCGACTGTCGCGACTCTTCTTCTTCGTCTCTGCAAACCAAGTGCAAGTAAGGAATCTAGAACTCGTGTACTCGGATTGCGGGTCGGTTATCTCCGCCAGACTTATCAGTTTTAACAAGTACTCCGAAGGCCGGGAATGTTGCGCTTTGCTTCTCACTCAAAGCATTTCTCCTGATTTATTGGGGTCAAAAAGCGCAAAAACGAACGGCGGCGCACAAAAGTTGCGGAGAAGGAGACTTTGCGGCAAGTACAAGAGTATCGGGATACGCACCAAAACGTATTACCTACTTTCCTGACCATGTACTTTCTTACTCCGCCTAGTTTATCCGAATATGCAATACAGGACGGTCACAGTATAAAAGCAGAGTTGAAAGCAACCAAAGCCCAGGGCGCTCAGGCCCGTCTTCCCACGGCATACCGTACTCTCAATTTACGCATCGTCGTCTCCCCGAAAACAGATATACTTTTTCACTTGTTTTCGTAAAAATGGCATTATTGCCGATTGGTGTGCCGTAGGAATCGACTACTGTAAGACCGTACATAATTGGATGTTTTTGTGCGGAGCCGCTGGCCCGCCGGCCTCTATATAAGAAAGACATTGTTCTGTGAAAACATATTTTTGAGTCATTCGCTTTTCAACCAACGCAATGCCACTTTCCTGCCAGTTGCCCAACAATTTCGCTCTCTGATTTTTACAGTTGTTTCCTTTGAATTATTTGATTTATTTCAGATGGAGATTCCACAACACTACTGGATCCAGGTACGTGACTGGGCCGCTTTCGCGGTCTCCCATCACGTGGTCATGCTCCTCTACATGCTTCTACTTCGCCACGTCATCCCATGTTTCTTCGTGGCCTTTGCTTGGGAGCACTTCTTCGTTCGAGCCTTCATCTTCCACATCATCTACATCGTCATCTCTTACGTGATTCGTGTCAACAAGTATCCACCAGGACCGCCACCAATGGCCATCCTTGGAAACTCTCCCTTTGTTAGTTTCCTTCAGATCTTACCAGGTCTTACCAGAAATATTTGTTTAGGTTAACGTTCTCACTCCGGAACAGACATTCCTCGAGTACAGAGAGATTTACGGACCGATCTTCACACTTCACCTCTCGCGTACGTTCCACTCCTGCAACTCTTCAAGTATTTTTCATTTTTAGAGCCCACAATCATTCTCGCCGACTACAAATCCATCCACAACGCTCTTGTCGGAAATGGTAAGCAATTAGAAGAGGAAAAGGAAGAAGGAAGAGGAGTTCCGTGCGCGCGAATCGGATAGGGCACCGCGTTCGGGAAAACTGATGTTCTCTCGTTCGGGAGAAATTGCAACATTGCCTAGCGAGTTTTTCTCTCCTTTTTCCCGTCCGCAACATTCATTCAAAGTAGTTCAAGGATGATTCCACTAGAGTGTGTCTCATGATTTACGTTTATCAAACTGTGGAACGTGGAGAAATGCTTCTTTTGTCACACGGGGAACATACAAAAGAGCGACAGGTTTTTTAAATGATAGTGATCATCGTGTCATCACAGGTGGCCCTTAGTTAATTCTGACAATAACGTGACTCATGACCTTTTGCAGGCCACCAAACTAGCGGCCGCTCAAGCGCCGAGTCCTTCGTTCTGTTCACCGGGGATCGCAACGACGGGGACGGAGTCATTCTTGCGATGCGTCAAAAGTGGAAGGATATGCGTCATGAAATCAGCCGTTTCATGAACACTTGGTACGGTACACCGATGGACGAGCTCGTTCTCCACCACACCCACTCATTGGAGCAGGAACTGTTGAAAGTTGCAAAGACTCAGGTAAGTAACCGAATGTTACTTTTTTGTTTTAGTCGCACTCTGTCCCGTTTTAGAGTTTGGTAGATCTCAAGGATCCTCTTGCCGGAGCCATTGCCAATGTCATCCAGCAAATCACAATCGGCCGCAACTACCTCTACCAAGATCAAGAGTTCCAAACCCAACTCAGAGACATTAACGCCGTTGTCAAAGAGGTTCACAAATCGCTAATTTCGGCGTTTCCAATCGGCGTTCTATTTAGATTATGACTGCGGAAGTGTTCTTCGTGAACTGCTACCCGTGGCTGCGCTATCTCCCAGAGGGCATTCTTCGCAAGTGGACGAATTACAAAAAAAGTGGATTTAGACTTCAGCAGTGGTAAGAACCTGTTTCGTTTCTCCTACCACCTACAGTACTCCATTTCAAGGTTCCGCACTCTATTGGAAGAACATCACGTCAACCGCCATCAAGGTGATTTCATGTCACACATGATAGACCTCCAAGAGAAAAAGCAAGATCAGTTCAAGTAATATTTGTAACAAAGGGGACAAAAACAATAAAATGTATATTCAGCGACCTCTCGATTATCTTAACTTGCGGAGACATGTGGACCGGCGGCATGGAGACTACCGTAACCACTCTCAGATGGGGCATCATCTATCTGCTCAACAACCAGGAAGTTCAGGAAAAATGCCACAAGGAACTTGTCTCGGTATATCAGAGGCAAAAAACCAGTGACTAATTTGTTTAAATTCAGGTCTTTGGAAACGATCTTCCGGACATGAGTCAAATGAACCAAACTCCATACGTCAGAGCCACTCTTTCCGAAATTCAACGCCTTGCCAATGTCCTTCCATGGGCTATCCCACACAAGTAAGAAAAAAACCATCTCTCAGAGTTTAGAATCTCTCGGCTTTCAGAACTTTGGAGGAGTGCGAAATCGGAGAACATAAGATCCCCGTGAATACTGAGATTATTCCTGCTCTCGGTGCTGTTCTCTTTGACCCGGACGTTTTCACCAATCCGAAGGAGTTCAAGCCGGAGCGCTTTCTGGATGCCGAGGGAAAGTACCGCGTCATGGAGGAATTCCGTCCGTTCGGACTTGGACCGAGAGTTTGTCTCGGAGAGAGAGTCGCTCGTACTGAACTTTACCTGATCTTCGCTAGTCTCTTCCAAAACTTCCGTTTCTACTTGAACAGAGGTACCTGATCAATAGTGTTCACTATGATTCTAGTTCCCTTTCGTTTTCAGATGATCCAATCCCAGTGGCCGAACGTGTCGTCGGAGGGATCACTGCTCCACCGAAGCCGTACGCGGTTCGCGTCGAGTACCTAAACCAACGAGAGATCAAATAAGCGTCATTTTTAATTCATTTACCCTCCTCTCCGCTTTAACCATACTTATCTCGCTTCTCAAATGCTTTATATACCATCCCGTCATGTCCTCGTAGTTCTAGTCCATACAATACCGCGAATTCCTTTCATGATTCACATAATTCAAGACACCCACCATACATTTATTTGGCGTATACAATAAAAACCTCACATGTTAATGAGTCATCCACGACACCGAAATACTAATTTGAAGGAAATGAAATTAGCTACAGTTTTTGTGAAATGATCACAATCCATTTTGGGACTGATCATAGAGACGGAAAAGTTCACCCCGACCCACTTCGGCTCTATCTCCGACAGAAGTGAGTGCTGCTTCCTTTGATCGAATGTTGCATTGTCGAAAAGTTCAGTGGGAACTAGTTTCGTGTGTCCTTCTCCGTGGCGACAAATGTGTAATGAACTATCATTCACTATCATCTTGCGGTGATCATTGCTTCCTCTAGCAGAAATATACATTTGGAAGAATTTAGCCCTCAAAAGTTCATATTAAACGGGAGACCATCTTGATCGCACGAATGACGATAGTATTTTTTAACATTGGGGGGGTCTGTTAATATGATCAGAACAGTGTTCGTAAGAAGTATGGAATAGAGGCAGGATTCAAAAAAAGAAGAAATACCAAACCGATGAAATCTCATAGGTTTAATGATCCAAACGTGCATGTGACAAGATATTAGGTCAGGAACATACTATTCCTCGAACATATGATCGAAATCACTCGACGTCATCAAGAAGATATCACATTTATCAAACAACTGAGCATGGGTGTAACAAAAAGGCTACATTGGACAATACCCGAAGTATGGGGGAAAAGGCATACCGTCACCAGTCCATGCCAATTTTCAAAAAATGCGTTGTACCCCTGACCGTCAAGGGTCCATGCCAATTTTCAAAAAATGCCTTGTTCCCCTGACCGTCAAGGGTCCATGCCAATTTTCAAAAAATGCCTTGTACCCCTGACCGTCAAGGGTCCATGCCAATTTTCAAAAAATGCCTTGTACCCCTGACCGTCAAGGGTCCATGCCAATTTTCAGGAACATACTATTCCTCGAACATGTGATCAAAATTATTCGACGTCATCAAGAAGATATCACATTTATCAAACAACTGAGCATGGGTGTAATAAAAAGGCAACATTGGAAAATACCCGAAGTATTTTGGAAAAGGCATACGGAAGCGGAGGAACACTTGACAGCTAATGGCTCTATGAAAATAGAACTATACTGGAGAATAAACAATGGTTGGGAAAACTGTACAGAAAACAAAAAAGTGAAATTTTTAGCTGGAGCGAGCAAAGGCAACCGGTCCGTCCTGGTCTTCTGGAAGAGGATAACGAGTGTTGAGTTCGGAAAGAAGATCCGTCACCGTGTTCTCCTGAAAATGCGATACTTAGCCACGTGACTGGAGAGGATAGCTTTGCAAAAACTCGAAAAGTTGTGTGCACAACTGCCGCAATGCTCTTTTGAACTCAGAGAAGAGAACTTACATCAATGAGCACAAATCTCTTCTTATCCTTCGAGAAAAGATAGTCCTCTCCCTTGTAGATGTCGAACCACATGCCGTGGATGTGAAGGCGGCCTAAAAATATGCAAAAACATGAAAATTGTGCAAGACTACGCACCACATTCTAGATATTCCTTTAAAAACTCATGAGAGCAGATGTTAATGAGCTGCTGCAGGACGTTGATCTGAGAAAGTTTGTCTTCCACTGGAAGTCTGTCCATCGGATCGATAATCGCTTCGAACGACTGACTCGGAGAAACTTCCGTCTCGAATTTCATCGACGACGGACCCAGATGAAGACGTTCGTTCAGTCTGAAGCGCACATATGACACTTCAGAATCATCCGACAGGCTGGTACCTCTTCACAGAGTTGAATCCGTTCCTTCTGACCCAATGATCCATCGGCGACGTCACATCAAAGTTCTTCGGGCACTGATGGAGACCGTATAGCGTGTTGATGGCCTGAAACCGTTTGTTATCAGCTGGCGATAATGTTTTTTGCTTGTTTGACTTATTATTTGCAATTTTGAGGAGAGAAATAATTGAGGAGAAGGAAAATAACGACAAACCTTGCAATCTGAGTGTCCGCAAACGACAATATGCCGGATACCTCCTCTTTTGACTGCAAGTTCTAACGCTGCTGGCTCTGTGTTCACGGAAACTTCGGAAAACGCACCTGAAATCCAATTTTTGCTGATTTTCTGCTGATTTATGTTTGGCTGACCGTAATTTGGAGCGTCTGGAATCATGTTTCCGGCGTTTCGAACGACGAACATGTCTCCGACCTGCGATTGAGTGAATCGAGTTGGAAGCATTCTCGAGTCCATGCAAGTGAACATGACGGCTGTTGGCTGAAAATTTATCCATTAAAAATTAGCAAATTTGTGACAAAACTCACATTCGGATTGTTTTTGATTTCCTCGAACTGCTTGACAAGGTCCTTCCGGATGGTGTTGCGGAATTGTATCACTCCTCGCAGGATTTTGTTCATTTTAACTGAAAATATGTAGTGATCTCTGGCAAAGAAATCGGCGAAAGGTTCGTAAAGGTGGCCGATGGTATGACAATACCACAGAAAAAATAGTGAAGAACAAACAAGGCGAATCGACGCAAGACTGACAAGCGCTGATAAATGAAAATAGTTGTCGGAAAGCAATTTGAAAAAAAAACGTTTCTCATGGAGATGGTAACATCGAAAGATCGGAGGTTTTAAAGGGAAAGTGTAAAAATCAGACTGACGTTACAACGGGCCCCGATGGGTGACCGCTGCAAACTTTCGTCGAGCGTATGTTGCAGAGAACAATCGCACTCGTGCTTGGAATCGATAAACACATAAAATCCAATGAACAACCAGGTATCATCGATCGCGCAACACAAAAGATCACGTTATAAACAGTGAAGTTTATGAACTATTCATACATGTTTGCTGCACAACATTTAGAGTTACCCTGAAAAGGAGCGAGTATTTGACAAAAAACCTAGAGAAACATGTGTTTTTGAATGAATCTAGTCTTGGTAGACGGTGCGAGCAGTTTTGTTCATCGCCTCTTCAACGAACGAATCGATCGGATGGACAATGAACGGGATCGTGGCAAGACCGAGACACGTGACAGTCCATTTCCGCAGATTGGTGGGCAGTTTGGTAGATCTGAAGAAGATCAATTAAAACCCTAGAAGACTGGTAGAGTTTACTTTTGAAGCAGCATATTCGTGAAGAAGCAAAAGCGATTGATGGTGAATCCCGGAATGAGCACGGAGGCAAAAGTCTGTAACCAAATTTGATTTTTTAGAATGATAATGGAACTGTGCCTGCCATAGAACCGTGTCCACCGCTGCAATCGCCACTTTTTTGGTTTTTTCCTCATCATTCACATGACTTTTCTGAAAAAAGCATTGATTTTACAGTTTTCCAGAATTCCAACAGGCCAGGCCGGGCCGAACGTGAAATGTTCAACTTTGTTGAAAAATTTTGAAAAAAAATTGGACTCTATCTGACTAATCAGATTCTAAAGGCAGGATCCAAGGTCAACTTACAGGTTTCATAATAATACATATACAGGTTTCACGAACCGCCACCGGTCCATGCCAATTTTCAAAAAATGCGTTGTACCCGTGACCGTCAAGGCTCCATGCCAATTTTCAAAAAACATTTTTTATTTGCGGAAGACCCTCGACAACGGTCCGAGCAGCATTACCAGTGATTCTTTGTATCCTTTGTCGATCGAATCGGCGGCCACATATCCGAAGGCAACGACGTACGAAAATTTGACGACTACCGGTTTGACGAGCGATCGAAACGCTTCTCCGACCTCATTGGCATAACCTGAAGTGATTTTTCATTTGTGCCGCCTTAAGACTGTCTTTGTCACCCAAATATCTGACAGGCGTGTCGCGAAATATATCCTTCTGATTACTACTTTCTGATGGCGACATCTGCAATTCTAAATTGTGAGAGCACCTGAAAAAAGAGACGAAAAATGGCATAGATACGTGAAGGTGAACAACACCGGACAAGAAATCAACAAAATCAAGTGCATTTTCTGTTTTCACTGAAATAAATTATGAAGACCCGTCAAAAGAGAGTCAAGAAGACGTCGATATGTATGTACACAAATACGGCGTCGTGTTGATTATTTGAGAAGACCGCGGAAGACCGTGTTTATTCCGTATGGAATTGTGAGCATTATTCGGCCTTCTACCAGTCCAATTGCAATCCCTGAAACAAAAATTGTTTAGTGGAAACAATTTCCAAAGGCATTTGGCTTTTCTCGGGGCTGTGGCGAGGGTTGATGTCAAAATTTGGTCGAAGAGGCGAAAAATGGGATAAATTCTTGCTCCAGGCCGTCAGAATTGACTATTATACCTGTCGAAAGCTGATTTAAACCAGTTTTTCAGTGTTTACAAAATTTCGGCTTAATACTGATAAATTCGGGTTTGATATGTGGTCCTACAGAAGAACGTCATCAAAAATCCAGTATTCTCTTAGCGAAGTCTTACCGGCAACAACGTCAGTAATGTAGTGTCTGCCTAAAGCAACTCTTGACAATCCGACGACCAGTGGCAGGGGAATGAGTGGAATGGCGTAGAGCGGCGCGAAGTTGTACCTGAAAACTATGATTTTCCGAGAATTTTGACCATTTCTCGCCCACATCATTACGACGAGCATCGCGGCACGAGAGGAATGTCCGGACGGAAAGGAGTAGACGTCTACAGTGTGTTCCAGGAACTGAAAAACAGTTCTGTTTGACTGAACGCTCGTAGAATCTTGAGAAACCTGCGAATAGCTCTTGATGGGCCGCTCACGAACAAACTGGAACTTTGTGATGGCGATGAGGATCAGATCAAAGTACAATCCTGAAATCCACGTTTACCACATCATTGGGTATCTTTTGACGCACCAATGTTCAAAACAACAAGTCCGTATTGAGTCGTTTCGCTGAAATCTTTGCCGTACGCGACAATCAACGCAAGTGATGCGAACACGAACCACGGGAAGCCGTGGATCTGAACTGATGCAGTTTTTTTATTGAACTTTGATATAAAATGATCTTACCAGCCATTCAATCCAATTGCACGTCGTTTGATATTTGTTCCGATCGTACAAAAGCTTGGAATACGTCTTGTCCGCCTCGAGGCCCCAGTGAATCACTGAAACCATGGTAATCTGGGCAAAATTTGCTATAAAAAAAACTTACATCGCTCCATCGAAAGTATTTGAGTGATTTCGCAATAAAAAATAGCGAAAATCAGCAATGACGTCGACTAACTCATCGAAAAACGGGTAGAAAACAACAAAAACACACTTGTCCGAGAGGAGTCCGCAGCGTGATTTCTAGTCCCCGGCCGCGAACCATCCGACGGCCACACGCAAGCGAAACCAAGAAAAGACAGCGACTGCCATGTATGTCATTAGTCTTGCTGTCGGAGAGAAACAGCAGCTGCTTGGTTGAGTAGTAGTGTGCGGTGCTTCGGCCCTCGTACTCTCTGGTTCAATCCCGCCGCGGTCTGAATGGTGATGCCTCGGCCCATCCTCTTCAGATCGTGATGTTAGGTGTGCCTCGGCCCCGAAAACAACCCTGGTGTGCTTCGGCCCCGCTTGAAAGCGATGATTCGTCATCGTTTTGCATTTTTCAATAGATTTCTGAACAAAAAGCGTCCTTTGCGTTTTCGTTAAGACGTTTTTCATTTTAATTTTCCTCCAACCAAAGACAACGCGTTAAATGCTACGATATGAAAACGTTTTTTATGGACTACCCGATGAATAGGTAAATTGGGTTTATTATATTAGCATTGGATGGAGTTCACAGTGGACGATTGGTGGTTCTGAAGTTTGGCGACGCTCAAAACGGTCCGAGCCACTTTCTGAGGGTTTCGCTTCGAAATGATGTCTATTTGCGAGCACAACGTGTTCTGAAAGAATAAAATGACGAAATTCAGACAAACTACGATTAAAATAACCTCCGGAACTCCAATTTTCTTGCAGTACTGAAGAAATTTGTCGACGTTCAGCTTGGAGCGAGTAGAAGCGACCGACTGAAACGGGAAAATCAATAAATGCACAAAATTTCAATCAATGCTCACCGCTTCGGCCGGCGAGACGATAGATATCGCGTTTGGCTGCAATTTGTTGATGAACTTGCACAATTCCAGACCATCCGACAGCTGAACGCTGAAACTGATGTCTCCTTTGCTCAGCGCAAAAGTCGGTCCGAGTTTCTCTCTCATCAGCTTTCTTGCGCTCTCCACGTCGTTAATGGTCGGCGAACGCTGTCCTGTTTCTGAAAAATAGTTTGTATGACGACGGAAAAGTAGAATAACTCACTGCTCAAGTTGGAGATGCTCGAAGTGACCGGCTTGCTAACATTCTTCACCGAAGGCGGTTCTTCCGAACGACGAGTCGCTGCCGACGCGAACTTGGTACGAGAAACCGGGTCCACTTTCATCGACATCTCCTTCTTGGTGCTCACGGTCGTAGGCATCGTGTTTGGACGGCGGACAGTGCTAATTCTCTGGAATACCAAGAGTTCGAAGGAGTGATTCAGCAGAAAAACTGTACCGATTGGGTGTTCCCGTTGATAACAGCGGTCGGACGAACGGGTTGCTTCACCATCGGCGCCACTTTCGAAATCGGTTTCTTCGCTGAAAGAAAGAATTTTCCGATGTATTCTGTATTCACTCACTCATTCCGGGACTCGATATGTTTGTCATGTTGGCCTTGACCGTTCCGTGATTGCTGTTGTTGTTCTGCTCGTCGGGCGTGCTCGAATTTTCTGGAAAAACTGAATTTCAGACAAGTCTTAATCAACTAACGTAAAACCCTACCTTTTCCAGCATGAACATGAGGCAACTGAGAGGGAACAGACGAAATCTTATTGTGAACAATCTGTACATTGTGTGGTTTCGCATGTACGGTATGGATTGCTTTGGTCTCGACTAATTCCTGAAAGTTTGCATGTTATCAGAAGATGCTTTGAAACGGTTGGCACACGTGGCAACTAGTGTCTAATACTGAAAAATACGAATATTTTGTAGTGGCATGCACAATATTGTCGAGTTGACGAGAATAATCAGGCACCATTGGGTGGAGAAACGCTCTAAAAGAGGTACCGGCAATGACGACACGGAAAGAGAGTTAAAACGGATAAACAGGTGGTAAGTGATTGAAAATAAACCTTTGTTAATTGTCGAGATTCAGAGAAATGTCGTGAGGACCAGAAAAAGGTGATTTTTAAAAGCTTTTGTTAATTAGCTGACAAAAGCTGTCTAAACACAACCTCCAGCGGTTGATACCAAAAACTTACTTTCGGTCGATGGTTAAGATGTCCGTTCTCGGATTTGATGTCATGATGATAAGGTTTGGCAGGGGCGGAATTGTTACGCGCGGCTCTGCAAGCGATTAGTGGAAAAGACAGTTCATTGGGAGTAAGCCCGAAAAGGAAAGGACACCAGGTTATGGTAGCCGGAAAGAAAAGAACCCGTTTGACAGATTAGCTTGAATATGAGTTGTTTCCCTCCTGTTCTCATAAAATGAATGCTCAGAGCACTTTAGGAGCATGAGCTCATTACTCATCAAACAGATGATCGAAATGTCAACCCAACCCTTCGGCACACGCACCAGCGAGGGATTTCTTGGGATTTTGAAGAAGGATGAGGACCCTTCTCCGGATAATTACCTCGGATCGTTGTGCGGTGCATGCTTTTCGGCCACAATCGACATCAGCGTGTGATGCTCGTGCGAGAGGCCATCCTGCGAGCCGCGCGAGCCGAACGAGCTGCCAGATGTTCTGCCGTCGATCCACTTGAATATGTGCACGATTCCCTGCAAATTGGTTGTTGGCCGACAAAAATTGATGACGAAGACCACAAATGCAATTCATTTTCTTCTCCTCACCCGATTGACAATCTCCATCGGCGGACTGCGCATTGGATTACAATCGAGCTGCAGGTTGCGCAAATTGGTCATTTTGACAAAGTCGAGCGGCAAGAATGACATATTGTTCTGTGCAAGATCTAACGTCCTCAGCTCCAACGAGCACATTTCTGAAAACGGAAAACGTCGATTTTTCTAAATTTTTCTCTGATACCGGATGGAAAGTCCTCGATCTTGTTTTTGGAGATCTTCAGCACTCTCAAAGCTTTCAGATGTTTGAGCTGGGATTGCAAGCGGTGCAATTGGTTGCTCGAAAAGTCCAGATACGCGAGCGTCGGAGCCAGGCGTCTGATCCCTTCCGGAATACTCGTAATTTTATTACCGGAACAAAGGAGGGCGGTGAGCGGCAGATCAAAAAGGCCGTCTGGCAAAACAGAGATCTCGTTGTGGCTGAAAAAAGAGGCATGTTTTGTAGTCAAAAAAGTAGAAAACCAACCTGAAATCCACATATGTCAGCTGATCAAGATTACATATACACGTAGGGACTTTTCGGAATCGATTTGAACTGGCAATAAATGAGATAAGACAGTCGAAAGAGGAGAAATCGTCGGGAAGGGTGGTCAGGTCATTGTCGTCGAGGTCTGAAATTGAATAATTACGTTTCCAATCCATTATACACTGGCCAGGTGGTAGCTTGATCATTATTCAATGTGTCAGAGTCTGTGAGCCCCCGTTAGTATTGCTGTTCAGCCTCATTATTTGGACGGCGAGCGCTTCCTGATCGAATTTGTCGAGTTGAGCTCTCTCACACAACCGAGTAAGGTAAACAATCTTCCGGTGGCCAACAAACAAGTCATTTTCGTTTTTCTCACCTGACTCCTCGGCGTGTCAACAAAAACATGACACTCCTTGATTTCTGGCAGAGGAAAAGCAGACTTACCAATGAACACAATGTCCTGGAGTTCAATATTTGAGCAGGCGTGGACGGGAAACTCGGAGAGGTGCATGTCACTGAGGACCAGACGTCCCGTTCCCTCGGCAACTTTGATACGACCCTCGACGGTCGGACCGTATTCTGGGATCTGAAAACGAAAACGAGATTCTATGGAGAATAAGAACTGATGGATAAGCCCTTTTTGTCATTATTCATTCCCCCACTCTTTTTTTGAACTCTCCAGTCTTTTCCGCTCAGTGGTTTCGGCTATTTTTACACTTGGCAGGCCGAAAAAACGACGCCATTCGAAAGGCGAAGCGAATTTGCGGTCGGATTTATGAGCTTGTCACTAGTACAATATTACACAACATCCTTCTCCGCTACAAACGAGTGTCAGGCGGTTGGATAATTGGGAAACACGGCAAAACATCCAGCCAAACAATTTTGGGAAATGAATAATTTAGGGCGCCGCGTCGCAATTACCACAGAATACTCACTTGTTCAAAGTGGAGCGATCCGGTGGATGTCGACGATCTGCTGACTGACGGTTCCGATGAGTAGTGGTCCGAAATGGGGCGATGCTTGGAACCGGTCATCACTTGGTTCGTCGCATCGCTCTTCTTTTTGCGTTTACCCGGCCAGAGCATGTTCCTGCAAGGATTACGGTGGTTATGAGCCGAGAAAAGAAAAAAGCATATAAAAAGGGAAAAAAAGGCGGAGACTGGAGAGCCAAATGGAGAACGGATATGAAATTGGCTGGTGTCGTTGACAATCGGGAAACACATAAAACATTTCAGCTATAATTGTAGATTGACGTGAACGCACATACATGCTCAAAAAACGGAGGGAAATGGAGCCAGAACACAAAGGATTATGGAGGGAGATTTGGAAAAAAAGTGCAAGGGAAGAAAGTGCAGAGTGGATTATAAACAATTTGGTTGGAAGCTTTGAAGCTTCTAGCTTCTAGCCGAGCACTTTGATTTATGAACGAGACCCCCACAATTTCAGGCTTCAACGCATCGTAAAGCATTCGGGTTCGAATTGAATTTTGGCGGGAAAAATCGCACTGGAGGAGCTGTGTCGTTTCTCTAATTCTCTCCGAAACACATTTGTCACAAAAATGGCACTGTTGCAAGACGTAGGGTGCGCGATTCAACGAGTCATTTACTGTACTGCTGACACTAACAGATGGGCAACGGAAGGGACAAGAATGGAAAAGTGGGAGGGGGGAGGAGGGAGAAGAAGAGAGAGGGAGAAGAAGAGACTGCAATTAATTGATGGCCCTTGTACTTGCCCAGATCACCATTGCACACAGCTTGTCTCATGCATTAAAAACCAAAAACAGCTGAAATGTGACACTAGGACGGGCATGTGGTGGAGAAGCGGTAGAAGTAGAAGAAGAAAGTATTGGTGCGGGCTACGAGCGGACACAAGGAGAAGGAGGGGAAAAAGAAGATGGCGACGAGAGGAAGAGCGGCAAAGGAAGCGAAACATTTGAAATTAGATAATGGACTTTGTGTAAGACAAGCAAAGTGGGGGACACACGTTTGCAGAACTTTTGGTTCTTTGGATTTTTTCAAGAAAATGCAAAAAGCGCGCAGCAAAGCTCCTAAAATTGGGTGTCAATGTTGCCATTAGCCACTTTTGAACAAGTTTTTGGACCGCGAGCCTGTCGAGCCGGAGAAAGAGCGAGTACCGACCGTTATCGAACACGAATGTTGATAACAAGCACCAGCGTTCCTTTTGATGCGTAATACGTGGCGGAGGGCCCAAGTGATTCACACTGTAGGCGGGGAATTACAATCAGAACGAATAAACCAAAACAACGAACTATAAGTCGAAAAAGCGCGTTTGTTTGTGAAGAGGACCAAAATACCGACGGATGAATTGTTTTGGTCGTACCTTCAGTGCGGAGAACAACAATCGCAACATGGCGCGACGAGTAAAGCTCAAATTCAAACATTGCGTGCCGCCGACTTCTTCAGGAATTCGGACAAGTCTCAGAGGAGGAGAAAGAGGAAGCTGGCGAAAAAGAGGCGGAGTTCGTGAAAAAGGCACACCTTGTCGGGGGGAAGGGGCTCCGTAAATAACATTCGAATGTGATTAGGTACTCTTGATAACTCCCACAAGTTTTGAGCAGGCTCCAGTGGCTTTCTCTCCAATTTCATCTGTTTGTGCTGATCACGGAGAACATGCAAATGATGTGCTTCGTAAAACATGCCAATTTTAAATCAGAGGTCTTTTTTTTTTGCTTTTCCGCGCGAGCTCAAGAGTTTGCAAGATTTTTACTTTTATGCAAAGTCATGTTAGTCCGACTAGAGGACCCAGACCTTGCTAAGAGGGCGCGCCGTAAATAAATGGGTCGGGAATTTTGATTAAGCAAAAAAAATGCGTTTTTGGTGTGGAAGGACATCGACGGGATGCGGTTTCAAGGGCGGGGATTGATTGGAAAAGTGTATGTGTATGTGGCAGGGTGAAGTGGGGGCAGATGTTCATAAAGGGTTCGAGGTGAGAGAAGAAGGGGAGGGAGGAAGAGAAAGAGAGAGAGAGAGGTTGCGACAAATCTCTGTATGAGATGGGACGGGAGCGGCGGCCCTTTTGCAAATGGAAAACAAGAATGGGAACGTCATTTTGGGAGCATTTCGGATTGCTGCTGCAGGCACCGACCAATATAATATGCAGGCGCGACAAGGGGATAGGCAAGAGGGAGGGGGGATGCGCTTGCTTCTCCTCACTTCTCACACCTTCGTAATCATAATATAATCCCATCCTCTCAAGAAAGAAGCGGCGGTGGAACGAGAAGAAGGCGGGATGGAAACAGAAAATTACACATGCAAAGAAGTGAACAGCAAGAAATGAAGTGGAATTCGGAGACGAATGAAGCATGTGTTCGGCGGCATAACCGAGATTATTAATGGCAAAAAACGGGAGGGAAGGAGTCCGCTAGGCTGGAGGGACGCTTTGTTTTTCTTTGCGAAGTGGCCGAAAATTCGAAAAATGAGTCATCTGAGTGAGAACGCTGTGCCCCGGCCCAACCCGACATGCTCCAACCTGATCCGAAAATGTTCCAAAAATTTGAAAAAATTACAAAAATTGTTCAACACTGTCAGCCTCTTTTAGACGTGTTTTTCTTTTTTTTTGCAAAAAGTTATGTAAAAATCCATCTAGAAACCCGGTTGATCACCCATGGAGTACCAAATATAGGCATGTTTAGTCGTGATCCCCGCACACAGCACGTGACTTATCCCAAAAACAAAAAGAATATCGAAGCTATTGGGCCGATGAATTGTCGAAAGAGTCACAAGAATATCTACCGAAAAATCGAAAAATGAATCATAGGGGCGGGTCGGATTTATTGGTTTGGTAGAGAAAAAGAGAAGCAGGCACGTGATGACTCGTCAGGAAATGTTTTGTTTCAACGCGTTGTCGATGACTGTACCGCATACGCATCTAGAATTTTCTGAGAATTGGCGAAAACAAGCGACGAGGGACCGAGAAAGCTGATATCTGGGGCGTGGAAAGGAAAGAAAAAGTCGGATATGCAAATCAGGCCACCCCTAACAAATTCGAAGTCATAGTCATGGTTATTCATGAGAAAGATCAGGTAACCGCGGACTGAATGGATGGGCAGGACAAGTACAAAACCGCCGACCGTTTTCGTTTGCACGTATTATGCATGTCAGCCATTTTGCGTCTCGTTTGCTACATAATCGAATAACTGGTATTTAGAGGTATACATTTACATGCCCTGAGCTGAGCTATTTGAACCTGAAAAACTCGAATTCAAATTCAAAATGCGCAATTTTCGAATTATAGGAAAAACTAGAAGAGAGTTACCTACCCCTGAAGATGTAATGAGGTCAATTTTTTTGGAGAGAGCGAACGAGATGTTGTATGGGAGGCACGCAGACTCACAATGTCGTTTCGGAAGGCACATAAAGAAACAATTGGACGGACTGACTCGAGTTGTCGGGGTCGGTGGAGGCCGAGTGACGGAGACCCGGGGAGAAGACGGGAAGGAGAAGAGGAAGGAGGTGAGAAGATAAAGTGATGCCTTTTCCCCCCGACAATTTGTCATCAGAGCTCACTATTTTTTGGGGGGTGAGAAGGGAAGATGGAAGCAACAGGTTCTACTCCCAACGACAATTCTATACTAAACCGCCACCGCCACGCGGCTATTGTCCGCCCAACGGACAGAGCTGTCAGGGATAGTTTGGCGGCGACTGGCCGAAATGAGGAAAAACGTCTGCGACTGGTCAAATATTTACCCTCATTTATTTTCAAAACCGAAAAAAAGGTCAGGAACACAACATAACAAGTGTTTAGGAAATTGGGCACCAGGAAAAAGAACACATGTTGCTGTGAAACGTTTCGTTTAGTGAAGCCGAGGAGGATACATGAGTCATAAAAAAAGTTGGGAAGGTGGGGATTCCTTTTCTTTTTCTCTTTTTCTCGCAGATCGGATCTCTTTAAGAACTTTTCACAATCTAAAATCTTCTAAGGGAATATGAGGAGGAAGCTGGATGGAAAAGGTTGTATAGAAAGTATATTATTTATCGGCGAATGTTATATACTGAATATTAAACGAATGAATTAATGACGCCGCTGCCGGGATTACACTTTCTCTGGTGGTATGAAAATGAAAGAGGAGAAGTCAAAAAAAAAGTTTCGACCACGGAAGGACTCGAACTTACAACCTTGTGCTCCTCCGCGCCGTTTTCTCTTTCCTTGTCGCAACAGTCAAGGCGCAAAAATGACTGGGTAAAATGGCGAGAGCTGGCCGCCATGCAGAGACGCAGACGGTACTGTATTGGATTGGCATGGTGCCAAAGTTTGGGAAAGGGTGGCGGCACCTTCTAAAGCTTGGGAAAGGAAAACAAGAAGGAAAACAAGAGGATCTTGAGAGAGGGAAAGTGCGAAAGCGGAAACTTTCAAATTTCCCGTCTTTGAGGAAGGGGAACGCCCTTGAAAATGAATTTTCTTTCATTAGAAATGCAGAAAAGTACAAAGAGTACGGAACCACTCAACATTTTTCAAAAAATAGAACCGAGAAGAGGGAAAAGGGCCGAGTATCAAAAGAGTCACATTATGCATTCTTCACAAAAGCGCACACACGCGTACACCTCTTTTTGTGCTCCTCCTCAGTGTGTTCTAAATACGATTTGGATGAGATGGCGAAAAAAACGGGACAAGGAGACAAAATAAAAGTAAAGTTTTTTATGGGAAATGCATAGTGCCCGCGGCAAACTTGGGGTCCCTCATTCGGATGTAAGTCCGGAAATAATGGGACACCGCCTGCAAATGGAAGTTCTGAGCACGGATAGGAGGAGACGAGCGGCTTTTTGCAGAAAACGACTGCCAAACAACTCTGAGAATTTGGAGATTACTTTTGCGCTTTCAAACGATCGAAGATGAAACATGCGGATCGAATTACATGATACTACGGAAGAAAAGAAAAAGTCACGGAAGAGCGATTGGTTTGGAGAAAAAATGGGAAACAACCTCTTGATCTGGGCCTATACATTGATGAATTAAAGATGTGGGCAAGCCTTAGTAGTCGGAACAGGCTTTGCATGTTTCACACATTGGATAACAAACGAACTCATCAACTTGAGAGGCTTTGTGCCTTTCCCAAGGACGTCGCCGTATTCAGAATTCTTAATGTTCCCTGGAGCATTCCGAATATGCTAATGCATTACGAGATGAAGGCGTCAGATAATAATACGCGATGATTTTATGGCGCTAGCGGGGAGCAACATCAAAGAAGGTTGCGGATGTCTCGAGACTGGCAAACATTTGGGGCGTCGGCGGCCCAACCGTAAAACGTCTCGAAACAGATGTCAAAGGTCTCGCTTTTGACTTGGCACGAGGGCCGAAAAAAACTTTCGAGTGCTTCACAACTTTACGTAAAACTGTCATGTAAACATTTGTGCAAGCCATCGGCACCGTTTTTCTGTACGAGCACGAAAAAAAACACATGTACAAAGGACGAGTCGCGCGGCGCCGCCATGGGTGCAACACAATCTGCGGTCACACCCAAGGGACCACCATCATCCAAAACGCGCCAATTTTTGAGCTGGTCAGGGACGACATGTACATGTTTGCACAATATCAAAGAGCCGCACTGCAGGATTGTGGCTCTGCACAGCCGAGTCCATTGTCCACCTCTCGCGAATGCTTTGTTATGAATCATTAGAAACGGCGAGGTGTCAAATTTTGTGGCAGCAGAAAGAGGAAAAAGTGCGGTGGCTGGCTAAAAGCGATGATGTGCATGGCTTTTGTACTTCTCAAGTGGCTTGAGGTGACAACGAAAAAAGAGCGAACATGTGCCCCGTTTCCCGCTCTTAGGTCATAACTCAAATTCCTAACTGCAGGAAACGATCATTTAGAGGAGATGGGGGAACGAAAAGAACGGAAATCCCTTCGGCAGAGTAGATTTACTACCAACCACGACCTTCCGTGTGCTTTTGTCGGTCTAAGAACGAAAAAGGAGCGCGGACCGATGCATTGTACTGCGAGGCGACGACCAGTCGGAGCCGCGTAATAACACCGACCATAACATTCAAGTACCATAAAGCATACGGCTAGAGATACAGAGGATTGGGGATGAGAAACGGAAAAACAAGAACGATAGTTGGTTTCAAACTGTTGAGAGTAAGAGTGCATGAGAGTGTAGGAGTGAGTGCGCGCGCCCGTGTGTGTTTGCGCACAAAAAGTGCCTCGCGGAGGTGTTTTGATGAGACAACGTGCCGTGCCCACGGTTTAGTTCACTTCTCTGGCGCCAGTATAAATAGGTGAATTGAACCGAACAAAGAGGCAGTGAGTGAGAGAAAGAGAGAGAGAGAGAGAGAGAGAGAGAGAGAGAGAGAGAGAGGTATACTGGCAGTTTTTTGTAAATGGGACAATTATGAGAAGGTTCCTGAACCCTCGCTAATCCATGGATTACCGCGTTACCAGGTGTTGTAGTGTGTTCATCCAAAAAATGTATTCATCTCCTCCCCACCTTGAAAACTCATTTTTATTATCCGAGTAAAGAAGAAAAAGTGATCGAGAGAGAGAGGAGAAGAAGATATAAAAGATAAGAAGAAAGATGAATGGGGATGTTTTGGAAGGAGAAGCGCCGAACGCCCGTTCTAGTACAACGAGAGAAACGTGCACGCGCAAAAACAGTGTGCGGAAAGAGCCCCGAAGAGACGACAGCTGGTCTCCCCTTCCGATCCATTGGGCCGACCGACGGAGACGTTTTTCGAGGGCCTTTCTTTCTGCTTAGCAAGAGCCCGCCGCAATTATCGATCCACTGGTACGGAGTGTAATAGGGTTGGGACGGCGTGCGGGGAACACCAGAAGCAATGACAAGTTAGAATGATAGATGCTTTCTTTTGGTTGAATTATTTTATTTTTGACATTTCTTGCTTGACAGCAAGCGAACATACTAACAGAATAAAAGAGTAGCGTCGGGAGGAATGGAATGGCAGACGTCAGTCGTCACTTAGGCACCTACTTTACAACAGGTTGCAAATTGCTTTCCAATAGGTATCACCTGGCACGAGAACTCATGAGGAAATAAAAACTTGTAAAAACTTGCCGCAACACTTGTTGACATCACATCTCCCTGAAGAAAAAAAGGGGCAAGGGACAACAAAAAGAGACGTTCATTATGCTTGACCACGGGAAAACTCCGCCAATATTTCTTGTTTATGAGTGGTAGCGGCGCAGTCAACGAGATATTTGTAAAAGTGGTGATGAAAACGGAAGATCTTTTTTGCAAACAGCGGAAAAACCGATTAGTGTTCTTGCCGGACACTCAAATGGCTTTTCACTCGAAATGATACTTTTCCACGGCCCTTCAGCGTTTCTTTACTGAACGAGCACTCAAAATGAGGGATGCGAATGAGAGATGAAGAAGGGAAAGAAGAAGAAGAACGAGAAAGAAAAGCGAATATTTATTCAAGCAAGAAGCAACATTTGGCATCAAAGCTGGGTTTATAACAGTTTTAGGTGCGCTTTATGGCCAGACAATAACGGGAATCTTGTTCGTTTTGTTCAGGGATGTATTGTGTGATTACTGACGCCCAACGGCTTATTTTTAATGTCGAATTCCCAGAGAATCAGGAAATAGGTAAGAATAGCCGAGAATAACTGGAAAAACGTTGAAATTCTGAGAACGTTCTACTTGTAATTACCGAAAGAAGAATAGAGCGGTCCATGTAGAAGTAGTTGCAAGCAGAGAGAGTCAGTTTGGTCGAGTGGATTTGGAATGTGAAGAAAGTCATTTGAGCCTGAATCCTTTTCTTTAATATGTCTTGAAAACGCAAGATTACGAGAACAGTCAGATCCCTCTCCTCATGGAATGTCTCGTGGTACATGCGGAACGACGAGGCAACCAGACGTTCTCCCTGAAATAGATAATCATATCGTTGATTCTGTTAAGAGCAATTACATCTTCGTGAATCATAAAAGCCGGAATGCTGAACAACAACAGGACGAGAATGGCGTTGATGATCCAAATGACGATTGAAACAATCTCGGACCAGCAGATCTGCAAGTTCTGAAAAAGTTGTCTGAAACCGACTGCGCGTACAACCAACCGATTGAGAACTCATGACGACAAACATCAGGAAGCAGAAGATTGGAATGCAAACTCCGTAAGCGTAGAACAAAGCAAATGAGTAGTACTCCTCGATTACCGATTTTCCGTTGAAAATGCGCTGATAACTGATCTGGCAGTCATGAATCTTTTGGAGGGAGGTCTCGGGAAGCGGGCACTCGTCTTGTTCTTCCGGGACCATGTCGTTGATCATGTGTTTGATGGAACGACGGATGACCGAACAATGTTGGTAGAACAGAATGGCGAGGGCGGAAATAGCAGAGCGAGAGACAAAGAGCTGAACATTCGGAACGTTCAAGAATAGGTGTTGGTTAAGTTACCGCGTAGGAGTCAAGGAGAACACAGAAAATGGTCTCTGAGCTCAGGTTGGGAGTTCCGACAATGTACAGAATGTAACCCCATTTGGACACTGAAACAGTGAGGCTAATGTAAATCTTATATTTTGCCTATAACTTACGAGCATAGGTAGCAGCCATGATGAGAGCAAGAACGGCACTGATAACCGCCAGGAAGGTATTGAAAATGAATTGGCGGCGTTCAGATTCCTTAGAGCGGATGTTCAAAGAAAATTGGCAAAGAATCTGAAAGCAAAACTCCGGAACTTTAACTTCTTCCTATTTTGCAATTCCCTATACCTTTAGTGGCTTCAGGCGTTTCCCGCCCAGAGTATAAAGTTGTCCGGAAGCCAAAAGTCCACTAAAACAGATCATTTTGTCATCATTCTCCATATGTTCAGTAGTACCTCAACATTATCAATGCATTGCAAAGGGTGATCAAAGATCTCGGGTTGGCGAAGAATTCCTCGACACTTTCGCGAGTTCCGTTTGGTCTCACACCAATCTGATTGAATTTCCTGATGGTGGTGAACAACTAAAACGGCAAGTCTCATTTAAAGTCTAATTTCCTTACTCACCAAAAGACAGAACACAAGCCAGCTGTAGACGCGGAACAGGAAAGAGTTATTTGGACGAATCGACTGGTTCAGGCCGAGAATGAGCAGAAGATAGTAGATCGGGTAGAGAGTACGGTCGCAGATGGCCCATTTGTTGCGGCTCGACAAGATCTTGGCGATCATGCTCTTTTTCGCTAAAATTTTATGTGACTTCATTATCAGGCGCAACCCTTAGTGCGGAAGATTCTGTGAAGCGCGAACTTTTTTTTAGAATCTCGTCACAAGGGCGGGGATCTTTGAGACGAAAAACTAAGAGAGACTAAAACTACACAATATTTTAATTGCGGCTTATTTAAAGTCCAGTTTAGACACGCAGTCAAACAATGAATTTGTCATCATCTTTTTTGTACAGAAAGGCAAAAGTAGCACAGCAATTGGGAAAGATTTGGTCGAGGTCGGGTCAAGACAAAAAATGTATGTGAGGAAAGAAGGAAAAAGAGAAAAAACCAGAATGTGATTGGTGCCCAAATATTATTAGCCTTTGAGAAGAACTGCTCATAAACCACGCAAAAAAGGTAGTGTAAGCAATGACTCGGCTGTTTGGCAGTTTTTCAATTAAGCAAACGGACTTGTTTTTTCCAGATTTCAGACTACTATAGTCATGCGATAAGGTGCAGATGTTTTGCAAGAATGCTGACGTCTAACAACCACTGAAACGATCGGAAAAGAGTTTTTTCAATTAAAGAACCGCATGACATTCTTTTGGGAAATGAGAACCTATGGCTCTGTGTTCTGATGCTGTTTCTACTTAACATGAGCACAAAAGTGGGAATATTCGAAATTCGATATGAAATTTGAGAATTTCTCAAGATTGCATGACATTTCAAAATGACTATCGAGCCGGGGGATCCAGGAATAGTCTAGAGTGGATTTTGACTCACCTTCCATGATGGAACCCTTGACAGTGTGGCGGAAGGCCGAATAACGAGCAGTTGAATGTGGTGATGACATGAACTTGGAATAAGAAATGACTTTTCTTGAGACTCTTCTAGAAGGATGACCTTCCCAATGTTTGCGCCGCCCCGTCTTCGCCCTGTCGGTGCCAATCTCTTCGCGCGCGCCCTCAAATTCGTCACGAAAAATTTCAATTTTGTGTCCAAAGTTCTTCATTTGAAAGAAATCATCAAACCAGTAGCGCCTGCTCTTTGTTTTAATTAAGCACAAAATGGAATTTTCTCGAAAAGCCAACCAGCGTCTTACGGTAGATGTTTGCCGTGATGACAATTCAAGCGTATGATTTAGAGCGTGAGCTGAACGTGACTGAGAAAAACAGAGAATATGCGCAGGTGATTAAATTAACATGACCGAGAGACATCATAACATGGTTTTTCTCAGAATATTTCCAAAGCAAAATAGCAAAAAGCAAGCAATAGCAAATTAGGAACGCAGAAAGTATTAAAAGCAAAAAAAAATTAATATTTCTTGGTAAGATAGATGTTTGCCGGTTGCGAGTTGCGGCGATCGTTGACAGTCAGAGGAGCGATGTAGCTTTCCGATGAGGTGGAAATTTCGGAGAGAGTCATCGGGTGGGCAGCATAGTAGATGTTGTCTGAAAAAGGAAAATAACAGTATTCTTTCAGAAGGAAAGGTCTTACTGAGAGTCTCGATGCTCTTTGTCTTTTCGAGCACTTCAAAGGCCATGCTTCTCGCTGGCTTCAGGGGTGGTCTTGGTGGCGGTGGAGCCGATCGCGTACCCTTTTTCGAGCTTCCGATGCTCGAGATCGTGTTTGAGGAGATGACAGTGCTCTTGGTCTTTTGAGATTCCGAACGCTCGGTTCTGGGCGGAGTGGAAACGTAGCTGACCTCACTCACAGCCTTTGGTGGCGGAGAACGGGAAGTCGGGAGAACGAGAGTTTGCTTGATGCTCGTGGCTTTCGAGGAAGAGCGGGAAACGCTGAAAATTCGACATTGCAACGGATGAAATTTCTTTTTTGTGTTTCTTACCCATCCTTTCCAAGGGCAGATGCGGATCTCGAAGGAGTATCGGAGTTTGGATGAGATTTATGGGCCAGAATGTCCAGAAGATGATCAACTTGGCGCTGAACCCCTTGTTGGTTGCGGAAGTAGCCGTCGAGCTGGAAGAAAAACAGTTTTTCTCAAGAAACAGGAGATACGGCAGCTACCTTATCTTCCAGGTGAACGTAGTTCCCATCACCCAGCCGCTTGGTGTTGCCGATTTTCTCCTCCAAGTCCCGACGCGTCTCGTTGATGACCTTCAGTAGCTCATCAATATCCTCTCCGACCATGTTGTTAATAACCAAGCGAGCACGGAAATCATCCTGAGCACCCGACAACTCGTGAATCTTCTTGGTCAATTCAAGAATTTCTGCTTGAAGTGAAGAGGTATTCACGTTCTTTCCCTAAAGAGAAACATTTTCTTACTGGTTCGAAGAAAACCTCAGTGTTTACCGTCAACTCAGCCTCCAGTTTAGTGATGCGATCACAGATGTCCTGGTATTGACGTGTTTGCTCCTGACGTCCGTTGTCAACATTGCTCTTGTCTTCATTTTCTTTCTGAAAAGAGCACATCTTTGGAACAATAGGAAGTTTGTTCCGAAAAGTTTACCTTCACCGACGGGTTGCGAAGAAAGTCGATGATATTGTCCAGCTTTCTGTTGATCTTTGCGAGTTGGTACTGAAAAGAATCTTGATTTAAAATTAGATACGCATTTCTCCTTCTTTCTTACATCCGTTTCCAGATCCGAGTGGTAGGTATGGCTCACATTGACATTCTGTGAGCGTTCTTGGTCCGGTCTCTTTTGAGGGTGGCCCGTCGGGTTTCTCATCACACTTTCAAAACGATCATTGTGCTGGAATACAATGACAGATGACAACAATCACGAATGATGGACTCACATCATCAATAAAGCTTCGACGATAGATGATTTCTTTTTTGGTCACCAGAGGAATTTGACGCGACATGCTTCGACGAGGCAGAATAGAAAGAATGAATGGCGCTATCGGAAACACGGATTATGTTGCTTCTCAATTGTATCATCCTTTTCCCGGGCTCCCAGATACCGCCTCCATGCCATCAGAATGAGAATCGTACAGTAAAAATCAGTAAACAAAGCAAAAGATGTTTATGTATATTGCATGCATGGTGTACAGAATAAGAATTGAAGAAGAAAAAAAGCGCAGTATAGAATGGGAGTCACAACAGAGCATGTACGGTTGTTTCAAAAGCTTCCGGCAGAATTGTGTGTGTGTGAAGAGAAGAACGGTAAAAGCGAAGTTGGGAGGGATAAGAGAAGAAGAAGAAGAAGAAGCGAAAGTTAATAGGTTTTGCGAAGGATTTGGATGGAACGGTATTCACGTTGAGTCGAGTTCGGAGAGTCGGCGTTTCCGTTGCCGTTGCCGTTACGGAGAATTCCAGTAGTGGTGCTCACTGGCGACTCGACACGGTAACCTGAAAAATGTACAATTAGAGAAGTTTCTGGAATAATCTGGAATTACCTCCATTGCGACTCTCTGAGCGGTGAGATTGAGCACGGGAGCCTGATCTCTCCTCATGAATAGCTCCGTTTCCGTTGACAGCTCCGTTGTACGATCCTGAAGATTATAATTTTAAACACCATACATTTTCAAAAGATGATGACACATAAACATAGAATTGGGCAGTGGTCAAAGTTCAACTTCAGATAAGCGCGACATGTTAATGTGTTGTTAATCAGTGAATCGAGTTGTTTTCTAATGTTGTTCACGTTTGAATGAGGGGGTAATTCGTAAGTGAAAACGTAATGCGTGTGTGTGGAATTTGTGGAAATGACCTTGCTCAAAATTGTTTCGAATCGATTCAAACGCTTTTCGGCCCGGCGACCGTTGTTCCGGTGTTACTGTCCGCTCTGAAGGTAATTAGAGGGTCTAGACAGAGGAAAAAGAGAGAAGAACACGACAAAAGCATAACTGGACAACTAGGACAGGACACGAACCGAGTGACGAGACTACTTACCGCTGACCGCCCGAGAAGCCGCTGGGCTATAGTTACGGGTATCATTTCTGGCAGTGGTGACCTCTGGAGGAGAGAGACGGTTGCGAGAGTCGCTACGGTGGTAGCTGAACAATGATTTTTGATTACTTTCCTAAAGACTTTCCGAATTACCTGTAGGAATGGGAAGAGTAGACGTCTCTCGATCCCGGGCTGTCGTTCAAACGGGAAGCACTGCGACTCGACGCGCTTCTTCCGTCTTGCTCGGTTTGAACGTGGATCGGAGAGTTCGGTCCACGTTGAGAACGAAGAGTTCCGCTATCGTATCTCGGAGAGCTACGACCAGCTCCTTCGATCGGAATCAGTCGTTCGCGACCTTGAATGGCTAGAGAGTTGAACTTGTTGGCCTCGACCTGAAGACGTCCTTTGGCATCGATGCTGCTTTGAATCGAGTTGAAGTCGACATCTCTCGGAAGTTGGTACTTGCGGATGAAGTACATTTTGGTGAAGTTATCCTTGTCACGGATATCCTCATGTCTTCCCTCGATCATCAGGGTATCGTCCAGAGTCTTCACTTGAATCTCCTCTGGACGGAATTGGTAGCAGTCCATGTCGACGGCGAACTTGCGTTCGTCATTGACGACATTTGAGTTCACATCGATTCCCTCCTTGAAGATCGGCTCGGCCCATCTCGGATAAAGATCCATCCAGAACGGATCGCTTCTCCAGTTGCGGTCCACGCGGTCGAGTTGAGTAGAGAACTGAAAAATGAGTGCGGTGTTTACTAATTCTGTTTGTCCCTGTATATTACTCTCGGCATGACGGCGTCCATACGGGGCCAGTCGGTCGGCCAATCCTTCCACCAGCTGTCCACGTCACGAGAGAACTGAAACAAATGAAAATATGAGTCATATTGTGAATCATCTGAGAACTGAGAACAGCTTCTGTTCAGTTTCAACATTCGTATCTGACGACGAATGACGATTTTTCACAAAACATACAGAATGTTTGTTCAGATTGTGCAGATTTTTGAGAGAAAAGTGGGAAAATCAAAAAAGGGAGAATTCAGGTGGCATGGAACAAACAAACCAAATGGAAAGTGAGGGGGGAACAGACTTGACGCTTAATGGTGTATATGTACGTAAATTTGAGTAGGACTGTCAAGTAGCCCGGTCACGTACGACCGGATTTGAACAGTAAAACGCCTGGCAGAATAGCAGCCGGAATGAGGAGCGCGCAGAGGGAATCGGGTAGGTCGCGGATGAATAGCCAATGCCTATGTCTCGTGCCGATTCTTTTCCTCAATTGACCAGCACCCGTCGGAAACTAATAAGCTGGCGGCGATGAATAGGAAGCGAAACTCACGCGGCTGAAGAAATCTCTCGGCTTGGGCCAGTCCATCGGCCAGTCGCGGAATTCGTCGAGCCACAGATCGTTTTCCTTCCAGAAGTTGTCACGACGCGTGAAGTCGGCGTGGCGAGTCGCAAGAGTCATCTCGATGATTTGAAAGGGCACAGACACTGAAAGCTGTTCAATTCGAAAGTGACAGTAATCCGATTATGCAAAACTAGAAGTGAAAGAGATGGAGGTAAAAGGAATGCCAATAATGCCGCCGTCTTTCAAAACTGAAAATAAAAACGAATGGAAAGTGGGGTGGCAGTAAAAAAAGATGAATGAAAAACAGCTGAGAAGTCACCTGACCCGGACAGGAACAGTCAATAATAGCCTCCTGCAGTGAAAGGGCGGAAAAGAGTGCTAACCTTAAAAGCCGGAACACAAATCTCGAAAGCTTTTATAATGTGTGCCGAATGGAAAGTTTGGGCGTGGTTTCACCAGCCACACCAACACACTTCTCGCTCCGTTTTCGTTTTCGCGAATCTTCTACGACCCGACCATCGCCGCCGCCGACCCCAGCGACTTTTTTGGTGGTAAATACCACGTGAACCGAGTTAGATGGGCGCGCAATCATAGGCACGAAGGGCTGCCAATGTTGACTGTGTTTCTCTGTCAACACTGGTATTTTTGGGGTTGAGGTCGTAGAAATGGTCGTCGAATAATCAAAGATGACTCTCCGAAATTCTCGGCAGTTTTGCCGAAAACGACTGAAGACAGTATGTAATTAGAAAGCTGTTGGAATGGCGGAAATAAGAAAAAGAAGAGAAAAGATGGATACGCCCTCCCAGGAACAAATTTCAGTGTGAACAGCGGGTTAGGTGGAATTTCATAAAAATGAGCACTGGAATGGGCACGGCGCGCCGCGATTATATACCCAGTTTGTCCCGAGAAAGAGGCAAGGGCGTTGGCCGGTCAAAGTTACCCCATTTCAGATGACTCACGACCAATTGAGAGGCAGTTCCATTTCTCTTTCTCTTTCTCCTTCTCTCCTCGCTCCCGCCTTCACATGGATGATCATTGTGATATTTAATCAGTAGAAGAAACGAACGATACAAGAAAAGGATAGGCCCTGATCACATGAATACGCCCTTCTGGACAGTTCCACATTTCATTTCGAAACCGGCTTTTTATGAACCATTTCTGCCATTTTTCTTGACTCCTGAAAGAGAATGATGACAATAGAACGCCTACATAACGATGACGTGTTGAAACGGTGCCGAGAAGGGCGGAAATATTTTTGCATACAGATATTTCGAAACCAGTCAGGGATGAAATTAGATACGTGACGATGGCATAGAAACCGTTCTGTTCCTTGCCCGTGAAAATTGACTTTTTCCGCTTGATGCATTTTTGAATGTGTGTTTTTTCCAGTCCAATCATTTTTCATAATCTTTTTCCAAGCACCACAAATCATCCGCCCACTCCGATTTCTGAATAATTCTCCCTCTCTTTTTCTCTCGCTCTCGCCCACACTTGCGACGGGGAAGGGGAAAAAGCGATTCTAATCCACTTGACGCTGGACTTTTTTGCTTTTTGCTAAACTAACATCGTAATTGAAACCCAAATTTGACAACGGGTGGAACTTGCGGCATGTTTGAGTTCAGTGCGCATTTCAGAGTAGTGTTTGCTTGTGCGTGAGTAAAATACACATTTATGGAGGGTTTCATAGTGAAAAACGATGGAAAGTTGGCTGATTGGGTGGCAACAGGAAACTATTTCTGTTCTCAACTCAATTGTTATGAAATCAAAGTTTAGAGGGACTTGAAGGATGGATGTTGGGTGTCACGCTCTGAGACGATCAGGCGGGAAGAATCCTTGATCGGCCAGTCCACGTTGATATCCTCATCGAATGGGTTGATTCCTGAAAACAAAATATATATATATAGATTATCGCTATTTCCCTCGGATTTCACTGACCGAATTCAGTTTTCGGGTCATACACAGCTGAGCACTTGTAAGTGACATGAGCTCCTTCCTTGCTGAGCACCTGGAATCCGTGCAAGAAGCCAGCCGGAATCCAGAAAGCGTGCTTGTTGTTCGCGTTCAGAATCACTCCGTGCCACTTTCCGTACGTCGGGCTGTCCTTGCGAATGTCAACAGCCACATCGAAGATCTCTCCACTCACCTGAAATGATTGGATTTGAAACGTAAATTCAAAAAATCAACAGTTTACCTACCACAGTCACCAATTTTCCCATATGTGGTTGAGAGTGAAGACCACGGAGAACGCCATAATGGGAGAACGAGTGGTTATCCTGAAAAAATTTGAATTTGAAAGGTGAAAGTTCATCGCGTCAAGACCTGCTGCAAGTCCTCGGTGTACCCGATTTTCTCGGCCCACTCGGTCTTGTTGTAGCTCTCGGAGAAGAATCCGCGCTCGTCCGGGAACACCTGAAAAGTGAAGAAATTAGATAGTTTTTTAAAATTAAAGGAATTTACCTTTGGCTTGATCACCAAAAGATCCGGGATAGCAGCAACAACTTCCTTCTCAAGTTGGAAACGTTTTTCTGGAGTGGGAACGGACATGTTCTCGTGGCTACGGGGTTGTAGTCAAATGGTGAGGTCTTCCCGGCGGAGGCAACCTTTTTAGCCTTGACATCCGTCGTATCGTGTCCTAGAAATCTTCCGTCTCCCGACTATATATCCTGTTTTTGACCGAAGATCCCGCACAATAGATACGGCGAGGCGAAACACGGATTTCTCTAGTTTCGCATTCGGAAGTTCCACGTGAAGTAGATATGATCTGCAAGAAAAAACCTAACAATAAAAAATCACAAAACACGACTTGGAATGAAGAACTTGTTAAGACGGTTGTATTGGAGTTTATTTGTGTCGTCTTATCAGTTTTGTACTCAATTTTGGTCCTGACGTCGGTGGTAAACACGAAACTACTAATACAATTGATAACACACTCTCGCTTTCCAGCGGAATACCATTCTGTAACCGGTACCATTACCGAAACTGAATAAATTGATGAGTACTGTGACACTCTTGGTAACTGAAGTGAATTTCTCTCAAATCCCTTTGTTTTCTTGCCAGTAGTCTCATATTATTTTGAAAAAGAGCGAACGGGTTGGACCCTGCTGTTCTCAGACCCGTACAAGATTCCGTCCATAACATTCTCTGGAAGGTTCCGTTGCAATCGACTCGCCATATGGGGTCGCGCAGTGATCTTCTTCAAGGGCCCTTCCGCTTGCCTGCCTGCCCGCCCTTGCTATTATTGATTTATCCGCGCATTCCTTACCTTTTGCCTCCATTCTGTCGCTGTTACAGCAAACATTCTCGCTGGTCCGTTCGCTTTTGTGCCGCCTCTTTGGTTTTATGTTCTGCTTTGTCGCAGCGACCAATCAGTGGTTGACTTTCTCCGATCATCCCTCCCGGCGCAGGGGTCAACGGCCGTTTTCAACGTCATCAGCGAGGCGTGCAATCGGTTCCGATTCCAATTTTTCCCCTTGCAGTGTTTTGCAACGCTGAGCACTCAATGTTGAGCTCAGGTACACAGTCTCCTCGTACAAAGTACTGTGCTCGGTGGAACGTCTTTACGTTCACTGTTTACCTCTGAGACCCTCCCTGGCAGTTACGAAAAGAGGAAACGAATGGAAGGATTGTTGAACCGCATGTTTCGCACGTTGCGCCGGCCGCCCGAGTTACTCTCGCTGCCCCGGATCCTCCTCGTCTTCCGTCCTCTTTTCGTTTAAATTCCCACTCCCCTCTCTAGTTTTTTCCCCCAGTCCCTCGCCGCCTGCTACTGCTGGGGAGATGAGCAGACACATCCGCACACAGGCGGTCCATCCAACTTCTCAACGTCTTGTTGTCATTTTGTGCTCAAAACTTATCAGTCTTTGGTGCTAACGTAGTCGATGGCGACCCCGTTGTGGCAGGCCATCGCTTGAATTTTTGGCGGAGCTTGGACATCTGTTTCATTTTCAATCTAAAAGGAACTGCATTATTCGCGAATTGACAACACGCGATCAGCCCACTTCCGACCATTGAACACTCAGTCAATCGGCATTAAAATGCTTGATAAACCACGTTTTCTCTATCGCCGAAAACATGGTGATGTGCCTTGAACGTACTCTAGTCTCCTGTCCATATTATCACTGTTTCGCAGAACGTGACTTCCACGCCCGCCTCATTTTTCTCTCATTATGTACCCGTACTTAACCTGACCAATAATTTCTCATTTGCAGACAGTCCTATCATCTCTCTCTCTCTCCCCAAGCAATCATGAGCGTCTCCAAGAAGCTGTTCACCACCGCCGTCCGCGGAAAGTCGTGGTGGTCACACGTCGAGATGGGCCCACCGGATGCGATTCTTGGAGTCACCGAGGCATTCAAGGCGGACTCGAACCCAAAAAAGATTAATCTTGGAGTCGGAGCCTACCGCGACGATCAGGGCAAGCCATTCATCCTCCCGTCGGTCAAGGAATCTGAGCGTCAGGTGATTGCCGCCAATCTCGATAAGGAATACGCTGGCATCGTCGGTGAGTAAAAAGTTGATCGCGCTGAACTCTCGGTTCAATGTTTGTCTTGCAGGACTGCCGGAGTTTACCAAGCTTGCTGCGAAGCTCGCTCTCGGAGAAAACTCGGAGGTCATTAACAACAAGCGAATCTTCACCACCCAGAGTATCTCCGGAACTGGTGCTTTGAGAATCGGATCGGAGTTCCTCGGCAAGTACGCCAAGTCGAAGGTCATCTATCAGCCAACCCCGACCTGGGGAAACCACGTGCCAGTCTTCAAGTTTGCCGGAGTCGACGTCAAGCAGTACCGCTACTACGACAAGGCTACCTGCGGATTCGATGAGGCCGGAGCTCTCGCCGACATTGCTCAGATCCCAGAAGGATCCACCATTCTTCTTCACGCATGCGCTCACAACCCAACTGGAGTCGATCCATCCCGTGAGCAATGGAAGAAGATCTCCGACATCGTCAAGAAGCGCAACCTCTTCGTTTTCTTCGACATGGCCTACCAGGGATTCGCCTCCGGAGACGTCGACAACGATGCTTTCGCCGTCCGCTACTTCCTCGAGCAGGGACACAACATCGTGCTCGCCCAGTCGTTTGCCAAGAACATGGGACTTTACGGTAGGAATTCCAGAATTATTCTACAAAATTGATGATTTTGCCTGCAGGTGAACGTGTCGGAGCCTTCTCCGTCGTCACTTCGGATGCCGATGAGGCTGCTCGTGTTGCTTCTCAGGTCAAGATCCTCATCCGTCCGCTCTACTCGAACCCGCCAGTCCACGGAGCTCGCATCGCTTCGCGCATCCTCTCGGACCCGGCTCTCAACAAGCAGTGGCTCGCCGACGTGAAGCTGATGGCCGATAGAATCATCACGATGAGAACCACGCTGAAGAGTTTGCTCGCCAAGGAGGGATCCACGCGTAACTGGGAGCACATCACCAACCAAATTGGAATGTTCTGCTTTACTGGAATCAACCAGCAACAGGTTGAGAAGCTCATCAAGGAGCACTCGGTGTACCTGACCAAGGACGGACGTATCTCGGTCGCCGGAATCTCGTCGAACAACGTCGCTTACCTTGCCCACGCTCTCCACCAAGTCACCAAGTAATCTGATGGGAAAACGCTTCTTCCCAGTATAACTTATTCTATAAGTCATAATAGAATAATTCTCTCCATTGGTGTTTTTTGTTCTCCGGTAGTAGAAAATGCGATCTTGTTTTATCCCTCGCCCTTTTTTTGCATCTTTTGTATGGTAAATTTTGAGTTTTATGAGAATAAAATACCCACCACGGTCGATTCGATGGTTTCCATCCCGCTGAATCGTGAGCCTGCCGAGAAACGAAAAAATTCCGTTGAATCCAAAACAATTTGTTGTTTTGTCGTCACTTCCGGCTCATTGGGTGTATACACCGTCACGCATTTGCTCGGAATCCTATCTCTAAATCTCCCAAAAAGGGTTCAAACTCAGTATCACATTCATAAACACATGATTTGAGTCGCTACGCAGCTGAATGCGACCACAAATCGGAAAGCCTGTGTTCGATTGCAAGTGCAGCATACGTTTTCCGCAATGCCCTTGCACGCAATTTCGGGTGGTGGGCCTATAATTAGTCGAACACTCGTCTCACGGGTCCTCGTCTTATTGATTTTTCCGTGTCTATCTTGCACATCAAACACGCAGTTTTCAGAGTTTAACTCAAATTAAGGATGGTTCGCGTTGCCATGCAAATGGAACATACGGACATTCCTATCGAGGAAATTATTGAACACGGACAAATGGCTCTTTTCGAGAGAGTCCCCGAACTGTTTCCGAAGGCAATCGGTCTCCCAAACAACGCAAACGGATACAGTGAGTTTTCTCGAACAACGCTCTCATCGCCTATGTTTTTTCGCTGTTTTCAGAGCTTCTCTACAACGGAAAGACGTACACTGATGAAATGCTGTCGAAAATCACTGATGATGACGTCATTCGTGTAGTGATTATCCCCGAGCACATGCGCAAGGTATTCCTCCGTTTTTGGCAAGGTATTCACCAGTTTTTAAGGCACCCATCGATCCGGCCCACAAACGGAACATTGACAATGCACTGAAGATTATTGGAGCGGGATTGCGATCCGGGAACATCCGTCGCATCGAAATCTTCCGTAGGGAGTTCTTGGAACCGGGCTTCATTCGGAGCTTGCTTGTTGTGTTCCCGAAGGTATTCAATGTTCATCCTGAATTAATATTGAATGATTCATTACAGCTCGCGTTCGATATTAAGTTTCTGGCTGTTCTTAGCGATTGGGACGTGTTCTATGAATACATAATTGTGAACAGCTTCAGACGCTGGCCGGAACGCAATTCGTTCAAGTACCGAAACCCTATCTTCATGTCAGTAATCAAACACATTGTCAAGACTATCGCTGACAAGTACAAAATAAAACTGACTATTCGTAACAGCTCTGCCACTGTTCACATGGACGGGAGGCAGGTGGTCACCCGTGAACACCTTCAGAACGTAAGCACTTCAAATACTGCGACCTGCAGACACATCGACTAATTCAGGTTCTCAACAATATGCTGCGCGATCAGTCAGGACCTTCTTCGTCTTCTGCTGGTGTGAGTCAGCCAGCATCTTCCAGCAGTCAGCAGTCAGGCCCTTCTTCCTCCTCTGCTCGTGTTCGTCAGCTAGCATCTTCCAGCAGTCAGCAGTCAGGCCCTTCTTCTTCCTCTGCTCGTGTTCGTCAGCTAGCATCTTCCAGCAGCCAGCAGTCAGGCCCTTCTTCTTCCTCTGCTCGTGTTCGTCAGCCAGGATCTTTCAGCAGACAGCAGTCAGGGCCTTCTTCGTCCTCTGCTCGTGTTCGTCAGCCAGCATCTTCCAGCAGCCAGCAGCCTGGACCCGCTCCGATTCCTCAGGGACAAGAATAGTTAGTTCACCAGGCTTGAAAATGTTTTACAATCAATATTTCAGTGCTAGCCAAGCAGAGATGCTTCGCAATCTTGGATATCTCGACGACGAGCTCAACATGCAGGCGTTGGTGCAAGCGGACGGCGTCATTGAAACCGCGATCGGCTTCATCCGCGCGGCTGCTCAATAATTGCTCACCGGTCGACGCTTTCACTCAAATGCCACTCGGATAGATTCTCAGCCGCCCCATTTCAATTTCGAAACGATTGTATTCATGTATTATTTATCCCTCGCTCGTATTATATCTTGTCGAATAATAATAATATAAAAATTTTGATGTACTATGTTGCTCTTATCTAAAAACTACTGGAAAGTAGAGACAGTACGTTTCTGCCTTGCTCTATATGCGCCTATGTGATTCATCAAGATGCGTGCCGTTTGATCAATTTATGAGTGAGTCTTTTGAAAAATTATCAGAAAAATATCGATGAAGAAGTCGTCGTTGGCTGACTGATGGCGATGTCAGCAACCTTCAGCAGTTGTTCTGAGCCGGACTCACTTCCGCCGGGACACTTTAGATGCTACGGTTCATTTTCTTTCTTGTAGTGATGAAAAGTTCCGACTGCTGTTCTGAGCCGGGCATTCACGGCGGGCGACTCATTATCGAACTTTTTTCATATGGAAATTCACACAAGCTAGAAGAACGTCTCGTAGTTTATGTTACAAGCTCTGACAATATTCACTTTATCTGTTGGCGTAGGAAGCCCAGACCTTTCAGATGTTACCGTTCTCAATAGAAACGAACATCCGATACTCGCTAAAAGATCCCAATTTTCCAGAAATTACGTTGTTGTTCTTTTTTTTTTGAAATACGGGCCAGTGTGACGCATTTCACAATGCGTTTTTCAATTCGTTGTCTCCGGAATTCTTTCTCATTAGCGATTAAATTAAAACCAAAGTTCACAATACGTTTGGCGCTTCCATGTGACCTTCGCTTGCGTTCCCTTTTCCTGATTGAATATGTGCCCCCCTCGAATCTGTGCCCGGAAAACCTCGTTTTTTCTGAGCATTTTCTTCTTGGTTAAGCCGTGGGCGAGAGAAGATGTGATTAGGTGTAGTCGTGAGAAGATTATGTCGTAGGCACATATGAATGAGATTATGATTCATCTATCGTGGGAAGGAAAAGTGGCTAAGGAAGAAATTCTGGATCGTGGATGGAATGTCCCTGACGAACAGAACAGAGATTATTTTCGAAAAAGTCACCGAGCAATGACCGTATTTGTTTGTTTTCTATGTACAATCGGTCAAAGCTCTTCCCACACCCAGTTATTTAGCGAATCTCAAAATCAACACCACGCGGCAAGTCCCTCTGAAACAATCTATTCCATTCGAGAGAACAATTTGCTTTCTGACGTAGATCATTCAAACATTTCACGTAGTCCCTGAGGGATAAATCATCAATTCTGCAGATTACGAAAGTGATGTACAGTTATTTGATCAGCTTCATTGTTTGCCGCCCGGTTGATTGACTCATGTTTTTTGACGACGCACCACCAATCGTTTTGGAGCAGAAAGCACACACACACAAACGAGCGTCATTGTCGGGTTTTCGAGGAAAAAATACGATTCAGGCTGTTCAAATTGTGATAGTGAATGAGGACCAAAATAAGAATAGCCAATGGCCTACGCATACATTCATGAAATGTCGGTTTGGTGTCAGTTGGTCCACAGAGAAACAGAAATACCTGCTGGGAATGGACGTCAGCAGTTTCGTCATCGGAAGGACACTAGTTTTTTTGAAAAAATCCCCGGGAAACTAGTACAGCACCAGTCTTTAAAAAAGTAACGTGAAATGTCAACAATAATCAGTGACTCACTGCGGGGGAGTGCTCGAGAACTGTTCTGTCCAGATTCTTTCAAAGATCACCAACCATTTTCATGACCAACTCTTTTGTCTTCATATTTCTGTTTTCAGACGTGTTCATCACAAATTCTGACCAGAGAAACCCATTTCTCTGAAAATTTTTGTTCCAATAACAAGTCATCAAGTCCGCTCTTTCCGTTCTCAGAGCCAACACAGGTTTTTTCAAATGAATTGAATAACTTGGTGACGACGCACAGCGCATACACTCTATGGGCATAATACGTCTTCGAAATTGGATACTGGTGTGAAATTGAGTTCGAGGTGCGCTTTCGACCCAAAAAGACCGACGACGCATTGTCTGGATAGCCTCTTTTCATCCAATTTATTCTTTTCTTAAGGCGAGGGTACCCAAAATTAATAAGATGTACCAATGGGTTCGGATAAGTCCGGGGGATGCTTTGTTTTCAAGTGTCTCGACCAGTCTGGAATTGCAAATTGCAGATGAGAGTTGTGTTTTACCGCTACTTGTGTGACAATGCCCATTCATTATTTAGGTCCCTCATGACACACTTCCGCCAAATAAGCCGAAAACATAATCGACCAAAACACTCTTGCGTCGTCCAGTGAGACATCCGGATTAGCATCGAACGCAGGCTAAAAGAACTGTGATCCCTATAGCCAAAAACTGAAAGATCAAATGGGTTCTCAGAATTGTCATCTCGGTCCGTTGAAGCAGACGTTTTTCTTTTCTTTCTTCCGAATTCACTGAACCGAAGAGTGGTTTTCTGCGAAAGTCCCCTGATTTCCGTTCCGACTCAGAGCTCTCTCTGGCAGCCGAAAGTACGCCACAAGAGCAAATCTCATTACTTTGACAAATCTAAACTTGTTTTGTTTTTCACAGCCCCCGCGGAAAAGCGGTGAAGATGAAGATGCGGATCTCGCCCGCGAAGTTTAGTTGAAAAACAATCGAATAAATTGAAACCGACCAAGTTTGGTTGTTGTTCTCAGACGATTTTATTTTTATCGAGATGAAAAAGAAAAGTGAGAAATCGGGCGAAACCGGGAGGAAATTGAATCTCGTGACTGTTGGCGTCGGAAACAAGTGCAGAGAACGATTCGCAACTTGAATATCAGACTAGAGAGAAGTTGAAATCTCCGTCGTAATTTGTCCCTCTGGAAGAAGTGTCCCTCACTTTGTTTGTTTCTGCTCACAAATCCCTGCCCTCGATGTGTCCTTTTGCGTCAATACCCTTTCGCGAGAGAAAAAAACTAATCTTGAGACCAAAATGACTAAGCGAGCAGTAGTTTCGGCTGCAGTTTATGGCTGAAAATAGAAACTAAGACAACTTGTTTCTCTTCGCGGCTTCTCTGCACACACACACACACACACAACACTTTTTACGGACAGAGTGAATGGCTAATGCATCTACTTTTGAATAATTAACATATGTACATGTAGTCGAGAAGAGAAAATTGGCTCCAACTTTTGGTCTTCCCGGAATCGGAATTTGGAATGGGACAAGTTCTCAGATTTCTGTCTGATGAGCTGTTGGGTGAGTCCTGAGGGAATTCATGAAAAACAGGTTGGGAGAGCTCCACATTCTTGGCCTTTCTTCATTTTGCTCAATTCAATTTGCCGTCAACGCTTGCAATCTAATCTTCCAGGGAAATTACTCTGACCTCTGGTTTTTCACAGAGAGCAAAATACGGAAGATTTCGTTCCTCCTTCTTCTTCTTCATCATCTTTTGCTGCCCCGATAGGCTTCTGCAAACTATTCATGCATACAAAATAGCTGTAAAAGAAGAGAAAACACTTGGACTCGCCACACCTTTTACGTCACGACATTTTTTATCTATTGCCGCCGCTGATTTATTCGCTGAACAAGCTTGCCTATGACTGCTTCGGAAGAAAGCATCCGTGGGCGAACTGAAATTATGAAATTCGATCTTCACTCGACTCTTTCTGGGTACAAAAAACAGCTGCCAAGAATCTCCGGATCCAATTTCGCAGTTTGCGAAAAAAGGAAAAGTCATTGGAAATTCTCTCAAGAATGCGCTGATGAGTTTTCAGCTGTGATGAGTCACTGGATCAAAGTCTAGTCTGAAATAAGTTTACCGCTCTGAACGAAAGAATGAAGTCTTCACAAAGTGCCACTCGAGTACTTCCATTGACCCTTCCTTTTCCTCAATCTACTTTCGTTTCCCCCGGATTTCCCTTCCCAACTTTTTTGTTCGACTCGACCGGTCAAATCCCCTGAGTCATGAATTAGTAATGAGATTGGCGGTGCTCTGCAAAAACCTGAGAAACGCCTAAACTTAGTTTTTCCGTTGAATAAGACTAATTTGCCAGCGAATAACTTGTTTATTATACAACATTGATAAGCTTTTGGAAAATCTTTTTAGCTGTGCTCCCATTTCTTTGAGAAAATGATATTAACGAGTAGAAACAAAAGACCAAAGAGACTAAGACTCAATGTGGGCGATAATGAGCAACGATTAATGGAATTATCTGGAAAAAAAGAGTGTTGCGGTTTTCTAGAGAGTCTATTCATAGTGACCTAGCTCCAAGTAAAGGTCCCTGAGCACTTTTACGCACTTCCGGCTCTTTCCATTCCACTTGCACGTCAAATCCAAAAAAGAGGAAGAAGGAGAAGGAGAAATCGCATTCTTTTGAATGGGAAAAACGAATTTTGCAGACTCCTTTTTGCTGCCAACTTCTTCTCTCGTCCCTTCAATTCCACACCCTTCTCTTCCAACGTCAACGCCTTTCATCCACAGCCGGTTGCGACGTTTTCGAAGAGTTTCGAAAGTGCTTCTCTCCGAAGTGATCCGAAACGTTTCTCTCTCTTCCTCTCCGCAAGGTGCGAAAGCGAGAGAGAGAGAGAGAGAAAAGATCAGGGCGTCCTGCCGGTGACACGTTTTTGTGTGGGAAGGATGGACACAAGAAAAGCAAAGAGCAAAGAGACCCCCTACCCCCACTTGTGAATAATTTCCAACTTGAGAACAATAGAAAGGGAAAGGCAAAATTCACAAGTCTGTCGTTTACATTCTCAAGAGGTACGTGTACTTTGTCGGACCGATTCTCACGTAGAAGAGATAACGGGAAACCAAGAATCACACGTGCTTTCGTATGGTTTTCAGATTTATAGCCGGGCTTCCTGACACACCAGGAATTACAGATGACGCATTTGGAGAAATTGTCAGGCTGAGAGAAATCGTGACGAAATTAGACCGATTATTGAGAAAGTTGCGAAAAGAAAAAAGCAGGTATCGGGCGATCATCTAACCTGACCCTTACTCCAATTTACTCTTTCCCCACCCGGTCC